ACACACACAGGTAGAGATAGAGACAGAGACAGACAGACATACAGATAGATAGACAGACAGAGAGATAGAGACACAGAGGAGGCACAAGAACTGAACTTTTGGGAACACCCACCTTAATGGAGCTGTGAAGAAAAGAGGCTCATGAAAGAGATAAAGAAGCATTAATAATGACTGACATTTGTATAATTCTTAAAGATTTGCAAAATATTTTATACCCTATTTCATTGAATTCCCTAGAATAACTCTGAGGTAGCAACTACAAGTAATAACCACTATTTTACAGATAAGAAAATCAAGGCTCAGATTGGTTGTGACTTACCCAGGGTCATGGTCATATAATGAGAGTCAGAAGTGGGATTTGAACTCAGTTTTCTTCTGACTCCCATGCCCAGCACTCTTTCAAATAAATACACTGTGGGAGAATAAGGTAAATCACACAAGTCAGAAAGAGGGATAGTGGTCAATTCTGATTACTAACTGCATGATCTTGGGCAAGTTATTTAGCCTCTGTGGGCCTCAGTTTCATCTTTTGTAAAGTGAGAGAATTAGATAATCTCTCAGGTATCTTCCAACTCTAAATCTAGGAGCCTGTGGTCTGTGTCAAATGCTGCAGAAAAGTCAAAGAGGATGATGAGGACTGGAAAAAAGAGAGCACTGAATGTCATGATGAGGAAATCATTACATCTGTGAGAGTAATATTAGCAGGACAGAAACCAAATTAAGAGGTATTTAGTAGAAAGTGACAGATTTAGTAGAAAGTGACAGAAAGTGACAAAGTTTAGCCATAAAATGTAAATAACTTAGGTGGTGGAGTAGAGAGGGATGAGACACTTGCTAGATAGGGTAGAAGGGAAAATAATGTTTTCAGGTTGGGGGATATGTTTATTGGGTAGTAGGAAGGAATAAGTGAAGAGGAAGACTGAAGAAGAATGAGAGAAGGGACATGACTGCTGGATCGAGGTCCTTGAAGAGGTTAAGTCATCTGTAATTGGTTGTTGGGGATGAAGTTAAGAGCTTAAGAGAAAATAGAAAGTTTTGGAGTGATGACTCTTGGTCATCATGATAGGATCAGGTTATACTCATTATAATCTACTTAAATGTCAGGAGAGATAAACTTTTTAGAAAGGTTTCTTGTCATTTTTTGGTCATGTCAGACTCTGTTACCCCATTTGTGGTTTTCTTGGCAAAGATTCTGGAATGGTTTACCATTTCCTTCTCTAGCTCACTTTACAGATGAGGAAACTGAGGCAACTAGGGTCTTGCTTGGGGTCACACAGCTAGTAGATATCTGGGTCCAGATTTGAACTCAAGAAGAGGAGTTTTCCTGACTTCAGGCTTGGTACTCTATCTTTTGCACCACCTAGCTGCCCCAGAAAGGTTTCTTACCCCAATGGTTAAAATAAAATTAAAAAAAAAAACCTCTTAAGTATTTAAAAGGATGAACCTGACATGCTAGAGAGCACAGACAGGAACAAATAAGTCTTCACTTTGCTTCTTCAGTAAGTTTACCTTGGCAACCTGATCCTGGCTCTTTTTTTTTAAACTCTATTGCATATGATTACAGTTGACGACTTTAGAGTCTTGCTTACAGTGCCATGATAGTGCTTCAGGTATTGAAGATGAGTCTATCTACCTATACAAGAAGAAAAGTCTTCTTTTTCACCTTAAGATTTTGGTAAGCATCATCACTACTAGATAGATTAAATTCTTGTATTTCCATTGTATAGAACTATCAGAATTCTGGATAGACTCATCTTCAATAGCTGAAGCACTGTCATGGCACTGTAAGCAGGAATCTAAATTCATGTCAATGTATTATTATGAATGTTTTTGGTCAAATAATAGAAAGTAAGCTCCTTGAGGCCATGAACTTTTTCAGTTTGCCTTTATAAACCATTGCCTAGTAAGGAACCCTTGCACAAAGGAGGCACCTAAATGTTTATGGAATTAAATTGAACTGAAACTGTTGTAGAATTATTTTTTTTGTTTATTTTTTTCACCTTTTTAAAATTCATTTTAATTTATCAACAATCACTTCTATAAGTTTTTGAGTTTTAAATTTTTCTCCCCCTCCCTCCCTACCTCCCTCCCCAAGATGGCATAGAATCTAATATAGACTATACATATACATTTCTATTAAAACATATTTTCACATGAGTCATATAAGTAAGAATTAGAACCAATAGGAGGAACCACCAGAAAAAGGAAACAAAGTATAACAGAAGAAAAAAATTGCAAGTAGTATGCTTTGATCTGCATTCAAACTCCATAGTTCTTTCTTTGGATGTGGATAGCATTTTCCATCATGAGGCTTTTGGAGATGTCTTAGATCCTTGTATTGCTGAGAGGGGTTAAGTCTATCAAAGTCAGTCATCACTCAGTGTGTCTGTTACTGTGTACAATATTCTCCTGGTTCTGCTCACTTCACTCAGCATCAAACCATACAAGTCTTTCTAGGTATATCTGAAGTTTGCCTGCTCATCATTTCTTATAGCACAATAGTATTCATTACATTTATATATCACCCCCCCCCCCGTTTATGCTTTTCTTTCTCCTTTCTCCTTTTCCCTCCTCACTAATGTTTTGCTTTTGACTACCACCTCCCTTTTATTAACCCCCTCCCTTTTCTTTACCCTTTCCACTCCTAACTGCCTATAGGGCATGTTAGATTTCTATGCCTAACTGATTATGTTATTCCCTTCTCGAGTCAAATCTGATGAGAGTAAGGTTCAAACAATGCTCATCTCCCTCCCTTCTTTCCCTCTGCTGTAATAAGGTTTTGTGCCTTTTCCTGTGATGTAATTTACCCTTTTCTGCCTCCTCCTTTCCTATTCTCTCAGTACATTTTCTTAGATCAGATTAATTCACTTACTTGGATCCATTTAACCCACTTGATTAGATTTTTTTTCAGCATTTTATCAAAGTAAATTTATACCCACCCCCTTTATGTATACCCCTTTAACATGGTGTAATAACAATACAGTTTTCCAGAGTTACAAGTGTCATCTTCCCTTGTAGGGATGTAAACAGTTTGCCCTTATTAGCAACATATCGTATCTTTCTGTCCCATTTGCCTTTTTATGTCTGTTTTGACTCTGTATTTGAAGATCAAATATTCTGTTAAGCTCTGGTCTTTTTATCAGGAAGGTATGGAAGTCCCCTATTTCATTGAATGTCCATCTCCTCCCCTCTTCATGTTCCACTTGAGTCTTATATTTGAAAATCAAATTTTCTATTCAGCTCTGGTTTTTTCCATCAAGAATGCCTGAAAGTCCTCTATTTCACTGAATGACCATTTTCCCCCTGCAGGATTATACTCAGTTTTGCTGGGTAGGTGATTCTTGGTTGTAATCCTATCTCCTTTGCCCTCTGGAATATTATATTCCATGCCCTGTGGTCCCTTAATGTAGAAGCAGCTAAATCTTGTGTTATCCTGATTGTGTTTCCACAATACTTGAATTGTTTCTTTCTGGCTGCTTGTAATATTTTCTTCTTGACCTGGCAGCTCTGGAATTTAGCTACAATATTCCTAGGAGTTTTCCTTTGGGGATCTCTATCAGGAGGTGATTGGTGGATTGTTTCAATTTCCATTTTGCCCTCTTGTTCTAAAATATCAGGGCAGTTTTCCTTGATCATTTCTTGAAAGATGATGTCTAGGCTCTTTTTTTGATAATAGCTTTCAGATAGTCCAATAATTTTTAAATTCTGTCTCCTGGATCTATTTTCCAGGTCAGTTGTTTTTCCAATGAGATATTTCACACTGTTTTTAAATTTTTCATTCTTTTGGATTTGTTTTACAATGTCTTGATTTCTCATAAAGTCACTGGCTTCCAATTGCTCTATTCTAATTTTTAAGGAAGCGTTTTCTTTGGTAATCTTTTGGACTTCCTTTCCATTTGGCCAATTTTGTTTTTTAGGGCATTCTTCTCCTCATTGGCTTTTTGGACCTCTTTTGCCATTTGGGTTAGGCTATTTTTTAAGGTGTTATTTTCTTCAGTATTTTTTTGGGTCTCCTTTAACAAGCTGTTGACTTGTTTTTCATGATTTTCTTGCAAGACTCTCAGTTTTTCCTCCACTTCTCTTACTTGCTTCTTAAAATCCCTTTTGAGCTTTTCCAAGGCCTGGGATTGATTCATATTCTTCTTGGAGGTTTTGGATGTAGGAGCTTTGGCTTCATTGTCTTTTTCTGGTTGTATATTTTGATATTCTTTGTCACCAAAGTAAGATAATATAGTCTGACTCTTTTTGCACTGCTTACTCATGATCCTGGCCAATTACTTGAGTTTTAAACTCTTTGTTAAGGTAAAAGTCTGGTTCCAATGTGGAGAATGTACTGTCGCAAGTTTCAGGGGTTTGTACAGCTATTTTCAGAGATACTTCTAGGCACCTGAAAATTTTCAGTTCTTCCAAGGTACTATGATAAGGGGCGAGGTGTTTTCTCTTCACCGCCACAAGAAGCTCCACCACACCAGCTTTCCTCCTGGCCCCAGGACTGCCCCTCAGAACTGTGACCCAGATCCAAGCACCAGTAAAGCAAGAGATTCCTGCCTCAGCACTGGCAAAGAGATCCCTGCAATCTGCCTCTGATCAGCCACTTGATTCCCCCTCAGTCTGTGGGCCAGAAGCTCAGGAAACAGCTGCAGCCCCTGGGGGCGGCTGAGACCTAGCTCCTTCTCTCACAGCAGTCACAGACTTTTCCCACTGACCTTCTAAGTTGTCTTTGGCATTGGTAGGTTGAGAAGTCTGGAAACTGCCACAGCTGCCCATGATTCAGTCCTCTGAGGCCTGCTCCAAGTTCGCTGCGGCCTGCGCGCCCACGCTGAACTGCGCTCCTCTCTCCGCCCAGCGCGATATACCTTTCCGATCAACCATCCAGGCTGCCTTTGGCTGGAAATTTGTTTCACTCTGTCTTTTTGTGGGTTCTGCTCTAGAATTATTTTCTAAGAGAAAGCTTGCTACTATGGTTCTCTGTCTTATCCCTCTGTTTATTTTTCACATAGGCTGAAATCCTTAGAAGCTGCATTGAGGATTGTTTTGCCAATAGAAAAGGAAGCTACTCTCCTTGGTGACTCAGAACAACTCCTCCATATAATGGAAATACAAAAATTTAATCTAGCTGGTAGTGATGATATTTACCGAAATCTTAAGGTAAAAAAGAAGACTTTTCTTCCTGTATATTTATAAAGGAATGATCTCTTCTGGAGATTTATAGATATGTATTATTTAAAATCAATAAACACAACTTTATTAATAATTCAAATATAAATTCTAGTATCATGACAGAGAAGTTTTCATTAATTTAGATGTGTCATTTACATCTTCAGATCTTTTTAGTTACAACTTTGGAGGCAGATCATCTAAGGTGATACATTTTGATATCTACTTTGCTTTCTTAATGCATTAAAATTTTCCCATATTCTTATGATCATCTTCCTCTGCACTACCAGGAAACTTTGACATTAATTCAATGTGTTATAAGGTACCATTTTAGTTATTTTTTAGACTCTGAATTCCTTGAGAGCAAGGACTGTCTTTTGCCTTTCTTTGTATCCCCAATGCTTAGCACAGTGCCTGGCATATAGCAGGAGCCTGATAAATGCTTATTGATCAACTAACATTTAGCATCATGATATCCTTAACACATTGACTTTAGCAAAGCCATTTTTGCTTTTTATTATTTGACTTATCCAAATTCTTCAAACTCTCATTTTATCCTAAATGGTGGTGGTTGTTTTTTTGTTTTTGTTTTTGTTTTTAGGGGAGGAGTGAATGGGGGGAGGAGAGAGAAGAGGATGAAAGGGAAGGTGCTATGTAGTTAATGCAAATCACAAACATTTCAGTTATGTCTGCTGCTATTTCTTCTTACATTATTGGTGTATTGTTTTATTTTCGTTTGAGTAAGATTATTGGAGAGGATACTATATGACCAAATTAGAACATTCCATTGTGTCCACACTCACAGCTTTGTTTAAATTCCAGAATGTTTTTCAAGTTCTAACGTAGTATCATAATTTTGCTTGTTCATTACATGCCATCTGTCTTTCTCTGCCTATGTTCTAAGGTATTCTTATCTTAATTTCAGGATATCCAGAGTAGTGTAGCAAAACAAATTGAATTATGTAGTAACTTGGAACATCCAGGCAGTGATGCATTAAATGAATTTAACCCAATGGATCTTCATGCAACTCAGACCATTATAGTAAAATATAAAACACAATTTGAAGAAATGAACCACAAAATGCAGAATGCTGAAATAGCCCTCAAAGCTCTTGAGGACTTTTTGGCCTCCCTGAGAAAAGCTAAACTTTCTATTCAGCCTGCAACAGATTTTTCAATATCAGATGTACCTGTGGTGCAAGATAACACCTGGACAATAGAAGATGTGCAGAAAAAAATTCCACTGATGAAAGATGAGGCCAGATGTTTGGATCAGCGTATGAAAATGCTTGATATAAGCTTAAAAAATGCTGAGCGGTGTGAAGACACTTGCTGTGAAAAACTCATTGAAGTTTTCTTAAAAATGATAGATGAGACTCATGGTCATAATGAACCTGAAGATTTCACTAAACAAGACCAATTACTGGAGGTTTTTATTGCAAAAAATAATGAGATCCTTAAAAACATTAAATATGTTCAAGACCAGATCAATAAAATTGGCCTCAAAGATCCAACAATTCCAGCGGTGAAACAGAGGTGAGTAGTTACCATTTATTATAATCTAAAAACAATGTAGGTTTCTGGTTTAGTAGAAAGAGTATAAGACTCTATAATTAGAAATGTGGGTTCAGGTCTCAGTTCTGATACTTCTAGGTGTATGACTGTGAACAAGTTATTGTCTCTGAACATAACATTTTTCATCTATCAGAAAGTGGTAAGAATATTTGAACTGCCTCACAGGAATGTAGTGAGGGAAGTGTTTAGTGAGCTTTAAAATGTTAGTTTTATGTATGAATATATATGTATCTGTATATACACATATATATGCTATATTTTAAAATATGCTAGCTTTAAAATGCTGTTATATATTTATTTGTAAAATACATATTCACTTATAAAATTATAACATATTTTAATTATTCTCAAATAATTACTGGCTATTTTTTAGAAGTTTATTAAGAGTTAGAGAACCATCAACAAATATGAATAACTCCATATACAAATAGGACCAGAAAAAGTGAATTGTACGTGAATCCACCATATGTAGCTTCTTTGTTTTTAATCACATAAAAATATACACACATGTATATTTGTATGTTTATATGTATATGTATGTGTATGTATATATCCATATCAGATTTATCTTACTGGTGCCAAAATTGCCTTGCTTGTCCACGTCCCCTTCTGAGTTCTCTTCTATGGATTTTTGAATGTTTTGTTGGTATTCATTTTTTTCCTTTCTTTTTTTTTTGTTCTATCACTCTCACTTCCTCTCCAATACTCCTCTAACATCGAATTAAAAGCTCTCCTTTATAACAAATATATCTTGACAAGTAAATCAAATTTGTGTTGTACTGAAAATATTTGTCTCCTTCTGCACCAATAGACCATCTCCTTTCCACCAAGATGTTGCAGTAATGCTTCAACATTCATCTTCTGGAGACATGATTGGTTATTACATTGATCAGAGTTCTTAAGTCTTTCAAAATTGTTCACATAATGTTTTGGTCATTTTAGAAATAGGTTTCCTAATCCTGCTCTCTTTGCTCTCATTTAATTCATATAAGTCTTCCTAGGTTTCTTTGAATTCAGAACTTTCATAATTTCTTATGGTGCAATAATATTCCATAAGAGTCATGTACCATTCCACTATGGATGGGCAACCAATTTGTTTTCTAGTTTTTTGATACAACAGGAAAAATATGCTGTTATATTATTTTTGTATTCTTTTCCTTTTTTGATTTTTGATTCTTTTCCTTTGTCTTTGATTGTTTTGCTTTAGTATCACTAAGTTAAAGGGTATGCACAGTTTAGTGACTTTGGTTTTGTACTTTTCAAAATAGTTGAACCACTTCACAGCTCCACCACACTTTATTAGTGTGTCTGTTTTCCCATAACCCCTCCAGTAATTGTTATTTTCCATTTTTGTCATCTTTGCCAATCAGATAACTTTGAGGTAGAACCTCAGAGTTGTTTTGTTTGCATTTCTCTTACTACTGGGGATCTGGAATGTTGGTTATCATTTGTTATTGTTTTATATAGCTGTTGATAGGTTGAACTTCTTAAGAACTGCATGCTCTTATCCTTTGACCATTTGCCTATTGAGGAATGGCTCCATTTCTTTTATATTTGTATCAGTTCCTTTTGTTTTTTGGACATCAGGCTTTTATTAAAGAAATTTGCCATAAACACTTTCCCCCAGTTAACTTTTTCCACCTTTTTTCTGACTATACTGCTTTTGATTTTTTTTTTTTGCAAAAAGTTTTCAGTTTTATGTAACCAAAGTTGTCTGTTTTATCTCCTATGATCTTCTCCTTTGTTTGGTCCCAAACTCCTTCTTTATGCTGAGTAGTAAAAGATATTTCCTTCTATTCTCTTCTAGTTTATTAAATGACCTTTTGTCCATTTGGAACTTCTTGTGGCATATGTTTTGAAATGTTGATCTAATTCTCAATTTTCCCTATTTTCTTTCCTCTTTATTTTTAAGAATTAAATTCCATTTATTCCAAAATAATTGATGAAGTCTTTCCAACTAGAGTGATATAAACTCTGATTTGAATCTAGTTATTTTTCCAATATAGTTTTTATTTATTTTGTTAAATATTTCCTAACTACATGTAAAAATTTAGTATTAATTTAAAATTTTAAGTTTTAAATTCTCTCCCTCCCAACCTGCCTCCTCCTTGAGAATTTGAAACTGGGCCTAAACATCCATTACTGGTGACTACTTCCCTATATGTGCTGTCTCCCCTTGTTCATTTTTACATTAAATTTCATTTTTTTTAATGAACAAAAATCCATTTTCTCTCCTGGATGCCTCTTCTTCCTTTCAAAGTAATATGGAAATAAACCACCTCATAACAAATATGCATAGTTAAGCAAAATAAATTCTTTCATTATTCATGTTAAGTTTGTGTTCTTTGGTATATTGAACATTTAGCTACTATGTTCAGTTGATTCTGGATCTTGTTTACCCAATCTGTTCTATATTGATCAACTTTTTTATTTTTAAACCAGTACTAAATAGTTTAGATGATTTTGCTTTGTATGTATAGTTTGAGACCTGTTGGATGTAGGCCTCTTTCTTTTCATTTAAAAAAAAATTCAATTGAGACTCAACCTTTTGTTCCTTCAGAGGAATTCTGTTATTATTTTGAATAGTTCTATACACTAATCCTTTGGTAGTTTGATATAATACTGATTCTATAAATAAGGTATTATAATTTTGTTATATTACTTATGTATTATAATTTTTATTATAATGCCCCAACCATGAGCAATTAATTCCAATCCAATTATTTAAATCTTTCATTCTTTCTATAAAGAGTATTTTGTGGTTGTAGTCATGTAATTTCTGCTTTTATCTTTGACTCCTATATATTATATACATTCTATAGTAATTTTGGGTAGAATTTTTTCTATCTTTTTCTTCTGGGTTCTGTTGATGATTTACATGAGTTTATTTTATACTCCAATAATTATTAAAATTATTAGTTATTTCTATTAATTTTTAGTTGAATATCTAGATAGGTGGATAGAGTACTGGGCCTGGAGTCAGAAAGACCTCAGTTCAAATCCCACCTGAGATATTTACCAGCTGTGTGACACTGAGCAAGGCACTTAACCTCTGCCTGCCTCAATTTCCTCAGCTATAAAATGGGGTTAATAATCTTCACTACCTCACAGGGTTGCTGTGAAGATTAAATGAGATAGCATTTGTAAAGCGCTAGCACAGTGCCAGGTATGTAGTAGGCACTATATAAATGCATCCCTTTCTCCTTCCCTAACAAGTAAAAAATTTCTTTTATAACCAAGGATAAAATCATTAACCAAACTGGAGAAGGATCTGGATTACTATGCAGGGGAGATAAACTACCTCAGAAAAATGGCCAGTTCTCTTCCACAGTTGAAAGATGGAAAAGGACAAATCTCAAGTCAACAATGCCAAGAGACAACATGTTTATGGGAAGATGTGAAATCCTCTGTTGAAGAATGGTGAGGCAAGAGTACTCTTCCAAAATTTAAAAAAAACATATCCTCACCACCATAAAATTATGTTTGAAAGTAGATCTTACTAAAAGAGCATCCATAATTCAGGAAATTAGGTGACAATGAATTTTATTCCAGAAATTCTTTGTGTAGAACCTAGATCAGCTAAAACTGGATTGTTTCATCTTTTGGAGATGGCTGGATCTGGGTAGAATAATTGTGAGCATAACACCATAACACTACCTGGGATAGTCACAACTTAAAGAAATGAAAGTGTACTGTTAATGAGATGTTTCAAAAGTACCATCCTTTGTCAGCCCACATGTCCTGGTATGGTTTAACAAAATATGGTCATTATGCAAGCCTATGTCTTTGTGAGTTAATAGGAAATTAATATCCTGGGTGATGCTAAGGATTGAGCAGTTCTGGAGAGATTATACTTTGGACAGAAAATGAAATCAGAGTTATTCTCTAGTGTTTCTCCCTGAAGTTACCTGTATGGTTGGTCTGGAGAAAAATGTTAGTAGGGTGATTCACTTTGAAATCTGTTAAGTAAATATAATTGCAGTGATTTTTAGTTTAAGTTGGTAAAACTTAATATTGTGAAACTATTTGAATGGGATAATTTCTTCTTATTAAGTAGTTAATTAATAGTTGGCAACTAGATTGGCACAGTGGATAGAGCCCTGGGCCTGGAGTCAGGAAGACCTGAGTTCAAATTCAGCTTCAGATACTTACTAGCTATATGACCCTGGGTAAGTCATCTAACTCTGTTTGCCATAGTTTTTTCATGTGTAAAAGTTGCTGGAGAAGGAATAGCAAACCACTCCACTAAATTTACCAAGAAAACCCCAAAATGGGATCATAAATATTTGGCCATGACTGAAAAAACACTGAACAAAATTAATGGTTGGGCATTTGCAAAGGGACAATTGTATCGTGTTAATCAAAATGTACCTAAGTATAAATACTTCCTTTTCATAGCCTTGAGCAGTGTCAAAGAACAATGGATCTCCTGAAGCAATACCAGAATTGCAAAAGTATTCTTACTTCTTTGATCCACAAAGAAGAGAATGTGATCTCACTGCAGGCTTCTTATATGGGAAAGGAAAATCTGAAGAGGAGAATAGCAAAGGTGAGCTCTTCTTTTGCATAAAAACGTCAAAAATGAAAGTAGAATTGCTGACAGGGAATGTTAAACTGTTAGTGCAATGCTAAAAAGAGTAAAGGGCACATTTAGAGTCCCAAGGACAAAATTGGTGTTTAATAAGTTCTTGTTAAATAAATGCAGATGAATGGAATAATTTTAGGATCTTTGACTCTGAGGGTATTATTAATGAGGGTATTCATAGAGTCTCCAAATGTTATAGCCAGGGCTTAAAAATGAAACTTCAGTAGAAACCTTGGTTTATTGGAAAGAGAACAGAATTTGGAATCTGAAGCCCACAGTTCTGATCCTTGTTCTACAGCTTGCTATCAAGGATGACCTTAAGTGACTAACTTAGCTTTCTCACCCTCAATTCTTCTATCTCCAAAATGAAAATAATAATACTTGCAAATCTCACCTCTTGGCATTGTTGTGAGCCTCTAAGGTATGCGGCGATGCTCTTTATTTTGTGATTTTGTGATCTGGGTCTCTTAAGCTTAAGTTATTACTGTTTTTCTTGCCTTTGGTCCTTTGAATGAAGGAAGTAATGTAATATTGCCTTGTGGTTCTGACTGTATGCATGGCTGTCATCCTTTTCACCAGAGATGAATGCTAATCAACAGCCAGAAGCTATAGAGTGAAAGCTATTTCTTACTTTCACCTTGATCTAACCTTATTCCTCTTCTGGGATTGTTGTTATTGACTAGGGAAAGTTCTAAAAACCCAGTTTAAACCAACCTTCTTTTGGGGGCATCTGTGGTTTGGAAGACCTCTAGAGGTCTAGGATGCATCTGAAGTTGGTCTGGGAACATGAGTCACTCTATGATGAGTTTCATCATTCCTCTTACCTCTGTAAGATGAAAAGAGCTTCTACATTGATCCAGCTCTGGTCCTGCCTCCACCCTCCTGAAATTCCCCTATACTGCCAGTAGTATCAAGCTAAAAAGTACTAGCAAATTCTCCAAAGAGCAAAAAAAAAAAAAACCAAAAAAAAAACAAGGATGAGAATATTTATCAACCCTGAGCAATTCAGTATATTTATAATGATTAGTTCTCTACTTAATCTTTTAAGTCTACCTTTAATACTCTACTAATGTTCAAAGCCTCATTTTTATATTATAAAGAAAACATTATTGGGCACAGTTTTGTAGTTAGGCATAACTCCATGTAGCGCTGTATACATAATATAAAACTGTACATAATAGAAGTTCACAGTTTCATCTACAATCCTCTTTTTGTTCCAATCTTTGTGTATTAAAGTGTTTATATTGATATTTAAGTTCATAATAAAGAAGAAAATTTATATTAAAAAGCGTTTCAGAAGTCTAAAACTGAATAAAATTGGTAATTTCCTTGCCTCTTTAGTATGATGTGCCTGAAATGTCTTCCCCTCCTGCCAATTGGCCTATTTAATTCTTAACCTGTCTTCAAAACTTCCTCTGTGAACTCTTCCCCTATTTGGAAAAGATTTTTTTCCTCCAAGGACCTTCAGTGGACTTTGCTTCTACTATTCTTCTTCAGTTATTATCATCTCTTATGTATTATTGCTATTTATTTGTGTTTTAGATCCCCTGCCCTCACATGAGATTCTTAGCCCCATTCTGGAAGTCTCTTCATCTCCTCTCTTCTCCTTCCATCTTTCTCCTTCCCTTCCCTCCCCCTCATGCTTCCCTTCATTTTCCTCCTCCTCTTTCTTCTTCTCCTCCTCCACCCTCCCTTTCTGTGCCTGTCTGCACACAAACACTTAAATAGCTTATTATATTGAGTTCGTGAAATATAAAGTCTTTTGAGGGATGGTTTAAAATGAATAAAATAGCATCTGTAAGCCTCTTTAAAAACTTGCTAAATTTCTGACTCTTCTTATTGTTGATATTTCTAACCCTCCACAGCAATTCAATAAAATGATTATTAACTTTTGTAGGTGATTTGGATATCCTAGTCTACTGAATACTGTTTTTCTCCACCTCAGGAAAAAAAAACAACTTTTTTTTCCAAGTTTTCTTAAAATTCTTGAAAACTTTTCACTTAATACTAAGATAGCTACACTGTTTTTAATATAAACCCAGAAAATGACTAGATCATTATGCTGGTTTTCACCAGTGTGACAGAAATTTGATACTGCTGTGAACTTCCTTCTTTAGAACTTTAAAAAGCTGAGTGTCTGTCTAGTGCATAATACCAAGTTCCCAACCTCATTGAGGGACAGAAGAGTAAAAGAAATACTAGAAAGATAGAGAGCCAGGGGATTAGCCAACCTTAGGAAATGTCAGAACAAGATTTTTTTTTTTGCCATTATGTAAAACTCTCATTCATTGTGAAACAAAACAAAACAAAAAAACCCACAGTTCCTGTCTCTCTTTAAAAGTTCCCTATCTTACCCATCATTTTCTCCCAGGAATTGGCCATGCCTCTGTAAAAGTAGACTTCATTGTCTATAGAAAATGTTATTTGTTTTGGTCAGGTTATAGGCACTAGATGTCAGTATTTTCTAGTTTTACGTATTGGTATGCTGTGAGATTGGTGGATTCAATAGAATAATAAACTTTGAGTGTATTGAATTTACCAGTGTATTATTCTTTAGGCTTTTAATTGTCTCTTTTAGGTAGAAGTTATGTAGTTCACTCCCTAAGTTATTTTGTACTTTGCAGAAGTTATGAGAAATACAGAGAGGATTTGTATTTCTTACCACACTTATTTAGAGTGCCAAGAAGATGGGAATGTCAATCATTTTTGATGCTACTGAATTTTACTTAATTTAAGCAAGAAAAATAATTTTATAAAAATTACAAATACTCACCAGATAGAACAGAAAGCAGTTTGAGGTTGGGTTAAAGTTAAGTTAATTACAAAATACATACCTATTGTTTAAGATATCTGAAGAGTTTTAGAATGATGAGTAGAATCCTTACCAGTCGGTGATTTAACAGTCAATGAGTAGAAATTCTATTACTACATTCAACGGTATGAATAACACTTTATGATGTTGCTTTATTTTAAGACTCAATACTGTTAATAAGACTCAATTATGTTAAAAGGTATAATTGAAGTTATAATAATCTTACATACAAGGGCTTAAAATGTACTTCTGTATCTTTTTTTATAGATTGAAACAGTCAGAGAGGAATTAAATAAACATTCAGAAGATGTAGAAAAAATAAATCAGATCTGCAAAAACTTGCAATTCCAGCTAAACAAAATGATAACCTTTGCGGAACCCCCCTTTGAGAAAGAGGCTAATATTATTGTGGACAGATGGCTTGATGTATGTGATAAGTAACTGTTAATTTTACCTAGCTATATTATTTCAATTACACTTTTGAAACTAATATTATTTAGAATAAATTGGACATAATACCACTTCTGGTAGAATAATAGCATATTGCATATGTGGCATTTACTGAAATATAAATTGAAAGTATTTATATGTATTTATATATATTTATGTGGAATTTAAAATGAACATCTTTTTTTATGCTTCTGGAATTATGATCAACTGCATTGCAATTCATGTCAATTTCAGCAAATCAGCCACTATTTTTTTCTCAGAGACATGACTATGAAGAAAAGGCCAAGCAGATAATTTTATTCATAAGTAAAATAAATTATTTGACAAGTGAAGATAAACCCACAGTGTTATTTTAAAATACTGCTCTGTCTAAAATGATATTTTTCCTATTATTTCATTACTGAGAATATTATTTTGTCTTTAATTTGTGACAGATAAATGAAAAGACAGAAAACTATTATGATAATCTGGTCAGGGCTCTAGCCTTGTGGGAAAAACTTCTTAATTTAACAAATATAATTGATGAATGGATTCAAAAAGTGCTTATAAATGTTGAAGGTCTTCAGCTGAATGACACAGAAAGAACACGGTTGCAGGTAACTGTACAGAAATAAGAAAAGTCCATTTGTAAGATGAACTTAAAGCAATATATAATGTGTGAGCTATAGGTGTCAACACTGGTGCCTTGTAGCAACCATCTCTGTGTGTGTGTGTGTGTGTGTGTGTCTCTCTCTCTCTCTCTCTCTCTCTTCCATCCCCTATGGTGGGATGGAAAAACTATTAGAGAGTCTTTCATTTCCCTGATGATTCCCTACATGGATCCTAAAATGGAAGGGGATGGTAAAGAGAAAAAGAAGCATTTATGAAGCACCAACTGTGTGCTAGGCCCTGTGTTAAGTACTTTACAACTGTTATTTCATTTGATACTAAAAGCCAGTCCCTTTTGTTCAATTCCTAAAGAACTCATCAAAGACAAATATTATGGTCATTGCATGGCCCATCTAGAAGTTCCCATGGGTAGGGTGTGGGGTTTGTTTGTTTTTTGATGGCATAAATAAAATATTCTCTTGAAAGAACATAAGAAGCCTAAAGTTTGGGCGTTAAAAGAATCCATTATCTGAGAGCATCAAGGAATCAAACTTTTGTAATACAACTTAGAATTAGGCACAAAAGTTTCTAAAGATATAATGAAGCTTTAAAAATACATCATAAAAATAAAACAATTTCTTTATCTGGATATAAATGATTCAAAAGTGGGGATGTCAACTTTCCCCTGATATATATATGCATATATGTCCATATATGTATATATTTACTTGTTTAAATTACATATATGATTAGTTAAATATTATTTTCTGTTAACACACACAAACACACACACACTACACTCCTTTGTCACCAAATACTTTGAGAAATGATTTGAGATATTTTATAAATTAAAAGTCATGATCTAATTCTTTTCTCCTTTAAAGGTACCTACCTAGGTGGTACAATGGTTAGAATGCTGGGCCTGGATACAGGAAGACCTGAGTTCAAATCTGGCCTCAGATACTTACTATATGATCCTGAGCAAGTTCCTTAACATCTACTTTCCTCAGTTTCCCCATGAATGAATTGTGTTATTATTATTGGCATTTGCTATTGCATTTTGGAAGATATGATATGAATAAAATTTAAAAGAAGGAATGTTAATACCACTATCTCTTTAAATTGTGTTTTAGGAAGAGCTAAAAATCCAAGAGCAAAACAGTGCCAAATTTGATGTGAAGTTAGTTGAAATACAAAATTTTCTTCAAATCAGTGAACCACCACTTGAGTTACAGGTAAGAGAGTTATTGTTTAAAATCATTTAAAAAATCAATTTATTTATTTATTTTTAGTTTTCAACATTCACTTCCATAAGATTTTGAGTTCCAAATTTTCTCCTCATCTCTCGCCTCCCCATACCCCAAGACAAAGTGTAAATTGATATAGGCTCAATATACATTCATATTAAACCTATTTTCACATTAGTCATGTTGCAAAGAAGAATTAGAACCAATGGGAGAAACCATGAGAAAGAAGAAACAACAACAAAAAAAGATAGAAAGTAAATAATATGCTTTGATCTGCATTCAGACTAGTTCTTTTTCTGAATGTGGACAGCATTTTTTTTCCCTTTTTTTCTTTTTAAAATTTTTAACATATTTTTTTAAAACTTTGGGTTCCAAATTTTCTCCCTTCTTCCCTCCCCACCCACCCTCATTGAAAAGGCAAGCATTTCCATACAGGTTATAGATGTGTAGTCATGCAAAACACTTCCATAGTAGTCTTATAGTGAAAAACTAAGTATATTTCCCTTCATCCTATCCTACCTCCCATTTATTCTATTCTCTCTTTTGACCCTGTCCCTCCTCAGAAGTGTTTGCTTTTGATTATCCCTTCCTCCAATCTGCCCTCCCCTCTATCAACCTCCTACTCTCCTGTCTCCTTCCCCTCTTGTTTTCCTGTAGGGTAAGATAGATTTCCATACCCCACTGTGTATGTAATTCCCTCCTTAAGTCAAATCCTATGAGAATAAGATTCACTCATTCCCTCTCACCTTCTCCCATTTCCCCTCCACTGTAAAAGCCTTTCCTTGTCTGTTTCATGTGAGATATTTTACCTCATTCTACTTCTCCCTTTCTCCTTCTCTTACCCCTTAACTTTATTTTCCAGATATCACCCCTTCATATTCAACTCACCCTGTGCCCTCTATCTATCTATACATACATACACATAATTTTTTTCCCTCCCACTACCCTAATATTGACAAAGGACTCATGAGTTACAAATATCATCTTTCCCTGCAGGACTGTAAACAGTTCAACCTTATGTCTTAAGTCTCTTATGATTTCTCTTTCCTATTTACCTCTTCCATGTTTCACTTGAGTCTTGTATTTGAAGGTAAAATTTTCTATTCAACTCTGGTCTTTCCCACAGAAATATTTGAAAGTCCCCTATTTCATTGAATGACCATTTTTTACCCTGAAGGATTATACTCAGTTTTGCTGGGTAGGTGATTCTAGGTTGTAGTTCTATCTCCTTTGCCCTCCAGAATATCATACTTCATGCCCTCCGGACCCTTACTGTAGAAGCTGCTGAATCTTGTTTTATCCTGATTGTGTTTCCACAATACTTGAATTGTTTCCTTCTGGCTGCTTGTAATATTTTCTCCTTGACCTATGAATCCTGGAATTTGACTACAACATTCCCAGGAGTTTTCCTTTGGTGATCTCTTTCAGGTGGTGATTGGTGGATTCTTTCAATTTCTATTTTGCCCTCTGGTTCTAAAATATCAGGGCAGTTTTCTTTGATAATTTCTTGAAAGATGATGTCTAGGCTCTTTTTTTGATCATGGTTTTCTATGGTCTTTGAGTACTCTTTTCTGTTTTGCAACTGTGGGGAGGATTTCCTCTCTATAGCTACTATAAGCTCCACCACACCAGCACTCCTCCTTGCCCCAGGACCACCACCCAGAACTGTGACCCAGATCCAAGCAAGGGCAAAGCAAGAGGATCCTGCACCAGCAGAGAGATCCCTGCAATACCCCTCTGATCAGCCACTTGATTCCCCATCAGTCTGTGGGCCGCGGCTCAGGAGGCAGCCACCGCCCTGAGGCCATGTTTGGGACTTGCAGCTGAGACCTAGCTCCTCTCTCTCACCACAGTCACAGACTTTTCCCACTGACCTTCCAAGTTGTCTTTGGCATTCATGAGTTGAGAAGTCTGGAAACCGCCACAGCTGCCCGCAATTCAGTCCTCTGAGGCATGCTCCAGGTTTGCTGCGACCTGTGCTCCCACGCTGGATTGCACTCCTCTCCCCACCTGGAGTAATACACCTTTCTGATCAACCATCCAACCTGTCTTTGGCTGGAAATTTGTTTCACTCTGTCTTTTTGTGGGTTCTGATGCTTTAGAACTTGTTTAGAGCCATTTTTTATAGGTATTTGGAGGAGTTTGGGGGTGAGCTCAAGCAAGTCACTGATTTTACTCTGCCATCTTGACTCCGCCCCCTGTGGACAGCATTTTCCATCATGAGTCTTTTGGAGTTGTCTTCGATCCTTGCAATGTAAAGAAGGGACAAGTCTATTGAAGTTGGTCATCATACAATGTGGCTGTTATTGTGTGCAGAGTTCTCCTGGTTCTGTTTATTTCACTCAGCGAAAGTTTATATAAGTCTTTCCAGGTTTTTCTGAAGTCTGCCTGCTCCTCATTTCTTATAGCACAAGAATATTCCATTATATTCATATACCACAACTTATTCAGCCATTCCTCAACTGATGGGCATCCCCTCAATTTCCAATGCTTTGCCACCACAAAAAGACCTGCAAAATATTTTTGTACATGTGGGTCCTTTTCCCATTTATATGATCCTTTTGGGATACAGCCCTAGAAGTGGTATTGCTGGGTCAAAGGGTATGCACAGTTTTATAGCCCTTTGTGCATAGTTCAAAACTGCTCTCCAGAATGATTGGATCAGTTCACAACTCCACCAACAATGTGTTAGTGTTCCAATTTTCCCACATCTTCTCTGGCATTTATCATTTCCCTGTTTTGTCATGTTAGCTAATCTGACAGGTCTGGTGTGGCACCTCAGAGTCATTTTGATTTGCATTTCTTTAATCACTAGTGATTTAGAGTATTTTTTTTTTCACTTGACTATAGATAACTTCAATTTCTTCCTCTGAAAACTGCCTGTTCATATCCTTTGACCATTGATCAATTGGGGAATGACTTGTATTCTTAAAAAATTGACACAGTTCTCTATATATTTTAGAAATGAAGCCTTTATCAGAGACACTGGTTGTAAAAATTCTTTCCCAGTTTTCTGCTTTCCTCCTAATCTTAGTTGCATTGACTTTGTGCACAAACTTTTCAATTTAATGTAATCAAAATTATCCATTTTGTATTTCATAATGTTCTCTATCTCTTGTTTGGTCACAAATTCTTCCCTTCTCCATGAATCTGACAGGTAAACTATTCCTTGCTCTCCCAGTTTGCTTATAGTATCAGCCTTTATATCTAAATCATGTACCCATTTTGACTTTATCTTGGTATAGGGTGTAAGATGCTGGTCTATGCCTAGTTTCTGCCATACTCTTTTCTAGTTTTCCCAGCAGTTTTTGTCAAATAGTGAGTTCTTTTTTTTTTTTAGGCAATTGAGGTTAAGTGACTTGCCCAGGGTCACACAGCTAGTAAGTGTCAAGTGTCTGGTCTGAGACCAGATTTGAACTCAGGTCCTCCTGACTTCAGGGCTGGTGCTCTATCTACTGTACCACCTAGCTGCCCCTAAATAGTGAGTTCTTATCCCAGAAATTGGAGTCTTTGGGATTATCAAACAGTTGATTACTATAGTCATTGACTACCGTGCCTTGTATACCTAACCTATTCCACTGATCCACCACTCTATTTCTTAGCCAGTACCAAGTAGTTATGATGATTGCTGCTTTATAATACAATTTAAAATCTGGTATGGCTAGGCCACCTTCCCTTGCATTTATTTTCATTTATTCCCTTAATATTCTGGACCTTTTGTTCTTCCAGATGAATTTTGTTATTTTTTCTAGCTCTATAAAATAATTTTTGGCAGTTTGGTTGGTATGGCACTGAATAAATAAATTAATATAGGTAGAATTGCAATTTTTATTATATTAGCTCAGCCTACCCACAAACAAGTGATGTTTTCCCAATTATTTAGATCTATTTGTGTGAAAAGTATTTTGTAATTGTGTTCATATAGTTTCTGGGTTTGTTTTGGCTGGTGGACTCCCAAATATTTTATAATTTCTACAGTAACTTCAAATGGAATTTCTCTTTCTATCTCTTGCTGTTGGGCTTTGTTAGTAATATATAGAAATGCTGATGGTTTATGTGGGTTAGAAGTATTATACATGTGTCTGCTATATCACTATTTATAAACTCTTGCTTATAATCTATTTTCTCCTTATACAAAAATAACATAATTTGGAATTATTTTAATTTGCCTCTTTTCAGGTGATCACAAAATGTTACAAATGGTTTCAAAATAATTATGTTCTCTTTGATCAAATACATTATTTTTGTGATTATACTTTTTTATTCTTAAGTCAGGAATTTTTTTCAGTGGTTCTTTTGTGGAGGGAGAATTGATATTATGACATAATAATTTTATAACATTAATAGTTAACATTTGCATAATGCTTATATAAGTTTTGCAGTATTTATATCATTGAATTCTCACAGCAGACCTATGAGGTAGGCACTACAGATATTATTATTATATCTCCATCTTACATTTTCCCTTGATAATTTAGGTAACTTGCCCTAAATATCTCCAGGCTCCAAATCCATTTCCCTTTTCATTACTCTTTTCAGAGGCTGCTAGGTGGTGCAATGGATACAGTGCTGAAGCCAATAAAATCTAAGTACAAATCCTTCCTCAGACAGTAGCTGTGTGATCTTGGACAGCTCACTTAACCTCTTCCTGCCTTAGTTGCTCATCTGTAAAATGAGGATAATAATAGTAGCCACCTCCAAAGTTTGTTGTGAATCTCAAATGAGATAATATTTATGAAGCACTTTGCAAACTTTAAAGGATTATGTAAATGCTAGCTATTATTATTACATCATTTTTTAAATTTAAAATAAAATATGTACAGGTGGTGCTTGGAGGTTTACCAAGTATTTTTCTCAAAACAATACCATAAGGTAGCATAAATATTTTTTATTTTATAAGTTATTATATGTATAATATATCACTATATTAAATATATAACATTAATACTTATCTATAGTAAATAATAATGTACATATAAACCAATAATTTATTAATAATTATAATATTATAAATATTATAAATTCCAAAAAGTGAGGCTGGGAGAGAAGTGATCTATCCATGATCATGCTGGTCTCTTCCTCACTCCAACTGCACTGTTGCAGTTTCTCTACACTACAATGCTTCTCAGCTATCTCCATAGATGGCTGTGTAAAGGCTCTCCCAGGATTCTCTCTACCCTCTAACTTCCATAGAATTTCTAGTTGGAGAAAAAATTAGTTTGATCCATTTGGTTTTCTAGTTTGTCAAGAAAAATCTTTATAATTATAATTTGTCCAACTGAGAATATTGATGAAGTTATCACAGGTATCCAGATAAAATGTATTTTTAAGTAAATGTTTCATAGATACAGAAGAATTGAAATTAGCTGCTCAGAAAAAGAAAAGGTTAGGATGTTACTTTCAGATTTTTTTTTCTTTTTAAAGGATATCATTTTGAGTGGCTGTATCTGTGAAAGAGAAAAATTGAGACTTGGGGGGTAATAAGATCTAATTTTGAAGAAGCATTTAAATCACTTCATAATGATAGTCTCAATTCGTTCCATAATAATGCCATTGTCAGGGAATTTATGTGCAAAAAATACTTTATATTACTTGATGTTTTTTCCTAATTTCAGGTCATCAAGTCATCTCTTTTGAACAGAATGGAAAAAATAAAAATGCATTTAATGGATAAATCCAACCTGAGTAAACTCAATGGCAGTACAGCTGAGCTAAAAGAGGACCTTGACCAGGCCAAGACACAGATTGGAATGACTGAATCTCTCTTAAAAGCCCTGTCTCCTTCTGACAGTTTGGAGATCTTTACAAAATTGGAGGTACTGTCAACTTTAACTCTCCTGTAATTCAGATTCATTTTCACAGTTAGTCCTAGTCTATTTAGATTAATTAAAATTGATGGGAGGGAAATAGTAAAGGTTATTGGAAAGATTAAAAAATATTTCATGCATATGGAGTACTTTTACCTTCACATTGTTTTACAGATGTTAACTAATTATTGCATCTTAAATTTCCTCACTTTTAGATATTTTCCAGCATAGAGAAAGCAATTCAACAACTCTTTTAAAAAGCAATTGAAATTTATATTGTTTTGCATATATTGAGCTTTTTCTAAGATCTATCAATGAACAAATGAGTGAATTAATGAATGGTAAATCATTTCTTAAGTACTTGCTATGTCCTAGGCATTGTGCTTCGCATTGGGGATATAAGTACAAAAGGGAAACCTTCCCCACATCCCTTTTATAGTTTCTTTTTATATGTTGTATTCCCTCATTAGAGCTCCTTGAGGGTAAGAACTATCTTATGCCTATCCTGGTATCCCTAGTGCTTGGTACAGTGCCTGGTACAACAGTAGGTTTGACTGAAATCATCCTTACACTTAAGTAGCTTATGTTTGAAAAGAGAGAGACAAAATATACAGGAAAAGTGTGAAAAGAAAGGAGTCTGGATCTAGATAGATGGCAAATTGACCCATAAGGCATAACCACAGCTTTTCCAGAATCAGTGATAGTATTGGTTTAATTGCTATATTCAGAGCAAAGGGAAAGGTAGAAGGATGGCATAGGATTTGGCTGTCTGGATAGGATATGAAACATGAGCTGGTCTGGGACCTGGTGGATACAATGGGCTAGACCAGTTTACATTTACTTATTTATCAATCTTACAGCTCAGCCACAGGGCACATGTTCCAAAACTAAGGGGATTAACTTCTCAAGGACTAAGGATATGATTTCTGGAAGTCTAGCCTGAAGGGCACTGTCCCAGGTGGGCACTGGAAATTGAAGACACATGGCAAAGTAGCCTAGGTGGATGACTGGATGGAGTGTGAAGCCTAGTCTGAGATCTATCTGTCTGTCTTTCTATCTGTCTTTCTAGGAGATACAGCAGCAAATTCTCCAGCAAAAGCATAATATGACACTTCTTGAGACTCAGATAGGTTGTCTGACTCCTGAACTCTCTGAACTGAAGAAGCAGTATGAAAGCATCAATGATTTGTTTAGTACTAAGAAACGTACTTGGCAAGATCACTTTTCCAATCTATTGAATGGTAAGCACAACAGTAATAATGAGCTAACATGTAATGCTTTAAGGTTTTCAAAGCACTCTAATTCACATATTACCTCTTTTGATACTTATTCTTGCTTGGTTGTATCTGACTCTTCATGACCCTATTTGGGGTTTCCTTGGCAAAGATACTGGAGTGGTTTACCACTTCCTTTTCCAGCTCATTTTACAGATGAGGAAACTGAGGCAAATAGGGTTAAATGACTTGCCCAGGGTCACACAGCTAGAAAGTGTCTGAGGCCAGATTTGAACTCATGAAGAGGAGTCTTCCTGATTCTAAGACCAGTGCTCTATCCATTGTTCCACCCCAGCTGCACATATGATGCTTAGAATAACATTTTACACATAAAGAAATTGAGGTTAAGGGCCATTAAGTGACTTGTCCAAGGTCACACAGGAAATATCCGAGGCCAGATTAAAAAATGAGATATTTCTGACTCCAAGTCCTGCCCTCTAACTGTACCACCCAGCTACCCAGATGTTTAACAAAGTCTTACTCAGCTTTGGTATATCTTAATTTATGTCTGATAATCTGAATGGAAGGTCTAATTAAAGGTTCATCTTTAAAGGGAGTCATCCAAGAAGCCTGGGTCTGAATTTATCATTTTGGTCTTTAGGGAAAATTTGAGAATAATTGCTTAGTAGTTGGGGTTTTAGTTCTGGTTCAATATTTAACTAGCAGTGTGACCTTGAACAAATCACTTACTTGCATGAAGCTACTATATCCTCAGAGGCAGCTAGGTGGAGCAGTGGTTAAAGCGTGGAACCTGATGTCAGGAAGACCTGAGTTCAGATGTGACCTGAGACACTTTCAAGTTGTGTGACCCTGGGTCAGTCACATAGTCCTGCTTGCCTCAGTTTCCTCATGTATAAAATGAGCTGGAGAAGGAAATGGCAAACCACTCCAATATCTTTGCCAAGAAAACCTAAAAAAGGGGGTCACAAAGAGTCAGACACAACTAAACAACAATACTATATCTTCATCTCTAAAATGAAAAAGTTGTACTAGATAATTACTCTAAGGATTCTTCCAGATGTAATTCTCTGGCTTTTTAGACATATAGCATGACCTTCCCATTCAATGAGATTAGGGTTATGGTGTTTGAAGCCCAAATGTACGTAAAGTTGTGTTCAGTGGGTCTTACAGTTTGTCTTATGATCCCACTTTGGGGATGAGGTTTTGGTTCAGATGGAATCAGTAAGGATATTGGTAGAGAAAGGTCAAGATAAGAACTATATGTACATGTGGATCCATTGGTATAAGGAATTCCAAGTGAAGAAACTCCCTCACCAAGGGTCCCCAAATGTTCTCTATCCTCAGTTTTCAACAAATAAGTTTAAGAAGCATTTATGAAGTGCCCACTGCTTGCAAAATATTGTGCTCACTGCTCAGGATGATACAAAATTTATATAAGATGTTGTAAAGTGTCATTGTATTTGGAATTTTCCATATAACTGTTTTAATCTCATATCCAACTGAACTCCTTAGAAAAATCTGGGCTTATTGTAGCTCACGGGAGATAAAAACATATGTAGATACTTATAAAACATAATAATGCATTATGAGTATATAGAATCCTTTGTCAATTGCCATTTGCACCATTAGCCTGGGAAGCATGATTCAGAGTCGTTCATGTTAACAAGTAATATTACTTAATTCTTTTTGTATTATATATATGTATATATAATTTTTAAATGCCCTTTTGCAGATCAGTGCAAAAATTTTGATGATGAGTTCAACAACATTCAGCTGTCCCTTAAGGAGTGTTTTGAACCACCAGAAACTAAAAAGAGTGTGGAAGAAAAGCTCCAGAAACTTAATGTAAGACATGAATCTGTTTAAATAGTTTTCAGGGTTTTTTTTGTTTGTTTCTTGTTTGCTGGTTGTTTGTGGGGTTTTTCTTTTGGTGGAAAATGATGGAGGCCTGATTTTTAAGGTATAAACAGATAGGGATAGGGAATATGATAGCTTCTTCAACCTGCTAAACAAAAAAGTTTAAAGAAAATCCCCAGTCACTCTGTCAGAATAAGACTAGCAGTAATGGTCCAAAGTCCCTTTTCCCTCTGGCAGGGGGTTTGCATATCAGCTAGTTACTAATTTCTCCTTGCATCTCCCCAGCATGAGTTAGCGCCAGTCCTGAACCTTGACCCTAGGTCCAAGACCTCTGGCCTTAGCCCCCCAACACCTGGTCTTATTTGACCCAGATAAGAACCTTAGAAGAACCCATCCCTCTTCCCCTACATTGGGCACCTAACTCTATTCAGGCCCCCAGTGGACTTCCCTGAGTGTGTCCATCTTCCCCAATTGCCCTTATACTGCGTGAGTATCTCCACCCTCAATAAAGCTCCCTTCTTGTACTACATTTGGGGTTTGTCCAGTGCTGTACCTCCTACCATACTAGTTCTCTTCTGACAAGCATGAGCTGTCATCCAAGGCTGTGATTAGTGGTTTAGTAGACATACCTAATTAACAAGTTTATTAACAAGGGAATGTAGAGAGCAAGGGCTGAATCAGGAACCGTGTGCCTTGATTGCTACTACCCTACTTCCTGACAAAAGAACTGAATGCCCCTTGGCATTTTAAGTGGCACATAAGGAAGATTGCTGCCTTCCCCTGTATAGAACTTTGCTATGCCATACCTCCCTGGTTTGTATTAAGGTGGTAGGCTGGTGTTGGTTTCTAGTCAATCAATCAACAAGCACCTGTTCTGTATTAGGCATTGTGCTAGGTGCTAGGGATAGAAGTATGAAGAGTTAAAAAAAATCCTGTGCACAATTAGCCTATATTCTAATGTTTTGACAGTTTGGTTCTATCAATTTTTCCACAAAAGGTATTTCACTCTAGTCCCCCCCTCTCCTCCTCTGCCCCAGATAACCAAATATAGATGCATGGAAGTATCTGATTTGCTGCCTACAGGTACAAATAAATGTCTGAAGCCTCTCTGTAAATGTCATGAGTTACAATTTCAATTTGGTTTTGATTGGTTTGTTGGGTATGTTAAGATATTTCAGGATTTAAAAATAAGGGTACTTGATATAAGCCCTAAATTTACTCTTATCCCTTTGAAAGAAGATGCTCCTGAATCTGTTGTCATATCCCAATGCCCGTGGCCATTTTTCTACCCTGATAGTTTTATTAATCTTTTTTAAAAAAGCAGTTGAAAAATTATTTTAGACAGTAAGGATAAAGTTACAAAAACACACAATGTTGTCAACTTGTGATTTTCCTTGGGTAGATTGGCTGTATTGCCTTTTACCTTTGGCAAATAATGCTTTCATGTTTCTTGAGAGCACTTGAGGTCCTCAGCTTAATTATCTGCCTCAGTAATATCTTACTTGTGTGCTTATTTTATTGCAGTAATCTCTTTTAGTTTATGCAATGGCATGTCATCTGCACCTCAACACTTGAAATCCAAGCACTTGACCACAATACCTGCTCTAGGGAAAGTTTAATAGAAAAGAGCATTGCTTAGATTCACACAGTGAGATGTTTTACAGAAATGCATACCCATTTTGAAATATCAACACTCCCATGTCTAAGTAGAAGTGTCATTTTGATCATTCACCATTTTGGATTCTTAGCATCTCTACAGTACTCTGCTATGTAGAAAATCAAGAATTATCATTGTAACATAGTAGCATATTTGATCCCATCCATAGACTAGTCAAGGAATAAGGACTTGCCAAGAGAAAGAAAGTAAAAGGAATAAATGCTTAAGTTGTGTTTCTCTCTCTCTCTCTCTGTCTCTCTCTCTCTCTCTCTCTTACTTTGTGCCTTTATTAAGGATTTCCTAACCTTTGAGGGAAGAAGCAAGGACATACAACAAGTAGAAACTGCACTGAATAATGTAAAAAGGCATCTGCCCAAGGCAAGTGTTGAACAACTGAGTAACTGGATCATGACTCAGGAATTGGAACTACAGAAAATGAAGTTCACATGTCAGACACAAGCCAACGGACTTCGTGATTGCTTACAACAGTTACTTAGGTAGTAAAAGAAGTGTATTTCTATATGTATATGTTATGATTACATAAGTAATAAATTATTTAATCATTCTCATATAGATATTATTTTACAACATAATGATCCACAGGGGCAACAGATGTGGTATGGAGACCACATGACAGATAAAAGAAATCCTTTTAACCTGGGGTTGATTCTGGGGTGATTTGGAAATTCCCCCACCATTTTAATGAAGTAATCCACATCCTGAGAGGCTGGCATCAGGCCAAACCTTTTGAAGATTCATAGCTGTCCATATTCACCAAGCAACTCATATTTGTTAACTCAGTGCACTCTCCATTGTTACCTTATGTTGTGAATATATGGCAAATACAGCCATCATAGCTGTCAATGCTGATTTTTATTAAAATGATATTGAATGAGGTGTTGCTCTTTCCTCCCATTATTTTTCCTCTCATTTCTTTTAAAAAGAAGTTATTGAAATTTCATTCCTGTCCTTTTATAATATGTCTATTTAATGCTAATTGTTTTAATACAGTAGAACATGGCTCATCATTACTCGGGTTCTAATAGGCTTCAAAGTAAAATAGTGTCTTCCCTAAAGTCCAACTACTACTTAGAGGAAGTCATAGCTTAGCCATGAGGTTGGTACCATGCCAACATTTAGAAGGAGGTTCCCACTGTATTTGCAATTCTAGCACTGTAGATACGATGCACTTTTTATTTCAGGCTTCAGGATGACTATATAAGCTTGAATAAATGGCTAATGAATCAAGAAGAAAAATGGAAAGATACTGGAGTAGAAAACAAGTGTAATTTTTTCTTCCAAGCATTAACTAGAAAAAGGTAACCCTAAATTTTTATCAAATATCTTGCCTGAAAAAATTAAATTCCTCCGTGATATAGAAGATATTGTAAAACTTTATTTTTTGTGTTTGAAATTTTCCAGGCAACTATTTGAATCTTTTGCTCAGTTGAACAACTCATTGAAGAAATTTGGACTTATTAGAGAAGAAATAGTGATAGAGTCAACTCATTTGGTTGAGGAATATGAGACATTTTTAACACAAGTATGTGAAGTAGGAGATCATCAGCCACCTCCTCCTGAAGACCAGAACTTTGAAGATCTTGTACATGATGTATTTGCTTGGATAATGGGGATTAAAGAGTCACTCATGGTTTTGAATTCAACTGAAGGCAAAATGCCCCTTGAAGAAAGGATCCAAAAAATAAAGGTACTACAATTAGCTAGGAGCTTTGAAAGCTCTTAGGGAATTCACATTTGAAGTAGTTTTACAGGAGAGCTCTGAAAAAATGATTAAAGTGGTTGCAAAATAGTCTTTGAGGGAAGGTTAAAGAAATTGATATCATTAAGCCTGTAGAGTAGAAGACCATAAAGTGGCTTTTATAATGATCTTCACATATACAATAGACTTCCTTCTCTTAGAGAGGGTGGTGACCAGTAAGAACAGAATAATTGTAAATGAACTTAAACCCCAGTATATGGGACTTTGTTTAGGGAAAGACATTTTTGGTAGTGATAAGAGCTTGACATTGAAGGGCTTGCTGAGGGAAATTTGTACTTGTTCTGCAACTAGATTGCAGAGTGAACTTGGAGCCAAGAAGAGCACAGTACAGATTTTGTCTCAGATAGTTACTAGCTACGTGAACCCTCAGCAAGTCACTTAACCTTTGTTTGCCTCAGTTTTCTCATCTATAAATCAGGACAATAATACCACCCACCTCCCAGGGTTGTTGTGATGGAAGATAATATTTATAAAGTGCTTTATAAATCTGAAAGCACAATATAAAATTGAGTTAGTGTTGTTTGTCTATTAATATTTACTGAGTGCCAAGGTGAGGAGCAACATTAAGTCTCTTGACTTCAAGGGATCTCACTGTTGGTGAAGAGAAAAATAAAAATATATGCAATACGCAAAAATCAACTGTAGTTATATGCAAAGATAAGTTTGGCTAAGCATTGCAGAGGAGGATAGGATGAAGAAGAGTAGGGGAAAGCTGATGAGAATTCCTGAAGTCATTGGAACCAAATGACTCCAGTCTGAAAAGACTTTGTGAAAGAGTTGAGTTTTGAGCAGTTTCCAAATATCAGAGCAGAAAAAACTTGATTTAGCAGAGTGAGGTGGGAACCAGGAAAGAATGAATTGTGGAATGGGTCAGAGCAAAGGTAGATTAGATTTGGAAGGTTATATACATTTTTTAGATTGAAAAATAAAGTAACTTTTGTATGTTTTGTGTATAAATATATCTGTAATATAGACTGTTATCCTGTAAATGTCATGTAGGAAAAGGCTAGGTGCCTTAGGTACTTTTTAAAGATACAAATTTGGGAGGGGTTGGTAGAAGAACTGAAAGAAACAATTTTATGAATAATATAGGCTGGGAGAAGACAGAAATATGAATAAACAAAATAAACATATTTATTGAATGACTCGTGTCCAATCTGTGAAAAACATAATTGACAATTGAACATATACAAAATGAAAAAGTTTTCTTTTTAATTTAGTTAAATGCTAAAAGGACCTTTGGTATAAAAAGTTGGGGAACCACTGATCATAAAACAAAAAGTAAATGAGATTATGTTGTACTGTTGTTGTTTTTGTTGTTGGGTCATTTCAGTTGTGTCCATCTCTTTGTGACCCCATTTGGGGTTTTCTTGGCAAAGATACTGGAGTGGTTTGCCATTTCCTTCTCCAGTTCATTTTACAGATGAAGAAACTGAGGCAACTGGGGTAAAGTAACTTGCCCAGGGTCACACAGCTATTAAGTGTCTAAGGCCAGATTTGAACTCAGGAAGAGGAGTCTTCTTGACTTCAGGTCCAGTAGTCTATCCACTGCATCACCTAGCTGCCTGTTGTGCTGTTACTTACTTGTTTGTTTGTTTATATTTTAGGAAATTGTTTTACTTAAACCTGAAGGGGATGTGAAAATACAAAATATCATGAGTTTGGGTGAGAAACGCAAGGCATCTCTGGTTCAGGATACTCTCTCTGATATCAAGAATCAGTGGGACCACACTGTCCATTTAGCCAACACATATCTGAGGTAAAAAGAATACATTCATTGTCATCATCATTATCTCTCTGCATCAAATGACAAACTTATAAAAAGTATAATATAATTGTCATCTGTGACTTTTGATGTTGATAACCTGTAGAATAATAGCTCAGGAATTTGGGGACAGCAGCAAGAAAGTGGGGTAGAGTGAAACCTTATCCGTATCAGCCATTAGAAATCCTTCCCATGATTCGATAGTATTTAATAGAAGTGGTATAGTGACTGTAGGATTATTGACTATTGATAACAAACTTACCTTCCCCATTCACCAAAAAAAAAAAACCAAACCAAACTCTAACACTCTTCTACTAGACTCTGTTAATATCGAAGGAAGTACTATAAATACATCATGTATAAATTTTGATAAATATTATTTGATAAAAAAAATTTGAAAACTGAATTCTAGGGAAGAGTTTCTTTTAATGATTCTTAAGTTCTTAGTTTCAAATGATGTCATTAGTAATGAAGTTCACTTTCTTTTGAAAGGCTGAGATTTTTATTTTCTGTCAGGCCTTAAAAATTAATGCTTTCAGATACCATAAAAACAAGCAAAACCTATTCAATAAACTTAATGTACTTATGTACTCCATAAACCAAATTGCAGAGTGTTTGTATTCATAGGTTTAACCATTTTTACAATGGAAATATTATTATTAAAAATACTACAAATCATTTCCTTTTGGAGTCTGATGTAAATTCTGTCATTTGAGAAAAATGTATACAAGTTATAATACCAGGAATATCTCTGAGGAAAACAAATGAGTTACATTATTGTCTTATAGTCTGATGTATATATATAGAAAATACAAAGTATCATTCCATTTTATTAAACATCTAATGAGTATAATTTTCTGTTGTTAAAATATAGCCATCAGGAAAAGATTCAGCTTGAAGGAGAAAAGTATTTACAAAGCAAAGATGATTTAAGACTAATGCTTACTGAATTAAAGAAGAAACAAGAAACCAGTTTTGCTTTGCAGAATGGTTTGCAAGAAAAGAAAGCTCAGTTGAAAATATATAAGAAATTTCTACAGAAAGCAGAAGACTTGACATCCTTGCTTAATGAGTTAAAAACTCAAGGAAATTACCTACTGGAGTGCACTAAAAACTCCAAATTCAGTGAAGAAAAATGGCTAGAAGTCAAGCATCTCCATGAAAGCCTCCTTCACCAATTACAGGTCAAAATAATAAAATTGCATTTCTTATGGACATTGTCACTTTTTGAACAAGGTCTTTTTATGTCATCATTTCTTGGTGACACTGACTAAGCTAAGAGCTATTTGACTGTTATTTAGAGACAAGTGCCTGCTTACTGAGTATAAAGAAAACAATTCAGATGTTCATTTCTGCTCAAAGAACCATTGTATATGGAACTACTGAGTTTGAGGATGACGGTGGTGTTTCCTTTTACAGACTTTCCATGACCATCGTTTACTGTAGGAGAAGTTGGTATTTATTGGGTCACTTCATGCATGAGACAATGCCAGAGCTGTGTCTGCATAGCTGTGTAGTTGACATCACACCCTTTTGTGTCCTCAACTGCTCCCTAAGTTGGAATTCTTTGCAGAGTAAAGATGTCAGAAGGAAAAACAGTTGGCTTTTTGTGGGGGAAGAGTATGTTCCCCCAAGGGAACAGCACAGTGCATGACATATATGTATAGAAAGATGAGAGTTCAAAGTGATAGCCAATTGATGGGGTAAAACTTCTGGTTTCACCAGATGGCAAGAGAAAGGGAGTCATGGATTTTTTTTTTTTTGTTCAGTCGTGTCTGAACCCATTTGGGGTTTTCTTGGCAAAGATACTGGAGTGCTTTGCCATTTCCTTCTCTAGCTCATTATACAGATGAGGAAACTGAAGCAAACAGGGTTAAGTGACTTGCCCAGGGTCATGCCAGCTAGAAAGTTTCTGAGGCCAGATGTGATCTCATGAAGATGAGTCTTCCTGATTCCAGGCCCAACACTCTATCCACTGCATCACCTAGCTGTCCATGTCATGGATTTAGTTAGACACAAATCAGATTGGAAGGAGATTAGCTTTATAGTTGCTATTTTCTCCATCTTCCAACAGAGTTCTTCTCTGAGGCCTCACTGTGCCTGTGGGGCCTAAGCTCTGACAGGTTGTACTAAGCTGGAAAGGCTTAAATATGGTTGCAATGCCTTTTGACTGTCTCTTGACTGATGGACCACCCAGCTAAGGTCAGAGAAACTCATAACCAGGGGGATAAATTCTAGGCATAAACTCTAAGGATAAATCACTAGGGACACAAACTCTAAACAACTGTATACCGAATCATAAAGGGATTGTGAGGAAGTTCCCCCACTGGTAAAATCACAGATCCTTGAACACAGATCATATTAAAGCACTTTCCCCAGAAATTTTGTAGATTTTTTTTTAAACTCTTGCAGTTAGATAAATTCTCATTAATGTTGCTGTTGAACTTGGGACTACTCCTAAAAGCTAGTTTGGTAATTTGTTCCCTGTGAGAGAGACTCTTGGGTTATTACTACCATTACAGGATTACAGGATCTAAGGTTGGAAGAGACCTCAGAGGCCATCTATCCCAACCCCCTCATTTTTAAGACAAGGAAACCGAGGCCAATGGAGATTAAGTGATTTGTCCAAGGTCATACAAGTAATAAACCTAAGGAGTAGAATTTGAACTAAGACCCCCCTGATACAAAGGTCAGTTCTCTGTCCACTATACCGTAATGCCCCCCTTATTCTGGATCAAGAGTTAATAGTAATATCTTTCATATTTCATGTAGCCAAATGCAAAGCTGCTTAATAAAATGAGGCTCCAATTCTGTAAACAGATGCCTCTGAGTTGATTATACAATTTGTAACTATTGTTTACACATCTTTCAAATATATTCATTTCAGTAATAAAATGAAGGAAGAAAAATGGTCAGAGAGAGCATAAAGGAATCCAATAAGAGGAGTGCCCTACAATATAAGGGGTTAGGAGAGATTTTAGAGATGATCTAATTTACTGTCCCTACAACAACATCCCTTCCCCCCCCCACCCCCCACCCCCACCCCCACCAACATGACAGATAAGGGAGCTGAAGCCCAGAAAGCAACTTGCCCTAGGTCATGCAGCTAGTTAACAGCAGAGCTGGGACTGAAACTCAGGTCTCTTATTCATACCTGACATTTCCTCAGAGGAAAAGAATTGGAAACTTAAAAATGGTTTTATTTCTAGGATTCAGTGAGTAAATTGGAAAGTCACGTTCAAGAACACCAGCTGTACCAGGGCTTGGTTGCAGATTTGACTGCCGCGTTGGAAAGTTTCTCTCAGCAGTTCCTCAGTTTTCCTGATGACCTGGTAGATGAAAAGGCAGCTGAGCAAAAGGTGTTAAAATTACAGGTATGATGCAACTGCCAGATTGAAAAAGAAATATGTCTAACTACTTCTCCTAGATAGGAGTTAAGGAATCCCTCGGGGGAAGTGATTGTTATTTGTCTTCTTTTCTTTACCAGTACCTTGCACATTTGGTGTGTGTGTGTGTGTGTGTGTGTGTGTGTTTGTTTGTGTGTGTGTGTGTGTGTGTGTGTGGTGTGTGGTGTGTGTATGTGGGAGGGGGGTGCTGAGGAGACAGATTACATTAGTGTGCTGTGCTCCCAGGGTGCAAACTCCCTCCAACACTGCAGATAGGTAGCTTGTCTGTGATTTAAAGTCTTAGTGAGTTGTCTGAGGCACTGAGAAGTGACTTGCCTGGGGTCACATAGATAGTATATTTTGAAAACAAGTCTTGAAACCAGTTTAGTCCACTGTGCCTCACTGCCTCTTGCCACGCTCATAATAGGCAACTAACAAATTATTATTATTGGTAATTAGTAAATTATTCATTAATAAATGCTTAATGAATGTAGGCATTTAAACATCATCAGTGTTAAACATTAAAAAAGTAGACTAAGATAATGCTTTGGTTACAACTTGAAGAACAGTGGTTTAAGTCAAAGGTCCAAGTGCTAGCCCCATGAAACCAATGGACCATAGGTATTCTAATTCTTCAGGGAGCTAATTAATTTGAATGATACAGTTATAGGCAACTCACTGAGCAGTGGGTAGATATTATAAGTACTTAGGTAATGGTGCCAACCCTTCTCGCACTTCTCTATGCCATGACAACCATGAGCCCCACATGATTCTAGAAAGTGATCTGGGAGGTCTCTGATACTCTAGGATGATTCTAGGAATTACGGAATGATCATAGCAGTTAGCATCCTATGTAATCTTTACATTTTAGAGTTAGTAAGAACCATAAGGATCATCTTCCTCATTTTATGGATGAGGAAAATAGGCCAAAAGAGGTGAAGGAATTTATACAATGGGTGGGGTGAACTTCATTTTTAGGTGTCTCTGTGTGTGTTTTGCGGGGAGCTTAAGTTGTTTTGATCTGATTGTTATTCATGCTCATAGAGCACACTAGATGTCCATTCTTTTTTAATTAAAAAAAAATTCCCCCAGCACTTGCACTACCAGCCCATAAACTTAAATTGGATTTGATAAATGTCTAATTACACCCTCCTAAATTGTAAACTTCTCCAATGCGTGAGGTGGATCTCATTTTTTAAAACCTTCCAACACCTAGCATACACTTAAATTGAATACCTCTGAGCACTTCTCATTGCCACCATCTCTTACTTAGATTTGGGACAGGATGTTTTGGGATATTTTCTAGCAGTCCATCATCCTTAGACTAAAAGAAAAAGTATTGGTTGTATGCATAGAACTCTATATAGAATATGCATGGAATGGGTCTCTGAGAGTTGAGATGAACAGTTTTAACATAAAAAAAAGCCCTGAGGCCTCCATCATTATTGCCTTTGGAAATAGGTAAAGTAGCACTTTATTAGGTACCTCTCCAACATTTTGAGGCTGGAGACAATAAATAAAAGGCATTTTAGGATTCCCTATCTGACCCACAATGGCATAGGCCTTATGAAAGGGGTTTAGAGTTGTTTCATCTTTAGTTCAGGGGCTGAAGAGACAGGTAAAGCTCTTTTTCCTGAACCCTCCAAGAACTCAATGAACATTTATTAAGAACATACTTTATGCAAGGCAATCCTAATATGCTACCTGGGTTATATATCTGGGTTCTCTCTTTTTCAGTCATGTATTTATTGTCTACTTTGTCATCTAAAATATACACTGAGTACCTACTATGTGCAAGGCCCTTGGTGCTGGAGATGCAAAGGAATTGCAGGTGTTTGTTGAATAAACAGTAATTGAATGAATGAAAAAGCATTCATTAAGTGATTACTCTGTGCCAAACACACTTTTTCATACTCCAATTAAGGGAGATAATACATCAAAAAGATCAGCTCCAGAAAGATGGAAAGGCCTTGAAATCCTAAGGGTTCAGTGGAAGGACAGATGGCAAGGTCCAGGGGGCCTTATGTTATATCAATAAGTCTGGTAACAGTGCTAGGGATCTGAAAGATAGAGAAACAAGGCAGAAAGTAAGGCCTAGATCCCCTTAAGAGAACATAACAGGACAAATGGAAAAGGCCATTGGTCCTTACTCTCTCTAGAAGGAATATGATTGGTGACTCACCTCATCAAAGTTGTATGAACAGTCTCAATGGGTGCTGGGTTGACTAGCCAGATGAAGAGGGTATGGGGAAAAAGAGCATCCTGATGATGACATCCCCTCAAGGGGCTAACTATTTATTTGAGGCAAGACACATGCATGTAAAGTCTTTTTGCTATATAGACTAGTATATGATCTTGCCAATTAATAAATCTAGATAAGTTTTAAAGTTTAATCTCTTTAAAGTGGACCCTTAGTCACTATAGTGGTATCCCCAGTACTCTGTGAGTCCTGAGTTCCTTAGACCTTGAATCTTCACTGACCTACAGAATCATCTATTCATCCATTTCCATGTGATATGTGACAAATGTCATGTGGACAGTCTATCGCTCTATTCCTTCCTTGTTTGTACTGCTTTGTGTCTAGTAAGCTTTTAATAAATATTTTGGTTGTTTTTGAGCTTGTATCACCTTAGATGACACTTGTGATAAAAATCTAGACTTTTGTTCAAAATGACCTTGGAGATTCAGTCTGGTGTTCCTCCAAAGCTATTTGATTCCTCCCTTTCCTCCCCTCTCCCCCGCCCTGACTAACAGGTGACTAACAGGTTTTCCATATTTCCTTCCAGGCAAGTAGTGGGCCCTGTCACTACTAATGTCACTTAACACTTGTGATAATTGAATTGAAATATTTTTCATGACAGGTTTTTTTTTCCCTCCCACTCTTAGGAATTAGAAGCCCTCCTTAATCTAAAGGGTGACACATTAGAAAAGATTTTAGCTTTAGCTGAATCCATCAAGCAAAACTCCTCTTCAATGGGACAGAAGATTATTAAAGATGAAACAGATTCACTTAAATGTAAACACAAGGATTTGGAGAATAGACTTGAATCTGTTAAGCAGGAGACTGAGAACAGTTTTAACAACATCCTCAAATCAAAATCTGAAATGAAGAAGAAAGAAAAAATAGCCATGAAAAAAAGAGAGGAGCAGGTCTCTTGTGGTACTCAGGATTCCATTCAGGGGTCTATCACAGTGGAAAAGTTGGAGGAAAGATGGGAAGTCAACAAGGTAAGTATGATTTCAATTTCCCCCAAAAAAGGGTGAGAATGCAGAGGTACTAGGCTCTAAGAAGAGGGTCATGAAGAAAATATTCCAGTTTCATAATTGAATGCTTAATATACTTGTTATGTACAAAGTCTACTTTGAGATAAAGTCCTTCAAAACTGCTCATGGTAGAATATTCCTGTTGCTAGAATTAGTTTGTTGAACTTATAGTCATCAATTTAGGTTTATTATTCTATTTGGTATTCAGTTAGATGTAGTTCCTTGGACCAAGTTCACAAAGACAAATTAAAAGAGGTAATAGAGAAGAAGATAGTACAGTTATCATTTCCACATTGCAACGTTCCCCATCATGGTTTGAATATATTGCAGGTTGGCATAAAAAAATTAAATGGAAATTTTGGGGGAGTTTCGTGGAAGCGATAGACAACACAGAAAATTTTTAGAAACTCAGAAATGCATAAAATATGTGCATAGTATTGTGTAATATTAGCATATTTTATTTTAAACACCATAATAATTCAGACTTCTTCTGTGGCATAAAGGGGGGGTCAAAAACTTTTATGCAGATTTTTCAGATCACAGGCATGCCACACCCCCTTACTCCCCCATGTAGAAAGGGCGTTAACCCACTTTCTTATAAAATAAATCCCATGCTCAGTTTTTTGTTGATTTTGTAATGAAAAAGGTGATGATTTCAAAAGACTCTCCCAACCATTTCTTTTTCTACTTATGCTAACCTCATATTGCAAATACTTTTTTTTTAAACTGGACCTATGATTCCATGTACTATGCTCCTAGCAGAAAAAACTTACTTCACCAATGCCTAATAACATCTTCTTTTGCAATCTGTACTCTTAAAACAGTGGTGTCAAATTCAAATAAAAGGGATCCCAATGAGCCACATATATTAATCTAGAAAACCTTTTGTGGTTTTTTGTTATTTTTAAATTTTTTTTGCTTATTTTTGTTATTTTATTAACATTATCTATGTTATGTTGTATTTTTACTTTGTTAAACATTTCTCAATTACATTTTAATCTGGTGTGTGGCACTAGGGAGTTTTGGCCACATGGGTGAGTTTGACACCTCTGTCTTAGAGAACTGCTTGGGGCAATGAAAGATTAAATGATGTGCTCACAGTCCCACAATCAGTATGTGTCAGAAGTGAGGTTTGAATCCAGGTCTTGTTGGCTCTGAAGTCAGCTCTCTGTCTACTATACCACACTACCTCTCACTGCACATAAAAATCATAAAGATCTTTGCCACATAGTTTAAGTATGATAATCTCTACATTCAGTTAATTCATTTTTTCCTACGGAAAAATTAGAAAATGTATTTTATTTTTAAAAATTCACTGTAGCAAGATGGAAGAATTTTCCTTTGACTTTCTAAATGTTTTCTCAAAGGTTAAGGAATTAAATGGAAAGGACATGGATAAAGAACAGTCCAAGAAACTTCCGATGAAAGATAGCCTGTTATTGGCAGACTGCCTCCCACAGCCTCTTATCCAGAGGAAGAATGGAGAAAGTCCAACTGTTCAGGTGGGAATAATGATCAGCATTTTATAGAGCACTTTTCCAACATCAGTTCATTCACTAAGCCCTACATTTTCTATGTTTTCTTCAGAAAAAAACAAGTTATCTAAACAGAGAGGTTTTGATAGAAGTGTATAAAGCAAAGAGGAAGAGAATGAGCATTTATATGGCACTGTGCTAAGCACTTTACAAATTTTACAAATGGGGTAATGGAGATAGACTTGCCCAGGGACGGACAGCAATTAAGTGTCTGTGGCTGGATTTGAACTCAGGTCTTTCTGACTCCATGCCCCTCCTTTATCCATTGTGTCACTTAGCTGCCTCAGGAAGTATCTGGCCAGTCAAGTGAAAGATGAGTTCACGTGTATAGTGATTCTTTAGATCTCAGAAACACAAGAAAATATTGATGAAAAAATAACATTGTAAAGAATGAGGTTATACTGGGCAAACCTCTTTAGGATGGATGTGTTGGGAAAATGTGCTTGGGCAACTGGTCAGAGGAACTAAAAAGATTAAGAAAAAAAGATGAGACATAGCTCAAGTGCTTTGTGTGGAGATTACGTGATAGTGAACATTTGTGAAAAAGAGGTTTCGTGATATGATATAAAGTGCTAAAGACTTTCTGCTTCTCTAAAAAAGAATGCATTTTAAATCTCAGTAACATTAATTTTCACATTGATACCTAGAAACATCATGACATTATCTCCAGGGGTGGGGAACTTGCGGCCTTGGGGCCACATGTGGCCTTGAGGCCTTAGGTTCCCCACCCCTGACTAAGCTCAACAAAATTTTATAGGCAAGGAATCACTGTGGATGTGCAGCTCTCATCTCTAATAGTTCATGAATTACGTGAATAATTTTGAAAATGAGGAGAATTAGTGAATGGAAAAGTGATGACATTTGCTATAAAGAAGTTTATAAATTAGCATTTATAAGATTTAAGCGTTATCCCTTGTAGCTTTTTTAAAAATTGCCTAAAATTGACCTTGGTAAGTTGCTTAACCCTATTTGCCTCAGTTTCCTCATCTGTAAAATGAGCTAGGGAAGGAAATGGCAAACTACTCCAGTATCCTTGCCAAGAAAACCCTAAAAGGGGTTATGAAGAGTCAGACATGACTGAAAACAATTGATGACAAAATAAGAAAACAAATCTATCTTCCATAAAGTTTCTCCTGGTAGTCATACTATAAAAAGCTGGCATCCTATTTTGGTAGTACTTTTTAGGCACAATCAAGGAGATGTGTGTGTAACAAACAAATTCCATTTCAGACCCATTCATATCTTATGAAAATGCAGATGAAAATCTATTCATGACTGTGGGGGGAGGAGAAAGGGCATCTGAACTGTACTTTGAAGGATGCAGATCCAGTTGGATATTTCAATGGCACCTCAAATTCAATCTGTCCAAAACTGAGCTCTTTAGGATCAAAATTGGAAAAGACCATAGAAGCCAGGTAGTCCACCCCCCAGTGGGGAAATAAGGAAACTGAGGCTTAGAGAGGATGCCCATGACCACGCAAATGGCCTCATAGTGTCACTGATTTCTTGTGGAAAATGCAGTTTGGGCTTTCCACACTTTTAATCCATAAATTAGCAAAACTTTTAAAGATGGAATTGTAAATGGGGAAATCCTATAGACTCTTTACAAGTTTAATATTTGATATCATGTATATGAGAACCTCATAAATCCCCATTTTACAAAAAAAATTACACATTATGAGACAGTTTGAACATTCATTACTTAAATTATCTGTCTACTTCTGCAAATCTTTCCAGAGTAGCATCTGTTTTGTCATCATTATAGTTTTTTGTGCTGAAATAGCCAAATCAACTTATTTTTAATTTGTCTTGATGCTGAATCAACATGCATTTTATTCTGCCATTGTTGCTTTGTTTCAAATTAATCTGTCTTCAAATTAATAATCTGTATTGTCACCCTTTAAAATTTTACAGGCTGAAATATCATCAAAACAAGAACATGTGGAAACCATGGACACTGAAGATCATACTGTTGAACTTATTACTTTTGAGAAAAATTCAGTGCCTGAGAGCACAGAAATACTCATCAGAGAAGAGTTTGCTGGGGTACCTGTAGCTCACAAAAGGTAAGTCATAGCTGGAAACATTTCTATGGTGATATCCTGTAGGTAGAGTTTCACATTGTGTTTTTTACTTAAATTAATTCATTTAAAATGTTTATTTTCAGTTCCAACCCACTACCTATTGAGAAGATACCCATTATACATATGAGTGCTGGACCTGGAGTCAGGAAAACCTGACTTAAAATCTGGCCTCAGATACTTACTAGCTGTGTGACCTTAGGCAAATCATCTAACCTCTGTCTGCCTCAGTTTCCTCAACTGTAAAATGTGGATCCTACTAGCACCTACCTCCTAAGGTTGTTGTAAGGATAGGTGCTATATGAATGCTTATTCTGACCCTCACCCCTGCATATGTACTTATTTTCTATCATGTTTACTAAATAAGATCCCTAACACCTAGCTAAGTGACTAATATACAACCTTGCATAATAAATGTTTGTTAAATTAAATGGATGTACACTTTCTCTGAAGAACTTTCCCCCCCCCAAAAAAACTTATGATTTCATTGATGTAGGGAATTCCTATTGAGCAAATGCTTATCAGTCTAGATAGGCCACTCTGATTTAGGGTCAAATAGCTGCCTAGTGCACTGAGCGTAAGTGATTTGCCTGGGACCACACAGCAAGAGTGTGTCATAGGCAGTACCTCAGCCCAGGTCTTTCCCACTTGAAGCCTGGCTCTCTATCTATGTTGCCTTGCATTCTTTGGAAATTACACTTATAAAATCAGAACTATTGTGAAGCCCTCTTATAAAGTCGATGTTTATCTATTTATGAATAATGCTGGTGTTGGGAGACAGAAGTAGCATCTGCCATAATAGTTAACTGTATTTTATTAGGCTCTTACTGTATATGCTTGTGTTTTGAAGGATACAGGCTGCTCTACAGTGTATCTCACTATTTAAGCCATGTTATATGAGAGTCTAATGTTTTAATGGCAGTCCAGAATTTATTGTTCTTATTCTTTATAGCTATACTGGCATAAGACTGAGACTTGGAGCCTTCAAGGGGTTATCTCATCCAGCCTTCTTCATTTTGTGAATGAGAAAACTTAGCCTCAGAGAGATTAAATGACTTGCTGTATTGCTTTGCAGCCTTATTTATTGCAGCTTAAATTAGTTTTGGTTTGGATTGGTTTAGAAATGACACAGAATCTAAGGTTTGATTTATATATATGTATATAGTAAAGGGATTTATTATTAAAATAGTAAAATAGGATGAAGGTTAGTAAGTAGAACAGACTTAGGATTAGTAAGTCCCAATAAGTAACAATAACATCAACAACTTAAGTCTCAATTAGTATCATATCTTACCACATTAGAACATAGGTCTCAATAAGTAATACTGAAGTCTCAATCAGTATCAAATCTTGTCACAATCAGTCATCACCATCAGGGGAAACATCTACATCTGGATCACATGGCTGGGGAGTCCCTGGTTCAGCCTCCAGAATCCCAATGGGAAAATCCTGGGCTATGCGTTCACACCACAGGGGAGACTCCAAAGATTATTCAGGGCTACCTGCCTTTACTAGTTCCTTCTAACAAAGAAGGCAGCTTGCCAAAAATATGTGATCTGTGGGAAAGGAGCTGCTCTCAAAACTATCATTGAGAGTATTCCTATTTATAAATATCTTATTCCTGGAGGGGTGGCCAGCCCTTCCTGAGAGTAAATACCATAAATAGTCCTTCAACATCTAACTAGGATTAAGGTTGTCATGAAAAAAGGGTCAGCATCAAATTGCATGCTTCCTGAGTGAGGTCAGAATGTCTTTTTTAATTCATTCATCACACTTGCCCACAATCACACAGGTAGTAAATCACATAGCCAGGATCTACAGATCATCTGTAACAGATCAGCTGGTTTTCCTGACTCTAAATCCAGTTATTTTCTGACTCTGCCATATAATCCTGAAATTAGTATTTTAAATTTTTTTCCCTTTAAAGCTGTCTTGATCCTGAAGTCTTATCATTTGTTGTCTTCTAAAACATGTGAGTAGGGGTGTTTAATTGCGTGCATTATAGAATAAGGAAAAATAATATTCCTAGAAAATATGAATGCATATATATATATGTATATGATGGAATATAGTTAAGGGAAGGAGATCAGTTTCATTATTTTTTAATAAGAGAGTTGTATTATATAATTACATGAGATTATATGAGAGCTTTTAGCTCTCAAATCCTATAAATTCTACTATATAATCATCAAAATCACAAATTGGAATACTGATTTTACTTATGCTATGAAGATTAATCACTGAATGTATTAAATAAGGTCCTATATTTGGATATAGGTATCTTTATAGGAAAGTATTGATTGAGCCTGGAACCTTCTGGGAAATTTTTGCAAGAATTTTGAAATTTAGCCTGCTTGTGAAAATTCAAACACATCTATCTGTTACTATAGGAACTAAAGACAATGAAAAATCACTGCACCGCCCCCACTAATACACACACACACACACACACACACACACACACACACGCACACACACACACCATGAAAAGAGCCCTTTAAGGTTTGCATTGTACTTTACATCAATGATTTCATTTGATCCTCATAGTGACCCTTAGAAGTAGGTACTATTATTATCTTCATTTTATAGATGAGGAGCCTGAATCTAAGAGAAGCAGAATGACCTGCCCAGAGTCACACAGCTAGTAAGTGTCTAAGGATGGGTTTGAACTGAGGTCTTCCCAGCATTTACCTACTACACTCACCTAGCTCAGATGACAAATTAGGCTTGAAAATAAATCTTATAAACAGAACCTTAATGGATCCCCTCAAATAGTACCTACTATGTTCAACATTATATCTAGGCACTGTAGACATTCTGTATTCTTATGAAATCTATACTGTAGTAGCAGGGGATGTATTTGGGGGGTGAGGTAAGGCCATGTAAATAAATGTACAGATGACCAATTTAGACAAAGTGTTTCAGGAGTTCAGAGGAAGGAGAGATGCTGAAAGTTTGTATAATTAGTAAGCTTTTCATTCATTATTCTTTCTGGAATTAGCTATTAGCCAATCCACAGTTTTTTGCTCTGACATTTTGTGGAAAAAAATCCTTAGGGTTTTCTTTTTAAAATGTTCTCAAATATTTTCATGGTCCACATTTAATGGGAATTGTAGGAGTGGTCAAACCCAAGAAGCTTCTTGAAGTCAGGAAAAGTTGGTGTTAATGAAAGAAATAACTGTTGTACATTAGTTTAAGATTGCTTAAGGTATAGCCTTCAACAAGATATGTTATTGTGAGGAATGTTATTTTGCATATTCTTTATCACAGTTTTAAATGATCCTATAACTAAATTCCACTTGCATATATTTTTCTAAGAATTGAAAAAGTTGCAATTTTTAATCACTTAAATTTAATTGTGGCTAACTAATAAAATGAACATCCTTCCTGATTTTCATGATTTTTAGTCAGCGGGAATCTGCAGCAGATAATTTGAAGAATGACCAGATGAACAATCAAATCTCAAACATCCCAAATGTTGTCCAAGAAAAACTAACAACAGACCAAACATCTTTGGAAGACCTAGAGATAAAAGAGCCACTAAAAACTGAAGACCAAGTGAGTATTTTTATACCTTTCCAAAAAAGCATTTGTAATACAGTGTTCAGAGGCAGCTGGTGTCTCACCGGATTGAGCACTGGGCCTGGAGTCAGGATGACCCAAGTTTGAATCCAGCCTCAGACACTTCCTAACTGTGTGACCCTGGGCAAGTCACTTAAGCTTGATTACCTGATAAAAGACAATAGCAAATCACTCCAGTATCTTTGACAAGAAAATCCCACAGACACTTGGTCCATGGGGTCACCAAGATTTGGACATGTCTTATCAACTAAACAATAACAATGCAGTGTTCATGTTTATAAACATTGATTCAGAATCACATTTTTAGAATCGACAGTATTGAGCAGCTTATAAAATTTTAGGATATGTACCCCTCTAAGTACTTTTGATATTGAAATATAAATAAGAGGCAGCATGACTTAGTGAATAGAGCAGTAGAATTGGCATTAGGCAGACCTGGGTTCTAATCTTGCCTCAGACAAAAGTGTAGCTATTAAAGCTGAAAACTGAATTAAGACTTTTGGGACACCCTGTATAATACATTTTATTTTATTATTTTATTTTATTCAGTTCAGACCCCCTGTGCTTCCACCAATTTGAGGAATTTCTAGTTTTGCAACACCTTCTACAGATCAGTAACTGGTCTATAGCATAACTTTAGGGAATTGCCCAGGGAACTGAGAAATTGATGGACTTAGAGCTAAAAGGAACCTTACAGGTCATCTTGTCAAACTCCTTCATGTTATAGATGTGAAAACTGTGACTTCCCTAAGGTCACACAGCCATTGTATGTCAACGGCAGCACATAAATCCAGGGATTCTTGACTCCAAGACCATGACCATCCCTTTATCCACCAGGAGACGTTACCTCTCAAGTGTGCAAACACCACATTAAAAATTTAATCCATGGCTTTGGAGTCAGGAGGACCTGAGTTTGAATCCGACCTCAGATACTTGACACTTACTAGTTGTGTGACCCTGGGCAAATCACTTAACTCTGATTGCCTCACCAAAAAGCAAATAAAAAAAAAGAAAACAAAAAAAATTAATCCAACTATGATCATAAATTTGACTTATCTAAAACTAAGACTTCCATAGAACCATACATTTTTCAACATGGTTACTGACTCCACTGACAAAAATTATTATTTCTCCATGCCTACTCAGGAAAACAGTGAGTATAGTTTCCAAGCAGCTAAGCCAAATCAATTTTATCCTTCCTAAGAAGGCTATTGTGTTGATCAAGGGAATCACTTTTATTTGGAACAACCAAAGCCAAAAAAAAAAAAAAATAAGTCTGTGCTAAAGGACAGTACTCTTTCTTGTTCACTATCCCCTCAAGTCTTCAGAAAGAAGTAGTCTTCATCTACATTCTCAAAAGTATCTGTGTTGAAAAAATTAATCCTCTGATGACTGACCTTCTGATGACAAGTTACTCTACACTTAGACTAGTTCTCAGATAATAGACAAATGACTCCATCACTCCAGAGCTCTCATAATAGAATGTTAGATCTAAAACTAATATGGTACCAACAATCAATAGTGATTCGATATTTAATTCATCATTTCTTGGCCATTTATTTTGGCACTTGATTGCCAATCAGTGTGTACAGTATTGTACCATAATATATTGACCGTCATAATATTTAGAATATTATTTCATTATTTTAAATAATTTCAGTAGTTAACAGTCTAGAACTGTTTCTTTTCCTTTATGTCATGTTATCAGTTATCATTATTTTCTGACTTACATTCACCCCGGAATGTGCTTGTGGTGATTGTGACATTTGATTTGCTTAACTTTTTCATTGTTTGAAGCGAAAGCTCCATGGCAGGGGAGGATGGAATGGATAGTGCATTATGATTATGGGTGTGAAAAACAAAAGGTAGCAATAATTAAAAAAATTATTCCATAGACATTAGAACTGTACAGCTCCTAAGAATCTCTTACGACAGAAACATAGTCATTGTAGTAATTTAGTGTTTAAAGACCATTCTAGACATGTGAGTTGTGAGGGTGTGGCAGTGGAAGATTTGCTTGTTTTTTTTTTTTCTTGTTCTTTGCTTCTTTTCCTCCCAGGCATTAAGGCAGCTTTAAAGAAATCACAAAGGGGCATCCTGAAATAGAGTGTTTGAGAAGGGGAAGCTGCAGCCATATTCCTTTGTTAGTTGAGAATGTATATTTGGAATGATTTCTAAGAATATGGAATTACAGACTCTGGAATTTTTAGTACCAGTAAGCTGCCAAAGCTACCCCCTTTTATTCTTCCCTCCTTACTATGAAAGACATTCAAAATGTGAAGCAGTGAAAAGCATAGACTGCCTGTTTTCTGTCACTGAAAGTTAGTTTGAAGAAATTAGAGGTTGGAAGTAGAGGCAAGATATTCCATTTCTGGTCCACTATTTTTTAAAAAAAATTTATAGAGCAAAATTATAGTTGGCATCTCTTGAGCGATTTTTCTTGACCTATCCTTCCCATATGTCAACTTACATGGCATAATTGCTTTTTTTGCCTTTTATGTGTAATTACATCTTTAATTTCCTTGTCATAAAGTATAATTATCAGTCAGAATGTCTGAATCTTTTTTTATTCTTTTGAACAAATTTTCTGAACATTTGCAATTGTGATGTTTAAGGTGGCATCCTTGGAAAAATCCATGGACATAAATGATCAGACCTACAGGAGAATTATACAAGACTTCCAACTGTGGTTGAGTAGCAAGGAACAACTCCTAGGCTTTATGCTAGAAGAACAAGGAGAGACAGTTACTGGAAAAACACTTTCGATTTCTGAGGTAAACTAAAAGTATTTCTAGTGTACTTTCATATGTACTGGTAATTCTATAAATACATTTGATGGTAAAAGAAATTGTTGGGTCATAATCCTAGCCATGTAGCTCAAACATTTGCATTTTGTTTTTCCTGACTCTTTACTTATATCTTTCCCCTCATCTTAAGTTATTTCAGGATGTGTAGAAGTACAAAATGAATGATGCAAGTAGTTTAGTTGAGAAACCTAAGTCATGGCATAGTGTTTATTCATTGACAGTGTTGGTATAGGTGCATTTGATATTTTTGCCCCAGGTTCTTAAAATAATTAAGGCAGAGGATTTTAGGGTTTACAAGAAACTTAGACATTATTTAATGTAGTATAATTTTTAGATTAGGAAACAAGCCCAGAGATGTTGAGTCACAGATCTGAGACTTGAACTTGGATTCCTTCACTTCCATTCCAGTACTCATTTCTTTATGCCAACCAATAACTTCTTGAGAAGCTCTGTTTTCTGAAAAGAAAGGAAGGAAAGATGGGTGTTCTGGGAAATGTTTAACAACTGGATCCCTTATATGCTTTTAAGTTTAACCTGCATTAATATTATTTCCTCTCTCACTTTCTTAAGTTTAGACAAATCAATTGAACAATAAATCAAGTCCCAATTTATGGCATTCGCCAATTTCTAAGGCATAAATGATCCACACATTGGAATTTTAACAATGTACTTTCATGAGCCAGTACCAACTGGCTCCAATGTACCTTTGGAAAAAGGGGTCCTACAGATCCATGTAGCTCATTCATACCCTATTTCCTTCACTTATGGAACTAGACTTGGATTGGTCCTCATGTGTGCAAATAATCTGTTCGTAAGTAATTAATGACCTTCAAATTGTTAGATTATAGAAGCAATTGCCAAATCTAATAACTTTATGAGAAGGTAAAAAGGGGAAAAATGAAATGGGAGGCATGAATATGAAACTAGGATCCTAATTCAATCAAGTAGGCATTGATTTAAGTGGCAAAAGAAATTTACCTTAAACAATCATTATAATGAATTATAGATTTTCTTGCATTTTGGATTATCCGTGTGCAGTCTGGAAGTGTTGTCTTTCATCAGAATAAATGGTGTAATGTGTAGGAAACTTTCAGGGAACAAAGCCAAGGCCCTAATCTGACCTGGTAGGAAAAGAGAACCCCTCCCCACCATTTTATAAGACGGCTAAATCATATTCTGTAGTGAAAATATTAAAGAAAATCAAAATTTCTGAGGAACACCAGTTGATAATGTAATTAAACTGTGCTTTGGTAGAGCTAATGAGAGAATAATTACAAAAATTGCCTTTCTTTTGTTTTTAAAGCTTATGATTGGTATTTGACTGTACAAAGCTTATGCTTTCAGTTTTATGTTTCTAAAAACTAATTTATAGAATCCTCTGGGGAATTTTGAACCTCGAAAAAGTAGTTGCATTTCAAAACTGTTGGGCGATTAACCAATGACAGTCACTTTGAGAAACTTCAAGAGAAAGAGATTTTCTATGAGGAAAACACACACACACACACACACACATACACACATACGTGCACATACTTGCATATACTCAAGCGCTTGCACACACTTGCATACACAATGCACATATATACATGCACATATATACACATGCACACAAAACCCTCAGGAAGCTAGAAATATGCATGCATGCTGACCTTTCAATGAGGGGAAAAAAACTAGTTGAAGCCGAGCCTGAAGCTGTTACACATAATGATAGAGTTTTGTCTGATGAAAATTCTTTAACAGAAAGTCAGGTGATCATCTTGTGCAGTTTATTTCACTGTTTATAACAGTTGCCGTAGTACAGCAGTAAGAGTCACAGTCATTTGATCATCGCCTTTCAGTGAAAATCTCAGGACACTTTGACATTAAAAAAATAGAGATCTAAAATATTTTATTATCAACTAAGGACTCCAACTTTTGAGCAGCATAAAAATGAAAGGAACATTGGATTTGGAGTTGAGTATTTGGAGTACCTTGGAATATGCCATTTTGATAATTTGAGCCTCAGTTTTTTCATCTGTAAAATGCAGGAAACATATCTTTTTATCTCTCCATTTCTCCTGGTACCAATGTATCACAAGTGCTTTGTACATAGCTACTTAACAAATGCTTTGAGAATTGATTAGTTTAACAGTATAATAGGAAGCAACACTTTTAAGGAAAAAAAGCAAGTTATAGAAGAGAAAAAAAATTACAGTGTATAACTAACATATATTGCAACACTCAGCATAGTATTTTGCAAACAGAAGAATTGTAATAAAATGTACAAATGAATGAATGTAGCACTTTGGCTATGTCACAGTGAATCAAAACTTCTGTCATTAACCGTTCAGCAGCAAGAATTTAGGGAAGGATAAGGGAAATGATGCATGGTTCTGAAGCAACAAGTTTTAATTAGACTACATTAAATTTTCATAGAAGTTTTGATTAAGAGGAATTGTTCCTGTATGCCTATTTTATGGTGTAGATAGCTAGATAGCTAGATAGCTAGATGGCACAATGAATAGAGCATGAGCCTAGAGTCAGAACGACCTGAGTTCAAATTTGACCTCAGATATTTACTAGCTGTGCGACTCTGGGCAAGACTCTTGACCTCTATCTGCCACAATTTCTTCAGCTGTAAAATGGGGATCATACTAGCACCTAACTACCAGGGTTGTTGTAGGAATAAAATAAGATAATATTTATAAAGTACTTAGCACAATGCCTGCTGCAGTAGGTACAATGTACTAAGTAGCAGGAACTTAAGAAATGTTCACTTCTTTCTCCTCCCCTCTAAAAACTTTTCCAGTTTATGATCCTAGTACTTATTATCAAATATTTCTGTATGGGCCTAAAGAAGATATTCCTACCCAGAAAAATGGTGACTATTGGTCAAGCCATTCCAAATATCAGTAAAAATTTTATTCTAGTACAAAATTATTTTTCATTTTATTTACTGTGAAATGCTTCTTAGCTTTTCTTGATCGATTCACAGAGATAGAGGTAGTAAGTATATGTTGGTTTTGAAGTCCCACTTGACTATAAAAGGAAGATAAAAAGAACTCATCTGGCTGGTTTTCCTTTTTTTCCCCTACTGTGATTTACATTCCACAAGATCGGGTTATTTTCTTGCTTATTCCTTAATAGCTTATTGAGTTTTTCATATATTTCAATTCTATAGCTCCTAAGAGTCTCTTAAGATGGAGACTAATGTTGGGATCTGAACTGGTGAAAATGCCAGTGTAGTATAGCTAGAGAAAAAGAAAGAAGAAAACTCTGAACATTTGATTTCTTTTGTTGAATGTATTTTATTTCTGGTAGGAGGAAAAAATGTAATTTTAATAAAATATTTATTAGGAACTTAAAAAGAGTCAGGACAGCATGGGGACTGATTATTCTAAACTGACAAGAGCATTGACGAGAATGTTGATTATTTATTTTAAAAAGCAGTTTAGTCAGTTTGGAAGTTCAGAGAATAATGTATTTTGGAAGGTGTCTGGAAAATACTTGTTCTACAAAATATTGTGGAGACTTCTCTATTCATGGAGGGGCACAAGTGCAAGGGAAAATATCTGTGTCAGCCCCAAAGGTGTCAAAACTTTTCAGATGATGAAAATTAAAGAAATTTCACATGTATCAATCAATCAAAAGCAAAAAGAGAAGAAACAAAAGACTGTTGTTTCATTTTAAAGGTTCGTGAGACAACATGATAGATATTTCTGGAAAATCAGAAATACAACTTTTGGAAGGGAGGCAACTAATGACAATTTTTTTAGAATTTAGGTATTTTTAAAAAATTGCATCTTGTAGCTGGTGTGATATATATGTGTATGTATTTACACATGTGCATATGTGTGACTAAAAATATACTTGCATAATGAATTGACTTACTGTGATTAGAAATTATAATTGGTCTTAACTTTGAAGGTATTCTCCTGTATAACTGACAATGGCTATATGGGTCATATATTTATCCCATATATAGCTTGTTTGTAAATATTTGTTTGCATGTTGTCTCCACTACTAGGTTGTGAGCTCCTTGAGGGCAAGGACTATCTTTTGCCTCTTTTTTTCCCCCAGTGCTTGGCACATTGCCTGGAATGTAGTAGCTGCTTAATAGATGTTTATAGATCAGTATATGTACCAGATACTGGATTGTTTCAAACAGGTGTCAGAGGAACAATAAGAACCATTTCTAAATTAAGACAAATCGAGTCACTTACCAATGGTTCATGGGGATTGAGGCAGGGGGAAGGAACATGGGTGGAAGTGTCACAATTAGGCTATAACTCTGTGAGGTAGCAAGGAGATACTAGCTGACACTAAATGAAATGAGCTGAGACTCTTATCTAAACCTCCCACAACATCAGTCATCAAGTTAAAACCAAATGGGACTATCCATCCCTACCCCCTATACATAGCCTTTTATAATGTCTATTCCTTGAATTAATTTGATTAATTAATCAAATTAATATTGATAGTAATATTAATTTGATGTTACTCAAATAAAAGTGGAATGGTGAAGCAGCACACTTTACAATTTTCTTTTTCCCAGGTATGGTCCTACTGATAAACATTCAGTTGTAACTTCCATATGAAACACATATTATAAAGCTAAATTTTCATGTCTGTTATAATTATTTCACCAGCACTAATTGTGTGGCACAAGAACTAGCTTCTTTCTTGGAGATAAATTTTATTCCTAGGTTTGGGAAAAGATAAGAGTGAGTCTTGATAGGTTTTGTACTTGTTTAAAAAAAGAAAAAAGTGAAAGTAAAACTTAAAATCAGATGTTTTTATAATGGTGCTCATTTACGAAGTAGCTTGGACATAAAAACTAACCTAAATTCTTTAGTGAAATAACTTAGGGATGACGACTGGATCAATAAGGAAATTCTCTCTATCAATGCCAGTTGAGATATTCTCTGCAACTTACAACCTTAAAGAGTTGATTAGAGCACTGAGAGAGTTTAAGTGACTTGCCCAGGGTCAAACAATCCAATCCAATAAACATTTATTAAGCTCCCATTATGTATCAGGCACTGTGCTAAGTGTAGGGATACAATTAATAAGACAGAAGGTATATACTCTCAAGGAATTTATAACCTGAAGGAGGAGATAGCACACAAAAGGAAGCAGGAAAAGGGTGGTGATGGAATGCTATGCCAGAGCATATTGTTCCTGAAACCAGGCAGGGCAGCAGCTATAAAGTGCAGTGAGTTGAATTCAGTTTCTAACCTCTGCAAAGGAGGGCATTGGGAGGAGTTTGGTACTTTGTCCTCCAGCCCTCCAATTAGAGGGGAAAGGAGACTGAAGGAGGTGGTATAGATCAAGGCTTGAGTTAGCCATGACTTTGAGTTTATAAGTGATGAGCTTATCCTGGGGGAACTTATTTCATAGAGTTGAAACCAGGCAGCAGATGCAAAGTGGAGTGTCAATATGTGTCAGAGCTGGGACTTGTACCCAAGTCCTCCTGATTCCAAGGCCAGATCTTCATCCACTACACCACACTGTTTCTTAGTTGAATAACTTATACTATAAAATAGGCATACAGGAACAATTCCTCTTAATCAAAACTTCTATGAAAATTTAATGTAGTCTAATTGAAACTTGTTGCTTCAGAACCATGCATCATTTCCCTTACCCTTCCCTGAATTCTTGCTGCTGAATGGTTAATGACAGAAGTTTTCATTCATTGTGACATAGTCAAAGTGCTACATTCATTCATTTGTACATCTTATTACAGTTCTTCTGTTTGCAAAATGCTATGCTGAGTGTTGCAATATATGTTAGTTGTACACTGTAATATTTTTCTCTTTTATAACTTGCTTTTTTTCCCTTAAAAGTGTTGCTTCCTATTATACTGTTAAACTAATCAATTCTCAAAGCATTTATTAAGCAGCTATGTACAAAGCACTTGTGATACATCGGTACTAGGAGAAATAGAAAGATAAAAAGATACGTTCCCTGCCTGCTATACCCTATACAGTCTTATCAGAAAGAGTTGGTCTATTTTCTAGAATGTCAATCAGCAGTTCTTTGGTGAACACTAGGGTAGAGAATGCTCTAATAAATGTGACTCAGGGAGTAATCTGCACCATCTACTAAACACTTAATTTTCTTTATTCTATTATATTATCATTCAAATAATAAAATAAGCATGGTTGAATATTTTAATAAAAATCAGTGTTACATTTTAGATGTGGAACATTGAATGATTTATCTTTTTTATGTTTTCAGAATTCAGGCATAGAAATGCTTTTGTCAAAACAACTTTTTCCTGAAGCTCAAGAAAGCATGAAAAACATTGAAGATGAGCAGAGAGTCAATGAGCTGCAAAATCAACCTTTAGAATTGGATATTATTTCAGCAAATGAACAATTAAAGGAGATAGAGGTATGGAAATATGAAGAACACTGACTACATGATTGCATCATTTATCTTGTACAATACAATATATGGTAATCATCCAAAATACTTGCATAAAGTGAAAAGTCTTATTTAACCTTTGCCTGATAATCTATTTTGTAAATATATAATTAGGTACAAATCAGAACGTTGTGTAAATCTGCCCATTTTTTTTTTAAAAGAAGGGTACTGCTAATGAATATCAGGTGGCTTCTTCTTTCAGTAAAAAACAAAAAACAGACTCATTTGATGACAAAGCTCAGGTATACTGACCTGTATCATTCCTTTTTCCTGTGTAATTTTTTTTTGGTCTTGAAAAATACGATTTATGCCACTTAATTGTAAGCAGGACTAGGTTCTTAGTCATTGTTTTACTTTCTTCATAATTCTATAAGGTATTGTGTAAGCCTCTACTGGGTTGTTGTCACTGTTTAATCAAGTGAAAGTGAATAAGGCTGACATTTGAACAAGGCTTACATAATTGTGAATATATATGAGAGAAACAGCAGGAAAGTTTATGTTCAGGCTAGTAAAAGCAGAAGAGAGCTTTGTTTAAGCAATCTGTTGGCATGTAAGAATAATAATAGAATGCAAAAAGAATAATAGTGTATGACTTCCTTGAGGGCAGAAACTGGATTGTTTCTGCCTTTGTATGCCAAGTGCCTAAGCCCGGTAACTGGCACATAGTAGGCAATTAATAAATTTTGCTTCTTGAATTGAAAATTCAACATTATGCCAGCAATCAAGTGTAGATTCTTCTCACAAAAGATAAACCATTTAAACTGCCCAATGCCTCAGCTGTCCTATGTGTGAATAATGAATTAATGAAATAACATCTAAAAAACATTTGCAGCCTCTCAGACAATGTGAGTGTGTACTTGCCAGTCTGCCCATATGTTTGGATGAGGAGTGTATTTATTTCCTTTTGTTTGCTTGATTTGAAACTAGGTGTTGTATGGGCAATTGCAAGCAAAGAAAGCCAACACTGGATCTCGGGAGTCCATCACATTGCCCAGTAACACAGAAAGCAGCACTTTGGATGTCCAAAATGTACAACATTCAGTAGACCAGTTGGACAGACTACTTCAGGCACTGGTTACCTTGAAGGAGGATAAGGAAAGACAATACTCTCTTATCAAAGATTTCCAGGAACACCTCTTGGCTGTTAAATCATCAATGAAAGCATTATCAATGGAAAAAGAAAGCACAAAAGTGTAAGTTCAAGAGCACAGAATAGGTTTCATTTTTAATACAAACCCATCCTTTAGTACTTTTTAAAGTATCTGTGTTTTAATAGTTATTCTGTACGTATAGTAATTTCTGCTGGAAGTTTTGTGGCGAAAGTGACCTCCATTATTCTTTGGTAGCAGACTGGCAGGAGAGAGGAACAGAGAGAGAAAATTTATTCTTTTAAGTCTCTTTGTGTGGTAATAATACATTCCCCTGGTGGTCTAAAAGAGGAACTCATCCAACCTTTAACTTCAGGGAATGTCGTGGCATGAGGAAAATAAGACTCAATGAGTTTGCAGTATTGTATATATGGCCAACCCATGTCGTTCACACAGATCAACTAAGAAAAGTTTTATTGGATAAAAATCAAGTTAGTTTTGAATTACACTATTTACATCCCTCATCTTTTATTTGACAATCTTTGGGAATAGAATTAAGGGACTAACCAACTGGAAGAGAGGAGTTGCATGCTCACGTAGCCCCTTATACGCCTTTGTTGTGCAATCATCATTAATGACCCCAATCATATTTTGTTGTGTTTTTTTTTTTTGACAGTGCCTCTCTGGAGAGCATACAGCATCTGAAGAAACTAGAAAAATGCCTGGAGTCAGTACATAAAGAAAAAGATTCCTTAAACAAATTTAAAGAGGAACAGGCGAACTTGTTGAGTCAGCTAAGTGACATGGACAAGAAGTTAGCAGAAAGCCAAGTTAAGCAACTTGAACTTTGTTGGGAACAGGTGGAACAGTGGATTCAAAAGAAATATTCTCAACAAGGCGCTGAATGGGATGAACTTCAGTGCCTGATGGGTAAGATCCGGGACATGGAGAATTCACTGCAAGAGCAGCAGCAGCAGCAACAGCAAAAGTTGAACTCTCCATCTGAGCAAGGGGAAAATAAAGGCCCAGTGTCCTTAGCCATAAAGCTTCAAGTCACTAAGGATAACTTTTCACTTTTAAAAGGGAGAGTCGAGCATCAGATGAAAAGAATTTGGGGAAAGAAAGAAAAGGAGACATTGGAAAATGCAATAAATAATTTACAAGAGCAGCTAGAAGCATTAGAGCTATCAACAGAAGAAAAACACAGTCAGTTGAAAAGTTGCCCGACCGTGAAAAAGATTCAAGAAGCTGTTTTGTGGGTTAATAATTTATTAGTTAGCCTGGAGCACACAGCTGCTCTCCTTCCAGATAATATTGTGGCACAGATCAGAAAACATAAGTCTGTGCACGATGAGGTTCTGGATAAGCAGCCAATTATAGAGTCTTTGGTTGAGGAAACTAAAGATATCATTCCTGATCTGAACCAATGTGAAGCCACTGACTTAAATACTTTTTCACAGGAATTGCAAAGCTTGAACCAGGCACTTGTTTCAAAATGCAATGAAATGTCTCAGCAATTAGAGTCCAAACTGGAAGAGAGAAATGCATTTTTTGAGAAAATGGGCAAAGTGCAGCATTGTCTCCAAGGAAAGGAAGTATTGATTGCCCCTGAGACCAAAACAACCTTCTCAAAGGAGGACCTGGACCATCAGCTTGTTACTTTGAATGATTCTCAAAAGGAACTACAGATGACTGAGGGGGTCATCTCAACCCATCTGCAGGAGGCCACAGACTTCTCTAAGTCCTTAAATGTATTTGAACGAATATTTCTTGATGATCAGTTAAGAAACCTTAAGAATAAAGCTAGGAGGACACAAAGATTAGTTCGGAATAAATGTCATGAAGTCAGAAAAAAACTAGACATCAACACTGAACTCTTAGAAAAAACAAACATGTTACAACAAGAGTTAGGCGAGATCCGTAATCATGAGCTTCTACTGAACGGGGAAGTGAATCAGGTAACCAAAGAAGAAATCTGTGAGCTCAGAGAAAGAACCTCTCTTCTTCAGTCTAATGTTTTGCAACTAATGAAACACAAAGAAATATTTGAATGCCTTGGACTCAACTGGGACAGTTCACAACTTGACAAAGTACAGGTAGAGTTACTTAAAATAAAAACAGAACTTCAGGAAAAGGCTGAACAATTAGAGAGAGTTGTTGCAGAAAATGAAAGGCTTCAGACCTCACTAAATGAACTGAAAATGATAACTTTGCAAATTAAGAAAGAAACTGCTGAAATAGTAAATGACCCCAATTTTCCTCCAGAAAGTAGTCTACTTAGTGCCCAGATTTTGAGTCAAAGGGTTGAAAAAGCTACACATTTGTGCCAAGAGACAATAGATCTCTTAAATGCCAATGAAACCTTTAAGGAATCTTTCAAGCAAAAGATACCACAAATAAAACTCCTTGAAGAAGAAAATGACAAGCTGCACAAATCTCTTCAAAATATGGTTGAAAATTTCCAACCCCGATCTGTCAGTGGAAAGGATTTCAAAGACCAATTGGAACACGCATTGCATGTTCTATCACAGGCTAATTTTCAGTTACAACAGCCATTACAGGTTGGGTTGGAAATAAAACATATTCAAGAAGAAAAGGATAATTGTGAAGTTCTTCAACAAAGAGTTATGGCTGAGCTTTGTCATATCAAAGCTATAACCGTCAAAGAATATCCAAGGCAAGAAGATAACCCTCACGAAACCAGGGATTTGGAAACAAAGTTGAATGAGCTTGAAGATCTTCAAATGCAATTTAATGCAGGCATTGCTTTACGCAAGGTATATTTCTCCATAAGGTTTTAATGCATCTATTTACAATTCATTAGGTCTAGTATGGTGGTTATAGTTCTTTGTTTTGCCTTTTAGGAAGGTTGACCTCTCTTAAAATGAAGAAAAGATACAGTGACTAAAGAAAGGTCAATAAATTGGGTTAGGATAGCATTACCACCACCACTTCCTCCCTAGGGCAACTAGGTGGTTCGGTCGATAAGCGTGGGCCTGGAGTCAGGAAAGACCTGAGTACAAATCCAGCCTCAGACACTTCCTAGCTGTGTGACCCTTGGCAAGTCACTTACCCTGTTTGACTTAATCCATCAGAGAAGGAAGTGGCAAGCCACTCCATCATCTTTGCCAAGAAAACCTCATGGACAGCATGTTTTTTTTCAGTTGTGTCTAATTCTTCATGATCCCATGGTCCATGGGATCATGAAGAATTAGACACAACTGAAAAACAACATTCCCCTTCTTCCTCCTATTTAAACCTCATTAGGTTGGATTTTATATTAATTTAATTGCAATTCTTCAACTAGTTGATTCAGAAATGTGTTTTCCAAATTCATCCTGGCTAAACAAATAATCTACATTGGTTCTACACCTGTTCTGAAAGGGATCGTGAACATCAGGGTGTAGGGTAAGAAGAGATGATGTCCACTAGCACTATAAAGAGCACCACCAGGTGGTTTCTGACCATGTATCTAGTGCTCTTTCTAGTGTATTGACTGGCTGCTTCTATATCATAACACATATATCCAGATACACATATCATTTGGACTATGGTAAGTAGAAAAGGATAGATAAAATATTATGGGATTATAGGTATGGCAAATCAGTTTCAGCTGAGGAATTTGGGGAAGGCTTCATGAGATAGCTTGAATTTGGGGTGGGTCTTGGAGAATATTTATCCATAGAAAAAAGGATGTTATCAAGAGGAAGGAAAGTAGAGAGGAGATTCCAGGCAAAGGCACCATATAGTTGCCAAATACATATTTGTTGAATTATTGGATTAATTTTAATATTTTATTATTAGAGTAAAGGGGGATTTATTTTTAGGTTGAATTATTTTTTTTAAGAGGTGTATATAAATGAAGAAACTTTACTGAAGTTCATAAATCCATTACTCAGTACAATATGGAAAACGCTAAAAAAAAATGTTATTTTAATGTACATGTTAGGTTACCAAATCACATTCTGTGTTGGAAATTTTGTTTTTAGCACACTGAGATTTTTTTTTGAACTGTTCATTGTTGTACAAATGACTTTCACACATTCTATAAAATATTATTCTTGCTAAACGTATTAGAAATTTCAATTGTTCTTCAATTGTTTTCAGTTGTGTCTGACTTATGACCCTATTTGGAGTTTTCTTGGCAAAGATAAAAAGATATACTGGAATAGTCTGCCATTTTCTTCTCCAGATCATTTTACAGATGAGGAAACTGAGGCAGACAGGGTTAAGAGACTTGCACAGGATCACCTTAGCTAGTAAGTGTATGAGGCCAGATTTGAACTCAGGAAGATAAGTCTTTCTGTCTCCAGGCCTGGCACTCTATGCACTGCACCACCTAGCTGGCCCATATTACTAGAAATGCAGCATATAAGTAGTAAGCTAAGGGACAGTCATGAAAAGTATAGTAGAATGTTTAGTACTGGGTAGTCTCTTAGCTCTGCTGTGTACTAGCTTTGTGATATCGGGCAAACAACTTAACTCTTCTGAGAACTCTCTTTTTCTTACCTCCAAAAATGGGAGAGTAATAAATGAGACAGTGGGTGTAAAAGAACTGTATAAGCCATACAGTGCTATATCAATGCAGTGTAATGTGATATATTGGATTTGGCAGAGAAAGGAAAGATCTTATTTTAGGTATGTTGTATATACTGTGGTAAGTCTTGCTTTTAGCATTAATATCTATTTACCATTCAGATCTAAAATGTTTTATAATTTTTATTTTTATCATATTTGTTGTATCTTGTAGAATATCCTTGATGAGGCCTTGAAGGACATGCAACATTACAATGAAGCAGTCACAAGAGCAGTTGGGATCATTAATTCATTTGAAGCCACTGTTGATTCACGTAAAATAGATCTGGATAGTCTAGGGAAATTTCAACAGTTGACTGACAGGAAACAAGAGGAATTTGAGGCCTTGGTAGTGGACCTAAAGAATCTTACCTCAAAGCTGGAAAACATAACCAGTCCCAATGCCAGAGTACAGCTTGAGAATGTATTGCATGAACTCATCAAGACTAACTCCTTGGTCAAGGAATCAACTGAAACAGAGAAAGCCGACTTAGAGAGGTAGGTGGTGTTTTCTCAGGGAGACTAACTGGTTATTATTGTTTTTTTTTTTTTTTGTCATTTTAAAGATCATAGATTTATAGCTGGAAGGAATCTTAGAGCTCATCAGCCCAACTTTTATTTTACAGATGCGGAAACTGAGTCACTTAACTTGACTTAATAGATAAAACAGTTCATAAGCACTTACTATGTGTCAGGTACCATGTTAAGTTGAAAATAAAAGCTGGCAAGACAGCCCCTGACTTCAAAGCCCTTACATTCCAAAGGAGAAGGACCACACATAAAGAGGAACTTAGGGAGCCAGAGGGATGGTATATTTCAGGAAGAGAAACCCTGACAGTATACTAGAGGCCTCCAACTGAGCAATACAAGGCCTAAGGAAGCCTTGCCCAGAAACATAGGTGGTAATTGGCAGAACCAGGATTAGACCCCAGGTCCTGTTCCTTTCTTTTTCCACTATATTATGCTATCCTTGATCACTTCCTTCCATTCCTTTAAGTAAAATAGAAATAATAATTGACTTTATTGGCATCAAATACTTACCAGTTAAGATGCTAACCATGTCTACTGTTAGTATTTGTATGTCCTGAACTTTACCATTTTAATATAATGGTATGCACATTTCTGTATAGCATTTGGCAAACCTTTTATGAGTCTTTCATTCTTTCTTGGCAACTCAGCATGATCTGGTAGAAAGCTCACCGGGCTTGGAGCCAGAAAATCTAGATTCACGTCTTGACTGTGCCACCCTCTAGTTCTGTAACTTTGAGCAAATTACCTAAGTTCCCCGCGTCTCAGCTTCCTCTTGTACTATCTCACGGGATTTTTGTGAAGCTTGAATGAGATAATGTATGTAAAGTGCTTTGAAATTGTAGAGTACTGTAAAAATGGGAGCTATTATTATAACTCAAAACTGATCATACTTAATGTTAATGTTAAAGAACTCATGAGGTCATGTTGGGAAGAAGTCTTAGGATTGAGTGCAATAAAGAAAATTATTTCAGTCAAATTTCTGTTGCAACAAATTTATTAATTCAAAAATATTTATTGATTTGGAGTCAGCAGACCTGTGGTCCAATCTTGGTTCTGCTACTTGCTACCTGTGTGACCTTTGTTAAATGAATTCCTTTTTATGAATCTTAGGTTCTACATTTGCAAAATAAAGGGATTTATCTAGATCAGGAGTTCTTAATTTGGCATCTGTAAACTGAAAATATATTTTTTAAACTCAAAAAATTTTCAGTAATGATTTAAATACAATTGGCCTCTTTTGTAAATCCTATGTATTATATTTTATGAATTTAAACATTATTCTGAGAAGGGGCACATAGGTTTCACCAGAGGGTGCTATGACATCAGAAACATTAAAAACCCTTAGACTACTGATATTAAACTCAAATAGAAATGGAGACCACAAAACCAAACACAAAGATCACTGTGGGCCACATATAGACTTAGAAAACTGCATATTAACATTATCTATTTTTAATTGTATTTTTGTTTATTTTGACAAATATTTCCCTAGTCTATTTTAATCTAGTTTGGGCTGCACTGGGGAGTGTTATGGGCCAAATGCGGCCCATGAGCCTTCACCTCTGCCTTGGACTATTTGATCTAAAGTCTTCCAGTTCCAAATCCTTTAATTCTATATGGAAAAACTATGTAAATACACTGAGCTTTTATGAGCACTATGTCACTCTACCATGTAAAAGTGCTTCTTCTCTTTTATTTTCACCTCATTTATATGCCCAATATCCTTCAGATAACGTAATCCTTCCCAATCCAAAAGCTCTGGGCTTTCAAACCCCAATGGGCTTCATAACTTTTCTCTTTGATATATAAATTTCTTCACAATTCAGCTCCAACCTACCTAACCAGGTTTATGGCACATTGTTGATGTTCAGTCATTTCAGTCACGTCTAACTCTTTAGTAACTCCATTTTGGGGTTATCTTAGTAAAGATACTGGAATGCTTTGCCATTTCCTTTTCCAGCTCCTTTTATAGATGAGGAACTGAGGAAAATGGGGACTTGCCCAGGGTCACACAGCTACTAAGTGTCTGAGGGTGGATTTGAACTCAGGAAGATGAGTCTTCCTGCTTCCAAGCCCAGTGCTCTACCCACTGAGCCACCTAGCTGCCTCTAAAGCACATTACTCTCCTTCACATATTCTATGTTCCAGCCAGAATGGCTTACTTAATGCTCTTCCTACATGACAGTCCATTTCTTGTCTCTGTTCCTTTGAACAAGCTTCTGCCATGCCTGGAATGCTCTTCCCTACCTGAATCCATAATTCCTCTGAAGGCTCAGCTTAATGTATCATTCACTCTATAGGTCTATCTCAATTCCCCCCAGCTATTGCCCTCCCAGAAAAGATTCTGCATTTATTTTATATATTTTAAAAATGCGCTTATCCATGTACATATTGTTCGCCTCTCCCCCAACTGAATGCAAGCTTCTTGAAGGCGGAATTTATTTCATTTTTTCCCTTTATATCCCCTATACTTGATTGACATTTAATAAATGCTTGTTGAAAATGACTGAATGATTGATGTCTTTTAGCTTACTCTATAGCAATGTGAACACAGTGTTTCAGGAACTAACTAAATATATATGCAAACATATGTATGTCTGTCTGTCTGTATATATATACATATATATACATATAAATGTTTAATAATGAGAAACAAAAATTATAGAAATAAAATATAATAAAGTCACCGCTTCAGTATGGCTGAAAATAGCATCATAGAAGTAAAGAATTTTAAAGCTGGAACTTAGAGCTCAAGTATATCTGTGACAAACCATGAGGTGTGTTTGAAAGAATTTGTGTATACCAGAATATTTAACTTCATTGTTAGAACTGAGTGGGATGAGGAAACAAGGAATTCTTATCACATAAAATTATTCACTGATTGTCATTGGGAGACATAATTCCTCGAGAGTTATGGAACAGGTCACATATTTCTTAGAGAAGACTTAAATTTTTAAGTTTTCGATGACTAAACATCACAAATTTTTTCTTTTCTGTCCAATGAATTCATTTTCTTTAACAACTCTGTATGTTTAGGAGCCTAAAGAGCTATGAAAGCTACAATAAAATCAAACAAAAAATTTGTGCAAACTTGAACAAAGTAGAAAAGGGACTTCAACAATCCATTTCCCAAGAGCCAATGTCTTACAGAGAAGCTTTGGAACGCTTGGAACAGAGCAAGGTATGTTGGATTCTGAAGTATCTAGTGTGCATGTATGTCAAAGTCTAGGCTAGGTGAATATATTTTTTATCAATTTATTGCATATCTTGGATATCAGACGTTAATTAGATAAATTTGATGCAAATAGTCTCCATATTCAATAGTTTCTTTTCTTATTCTTTCCATTGATTTTGTTAATGCGAAAACTTTTTAAATTTTATATAATCAAATTTATCTACTTCCTCTTTTAGGATATCTTCTAATACTTATTTACTCAAATCACCTACCCATAGCTGGGAAAGGTACCTGATCTCATTATCTTCATTTTTTAAATAACAAAACTTTTCATAGTCAGATTGTATACCTATTTTGAGTTTGTGGTATATGATATAAGATGCTAGTCTAATCCTAATTTTTTTGAACTGGTTTCCAGTTTCTTCATCAGTTCTTACAAAAAAAAGAGGGAGTCCTTCCCTTATTAATTTATGATTGGGGGTTTATAAAACTAGACTATTGTTTTATATTGCTTCTATTTCTTGTTTATCTAGTCTACTTTTCTATATTTTATTTATCTACTTTATTATGTTATACTATCATATGCTATAAACTATTATACTACTATTTATCTACTGTATTGTATTTATCTACTTTTCTATATTTTAACCAGTATTAAGTAGTTGTAGTGATTACTGCTTTTTAATATAGTTTTGAGTAGATTAGCCATGTCTCTCCAGTGTCTCTATTCTATTCTTTTCTTCCTTACATAATGCCTTTTAGAATACCTGGTCCATTGTTGACAAAATGCCCTTAATATTGGTCCCTCAGAAACAACTTTTATGAAATTATTTACTTACTTATACCCAAGTTATTCCTTCCAAGTAGGATGTAAGTTCCTTGAGGGTGGGACTGTTTCACTTTGTCTTTTTAAGACCAGCCTTAGCGCAATGGCTGACACATAGTAGTGCTTAACAAACCTTTGTTGAATTAGCAGGGCTCTCCCTTCACTTGTACCCTGGAATTGATGTATCTTGAGAGACCTTTCGTTCTTCCATATCAATTTGTTATTGTTTTGTTTTTTCTATGATGTCCTCTAGGTCATTTAATTGGCATAGTACTAAATCTATAACTTAATTTAAGTAGTATCTTTTTTTTTTTAAATTACATTGGAATGCCCTGACAATGACCTGTCATAAACTCTCCAATTTTTTTGTCTCCCTTTAGTTCTGCAAAGAGTAATTTACAGCTGTATTTATAGAAATCTTGTTGGTGCCTTTTTACTTCACGCATTTTGTTATTATTTTGAATGTAATTTCTCTTACTATCATTTTCCTGGGTTTTGGTAGTACTGCATAGAAATATTGATTATTTTTGTGTATTTATTTTGTATCATGCTATTCTACTGAAATTATTGTCCCAATTTTTTCTATGTCAGTATCAATTATAAATAGGAGCAATTTTGTCTTTCTTTGTCAGTACTTACACCTTTGATTTTGTTCCATTTTCTTATTGCTATCACTACTGTAGCATTTCTAGAATGATGACAAATAGTAGCAGAAGGAGCGTTCTTGTTTTACTCTTATTTGTAATAGAAAATCTTCCCCTGTAAACAATGCTAACTTACTTTTAAATATATGCTTTTGATAATATTGAAGACAGGCCCTCATGTGTCTATCTTTTTTATAGTTTTTAACGCACATTAATATTTTATTTTTTCAAGGTTTTTCCTTCATTGATTTAAATAATTATGTAGGTTTTATAATATGATTAATTATAACTTTTCTATAAACTATCTTTGTATCCTTTTCTTAGTCATGTTAAATTAATTTCTGTATACATATAGTAAACATATAGCATATATTCATGTGTATGTGTGTGTGTTGTCCCCTTCAAGATTTTATTTAAAATGTTTGTTAGTTTTCTAAACAGTTGTAGAATTTTTCTTCAGTTAGACCTAATATGGTGATGTAGGCGGTATTAGAATATGAATGAAAAGACCCCAAAACTTCTCTTCCAGAGTCATAAAAATGTAAATGCAGCCTTAGGAACCAGTGTAGCACATAAGTTGGAGATTGGCCACCCAATAAAATATAAAACAGTCTGTTAAAATATGCTCACATGATTAACTTCTCCTTGGAAAATTAATTACCAGTAATACAAACTGTCATATCTTTTTAATTTTCCCCCTTTGCCCCAAATAACATAGTAAATACTATTTAAATGATAACATCTTCAATATTTTAAATTTAAATTTAAATATTTTAAGATGCACAAGTCCATAGCCTTAATGGTGTAGCTGCATCAGGAAAAGGGGCACAGAAGTCTCAAGGAGTCATGACACTGACATATTAGTTGGGGGAAAGGGAGGCAGAAAGGAATATATACAGGCTCAGTAAAAAGCTGATGATTTGGGGAGAGAGAGTTTGAGTTAGTCTGTCAACACTTCCTGTCTCTTGCCTCCTGATCTGGTCCTGAATTCCTGACTTGAATCTTCATTCCTACAACTGGCTTCATTCCAACAATCTGTCTCAATCCCTGGGATTTCTTCAATGCTCAGGAAAAGCCTCTACTACAACCTTGCCTGGCTTTTGAGTTTATGCTCTTTAGATTCCTATTTGATTCCTTTCCATCCCCAACCCCAGTGCCTTGCCCTATTCAGCTAGGCATCCATCACTAGACATAGGATAGATACTCCTGAACTACAAAAATTGAATTTGAGGGCTCAGTCCTTTTCCTTTATCTCAGAAACTATTCTTTAACTTTTATTGAAAGATGGAGCTTTAAAAGGACAACGTAATTGATCCTATAATATATAGGAAACGTTTAAAATTAAGTTTTTCATTGTATTCCAATTTGCTTTCAGTATTGACTTTATAAATTTAAGAGGGGGGAATGTCACCAATATCTGCCCTTTTTTTTTTATTTTAAAGAATTTTGTAGCAGATCTTGTTTCAACTCAGGAAGAGCTAATAAAGCTACGACAGGGCTTCAGATGTTTGAGACTTACGTGTACAGAAAATGACAGCACACGTCTGCTCAAAATTGTGTCAGCCCTGTGGGAGGGATGGCTGAGTTTGCTTGAGAATGCTAAAGAGTGGGAATTGCACTGTGAAGAGCTGAAACAAGAGTGGAAATTTATCAGTGAAGAAGTAAGTGCTTCTGTAAATCATATCGGTATTAAAAGTATATGTTGAAAATGTTTCTTTATTTGAATTTTGCCTCTATGTAGTGCATCTTCAAGTTGTTCTTCCTCCATGTCCACTTGCTTATATCACATCTATATATGTATTTACATAATAGCTAGCATTTGTATTGGGGTTTAAGGTTAGTAAAGCGTTTTACAAATATTATCTCATGTGAGCTTCACTTACAACCCTGGGGAGGTAGGTACTGTTATTAGCCTCATTTTACAGATGGGGAAAATGAGGCATAGAGCAATTAAGTGACCTGCCCAGTGTCACACAGTTAGTAAGTGTCTGAGGCTGGATTTGAACTCATTTTTCTGACTCTGGGTCTAGTGCTTTATCCACTGCACCACCTAACATGCATGCTTACATATGAGTATATCATACAAATAGACATATCATACGCAGTAGCTCAAGTATTCTTACAAAAAATCTTAATGTACTTTCAAAACTCTTTAACTATTTATATCGTATGTAATGTCTGAGAAGAAATAGTGTAATGGGCAATTATACAGTTAAAAGTGGAATTAAAAGTACATTTTGAGAACTATTCTGAGAGAAGGCAACTCTTTTAATATATTATTCCTATAATATGAAAGTAATCATATCAATAACATTGAGGCTATTTCATAAATATTCTAAGTTTGCAGTAACTATATGAATCAGTATCACCAACCAAATTGTCACAGACTTCAGCTCTCAAATCCTGACAAAGTGGAAGTGGATCCATTTAAATGAAAGGTTTTGCATTTCAGTGTGCCATCCTGGATAGACGGTTGGCCTCAAAGTCAGAAAAACCAGGGTTCAAGACCCACCTCTCACATAGACTGACTTGACGACCCCGTAAAAGTCATTTAATCTTTTGGTGTTGCCAGCAACTATAAATTGTAGAGAAGGCATCCTCACCCAGGGCTTCCCTATACCAATTAAATCAGGTGCAGTCCCTATCATTATCCCTACATATCAAGTGACCATGAAACCTTTCCTTTGGTGCACCAAAAGGTCTGTGATTTCATCACTGTGAATACTGTCTTCTCCAACACAGGATTGCGCCCCTTGTATACTGTAGGAGATGATCTTCATGTGTTGCTGTAGCTAAATAAATTTACTAACTGCTGGCTACTGCGCCTTTCCAAATTTAGCTAGACTGGTCCTCAAAAACCAGACCTATAGTTTGTTGGACCTGTATTCTAAGTCTTTTTAATTATTAAGATATACAAAAGTCATTCATAATCCACAATCACTTCCATACCATGATGATATATAATGAGAACAAGTAATTAAAATTTTGTATTGTAGATAGTAAATAGCAAGAATTTTTTTTAAACTTTGGATTCAAAGTACCAAAAACATTTTTTGTTTCTTTAGACATTTATTAATTTCTGAAGGATTATACCTCTATCACATTGGACTTGGTGAGCTCTGTAAACAAATATCCTTCATGTAAAATGAATTTTTATTCATTTTAATCATAATATTTCATCAGTATTCAAGAGGTCAGCTTCTGTATGCATTTGTAAAAAAAAAAAAGCTAATATGGTTTTGCAAAATACGTCCCTATAACTCATTTTTAGCCAATTTTCTTTTAATTCCAGGGTTTTTAAAATAATCAAGTCTGTACTTTCATTATGTAATGTATTATTTCTATTTTTTTTCCTAAAGTTTCCTCCATTTTTTTCAAGGTCATAACAGGATTGCAATGTCAGCTGAGCTAACCTACTTTGAGAATACTTAGACCCTGTTCTCTTTAGGTATTTAGATTTATGGCAAAGATTTCCACCCTATAGTCCTGAGTTTCCCAATACAACTAGATAGAGGGTTATTTTGAAATATTCTTTTATAGAAAACACATTATGGATTTGCATTTTTTCCATGTTCTTTGTCTTCTCCTATCTCAAATCATGTAATCCTAATGTAGTCAGACAGATAGTAGAAAAAATGTCTTCAGGCTTGTGTATTTTTGTAAGGCAAATCCTTTTCTATAAACTGCAGCTACCTATTTCAGACTTCCCAATCTAGTCTTCAAATATATCCAAAAGGCATTTATTAGATGTTTCCTATGTGCTAAGTATCATGCTGGGCCCTGAGGGAAATATAAGAATGATTTAGAATTTACTAAAAGAAATAAAAATATGTACTCATAAATATAATAAAAAATTTTTGAAAACAGTGCTATATAGTTTTGGAAGAGGGAGAAATTACATCTGACTGGGTAAATCCAGAGTGGCTTCATGAAGGGCCTTTGAACTCCTCTTCAAGGAGGAATAGGAATTTAATTACAGAGACCATTCTAAGGAATAACATAAGCCAAATGATAGAGATAGAAAAGTTTGGAATGTTGCTAGACTGGAGAGTGGTCCAGCATGCATTGGGTACAGAGGACTATATGAAGGAGAATGATATGAGATAAGGATGGCGAAATAATGTGCATATTCTTAAATCAAGAGATCTTGACTTTATCAGATATATAGTAGAAAAATCCAGATTTTTATCAATTGACTGATTTAATTAGGGCTGTACATTTGGCCAGGATGTTTAGACCGGGAATAACTGGAGGGAGAGGATTGCTTAGGAGTCTATTACAGTGGTTCAGGTGAGAAGTGATGTGGGTCTGGACTAGGAGGGACAGCCTTCACGTTAAAATAAAGTAATGAGAGATTCCAAGGTGGAATACCCTTGTTCCCCCTACACACTTTTTAATTATATACTTGTTAATCCCAAGTAAGTACCACCAATGTTTCAGGTAAGAAATGGTAAAGAGTATCTTGATATGGTCACCTTAAGTCAAAGGTCTTTTCCATTGTCTTTGCGGGTAGAAGTTGATTTCATTATCTGACACAGAGGTGGCCAGATCCTAGCAGACCGATTCACAGTTAACCAAGCTCACAAATGGCTTATATAATGCCAATTATTCATTCATTTGCAAAACATCTACTGACTATACTGCTTGATTAGACCACTGAGTTTTAATACAGTGTTACCTTCAGGGACAAGCGCAACTACTTGTCTCTAGACTTCTGGGCTTTCCTTTTTATAGTGTCTTACTGCCTTTGGACCTGTTGGCTACCATTTTTTCACTAAAGTCAGTGTACTTATTCTCTCTGGCAGTTAAGCTTTCCTATCCCTTTCTTTCCTCTCCCACCATTTCTAATTTACTGAGGATCCAGATAACCCAACTTGGTAGACTTCTTAGACTTGTGTACTAGAAATGAGTTGGTTCAAGCATCTTATACAATATACACCAATAAGGCCTAAATAGATGTGTGATCTAAATATTATACTTATGTCATATAAAAGTTAGAGAACAGAAGGAAGTCTCCTCCATAACTATGTGGGGATAGAGATGGTAGGGGAATTCTAAACTAAATAAGGGATAGAAGGTATGATAAAGATAAGAAGAGAAAATGTCAAATGGGGGAAAAAAACCTTTCTATCATATATTTTAGATAAAAGTATGGTATCCAAGTTACATAGGAACAGAGACAAGTATATAAAAAAAAGAACTGTTCTCCAGTAGATAATTAACTAGAAGTTTATCGTAATAATGATAAACCTGTAAATTAAAAGAACTCTGAGAATTCAACTTACTTTCATCAATTTTGCAATTACAAAAGATAGAAATAGTCAATGTTGGAGATACTGTGGGAAGGCAAGTATGCTATTTATCCCTGGACTATATTAAAACTCAATGTGGTTGGTCAATATCTTGCAAATTAATAGTTGGCATTCTGGTTTATATGAGTCATTTGGAGTTGTGTGGGAAAATTCACTAAACCCTTCATACTTTTGATTCAATATTCTAATTATTAGGAATATGCCTCAAGTAGGTCACATATTCATAGCAGCACTCTTTGTAGTAGGGAAAAGCAAATGTCATCAATTGGAAGAATGGTCAAATTTACTATATGATTCTAACATGATGTTATTGTATCATATCAGGAAGTAAATTTCAAATATATACATGTATAAAATCTCTCGGGTAGCATATAAAGGGAGAAAATTACATTTGTGCTTTCACTTCATTAACATTCATTTCAGTAGTTTACTTTTCATCCAACAGCAATACAGGTATCCCAAAGTTTTAATGCAGTATTAAGCTTAAAAAATAGTCATTTAAATGGTTATTTTTTAAGCTATTAAAGCTTAAGACTGCACTAAGACTTCTAGAATAGACCTGTATTTATTTCACATATGATGGATGAATTTCTTCAAAAGATTTTCTGGGGCCTTTGAAAACTCACATGGACAAATAGCTAAATCAAAATTTCTTCTATTAATTCAGAAAAGCAGAATTACTGTCAGCAGAAAATCGCATGTATTCTTGATGTCTGATGTGACTTTTCCAAAATGAGGAATTCTTAGTAACAGCTTGTGTTTTTATGATCATCAAAGAGATTTCTCAGGTTGACAAAACCCACATCTTAACCTTTATTCCCCTTGTTGACCTAGATTGAACGGGAAGCAATTATTTTAGATAATCTCCAAGAAGAATTCCCTGAGAGTACCAAACCAAAGGAAGCAGCCACCAATGAGGAACTTTCTGAAGCTCTAGAATGTTTCTGCCAATACGAAGAGAACCTGGAGAGGGAGCAACTGCTATTTACTTTACTTCTTCACCGGATAAAAAATATCCTGAGTGTTCCTGAAAGTGCAGAGACAATTGAATCTGTTCCAGTATTGCAAGAGATTTGTTCCATGCAAGATCGATGTACCAAGTAAGGTTCAGTTATATAAGATGAAATGAAGTAGCAATGGTTGAGATGTTGACATTTTAGATGTTGACTTGAGTTAAATTTAGACTTTCTTAAAGATATAATGATAGATTAGAATCAACCCTGAATAATGTGGTTAAAATGGAATCATGAGTGAGTGGGCAACAAAAGAGATCAGAGAGTCTAATACCACAATTGATGAGGAAATACTCTACCCTGGTATTGTTCTGGGTTAGGATCTGCAATTTTTGTCTGGTGGGCACATCCTGTTTAAGAGGAAATGGGGATGAAAGATAGTGGGATTTTTTTTCCAAAAATAATTTATCTAATTTGACTTAGTATACTTCATCAAGCTATCTTTTGTAGCACGTCCTAGGCTTGCTAGAACTCCTAATGTAACCTTTGGTGAAAAAAATGAAAGAGAAATTATATGGTTGGAGTATAGAAATTGCAAAATAAGATAGCTTGGAGAAATATTTTGTTTAGATTACTATCCATAATGATGGCATACATATGTATATGTGATATGTAAATGACTGAAAAATCAGTGATATCTCTTTATTCAGAAAAAGGGTTAGTCTGGGTGAGAGGTTAGTTTTTTGTTAATTTTTCAAACAAAACAACTGTTTGCAAAAAAAAAAGGATAAAGAAAATTGTTTAAGCTACCTTTGATACTGTTTTTGTTCATTTTAGGCTCTCTCAGAAAGCTCAAGCAAATAAAAAGTTGGTACAGTTTGAAATTGAAGAGAGAAATAATATCAGTAAAGAAATAATTACTTTGAAGAATTCATTTGAAAAAATGACAGCCTCTTTCCATGATATGGCATTAGAAGAAGACCCAGGAAAGGAAGATCAGTTGGAGGTTAGTGACAGGTCATGGGTCATGGGGAACAATTCAATGAGATTTCACTTGCAAGAAGCAAATATTACTTTCTGGTGAGGCAATCTGTCACTGTTGTGGTGTATGAACTGGTGTGCTGGTAAATGTTTAACCACAAATTCAGAAAAAAGAATGTATGCATGATATACTTTTAAATTTAATCTGTACTATTAACATTTTCTCCATCATTTTCTTAAATCTAAACAATCAAGAAAACAATAAATCAAGCCCTGGTTTGCAGAGTTTGCCAGTTTCCAAGTTGTAAGTGCTTACACTGAAAACTTAACAATCAGCCCAGTTCAAACTGGCTCCAGCATAGTCTTGGATATATAATTAACTCATCCCTTTAAGAAGTATGAATACCTCTCTGAGTCAGAAGGGGGTAATGTCATTAGCCAAGAAAGAAACTGGTTGCATTATTGAAGGCCTTTAAATAGCTCAATCCTAGAGACTGTTCTGTAATTTGAAGGCATTGGTGAGAGAAACAACAGTTGTGGAAGAACCTAACTTTTGATGGGGAGAGATTGGAGTTTTTCTGTCCTCCCCCATTGGCCATATCATCCAGCCTCAGAGCTACTTACCCAAAGGAGACAACCCATTCAGCATCTGACAAGGCATTTCAAGAGAGTTTGGGACATAGATAAGGGAATAGAGACACACTATATTCCAGCTCTTTGCCACTAAAAAGAGATATATCTGTATCAGGAATTCTTAACCTTTTTTTGCGTCATGGACCCATTTAGTACTAGTCTTCTGAATCCTATCTACCCCTTCTCAGCATGTTTTTTGAATACATAAAATGAAATACATAGGATTACAAAGGAAACCAATTACATTGAAATTCTATTATCAAAATATTTTTAAAAGTTCACAGACCCCATGTTAAGAGCTCCTGCTGCAGACAGACACAAATATAGAGGTACTCACTTGAGACCAGAAATAGCAGCAAGAAACATAACCCCTGGAGATCTGGCAGTGGACTCAAAAAAGCTAGCCCTGGCAACTGAGAGTTGGATACAGAGAGGACTACATGAGAAGAGAAAGGATTTGGAGGCCCCATAGTTGCAGAGTTATAATCAGAGTTATATCCAGAGTAGGCCATATTATCATTATGTGTCAGCCTCATTATCATTATACTCTACATTTTAGCCCGTTCTTCCCAGCATGCTGGGTGTATTTAGGGGAAAGTACACCCCAGGTTACTGGGGATGGGAGAATTTTTTATAGCTACTGTTTTTTAGCCTAAGAGCTAATTGTGTCTGCTAGCTTATTATTAAAGGAAAATAGGATCTATAGTACAAAGAGCCAATATCCATGGGTACCATAGAACCTGTGGCATTAATGGTGGGGGCCCAACCCACCTGTACAAGTACAAGTTGGCAATGTATCCCAGGGCAGGTATTATACCACCATTCTCCTAGTTACCCAGGGGCAAAACCTCACCATCACTATTGACTTTTTTCTCTTCTCTCTTTCCCACATGCATCTAGCTGTTAAGCCCTCTCAAATATGTTTTCTCTACATCACTCAAATCTATCCTACCCATTTAGTTCCTACTGTCAACATGCTAGTAGTTCAGGCCCTCTTTACCACTTGTCTTTAGTATCATGGTAGCCTCCTAATTGGTCTTCCTACCTCCAGTCTTTCCTTACTCCACTCCTATATGTTGCATTAGATTAATCTACTTAATATATACATCTGATCTCTACTTTTCAGAAAACTTCAATGACTCCCTATGAAATCATGACTTTTGGTTAACATCTGTAATGCCAACCAAATAAAGTCTTATAGCTTGTTTTTTGAAAGTATAACTTAGCTTGAACTTAACTTTCCAGCTTTCTTTCTTACTACTGCCCTTCACTTACGTATGACACTTTACCTGAAATTGATTATTCCTTGTTTGCTGAACCATCCCCTTGCCTTTGTATCTCCATTTCCCCTTCTGTATCGAACTCCATGAGCAAAGAGATCATGTTTTATGTCATTTATCTTTATGTCTCCCAGATTATCTTTCAAGTTATAGGCTTAATAAATTTTCGCGATTGAATTGGGGAAAGGAAAAGATGATTGTGAACTGCATCGTTTGTAAAGGCATTGTTGTTTGTCCTTTGTTCTCGAAGAGGACCATGACGTTAGGGAGGAGATGCCATGACTTGCAAGTTAATTGGATTTAAGTTAGGGAGAGCTGTGCAAAGTCACTAGCCTCACTCTCTCTTCTGGAGCCATCTGGGTCCAATGGCAAGATATAGATCAGGATGACTGGAGATGGCCCCGTCCCCAGTGGGATGATGCAGTGGGTGACCTTGGCCTTTTTAATAAGTTAAGGTCTTTCCCAAGTCTCAGTTTATCTGAGGCAACACTCATTCAGTGATTAAGGCTAGGTAAAAATGAGGCAAAGAATGACCTCTTTTACCTACTTAAAAACAAACAAACAAACAAACAAATAAATAAATAAATAAAAATCAATCTGGGAGGGGAAGACCCTCAGGGTTTCTGGCCAAAACAGAAACAATTGCTATTTATACTCATTCTATATTATACTCATATAGCAGAATCCAAACAATGACCAAGTTAGGCTCGGGCTATTGTTGGCCAATGAATGAGAGCCATAGTGATTTGGGTTTAAGGCATGGTCCTTAAAAAAGAAATCTAGCCTCTAAATCCCAAGATATCTTGCTAGGTTTCAGCTATCAAAATTTATGTTCCTTTGGTCAGAGCACTCACAGGTAAGGATATGATTCCTTATGTGGAAAGAGGGAGAGAATAGAGAGGAGGGAGGTAAGAAAGGAAGAAAGAAAAGAAGGAAGGAAGTATGGAAGGAATTATGTATACTATAAATAACGCAAGGATTTGTATGTCACAAAATCATATATATGTTTCATTGGGGAATCAGACCTATATCTTTATCTTGTGATAATTATCAAATAGCATACTAGGACATTGAGATTACTTGTATACTTTAGATTAGACTCGGTTTTTTTCTCAGCTATAGGACACGGTGTCTTATATCAAACATGGGGCTGCCCACACAATGAAGTTCACTTAAGCATTAATTTCTTAAACCACTGGAAATACAGACCCAATGGTAACTTCTCTCTGAGTGAGAAGTGGGTCTTCTCTTTTAGTAACTGTCTTCAATCAGTTTTTCAGATGCATTCAAAAGTTGTATGCTGCTGGTAACTGGAGCTGTTTTGTTACAGTATATTGAGAGAGGAAACTTGATTTCACTTATTGAGGGGATTATCATGGGAAAAGCATCAATGTAGAGCTCTAAATGAAGGGCAGCCCTCTTAGACTGGATATAAGCAACATAAAAGATTACATAATTATGTGGGCAGTTCAGACCCCCAACCCCCTATATTTGTCTGAATTACCACGATAATTACATAACTTTCCACTTAACTTTGCTTGTATAGGGTTGACTGGTATTAAAGATAAAAGATGAGGGTTTGGTAGTCAGAAGTAAAAAAGTAACTGAATGATAAATCACCATAAAGAATCATTTAAAATTGTAATTATTCTTCAGGGCAATGCCTTGGTCCATTAACAAGATTAATAACCAATTCTTCCCTGAATAGTGACTATCAGAAAAGATCACTGTAAAGTTATAAAGTATTTTTCCACCTGATCTTTGGGAAAGTTTCCCAAACAAATGAGTTTCTCTTTTATAATTACTGCAAGGGGAACTTAGATCAGATTTTCTTTCTAGGCCACAACCAATAGACTATTTGTTCAAGTTGCTTTTATCTCTTAAAACCCACATTCTTCCTGTGGAACTGGAACCCTCAGTTTTGAAAGAAGCTGGGCTCACTGTGCTGTATAATTACATGAAAGCAGACACTTTTGCTTCAAGCTTCCAGCTTTTAGTGGCCTTGCATCATTGTTATGATAATGTAGGAAGAAGTATAAATGGCAACAGGTTAATAAAAACTTCTGAAAACTTTTGCTCTGAACAGGTTTTTATATCAGGAATGCTACAGAGATAAAGTTAAATCATAGAGGCACTTTGGAAGCGCAGAGATGTTTTAATGTCTTTTTACAACAGTGAGTTGACATTATGAAGTGATATCAAGTTTAATTCTTACAAATTGAAAGGCGTCATCTGACTAAACTGAGCATCTCTCAGGTTTAATCAGCTTGTATGAATAATAGAGTTTTGTCATGCAAAAGCTGCTCATTTCAATCATAAGGATGTGCTCTGAAACTGCTTTCAGTTTTAGAGTTAAACTTTTCCTGTGTCTTGTTAGTACTGAAAACCCTCTTTAATGTTTTAAGGCTCTTCAGAGAATAATTGACAAAGAGAAGCTAGCACTTGAGAATATTATGGAAAAACTCCGAATCAAGTATTCTGAGATGTATACCATAGTTCCTGCAGAGATTGAGTGCCAGATGGAAGAATGCAAAAAAACTTTAGAAGACATAGATGAGAAGGTAATGATGTTTGTGGCAGCATTGTTCATTCCTGTGGTTTATCTCTCATTTATGCAATAGAGGAAGCAATGTGCCTTTCAATAAACATAATTGGGTTCACAGTTTCATTTTAGTTGCGTTTTCATTTATGAATATAAACTTTTTTATGGCTCAGCTAAGTGAAAATTTTGTGATTGGAAACTAAACTCTAAAGCAGTTTCAAGTGACAGATATAAGAGTCCAGAATAATCTGTACATTTTTCTCCTTGTGCTTCATTCCTGATTTAGGATGCTCCTAATTAGTGTGAAGTACAATTTCATTACCTTTTACAATAGACCTGAATTATAGGTTTTTGTCTTAAAACATGTTTGCTCTTAACTTTTTGAAGTAATTCAAGTCCCGAAAAAGGAATTTTAGAGTAGATTTGAACACATCTTACACATGAAGGCAGATAGGAAGATAAGTTACCAATAAGAGAACAAAGAAAAGTCAGAATTCATTTTATTGTGATTTTTAAAAAAAAGACAACCCAAACCAAAAGATGAAATGTTTATAGATAACTTCTATCCTTCCTGTTTTTTCCCTCCCCTAATTTAGTCCAGCTCTCATAGTAACATTTTATTATTGATTTCAGATATTCCTAAAATTGTAACTTGATGAGTAAAATGTTTCTTAGTACCAAAAATTAAATATAATTGATGGAATTAGTAATATCTTGATATAACAATGCATTCTGTATCATATTTCTTAGTATATTTATACTAAAGAAGCATGAATGTATAACAAGTATTATAGATATGACTGTTACATCCACAACACCAAGAATGTGTATACCAGCATTCTCAGATAATAATTATATAAGTTAGAATTCCTTTCTCTACTAGTATGCATTTAGCAGCAAACCTTATCATTTTGACACATACAATTTTTGTGTAGCTCCTAAAGCATCAGGGACTATTGTTTTCATTAGAATAGCATGTCTTTAATTACAGGTCAAACTAAATGCTATTCTATTGTAAACAGCATGTGGAATCCCTTAGAAAACTCACTGAAAGCATCTAGAGTCTTTAAAGGTTAGGCCTCTGAAAAATTCCACTTGTAATTTAGACCACAGGTAGATTAATATGTATTAACATTAATGCAAAAGATAACAGCTAACGGTTATCATCTGACAGTATAAACTATAACCTTCCATATAATTCAAATTGCTATTTGTGTTTCTTACATCATGATCTTTTTTTTTTGCAGTTCATTTAAGAGGTATGTCTTTAATGTAGATGTATTAAGTAATCCCACCCCCAAACAAGAACAAAATTCTGTTCTTTTTCAACTAGAAATTTTTTCTAATAAAATCAGCAGATGATATTAACAGTGTTGTCTAGTGGAAAGGATCTGGGATTGGACCAGAATGTTCTAGTTCCTGGTTCTGCTATTAATCTTATCTATTACCTTAGGCAAATTATTAATCCTCTCTATTCCTCAGTTTCCTCTTTTGTAAAAAGCCCGTAAAAGGTCATTGTGAGGCTCAGATGAAAAATTGCAAAAGTAATTTGCAAAGTTAAGAAATACTAGGCAAAAGTAAGATATCATCATCATCATTATCATCATCACTTATTTTAGTGGCTACATCAAGACTCCTATCAATGTAATTTTCAAAAAGAATGAATCTTCATGGGGTATTTGAAGCAACATATTTGTCATTAATCTCCTAGAGATAAGTTATTTTCTTTAAGGAATAATTCAGGTAGAAAATCATGCTGCTCAATGAGTGGGTGTTGATTGCTGTGAAGAAAAACCCTAAAAATATTAAGCAGCATATATTTTCAAGTGTCAGCTAGTTCAACACTATATTGTTTCACTCAAATGAACATTAGGGTAGAAATTGCATTTTCTTTGGCTTGCTTTGGAATAAGTTTAGTTTTATTAGAAATGCTTAACTTGTGTGCCTAAGCTGTCACAGGAAGCCGAGATAACAAGTCATAAATAATTTATTTCTGAAGTTCACATTGTGAGGCAAGTCGTATCCTTTGACCATTGTGGGTAATGTTTCTGATATTCTAAACAGTGCATACCATCTGTAGCTTTTGGCATGGATGTGAATAGTCAATTTAGTGAAGAAAAATTGCTATTCAACACCGAATAAGCCACATCAGTATAAACATCCCACCTAGAAAAAAAAATCCCCCAGTTCTTGAGGAATTGTTCTGAGTGAATTTGCATGACAGAGTGACTGCCTCCTTTCTACCTCCTAACTACCCTTTATCAGAGAATAAATGGATAGGATGTTGAATCGTCTCTAGATGTTGAATAAGACTTTCTCTTTTTATAACAGATTAGAAATGAAGTCTTGAAGAGTTCGCCTTTTTATGTGATGAGTAGAAAAATAGAAGAAATTAATCATGGGCTTCAGAATGTTGAAAAGATGTTGCAACAGAAAAGCAAAAATATTGAGCAAGCTCAAGAAATTCAAAAGGTAATGACCTCTAATTCTTCCCTTTCAGGCAAGGATGTTGATGACTTTGATCTGTATTCCACAATTTGATTATTCAGGAGCTACTTGGTCTCCAGTGTATGTTTCCTGTTACTCTCAGCTAATGAAGTATTGAGCATCTGGTACCTTGTGTGGGCACATGGACACTGGGCCCAGCTCACAAGGCACACATTTACTGGAATCATGACAGTACTAGAAACTTTTAATGGTGAATAGGGTATCCTTATTGGAAATGATGATTACATTTTAAAAACATATTTATGGTGGGGATTAGAACATATTTATTGAGATCCATCCAGTCATTGACTTGTCAATTTCTAGGTCCTGAAGGAAGCTTAAGAACACAAAAAGGAAAGCAAGCTTTCCACAGCAAAGGGAATGATTCAATAGGTTACAAGAGATAGTAACCACTTAACTTCTGACTCCTAAGAGAATGAAAGAATGTCAAAAGGTCCAAATGTAATTGCATTTTCAGTTGAAATCATATGAGGGCTGTGCTGGAGCCAGTTCTAATCAGCTTAAAAAAGCAGATTGTTAAATTTTCACTGTGAGCAGAAATCAATAGTCATCTAGGCTTGATTTATTGTTTTGTTTATTGTGTAGACTTTATAAAGTGTTAATAATGCAGATGAAACTTAAGTGTGTCTGCATATATTCCTGCCAGCCAGATTGTTAAATATTGACTATATTGCTCTATAAACATTTTGTGAACTCTGCAGGAGTGCAGTAGAAGTCTTGGGGGAAGATGTTATCACCAGACTTGAGGCCTGATGACAGTAGGCTAATAATAATAATAACTGGTATTTGCATAGGAATTTAAAGTTTGGAAAGTACTTTACAATCCATTTTCTTATTTAAACCTCACTGCACCTGTGGATAATATCCTTGTTAAAACTCACCATCATAGAATCGCAACATTAGAAGGCATCTTAGAGTACATCTAGTCCAAACTGGACTTTAAAAAAGATGCCTTCTGTATCATACCTGGCAGGTGGCTCTCCACTGACTTGAAGAGTGAGGGAATGAGGGAGAACTCACTACCTCCTGAGGCAGCCTGTTACTTCTGAATAGCTCTAAATGTTAGGGAGCCTGAATGAATTTCTTTGCAGTTTCCAGCCACTACTCCTAGTTCTACCCTTTGGGACCAAAAAGAACAAGCGAATCCCTCTTCTGTGGGACAGCCCTTCCATACTTGAAGACTTCCTGAGACTTCTGCAGGCTCAGGCTTTCTAGTTCCTTCAACGCTTCTCATTTGGCAAGATCTTGAGAACTCTCTCCATTCTGGCTGCTTCTCTCTGGAAAACCTCTAGCTTATCATTGCTCATCCTAAAACAAGGGACCCAGAGCTGACTACAATAATCCAGATAGATCTGAACAAATTATCATGGGACTATACTCTGCCCTGTTCACATTATATTGCATTTTATTTATATTATTTTATTGCATTTGGTTTTAGGTTGTCACATTTTAAGAATAACGTTGTACATAGTCTTGAGATTCCATGTCTAAATTTCCAATGTGACATGCATTTTTTAATCATTTTAATTTAAAGGATTTTATTTCAAATTATAGGTATTCATCCACAGACAAAATCTTAGGATCTTTCTATGTAGGTAAACCTAATTTAGTCAGTTTTCACATAGATAGGTTTCCTAGAGATTATCACACTTAGATAACATGAGACAAAATGATTAAAGATTTTTGCCTTCAAGACTTCACATGGCCAGATGTAATCAGAAGAGACCCCAGAAGTCAATCTAGTACAACCAATACCTGAATAGGAATCTCTTTTTCCCTCTATAACATGCCTAATTCATCCATTTGAAGCCTCTGGTTGAAGACCAACAGTGACAGAGAACTCATTTCTTGCTGAAGTAATCCAATTAACTTTTTATACAGAACCTTCCAAGCTCATATTGGTCTGATCAGCCATAGTCTGTACTTTGACTCCAACATAGTAATGTCATTTTGGTCCTCTTGGAGAATGAAAGACAACAACAAATCCAACCAACCAACCAATAATTAGGAAGTTCTTCCTTTTATGAAGCTCACATCTTGCCTCTGTAAAACTTTCAGCCATTGCTAACTAGTTTTATTTTCTGGGGCCAAGTAGGACAAATTTCTAACTCAGAATCACAGAATTTCAGGGTTGGAAGTAACCTCATTGGCCATCTATCTAGTTCACTCCACACCCTAAAGAATCCCTTATGTTAACATACCTGACAAGGGGCCAAATATGCTCTGTTTGAAGGCCTTTAAGGATAAGTTACCCTCTACTTCCCAAGGCAGCTCAGTGCCTAGGACATAGGAAGTGCTTCATATATATTTGTTGATTGACTTACTGACTGAATAGCCCATTCTACTTTGGAACAGCTTGAATAGATAAGGAAGCTCTCTTGACCTAAGTCTAAGTTTGCCTTTTGACTATACCCATTCAGTCTTCCTAGTTTTGCATTCTGGGTACAAATAGGACAAGTCTAAACCTTCTTCCACATGACAGATATTAAAACACTTGAAACTACCTATTATAGCCTCCCCTCCTCAAGTCTTTGCTTTTTCAAGCAAAGCATCATCACTTCCTCCAACCTTTCCTCATATAGCATAGATTCACTTGGTTTACCCTTCTCTCCACACTCTTCAGCTTATCAACATCCTTTTTTAAAAATTACCATTTTTAAAAATTCTGAATTTCACAAATACTAAACAAGATGAGCGTTGCCATATACAAAGAAAAATGCTGAAAAGAAAATTGTATGTGTGGACAAGAATTTGTGCAATGGCCAGCTTGCTTCTCTCTCCAAGTACACAAAAAATTCATTGTGTTATTTTCAAAACTGTTCTACTTGTTTGTGTTTCCTACTAACTTTTCTTCTGTCCTCTTCCATGGATTTTTGAATTTTTTATTTTATCATTTTTGCTAGCCTCCTTTTCCTTTCAACTGCTCCCCACTCAAATTGAAAGAAAACAAAACCCTTATATAAAGTATGACTATAGTAATGCCCTTCTTAAATCATGACACAGTGACAGAATGGAATGCAATATTCCAGCTGTAGTCGGACCTAGGGAGACTATAGAGGAATTATAGCTTCCTTATGCCTGGAAGCAATGTATCTTCTAATGCAGTCCAAGAAGGCATTATTTTTTTTTTTGACTGGGGCAGTAGGGAAGGGAGAGGATGGGAGGGAAAGCTGCCACATGACACTGCTGAAACATTGTCCACTAAGACCCTTAAATCCTTTTCAAAGTGTTAATTATTCTTCTGCCATCCTATATTTATGCAAATAAAATTTTGAGCCCCAAATTTTGTATTTATCTCTATTGAATTTCATCTTAGATTCATTTATTACTCTAGGCTGCAAAAGTTATTTTGACCCTGACCCTTTCATCTGGTGTATTAACTATCTCTCTAACTTTATGTCATCTTCAAATTTGATAAGTGTGCCCTTAAATTTTTAAGCATACCATTTATGTTTTTTAATCCATTTGGGATAAAAAATATTAAACAGCACAGGGTTAAGTAATGATCCCACTGATTTTCCATATGAGACCTCCTACCATGGTGACATTGAACCAGTAATGACTGCTCTTTGTGTTCAGACCCTGAACTCTGATTTAATTGTATAATCATTAAATATCTCTTTCTCTTTGCCTCCCTCCCTCCCTTTCTTCTTTTCTGTTTTCTAAAAGAATAGCATGAGATACTTTATCAAATGCTTTCCTAAAATGTAAATAAATAATTTCTACAGTATTCCCAATCTACTTTTTAGTAACCTAAAAAACAAAAGAAGTAAAAGTAGAAGTAAAACTTTTTTCCCCTAGATTTTCAATCTTTTTAATGACCCTTTATAGAATTTTCCAAGAAATCAAAATCAAGCTCACTGACCTCTAGTTTACATATTCTACTGTCTTCCCTTTACAATAGAGAAATTTGCCGTTTTCTAGTCAAATCCCTCTTTCATATTCTTCAGATACTTGAAGACAGCTATCATGTCTCTGTCTAAATCTCTTCACCAAACTAACTATACCTAGCTCCAGCTCATCAAAAAGAAGCAGGTAGAAGGTGCAGTGTATTGAGTGATGGTCCTGGAGTCAGGGAGACATGAATTCAAATTTCTGCTTCAAGTACTTACTAGCTGTATGACCCTGAGCAACTTGCTTAACCGTTCTCTGCCTCAGTTTCCTCAAATTGTTAAACAAATTGTTTCCTCAAATTGTTAAATTATATAATAATAACTCTTACTTCCCAGGGTTGCTGTGAAGATTAAATAATACTTGCAAAGCATTTCGAACACTGCCTGGTACATAGTCGCATACTTAATGGTAGTGAAGGAGTAGGTCATTGGATTTAAGAAGACTGAAGAATTGAGAGGTTAGAAAGTTTAAGGGAGCATCAACATGGTATGCTGAAGTCCTCTAGCGTAAGAGTTGGTGTTAGGGAGGAGAGGAAGACAGTGACCCAAGTGTTAAACTTTTTGAAATGACCTGGGACCAGGTTTAAAACAGCCCCTATACTTTGAATTGGTTGGAAAACACTGACTATAAATTTCCAAGAGGAGATTGTTGCAATGTCCTGGTCACTGAGCAATGGTAGTAAAAGAAGAATCTGAAAGTCAAGTGGGAGCAAGGAGCATCTTGTCTCTCTCTCTTCAGGACCAGTGCATTGGGAAGTATGGGTGAAGGCACAGCCACTAATAGAGAGGAGGGCGAGGAATGTAGTGTCCACACCTTGACTTACTTCTGATTTCCTTCTACAGAAAATGTGGGATGAACTAGACCTCTGGCATTCCAAACTAAATGAACTAGATTCTGAAGTCCAGGATATAGTTGAACAGGACCCAGGACAAGCCCAAGAATGGATGGATAACTTAATGGTTCCCTTTCAACAGTACCAGCAGGTGTCACAGAGGGCAGAGCAAAGAACTTCACAGTTAAATAAGGTGAGTCTGTGACACCTGGACAGCAGAAGACTGTGATGATATATAGTGTCAAAAAAGAGATTGGTTTTTGCAGGCTTGGTCTTCAAACTTGTTTTTTAAAATATTTTTGATTATTCCAATGTAATTCTTTCCTTTGTATTCCTATGTATTTTTTCACATATTCAAAAATATTATTCTAAGTAGGTGTCCATAAGCTTCACCAGACCTGCCAAAGTGGAGTTGGTGTCACAAAAAAGTTAATAATCCTGGTTTTAGAGAAAACCAAAAATTCTTAGATTTTAATCATTCACTTTTCATCTTATGTTACAATATCCATCAAAATAAGAGAAACAGGTTCATACATACATCTGATTGTGATTAATCCTCATTTTCTAAATTACTAAAATCTACTTAAAATCAAAAACAGATTTTGAAAATTATTGCAATGTTCTTTTCCCAGGCCACACTTAAGATGGAGGAATATAATGACCTCTTAAGGAATACTGAGACTTGGATAGAAAATACTAGTAGTTTGCTAGATGGCCCTACTGACTACAGTTCTTCAAAGGCCCTGAGTCACCATGCTAATACCCTTCAGGTAGGTGTTCATTTTTTTGAGGCTCACTGAACCCAAATGATAACTGATAGTTTGACTGACTCTTATTCTGATTGATGTCTTCTTTTTGGGTAAGGTAAGGGTGACAGCAGTCCTGGAGACCTGTAATTTCATCAGTTTGGGGAACTATTGGTATGGAAACTCCTTCTACTGATGTTGATCTAAAACCATCTATAACTTCTAGATTTAAGAGAGTTATCTGGAAGCACTGAAAGGTTGGACTACGGTTGCTCAGGGTCACTTAGCTGGCAAGTGTCAGTGGCAGAATTTGAACCCAGTACTTCCTGATTATAAAGAAACCCTTCTGTTCACTATGTCACACTACTTGTCTTGTTATTTTCTTATTTGTTCAAAATTAACTTTTCTTCCTACTATGCAATACATAGGTAGCGTGGATGCAGTAGAAAATGCACTGGTCTAAGAATTAATAAACTTAGCTTCTAGCTAACTGAGCCACTCACTAGCTTTATGACTTTGCGCAAACTTCTTTAAAAACTCAGTTTCCTCATCTGCAAATGTACATTGTACATGTTCATCGTAAATATTCATTGTACTATCTGAGCTTTGTGGTCTCTTTCAGCTTTAAAATTCCATGGTTCCATGGTTCTGTGGTTTGCGTTACTCTTAGTGCCATTAAACTATGAGCTTGTATTGTGGAAGGAAGGAAGGATGGATGGAAGGATGGGTGGATGGATAGATGGATGGAAGGGAGGGAAAGAGAAAGAGAAGAAGGAGGGAGAGAGAAAGGAATTTTCTCAACAGACTTCCAAGACATTGAGAATTCATTTAACTTCTCTCTAGTAAATATATTTCCTTTCTTCTATATTGTTCAAGGAAAAAATATGAAACTTGAAGATGAGTATTACTTGATAGAATTTAATTTTGTAGTTGCTTCCAAAGAAAATGTGATTTCCTATGCAAAATATTGACTTTGGGATTATCACAAAATTATTATAGCACCTAGTACAGTGCCTGGCACATGGTAGAAGTTTAATTAATGCTGGTTGATTGACTATCTGATGTTCTGGATCACTCACACTATTACTTCTTTCCACTAGCTTAGATACTGTGATTGAAACATGATCATATTTTTTTCATAACTTGATTTATCTTCCTCTTCCCAATTGGAACTTCTTTTAGCATATTGTCCCAGTTGATGGTCATTCCACTGGACCTTTCTAAAAATGTCAGTTTTTTTCTAGTTATCTCAGGAGTTCATAGTCTAGTACTTAAGTGGGTTTACCAAATTAGGAGACAAAGATGGTGCCTATTCTACAAGTCTGAAAGGCCAGTATTACATTGTCCAGAATGGAACGGATAATGCTTGCTGGTTTTGTGCTGCCTTCTGCTGACACATCTGTGGAAGTGCTATTGGTACCATTCAGGAGATACTTGTGCTGAGGAAAGAATCTCAGTTATCCTCTGGCCTTGTTTAAAGAGAAGCTTATAGAGAAAAAGGAGAAAGAGAGATATAGAAAAAGACAGGATTCCTGAAATTCACCTGAAATTCAGAAAGACCTTCTAATGGAGTAATTCTTGAGAATTCTACTGCTGGGAAATCACTCCATTTTCCCCCCATCTGAACTACTGCATATTTTACATAGGAAAAAAATGTAGTTGTATTCCTTTAGTTTTTACTTTTGTTTTTGTTTGGAGAACATGTAAATAATCATCCTAGTTTCTTGCATCATAGTATATTGAATTAAGAAATTTTATCTTTAAAAATATGTTTTTCAAATTTGGCTTATAACTTCCATCTGTTTGCATTTGCAAAAGAGGGTTCCAAATACATAAAGTTGGACATATAAATGTTTTGAATGTAATTAAGGTAAACTTGTTCAGAAATCTCCATCATCATAGAAAATGTTATAGATTCTGTAAAGCTTTAAACAACCCAGACTAATAACTAATATTTACGTAGCCTTTTAAAGTATATATACACATAAACATATATATTTTGGTATACATATATAAATATATATACATACATATATATAAAGTAGGAATAATAATATTTGTAATACCCACCTCACAGAATGGCTGTAAGAAATGTTTTATATATTTTAAGTGAACAATATAGTATGTATTAATGTTATGTGCTTTGACTTATTAACTATTGGACTATCTGAGCTGGGTGGTCCCTTCTGGCTTTAAAATTCCATCATTCTGTGGTTTGCATTATTCTTTTTGTTACTGTTGTTACTCAGTCATTTTTCAGTTATGTTGACTCTTCATGACCCATTTGAGGTGTTCTTGGCAAAGATATTGGAGTTTGTTATTTCCTTCTTCAACTCATTTTTCAGATGAGGGAACTGAGGCAAACAGGATTGAGTGATTTGCCCAGAGTCACAGAACTAATAAGTGTCTCAGGCCAGATTTGAACTCAGGTCTTCCTGACTCCAGCTCCATCACTCTATCCACTGCACCACCTACTCGACCTGTTTTCATTACTCTTAGCACCACTTAAACAATGAACTTGTATTGTTGGGGAAGAGAAAGAAGGAAGGAAAGGAGGAAGGGATTTTAACTATTTAATTAGATTTAATATATAATTATTTAAATTATAATGTATATATACTACAACAATATGAGATAGATATTGGAAATATGATTATCCTCATTTTCCAAGTGAGAGAGTTGAGGCTCTGAAGCTAAGTGACTTATCAATGGTCATACAACTAATAAGTTTGAGATGTGGGATTTGAACTCATGCCTTTCCTGTCTCCAATTCCTATATATTTATTAACCAAACCTTATCACAGACCACTGATCTGTCAATGGGGACCATTTCTGAAGGATTACATATAAACATATAAATTACATACATACATACATATAGCGCAGCTCTGCAATTGGACCTCACATTATGGAGACCATGGACAAAATAACTCTGTCCTGATCAATCCATCGAAGCCTGACACCTACTCACAAAAGGGAAAGAAAAACATCGCCCACAGTAGCAGGGTGACATATTTCAGATCCTGCCATCTTTTTTTCCAAATAATAATTATGATGTTATTTTAATTTACATACAATCACAGATTTAGATATGGAAAGTACCTTCAAGGTCATCTCATCTAAACACCTCATTTTACAGTTAAGGAAATTGAGGCCCAGAAGATTGAGTGACTTGCCCAAGGTCACATAGGCACTAAATGACAGAGTTATGATTTTAACTCAGGATGACTGACTCCAAATCTAGCATTCTTTTCATTGTACCATGCTACCTTTAATGCTTGATGGTTTCCCTCACAAAGTCCCTGCAAGGATGGATCATGTTAGTGCCTGTCTGTTGGTTTTTGTAGAGCTTATCATAATTGGGATTCAATTAAACAAGCGATTGCTAATATGAAAGGCAACAATGGAGATGGCGATTAAATATGACACCAACCCAGTTTTCAAAGAGCTTAAATTTAATAGGCTGACATCTCTCCATTAAGCTCTGTTGATAGGTTGGAACTTCCTATCAGCAGCTCTGCCAACATGATCTTGATAGTTGCATCTATGTGGGTGGCCCAATGAACCACTGGTAGTGCCATGAGAAGGAAGCTATCAAAGTGGACATCTGGTACTACCTATGTGACATTAACATCTGAGATGTTGATAATGATAGTATTCTTTGAAATTTAATTGACTTTATAGAAGAAAGTTATAATTTGTAGGAGAAAAATAGATTTGCATAATTTATAACATATTTAGATGGATTTTCATGAATATTCTTTTATAGGCCTGACATTTCAATAGAATAAACTTCTGAAAACAATGTATTTATAGCTCAAACATTTCTGAAAGATATTTGGAATATTTTGAAGTCTTAAATTTGCACATTAATTTATAATTTTATGAATTACAAGAATTAAAAAGTATATATGAGAATGAAGGTCTAACAACAAAAAGTTGGTTACTTTGTAGAAAAAGTAAAAACAAATTAGAATTTAAAGTTTTGTCTAATATATTATTCATTCATTATTTAACTAATTTTGTTGTTATATTTGTTAAGATTGTTTTCTCTTTTTTAAAAAAAAAAGCCTCCCAAAATGTTCAGATTGCTGATGTTACCCTTATAGATAATTCTTTCTAGCTGACAATACAGGCTATTTGTACAATGCTTCCACTGTCAAACTAGAAAATAACCATTAAAAATATATGTCTTGCAGTTTAAAATGTAGCAAATTCTAATCTTCTCTAATGTATACCAGTAAATCAATATATTTTCACATTTTCCGTTTCTTGATATTTGTCTTTTTCTTTCTTATATCAATTTTATAGATGGCTTTGGAAGACTCAGAGCAAAAACAAAATCTTCTCCATTCAGTTTATTCTGACCTGGAAGAATTTTCAGTGATCTTTGAAACAGATGACTTAGCACCAATTAGGTTAAACCAACTAAGTGCTAGAGTCACAACTCTACAGCAAAAACTAATGGCAAGTCTTCCACAAATCCAGGACATGGCTGATGTAAGTTTTCTTTTGGTAAAAAGATTGATTTGTTATTTTAATTTACATTTATTTTACTAAAGAATAGCTACAATGCTGTTACTGATATAGTCATCTCTCAATTGTCTACTGACAATTTTCATTGTGATAATTTTCAATCTTTGGCACATTTTACTTTCAAGATCTTATTGATAAAGTAATTAGAGTAAAGATTGTTTAAATTATCCAATAGTTCTTAGTTATTTATCTTTCCTTTTGCATCATGTAGCCCAGTAGGTAAACTTTTAAACTAAAACATATACTTACCTTCCCTAAATAGGAAGAGTGTATACTTAGGGTGAGAAAGTATCCACTCAGTTTAGTATTATATATTTTTGTTGTTGTCCTTTTTCAGTTGAATCTGACTCTTCATGACCCTGTTGGGGGTTTTCTTGACAAAGATACTGGGGTGGTTTGTCGTTTCCTTCTCCAGCTTGTTTTACAGATGAGGAAAATGAGGCAAACAGGGTTAAGTGACTTGCCCAGGCTCACACAGCTGGTAAGGGTCTGAAGCCAGATTTGAACTTAGGAAGATGAGTCTTCATGACTCCATACCAGGCAATCTATACACTGCACCACGTAGATGCCCCAGTAACATATATACATTACTCAAAGGGGTGATACTATTTATTTAAAGTATAGGTTGAGAAATATGGTAAAAAAATTTTCTAGGGGGCACTGATGCTTACCTTAGGTCTAAATAATAATATTAAATCTATAATTTTGTTCTAGGCTGCCTCAGTTTTCTCCTCACTTTAGTGCAGCAGACAGAGCACTGGGCCCAGAGTCAGGAAGACTTGGGTTCGAATCCAGAGAAAGACACTTACTAACTGTGTGATGCTGATCAAGTCTCTTACCCTCTTTGTTTCAGTTTCCTCAACCGTAAAATGAGGAAAATAAGCATCTATCTTGCAGGGTTGTTGTAAGGATCAAATAAAATATTTGCAGAACTTAGCACAGTGCCTAGCTCATAGTAGGCACTACATAAATGCACATTCTCTTCCCTTCTCCTTTCTTTCAATCCATCCTCCACATGTCAAAGTGATTTTCCTTAAACCCAGATGTGACTGTATCACTCTCCTACTCAGTGAAGCTCCCTATTGCCTCTAGGATCAAATATAAAATGCTCTCTTGGCTTCAAATTCATTCACAGCCTTACATAAACCTACCTTTCCATTCTCATTGTACCTTCCTGCCCTTCCTGCACTCTGCAATCCAGTCAAACTGAACTGCTTTCTGTTCTTCACACACAAGACTTTATCTTCTATCTCCATGCTTTTTGCTGGCTGTCCACCATGTCCTTCCTCACCTCGACCTTTTAGAATCCTTTGCTTCCTTCAATACCCATTATATTCTACACGAAACCTTTCCCAATCTCCCAAAATGCTAGCATTCTTCCTCCCCAAATGCATTTGTATTTATTGTGTATATATTCTGCATATACTCATGGGTCTACACATTATGTCTCCCATAAAAAAACATAAGCTTCCTGAGAAGAAGGACTATTATGTTCTTGGCTTGTCTCCATGGTGACTAGCACAGTCCTTGGCACATAGTAGTTATTTAATAAATTCTGTTGATCGACTGATTGCTTAAATAAATTCACGATCAAATAGCTTATTGAAATTCCTCACTATGTCTAGATCGTTTTTATTTCCTCACGTATTATGCATCCCAGAACAGGGTCTTATGACCAAAACATTAACCCCCTTTATCATAATTTTGTTGTCGTTCAGTCATGTCTGACTCTGTATGACCCTGTGGATCATTTTTGTTTATAGGGTTTTCTTGGCAAAGATACTGGAGTGGTTTGCCATTTTCTTCTCCAGTAGATGAAAGCTAAGGTCACTTAACTGAGGTCAAATGACTTGCCCAGGGTCACACAGCTAGTAAATGTCTGAGGCCATATTTGAACTCAAGTCTTCCCCACTCCAGGCCTAGTATTCTATCCACTGAGCCACCTAGCTGCCTCTTCTTTTGACTTAGAGACATTGAAAATTTGTAAAATAGCACAGATACAGATGTGCCTTTTTATCAGTCTCATTTTCAGTAAGTGCCTTTATATCAAACTCATCGCTGTAGAATGAGTGAGAAATTCAATTCAGTTTAACAAAAACTTATTAAATACCTATTATGTCTAAGGCACTGTGCTAGTCACTGGGTATACACAGACAAAAATATTATAGTCTTTGCCCTCTAGGGTTTACATTCTACCGAAAAGAAGAATTTCTTTGTAAGGTCTTGGGATGAAAGAACTGAACAGTTGGTCAGCAGCTGCTGAATTAGTCTTCTAAAGTTTAAATTAATTACTTTGTGATTGAGGCAACAACTTAGAATAGTGGTTAGAACTCTAGACTGGGGTCAGGAAGATCTAAGTATAGATCTTGTCTTAGATATTTCCCAGCCAGGTGATCATAGGCAAGGCACACCCCCTCCCCATACCCCAATTTCCTTATCTTTAAAATTGGAGCAGTATTAACACTCATCTAATGAGGTTGTTGTATGAAACGAAATAAAATATAAGTGCTCTGCAAATGTTAGTGATGGTGATGATGTGTTGAAATTTTGAATACTGCAAGTCAGACATGCCCATATATGTATTAAAACATATCTCAAAGCCAAGTTTAAGTGATTTTAGGATGTTCACAGTTTGCAATAATTCATACTATTGTGGATGATTGAAGGCTAATTATGTACATTATTCTTCATTGCCTATATACCACTGCATACTTCTATCAGCAAGAAGAATTAAGAATATAGCCTATGTGAGACTCCTGCCTTTGAGTCAGTCTACAAGCATTAATTAAGTGCCTAATAAATGCCCAGCACCGTACTAAGCACAGGGGATACAAACAGAGGCAAAAGATAGACCCCTACCCCTCTAGGAACTCTCCATCTAAACAAGCTCACAAGGTTAAATAACACAATAGTATAATAATATAAAATTGTGTAACATAATAATTATAATATTATAAACAGTACAATCTACAGTGAATTGTAGAAGTTTTTTTGTCCCAGGTCTGAGATTGCATCAGCGTAAGATATTCTCAGGTAAGCAGCTCCTTTCTGCCAACATTCTCTGGCAACTCTTCAGAGTCACTTGAGGGCACTAAGAGTTTAAATGACTTGCTTATAGTCATACAGGGCAGCTAAGTGGAGCAGTGGCTAGAGCACTGGACCTGGACTCTAGATGAGTGTTCCTACATTCAAATCTGGTCTCAGATACTTCCTAGCTATGCGATCCTGGCCAAGTCACTTTACCCTGTTTGCCTTAGTTTCCACATCTGTAAAATGAGCTGGAAAAGGAAATGGCAAAATACCAGTACCTTTGCCAAGAAGACCCCAAATGGGGTCATAAGAGTCAGACACAACTGAAACAACTGAAGGACAAGAACAACATAGTCTCATGGCCTGTATGGGTCAGATCTAGGACTTGAGGTCTCCTTGAGTAAAGAGTGCGGTTCTTTATGTGCTGTTCTACATAGCTATATTCTTACATCTACCTAACACTTGTAAAAGCAATAAGCATAACTGATGATGTGCTTGGTCAGTTTTGAATAGGGGTAAGTGACAAAGAATATCTAGGTTTAATGTGAAAATACAATTAGGATAAGAACTAGACCTATGGTTTCATTGGCATATGGAATACCTGAATAAGGGAATTCTCTATACCAGTGTAGGTTGGTACCTTCTCTTCAATTTATAGTCTCATAGACCTGGGAGAGCACTGAGATGTTGCTAGGTGGCTCAACCAGGGTCACAAAGCCAATATGTGTCAGAGGCAGTAGATAAAAGACACCTAGAGTCAGGAGTCAGGAAGACCTTTCCAGAAGACCTGATTTTAAATCCCATCTCAGACACTTACTAGCTATGTGATGAAGTCACTTAACCCTGTTTGCCTCAGTTTCCTTAACTGTAAAATGGGAATAATAATAGCACCTGCTTCCTAGGTTTGTTGTGAAAATAAAATTAAATAATATTTGTAAAGCACTTAGCACAGTGCCTGGCACACACTAGACACTATTTAAATGCTAGCTATCATCATCATCATCATCATCATCATCAAACCCTGATCTTCATGGCTCCAATGCCAGTTCTCTATCCACTACACCAGAAGTGTCAAACATGAAGCCTACCCCACAACCCTCCCAAGTACAGCCTGAACCAAATTAAAATGTAATTCCTAATTGTTTTTAATGTGTTGACATATTAATAAAGAAGACATATAAACATGTATGGTTTTCTAAGTCAATCTGTGGCCCATAGTGATTCTTATATATGGTTTAGTGGCCCCTATTTCTATTTTACTTTGACACCACTGCACCATATCATTGCTATTGTTTGAGAATCCAATCACTAGTAATAAATGGTCTTTGCATGTGTGACTAACGTGCAATAAAAAGAAATCAGCTTTTTAAAAAAAATACTTCTTAAATTCTAGGAGGTGGTTGCTATTGAAGCTGAAGTAAAATCAATAGAAAAGAAAGTTTCAAAAATCAAAGCTATCCTGTTTTCCAAAGAAATATTTGATTTTTCGCCTGAGGAACATCTTAAGCATGGAGAGGTGAGCATGGATCATGGATCATGGATCGTTAAAAATATTTTCTGAATCTTTATGTTGTGTTTGTGCTATATTTCTTAGACATGTAGGTGCTTCATATTAGGAGACAGTAACTTAGGTGGAGAAGAACAAACAAGGTTTCAGCAATTATTAGTGTAATCTTTGGATTGAAACTATATACAAGCTGAGGAAAACATGAAAATCCCAGTTTGAATAAGTTAAATTCTATAGCTATTTACTTTTATGTATTATGTATTTTATACTCTCTCTCTCTCTCTATATATATATGTAAAATAGTATATATATATATTATTATAGCCATATACTATTATATATAAGTTGTCGAGATACATAGATGAGAAAAGCATCAAGTTCTTATCCACAGAGAACTTAAAATTTAGTGAGAGAGTGAGACATATGCAAATAACTATAAATTAGAAGATGATTAAATTCATAGGAGGAGTCAAGCAAAATTGCCTGAGATGTTCAAGGTTGTTGGGCAAAAGGGAACCACTTGTTCCTTTCTTTGGCCCTTGGGAAGACCAAAGAAGGATTTCTGGAGAATGGGACACCTGAGCTGGACCTTGAAGGAAGGAAAAGACAGGAGTAGGTGATGGTATATGCCAAACCATAGGAGCAGAGAGGGCAGGATGAGATCAAGGAATAGAGATCAGTCCAGTTTGGCTGGAGTTAATGGTGTAGGAAGGAAATTAATATGAACTGAGTCTGAAAAGATATCCTAGAACCAGATTACTAAGGAACTGGATGTGTAGGCTAAGAAGTTTAAGTTTCATTAAATACACATGGTGAACCATTGATTTTTTTTTTTTAAGCAGAGGTCTAATGTGATCAGTTCTGTACATTAGGAAGATTACAAGTGGCATGAATAGAAATAAGAGACTGGAGGCAGGGGGATAAGTTAGGAAGCTATTACCATAACCCTAGGGTATAGGTTAACAAAGTGGGCAATACCACCCCCAGGGGGTGCTAGAAGGATTGGGGGGGGTGGTAGTAGCCTCAGGTGAAATTCAGGGATGTTAAATAAAAATAAGGGGATAGTGCAAGCATAAGGAAAGAAGATAAGAAAATTTTGAAAAACTGTTTGTACATGTCTCATCTATTCTGTAACAGAGTTTAAGTTGTAGTGATTACATTATTTTCCAAGTCAACTCACAAAATGCAAGTTATAACCAATCAGTGGTCAAGTCCTCCAACAGGTCTTAACAAGCAAGTGTTGGCAGGCCAGTGTGTTGCTCATTATTGGGAAGTCCAGCATGCATCAGCAGGAATAACTGCATGTAATGACTTGTTTACATATAGTACTATATGGTTAAATGATGTAATATTGTGTCATCAAAATTTCAATGCAGGAAAAAGCCCCACAAATTTATAATAAATTAATACATTTAAGATGCATCATTTTTAAAAAGTATTTTTTTTAAATGATACAAATTTTAAAAACTGTTAAAGGTTTGAAGAAAGTAGATTTTCAGGGGAGTGCTGAGTAATTTTTTTTAAAAGGGGATGGTGGGCCAAATAAGTTTGGGAACCTCTGGTCTAGGTGACAGGACAAGAGGGCCTTAACGATAGTGGTGCCAATAAAAATAGAAAGGAGGGAACCTATGAAAGAGATTGTAGGTAGAATCAACAGGACTTAGCAAATGAGATTATGTTCACCATAAGGGAGATTGAAGAGTCAAAGATGACTCCAAAGTTTTGAGCCTGGCTAAAAGAGAAAATTAGAAAAAATAGATATTTATCCAACAAGAAGAGCCTAGAGGTGGACCTAGTAGGAGCAGTTACTCAATTCTTCGATAAAATTCTCAGCTCCATTTTCAGGTGTCTTTTATCTAGTTACTTGATTTAACAAATATTAAGTACTTTTTGTATACAGAGGATTGTGCTAGCTAGTCCCTGGAGGATGAATGAAGTTTAGGTAAAACAATATGCTTAGAGCATAACAACAGTTCTGAGTAATTAATAAATTGTTATAAAATCTCAAGAAATGATGGTAGAAGCATAAAATTTGATGATGGAGAATTATACCCACTTCCTATCTCTTGAAACTAAAATATTAGTCAATCAGTAACAACCTGAGGACACAGCTTAAAATTACCAAGTGTTATTTCTAGTATTAAGTAACAGAATTTGTCATTTTTCAATACTTAAGCTTTGCAGTTACTTTTTCTTTCACATTTATACAACATTGGCATCTTTTATTTTAGGTCATACTTGAAAACATAAAGCCCATGAAGAAGGCCATTGCCAAGATAGAGTCTTACCAAGTGGTCCTGAGTTTGCCTGAAACAGGAATGAAATCTTTGCCAGTATTTGAAAGGACAAATCAGCTTTCACAAGAGGTGAAAATGTTAGAAAAGGTGACCTATGAACAAAATGAACTATTGAAGGTGAGTGATTTATACTGACATAAAATTCAGTGGTTGGAAATGTCACACCAAGAATACTGATATTTTCATTTTCATATTTGACAGTGGAGAGTAGACTTTCATGACTGCAGTTTGTTGTCCTGTAGCTAGGTGGTGCAGTGGTTAGAGTGCTGAGCTTAGAATCAGGAAGACCTGAATTCAAATTTGGCCTCAAATGTTTCCTAGTTTTGCCTGAAAGAAAGAAAAAAAATGGCAGCCCTGTGTTTTTTACAAGATAAAAGAGGAAGAAAGGTAGAGGAAGTCATATTTCATTCCAAGTCAGTTATCAAACTGTGCAGCTAAAATTTCACAACTAGCTGGAGTAGAGGGAATAAAGTGTCCTTGGGTATATATTTCTATGCAGATAAAATTGTTGAGGAAGACCATTAGATTATAGCCCATTTCTATACCAAAGATCTTTCAAAGTGCTTTATCATATATGTCATATATGTAATAAATCGTATATATGTCAACTAAGAATAAGTTATTTGTATATAGCAGTCACTAAATAAAACTGTATTATGAGGGTTTGTGACTAGGGCTGCTAAATAAATATTAATAGTACAGATAAAAACTGGATTTATAGTTAACCACAAAGTGAAAATATCTTTCATATTCATGCTGAGAAAAATTCTTCACCTAGAGTTGTGAGCCAGGCCTCACTCAGGCCAGTTCAGTGGTTCAGGTTCTGTATTGGAACAAAATGAGACACTAGTAAACCCTCTAACAGTTAACATTTACTTAGCCATGGCATGGAAAGAATATTCAGCAAAGATACAGTGCTGTTTCAGATTGAAGGAGCCATCCTTGTCTCCACGTAGAAATATGTTTAGTCAGAAGAGCGTTTTAACTCACATAGCAGTGGGCCATCCTTAATATTTGAAGGGCACTAATTCCATGAGCTGACCTTTTAATGCCCCAGGTGACTGGGAAGCCATGTCAGAAGCTCAGCCCTAGAGTCATTTCAAAGATACCTTCCCTACCTCTTAGGGAAAAGCCATGTGGCAGGGAGGATACTTACATGCTGTTTCTAACATACCATTCCTTGGTGGCAACATCCTAAAGGTCTCCTAGAGGACCTTCCACCTCTTAGATGGTTTTAGGATAACCGTAAGACAACTCTGACCTCAGATATGAAAGAAACTCACCACTCGCAGCACTGAAGGAAGAGCTTAGTGTAGGTAAAAGAAAAACACACACAAAAAAAGAAAGAAAAATAGAAGCTGGCAATGTAATGGTCCTCTAAAGAAGGGGATTCAATATGAATGTGAACAAGAAAGGGTAGCTGAATGTGGAAGAAATCAAAGAACAGAAATTTCAGGCTTCCCTTCCCCTCTTTGGAACAACTGAATCCTGGATCTCTCGTATTTAGAGGCAGATCTTCTTACCTTAAGCAATGATGATTGAGTGAGAACAGGACTTTCTTAAAAGATAAGTAGTATCCATCTAAAACTAAGAGCAAACATTATCTGTAATGGGGATAAACTTGAAGCCTTCCCGGTAGGATCAGGGATGAAGCAACGATGTTCATTATTACCATTATTATTCAATATTGTACTAGAAATGCTAGCTATAGCAATAAGACAAGAAAAATGAATTGAAGGAATAAAAATAGTCAATGAGGAAACAATTTCAAGAAATTATCAAGGGAAACTGCCTAGATATCCTTGGATCAGAGAATAAAATAGAAGTCAAAACAATTCACCAATTACCACCTGAAAGGGATCCCAAAATGAAAATTCCCATTGAACAAATCATAAATGAGCTCCCTAAGATAAAATCCTTATGACCAGATAAATTCATAAGTGAATTCTACCAAACATTTAAGGAATAATTAATGTCAAAGCTGTATGTCATTTGAGATTGGTAGCACCATACCATTCACTGGGGGCTTGGGCCCATCACATGGATGAGATAAATACGAGCCTTAGTAATTGGCAGGACAACTTTGTTGAGTTCAGTAGTGGACTGTAAGATGCCAGGTGCCATCTGCCTTCCTTGCCAGTGACACAAGATTTTTGTAAGGGGAGTTGGTGGAGTGAAGAGCCCCAGTCTCTTTAATCTCTGTCAAGATGGAGGAAACAGCTTTGGCCCCTTCTTGGACTTGATATTGATGCCTGAGACAACTCCAAGGGTTTCCATTTGGCCATGCCCTCAATAGCCTGCATGGAGGTTCCCTTGAGCCTCCATGTAGGTACCAACTCCCAAAAGCTCATGATGCCTCTTTCTTCATTGTTCTGCCTTCTAAAATCCTGATTGAAACTGGTGCACTTCAGTGGACCCATTTGGGGAGAAAGAGGAAAGTTATTTAATGTTGTTTCCAGGGAAACTGGGGAGAGCTCAGGCAACTTTCCTGGCTTTTCTCCTCCATCTTGGCTCTGCCTTTGGGTGTTATTATGGTAATTTGGCTACCACTGTCTAGGTACCCCTTTTTCAAACAGGGTGGAGGCTTTAAGGATGCTTTAGTTTTGGGAGGAGGTGAAGGGCTCTTACTTTCCCGGTGCTGGATGTCGTGGTATAATTTTATGAGCACTCTCATAGATTGGTAATTACCTCCTTATCAACTCCGTGTTTCAGAAACTACACCCAAAGCTTCTTGTGGGATGTATCCATACTTTCTCTTGAAGATTTTTTTGTTTTCCCATGGTCATATGTCTATACAAGTTAGCTTTGCCAGTTCTATGGCCACAATATGTACTCTTAACTTTGTCCATTCCTTACCTTCTATTGGGAATATAATACTACTGGCAGCAAATTGTGTCCATCTTATAATGGTGAGGGAATTATGGTCAAGATTATAAATTTGACCTACAAGTTAAGTAACATAATCCTGAAATGTTTATGCAAAAATTCCTTATAGACTGCTTTGTTCACCATGATAGACCAAAGTTAAGTAAGTCAGGTACAAGAGGATCAGATAGCAAGTGTGTGTGTGTATGTGTGGTATAGTAGTTAGTAGAAGTAGTAGTAGTAGTAGTAGTAGTAGCAGCAGCAGCAGTAGTAGTACTTTACTTGTCACTACTTTCCATCAAATAAGTGAAAAAGTCTATATGCAGGAATTTTCACAGGACTTCTAGTTTTCTTTTTCTTTTCTTTTCTTTTCTTTTTTTGAGGCAATCAGGGTTAAATAATTTGCCTAAGGTTATACAGCTAGTAAATGTCTGAGGCAGGATTTGAACTCAGGTCCTCCTGACTCTATCTACTGTGCCATCTAACTGCCCCACAGGACTTCTAACAGCAATGTGCAGACAAACAGTATTGGGTACCAGAAGCCAGGCTGGTTGGAGTCAAGCAATGAAGTTCGATTGTCAGATGTTCTGCTTTGGTAGAACAATCGAAGAATTCTAAAGACAGATTTCTAAATCAAGTGATATTTTTCCTTCTATAGCTTGTCATGCAACAGACTAGTGAATGTGACCAAGAAATAGAAAATTTGAAGCATCAATTAAAGAATTATTCAACTGAATTTTCCTCTGAAAACCTATCTCCTGACCAAGCCACCACCTTGCCACAGGTAGAGGTGAGTTTCATTTATTCATTCAGTATTTGTTGGGCACCTACTATGTGTGACACGCTATGTGAGGTGCTGTTTTATTTCCTTTGTATTTATTCCTTCTAACCATAGCATATTTGCTCTACATATTTCCTACCTATTCCCATTTCCTAAAGTGGCTCATTAGAAATAAGCAACATCCCCCCCCCCAAATCCTAAAACAAAAAGAGAATTATAACTCACAAAACTCTTGGTATGAGGAAGCAGGGAATGTGCTGTAGCAATAGCCCACCATACTAATGTATTGGCTAAATTGCGCTATCTACGTCAGGCCTGATCTGCTTTGGGATGTTCCCAAGTTAGCCTCACTTCATTCCTTTCAGTAGGACAGGAGCAGACTTGGAGTTAGGTCTCAGGCTACTGTAACCTCGAGAGGTTCTCTGTTTCATTGTTATAACCTGTAGACTAAGAATGGATTTCTTAATAATAGATTTACTTTAACAAAATTCTGACACATTAAAGCAATTTGAATATCACATGACATTTGTTAGAAAAGATTTTTCCTGGACAGCTCAGACAGCATGTGGAAACCTTCAGAAACCTAGACGCGGGTCTGAATCTTGGCTCTGATGCTTGTTAACCGTGTGACTGAGAGTTATCTCACTTCGCAGTGCACTTTCTTTATTTGTAAGGCAAAGGGGTTGAATTCTACGCCTTCCAGTTCTAAACCCTATGATTCTAAGATCTAGTGTTCATTCATTCAACATTTGTTAAGCCCCTAGAATATACAAGATACTATACCAGGTACTGGGTTACAAAGACAAGACTAAAATTATTTCTTACTTCAAGAAGCTTGCCTTCTACTGGGAGAATATACCACTTACCCGGACAAGTAACTATAAGATCATTTGTGGAAGGAGGAAGTACTAACCACAAAAAGGGCTGACAAAGGCTTTGCAGAAGGTAGCACCAAGTTTGATCCTAGAAGGAAACTGAGGTTCTAGGGGATGGGTGACAAACTATGCAAAGGCAGGAAATGGGGTGCGTGTTATATGGTGCTTAGAATCCTCAGGTACTAAAGAATGCATTCTTGCTTTCTGGTCTATTGTATTCCAAGTTCTCTGCTGCTTTTACCAGTGATTGTTAAATGATGTGTGATCCTGACTATGGATTCTTGGTACTTGAATTTTTTTCTTTCTGGCTGCTTATAGTATTTTTTCTTTGACCTGGAAGCCCTGGGTTTTGGCTATGACATTCCTGGGAGGTTTCATTTTGGGGTTTCTTTCAGAAGAAAACTGGAGGATTCTTTCTATTTCCATTCTGAGATCTGGGCAGTTTTCTTTTCAAAATTTGTTGAAACAGGATGTCTACACCCTTTTTTTTTTTGTAATAGTATTCAGAAAGTCCAATGATTCTCGATTGTTTTTCACTTTACCTGTTTTCTAGTTCAGTTGTTTTTGCTGTGAGATTATTTACAACTTCATCCAGTTTTTCATGCTTTTTACTTTGTTTGCTGTTGATTCCCTTTCTAATTCTTTTTTACATATTTCTTTCCTTGTTTTTCCTCAAGCACTCTCATTCCATTTGTAAAAATATTTTTTAACTTTTTTTTAAACTCTTGCTTCATCTCTTCTAGGAATTCTAGTTTGGTTTGCATACAAGTTGTGTTTTTCTCTGAGGCATTGCTTGTAGATGTTTTAGAATCGTTCTCTTTTGTGTTTGTATCTCAAGTGTCCTTGCCACCATGATAGCTCACTATGATAGGGTTGTTTTGTTTTTGGTTTTGTCTTTTTTGCAAAGTCTTCCAGTCAACTTTCTGATTTTAGATTTGGTATTAGGGCTGGGTTCTGCCATACTTCTGGAGGGAAGGCCTGGGCTGGTCCTGTTGCTGTTTTTTTGGGTTACTGAATGTTATGTTATTCCATGATTTCAGGGACAGGCTGAGGACTTACAAGCTTCCAGAGCTCCCAAAGTGGGGGATCTGATCCAGGGGAAAGTCTGATTGCTTCCCCACCCTCCCTGGTCTGAGCTCTATAAGCTCCTGATCCAACTTTGGGTCTGTGTAAGAATAGACTACTCCTGTACTCCACCCCTATCAGCCACATGAAAATCTCCATGGGTTCAAATTGGCTGAATTGTAGGTTCCACTTTGGTCTGGATTTCTTGCCTTGATTATTCTTCTGCAGGCTGAGCTAGATCCTGAAAGTGAGACCCTACTCTGAGGTTGAGGTGTGAGCCACACCACAGTTCTGAACATATTCCCTTCTAGGTACATCACCCAGGGCCTCCTCAGCTGGGAAAGGCAATGCCACCTTAAAGCCCTGCCAATGTAGATTTCCTTCTCACTCTGTTCTGGATTGGCAACCTAGTGGGCAATAGAGCTGCCAACTGGCACCTATCCCTACTGCAACTCCCTGGCATGGGTCTGGGGGTGCCTGCTATGGGACTGGGACCACATTTTGTGCTTGTGCACAGCCTCTCCCTGGGTGCTGGAATGTTCTACTTTTCTGTCCTTAGTGTCTGCAGACCTCTCTGTCTGTCTGCCTATGCTGAGCTGGGCCAGACAAAGGACTCACTATGAATTCTTCTGTATTTCTCCATCACGATTCAGTCTAGCACATTTTATAAATCTGTTTGATGGAATTATGGATGGGAGCTCAGTTGTATGACTTCCTTCTAGTCTGCCATCTTGGTTCTGCCCTCCTCACTTATATGTAATACATTCTCTAGCTTCCTTCAAAACACATCTCATGTGCCACTTTCTAACCATCCTTCCTTGCCTCTTGTCAACCCCAAATTAGTATGCATCAACTCTGTGTTCTGCGTATACTTGTCTGTATCCACGTTGGTTCCTCTAGTAGTAAATAAGTGTTTGGAAGGCAGATGTCTGTTTCTCTATGGATTTAGATCTAGAAAGGGCCTCAGAGGTCATCTAGTGCAACTTTTCATTTTACAGATGAGGAAAACAAGGCCCACAGAGGTTAAGTGACTTATCGAACGTCACAAGTGTCAAAGGTGATATTTGAACTTGGGTCCTCTAATCCCGGAGTCCAGTTCTCTTTCCATTGTACTAAATAAGTTTTTGTTATATTGAATTGAAAATCCATTTCCTATGAGTGTTAGTGAAGTTTAGTATTTTAAAAATAAGAAAAGTCATTTTGTATTTCTCAGACTAGTGTGACTTAATTTCTTTTCAAGGAGAGAGGGAAGGGAAGGATAGAATTTGGAACTCAAAACTTGAAAAAAACAAAATGTCAAAAATTGTTTTAACATGTAATTGGGGAAAAACAAAATATACATTAAAATAAAAAAATACATTAGGCTACACAAAGAGGAGATTTGTAGGGCTTCCAAAAGTCTTTGTGCAATTTAAAGAGTTAATAGCTTAAAACTTAAGCACCTTGTGTTCTCCTTGTGTCATAGCAGAGTTTAGGGACAGTAATGAATCAGTAAGATATTTGTAGCTTTCTCCCTTGGCCACCAAGATAGTGAGATAGCTTTGTGTCATAGGAAGCTGCCTTTGGAGCCAGAGAATATGGGTTCTGATCCTGGCTCTCCTGCCTCTATGGCCTTGGGCAAGTAAACTTCCGTTTCCTTTTATAAAATGAAAGACTTGGATTAGAGGACCTCATAAATCCTTTTCTGGCTCAAAATCTTTAATCCTACTACTTTATTACTAATCAAATAACAGTGAAATCTGTCCCTTAGAGTTTCCACTCTTGATAAGATAAAGTAATCATTCTTCCCCACACAGAGAGAAATAGACTGTATAAAAGAACAGATCCTGGGTTTGAATCAGAAAAAAGAAGACTTGTTGATGGGTTTGAAGACAACAGTCCTGGCTCTCCATCAGCGTTTGCAGCAAGAAAAACAAGAGTTAGAAGAGGAAACAGAGGAATCTGGAGTGGCTGAGCGGGACGTTTCTGAATGGAAAGTAAGTATGACCATAATAGCAACAACAGACACTTAACAGCAAAATCCTGTATCACAATGGATAGAACATTGGGCCTGGAATCCAGGAAGACCTAGGTTCAGATGTGACCTCACACTTCTAACTGTGTGACCCTGGGTAAGTCATTCAACTTCTGTCTGCCTCAGTTTCCTCAACTGTAGAATGGGGATCATAATAGCCCCTCAAATGAGATCATTTGTAAAGCATTTAATGTAGTGCCTGACACATAATAGGCACTTAATAAATGCTTGTTTCCCTCTCTTTTGTAGGCCCTAATAAAAATATAAAGATGACTAAAATGTAAGCCAGGATGCCAGCCTTCTGGGAACTTCAAGTACAGTAGGGAAACTATGACGAATCCATTAACATGAATTACATACAGGATGTCCTAAAAGTGTTAGTGCAGTTTTAGACTTTAATAGCTTTAAATAGTTTGGTTTCTTTAAAGACAACCTAAAATAGTTTAAGGGCAGCTAGGTAGAACAGTGGATAGAGCACCAGCCCTGGAGTCAGGAAGACACATCTTCCCGAGTTCAAATCTAACATCAGACACTTACCAGTTATGTGATCCCAGGCAAGTCACTTGACCCTGTTAGCCTCAATTTCTTCAATTGTAAAATGAGCTAGAGAAGGCAATGCCAAACCATTCCAGTATCTTTGCTAAGGAAACCCCAAATGGGATGAAACAACTGAATAACAATACAAATAGTTTTAAGTATTAAAGTTTAAATTACACTGGAGTTTAAATCCTTACTAACACTTTAGGGACACTGTATTTTTTAAAAGAAACAATTTTTGGCCTGTATTTCATGCAAATGTTAAAAGTGCCAGGTGGTAAGGAGATGAGGGATAGGAAGGGCCATCATATTTCTTTGTTTCAACCCACCTGAGTTTTTTTATTTTTGTCGGTGTGTCACAATGATGTTTTTTCTGAAAGGAATCTAAGCCAGAGATTGTTCATAAACAATAAAAAAAATAAAACTCTAGGTGTGTTTGTTCTGGATGTGACCCAGTACTGTTTCACATAGTTTGTTAATGAGGTACTTGTGAAATTCCTGCACTAGCTAGGCAGGAGCCACCCTTTGAAGTCCCCACCTCCTCCTGGAAGGACAGCCCCATTTCAGTCAGTGGGAAGTGTGGTAAAGTACCTTCCTGACCCTGATGTTCCTAGGGTGGTGAGGCAGAGAAATAAAGGAGTCAATACAGCTAAAGCTTATCTAGGTTTGGTCCCCAACAACCCCCTAGTAATTTGGTCAGGCAAACCCAAACAAGCTGCTCTGTGCTCGCAGGGCCTAGAGGCATAAGTGTGGAGACCAGTGTGGGTGGCAAAGGACTTAGATCTGCAATTGGGATAAAAAGTAAGTTTCAAAAATAGCGTCACAAAAATGTGAAAAGGAGTGGTCGGGTGTGATGTTGTGGAGGAACCTGACTAGCTCCGTTTTTGTACTTCACCTTTCAGGTGAAAAGGAAAGGATCCATGTTTCTCCCGCCATCAATTGTTGAAGAGACAGAAGAAAGTTCACAGAAAAGCGAAGTAAGGAAAAGACTATTTTTTTAATGCTAAGATTTATTCATCTGAAATTCTAAAAAAAAAAAAAAGAAAATTAAGTGAAAAGATATGAAAATGAATATAAACGTGGAGAATTTTTTAAAAATTAATTTTGCTATGTTAAAAGGTTTGAAGCAATTATACTCTAGTCTTATCTTTACTTGAAGTATAATGAAATCTACCCCAAAGTATCAGAGATTTAATGTAAACAAGGCTGTTTGTGGGAGGTTAAAAAAAAATACAACCTCCTTGAAATTTCATGAAGTTTTAAGAACATGGTATTTGTTGATCCAAGTTTAATTTTTGAAACTATACTTTACCATATTTGAATTCATCTTTAGACTAAAGCAGTGCCACCTGGGACCAGAACAGCAGTGTTAAAAAGTAATGCTACTAATTCTTACTGCTCCCGTTATAGTTTATTGAATAAGACATTTACCGATGTCTTTTATGAAATCAATTTCAATTTCATTCTTATAAAAAAAAATGAGGATTACAATGGGTCCTCTAAAAAAAGAGAAGAAAATTGCAATAAGTAATAGTTTGCGTGTCTCTTAACACTTCTGCTAAGAGGTTTAATGCTCATTTTATAGATTGTCAAACTGATCCAGGGTCATTTAAAATGAGTCTAATTCTTCAGCTTATCTCTAGCTTCCCTGGGAAGTTAGTGAGAGCCCTAAGTAGAAAGGAGATCTGTGTGAAAAGAATGAGGAACCCAAAAGTTCCATACTCTTTCCACCAGAAAAACAAATCCTTACTGCTTTGTGGGAAGGAGGGAAGTGAGTTTGTGCATTTGTGTATAAGATAACAGAGGCAAAAAAAAAATCATCATCATCATCATCTTTGGAATACTTCCCATCTGATCTTTTTTTAAGATGTAGTTTGGGGCTAAATTTTCCAAATTTCTCCAATATTTATCCTAAAGATGAGATTTTAATTGATGTCCAACTTCTCAAATTAAACTCTTCTTTTTGTGTGAAAAAAGAAAGGAAAAAACTATTGGATAAGAAAAAAAATGCCAAAAAGAGACAGTCTGATAATTTAAAGAAGTCTTGTTTGAGGGAAGGTGATGAAGGCTATAATGAAAAGATCTCTTTGTTAATGTCAATTCAATAAATACTGTCTTAGAATGGAGATGAGAGAGCAGAGTCAGCTTCTAGTCCTTGCTTGTTACATTGGGGACATGAGAGAAACAAAGAAGAAGACAGAGCCTCCTCTTCCTCTGGAACACTCATACAGGTACCTATTACTAATTTCCTTTTATATGTTCTATCTTCATCCCTAGCTTTCTGTGTTAGCTTAGGAATTTTTAACCTTTCCATTTTTTCCTATTTTTCTCTCAATAACTAGTATACATTTAAGATATCTCCCTCACAATCCATTTAGAAAACAAAAATAAGAAACCTTAGGTGGTTGCGTGCTTTTTAATCCTAGGAAATAAACTGAAAGGACATCAACTGAGCCTTAACATTTTAGCACTTGCATTTCATTGTCTCTACATAAATATAAAGACCATAACCATCATTTCATATTTTAAAATTTGGACATAAAGGAGTGATTTGGATGATTAAAATGTGCTTAGTTTTTAGAAGATGTAAGAAAATTCAAACATACAAAGCCCTACTCTCTCTCTCTCAAGTCACATGTGACCTAATCAGCAAACCCAATGCCCTTTTCCTCAGTCCTCATATTCCTTGATATCCCTACAGCATTTTACATTCCCTACTCTCTTGGGTCCCTTGATTTCCATGAAATTCTATCCTCTTGTACTTGCTTTGGTGGTACTTATACTAAAATTGGAATGATACCGAGATGATTGGCATGGCCACTGTGCAAGGATGACAAGCAAATTCATGAAAGCATTCTCTATTTAAAAAAAGGGGTGGGGGGAGGCAAAAGAAAAGAAAAGGGAATTGTACTCTCTGTTTTCTCCCTAATTACAACTTTAAAATTTCTGCTTTTCTTTTTCCTCTGCTGGCTTCTCTTTCTCTTTTTGCCCTCTGGATATAAGCATTCCTCCAAAGGTTTTGTCTTTACTGTCTTCCGTTTCTTTGTTATGTCCTATGTTCTCATTCTTGATAACTTCATATGTCATCTGCTTATGACTTCAACTATACCGCCATAGCAATGAGGTGGTACAATAGATAGGGTGTTGCTCCCCTGTAGGGGCAGGTAGGCGGTGCAGTGGATAGAGCACCAGCCCTGGAGTCAGGAGGACCTGAGTTCAAATCCAGCCTCAGACACTTGACACTAGCTGTGTGACCCTGGGCAAGTCACTTAACCCTATTGCCTAGCCAAAAAGAAAAAAAAAATAGGGTGATGGATGTGGCACCAGGAAGACCTGAGTTTAAATCACGCTTCAGATATTTATGAACCAAGTGACCCTGGGCAAGTCAATGAACCTCTCTCAGCCTCGGTTTCCCCATCTCTAAAACAAAGATAATCTATCTCACAGGGTTGTCATAAAGCACTTTTCAAAACTTAAAGCTGCTTATCAAGCAGTTCTCAAACTTTTTGGTCTCAGGACTCTTTTATACTCTTAAAGATTATTGAGGACTGCCAAAAGTGTTTGTTTATATCTATTGATATTTACCATATTAATTAATTAAAATGGATAACAAAATAATTAACAAAATAATAAATGGATAATAAAATAATTAAAATGGATAAATGAAATTGTTACTTATTAGTTCATTAAAAGTAATACTAATAAACCCAACACACGTAGATATATATTTATTTATATAAACAATTTTTATAAATTACTTATATGTTTATAAATTTAATATTTCTAAATTATTTATATAAATATTTATATAAATAATATATTTTTATGAAAATAACAATTTTCCAAAACAAAAAAACTTAGAAGAGTGGCATTATTTTACATACTTTTTGCAAGTCTTTTTAATGACTGGCTTAATTGAAGACATCTGGATTCTCCTATCTGCTTCTACATTCAATCTGTTCCTACATAAATCATTGGCATTTCTATATATTACCAACAAAGCCCAATAGCAAGAGACAGAAAGAGAAATCCCATCTAAAGTTATTGTAGACATTATGAAATATTTAGGAGTCTACCTGCCAAAACAAACCCAGGAACCATATGAACACAATTACAAAACACTTTTCACACAAATAAAGTCAGCTCTAAATAATTGGAAAAACATCAGTTGCTCATGGGCAGGCAAAACTAATATGACAAAAATGACAATTCTACCTAAATTAATTTACTTATTCAGTGCCATACCAAATTACCAAAAAATATTTTATAGAGCTAGGAAAAACAATAACAAGATTCATCTGGAAGAACAAAAGTCCACAATTTCAAGGGAATTAATGAAAAGAAATGCAAGGGAAGATAGCCCAGCTGTACCAAATCTTAAATTGTATTATAAAGCAGCAATCATCAAAACTAACTTGGTACTGGCTAAGAAATAGAGTGGTGAATCAGTGGAATATGTTTGGTATGGAAGACACAGTAATCAATAACTATAGTAATCTACATTCAATCTGTTGCAATATCTTATTTGGGTTGAAGTATGTGAAGAAAATAAATCTAGCCTCCACATAGCTATGTTATTGGAAAAGGGAAGAATATTTTAATAGGCAAATAATATGTTATTACTGCAAAAATAGTTTTTACTTCATAGCCCCTGAAAGGGTCTTAAAGACCACCAGGAATCCCCAGACCAGACTTTGAGAACTGCTGTTCTGTGTAAATGTTAGCTGTCATTATGATCAGATCTTTGCATATGAATGTTTGTGTGTGTGTGTATGTATATATACATATATATATATATTTGTGTAGGTACATATATGTATGTATTTCTAGAGAAAGTGTTCTGACCTCTCCTTCCCCTAGATAGCCCTACCTCAAGTTTAAGAAAAACAAAACTGCATTTATCAGATTCTCACCAAAACCAGCCCTTCTTGATTTTCTAATTGCTGTTAATAGCATCACCATGATCCCAGTCATCCAAGCTTGAAATCTGGGAAGCATTCTTTATTCTTCCACCTTGTAAGTTATATCTAGTCTGTCACTAAGTCTTACCAATTTTACCTCTATAAGATCTTTCTTATATGTCACCTCCTGCTGCCACCACCCCAGTCCAGGCTCTCCTTACTACTTGCATGACCTAACTGATCTCCATAATTCACCACTCCCCATTCTCATCCATTCTATCCTCCTGACATTTCCTAAAGCAGAGCTCTGATAATTTAACTCCTTTTCTTAAAAACTTTGAATAGCTCTCCATCATCTTATCAGATAAAAGCCTAGTCTCCATAACTTGGCAATTAGGGTACTCCACAATTTGGCCCCAGTCCTATCTCAAACTATTCTCCCATTCTTCTCTCAACCCCTGCAATGCCAAAACTAGACTTGCCTGCAAAAAAAAAAATAAAATCCATGCCTTCCTATTCTTTACCCTTATTCACGTCATTTCTTCAGCCTAAAATGCCCTCCAATCTTTGCTTATCAAAATCATACCTATCTTATGTTTTGCATGATTGAACATGTATAGCTTATATAAAATTGCTTACTGTCCCAGGGAGGGGAGTGGTGTTGGAGGGAGAGAGAAAATTTGAAGGGCTTCAAATGCCTGGCATAGGAGTATACATTTTATTATAGAGGATATAGGGACACACTGAAGAATTCTGAGTAGAGGAGTGATATGATCAGACTTATGATTATAGAGAGGCAGTTAGGTGGTACAGTGGATAGAATGCCAGCACTGGAATCAGGAGAACTCATCTTTCTGAGTTCAAATCTGACCTCAGACACTTACCAGCTGCATGACCCTGAGCAAGTCACTTAACCAGTTTGCCTCAGTTTGTTCATCTGTAAAACAAGCGAGAGAAGGAAGTGGCAAACTACTTCAGTGTCTTTGCCAAGAAAACCCCAAATGGGGTCAGAAAGAGTCAGACATGATTAAAGAAGATTACTTTGGCAGCTGTGTGAGAAGTTCGAATGGTCCAGATGAGGCGTGATGAGGTCCTGTACTAAGATGGTGGCTATCTGGATAATAAGAGAGGGAACAAATGCAAGAAATGCTATGGAGATAAAATCAAGAGTTGGCAGCTGGTTAGATATAGGGGATGAGGAGGAGTCAAGGAACTAGTCAATCAACAAGCATTTATTAACAAGCATTTATTTAGTCCTTAGTATATTCCAGGCCCTGTAATAAAGAAAAACTAATGTAGTCACTATCTTCAAAGAGCTTATAGTTAAAAGGGAGGGACAAAATGTAAATAACTAGGTAAATACAAGATATATACAGAATAGATAGAAGGTAATCTGTGAGGGAAAGGTAATAGAGGTGGGGGAACTGGGAAAGGCCTCCAGTAGGAGGGGGGAATTGAGTCGAGTCTTGAAGGAAGCCAGGAAAACCAAGTGCCAGAGATAAAGAGGCAGAACATTCCAGGAGCCATTGCAAAGAAACAGGGATGGGAAATGGAGAGTCTTGTTTGAGAGCTTACAAATAGACCAGTTTAGCTAGATTATAGAGGATGTGGAGAGGAATAAAGTATAAATCAGGGAAGGTCAGAAGAGCATTAAATGTCAAAGAAGGGAGTTTGTATTTGATCCTAGATAAGGAGCCAGTGGAGCTCATTGATCAGAAAGATATGACTAGAACTAGGCTTTCAAAAATTTACACTGGCAGCTGAGTGGAGGATAGATTGGAATGGAGAGAAGCTTGAGGGAGGGACACTGGTTTGAATGTTATTGTAATAGCCTAGGTGAGAGGTAGTGAAGGGCTAACCTAGGGATGTGGCTGTATGAGTGAATAAAAAGGGACACATACCAGAGATACTGTGAAGGCAAAAATGAAGGACTTCAAAGTGAAGTGAAGAATCGTGGTCCCTAGGGAGAAACTGAGAAGTTTGGAAAAGGAGCAGTTGGGGGTGGGGAAGAGGTAATGATGAGTTCTTCTTTGGCCACATTGAGTTTGAAATGTCAATAGGATATCCAGTCAGAGATATTTAACAAGTAGTTGGCTATGGGAGACTGGAGCTCATGAGAGAGATTAGGGATAGATGTATGGACCTAGCAATCATCTGCATAGGGATGGTAATTGAGCTCATGGGAACAGGTGGGAAAACCAAGAAGAGAAAGTAGAGAAGGAATGAAGTCCAAGAAGAGGGCCTTTGAATATACCTGCACTTAGTGGAAAGGAGAAAGCCAATTACCAATAAAGGAGATTGAGAGTGAGTGTTAAATCTTACCTAAGTGCTAAGGAAAGTACCAGAAGAGAGCTGTGTCATGGAAGCCAAAAGAAAACTACAATATAAGAAGGAGTGGTCAAGAGTGTCAGAAGCAGGGGAGCTCAGTTAGGATATGTATTGACTTAACAGTTAAGAGAACACTGCTAACTTTTGTTAAAGTAATTTCAGTAGAGACTGGTGGGGTCAGAAGCCAGATTGCAAGGTGTTGAGAAGTGAGTAGGTTTTGAGGAAAGAGAGGTAATGCATGTAAGTCTTTCTAGGAGTTTGGTACTAAAAGGGAGAAAAGATACAGGAATGGGGGAGTCAGGTGAAGTTTTATTTGCTTGTTTGCTTTTAAGGATGGAGGGAGGAGACTTGAGCATGTTTATCAAAGTAAGGAAGCAGGAATGGGCCAAGAGATCAGGGGAACTTGAAGATGAGAAAAAGGGTATAATTAGAGGGGCAGTCTTTTAAAGAATACAAGAGGGGATGATATAAAGTGAATAAAGGAGATGACTTGGGCATAAAAAGGGTTATCTCTTCTCTTGAATCTGGAGCAAAAGTTTAAGAGGTTGGGTGATGATGTAGATAGGTTTTGAGGTGTAGAGAAGGAGAAATGAGAGAGGCAAGTCAATTGATCTTTGGACCTTAATTTTCTTATTTGGAAAATGAAGGGTTGGATTGGATCATCTTTAAAACCTCTTCTAATTCTAAAATCCATGATTATAAAGGTTGCAAAACCAACTAACAGAAACATAAAGCTACTAACTCAATTAGAACTGGCAATGAGCAAAGCTTTCCAAAGCAAAACTTTTTGCGCCACGCCCCCAAGACCATTTTTGCTGTTGTTCGGTCATTTTTCAGTCATGTTTGACTCATTGTGACCCCATTTGGGATTTTCTTGGTAAAGATACTAGAGTGATTTGCCACTTTCTTCTCCAGCTCATTTTACAGATGAGGAAACTGAGGCAAACAGGGTTAAGTGACTTGCCCAGGGTCACATAGTTAGTAAGTGTCTGAGGCTGGATTTGAACTCAAAGATGAGTTTTCCTGATTCCCAGCCCAGTGCTCTATCCACTGCACCACCTAGTCTCCCAAGATTTTTACTAAATCCCCAAATAAAAACAGAAAAGGTTTTGAACTCCTTTGAATAAGCTAAGCTTATTGAGGGCACTGAATATTATTTTTCTTGAATAGCCATTCTTTCCAAATGTATGTAGTGTTCCTAAATATCCCTTCACCCACCTTGATTGTAAAACATGCAGACACAGGAAATGTATGGTGATGGCACCATGGGAATTTTTATATTGCTGTTGCTCTCATTATAGGAGGCAGATGGGCGAATAAGCACATATGATGGATACAACACTCAAATAGTTGTTCCAAATCCATCGAAAAATGAGCAGAACCTAGACTCCTCTCCAAGCCATATCCAGCAAACAGTGGTGAGTTGTTTTTTGTAATGATTTAATAACATGAACATAAAGCATTAAGTCCCTAGGTGCTCTGGGATAATCTGTACAATCTGAGAACCTTTTGAGCTTTTACATAGTAATCTTTGCCATACATATGCAAGACTGGGAGATTTTTATCAGCACAGCTTTACAAATGAAGTAATTGAAATACAGAGAAGTTAACTGATTTACCCATGATGTTGCCAATAGTTCAGAGATGCCATTGTTCTTTCCACCAAATCTTACCTTTCGAGTCTAGGTTAACTAGAGAAATGTGTATAATCTTCCACATCCGGGATACTCAAAAGTGTGTTCCAAAATACTTCTCGGTTCACGGATTGCCTTCTCGTTATTTCACGTCGGTTACTTTTTTGCTTCTCTTGCTAAACTGCTAGGAGTTTAAAGATAGGGCCTGTGTCCTCTATTTCTTTTGTATCCTCAGAGAGTTTTGAATAGAATTCTGAGCATACTGTAGGCATGCCATAAATCCTTATTAATTATCAGACAAGAATAGTGGACCCAACCAAAATGGATTTGACAACAACGAGCAACAAGTATTCACTCATTCATTCATTCATTCAGTGTCTCATATTACAGGCACTGTGCTAAGTGCTGGGATTTGTTGTTGTGGAGTCATTCTCAGTTGTGTCCAACGGGGACACGTTTAGGTTTTCTTAACAGAGATGCTGGATTGGTTTGCCATTTCCTTCTTCAGATCATTTTTATAGATGAGGAGTCACACAGAGTCACACAGCTAGTAATTGTCTGAGATCAGATTCGAGCTCAGGAAGATGAGTCTTCCTGACTCCAGGCCAGGGCACTCTATCCACTGCATCGCCTAGCTTCTGAGATTACAAAGACAAAAATGCAACAGTCCTTGGCCTCAAGGAACTTACATTCTACTGGGGATAAAACCCCCTATTGGTATGTTGTTGTTGCTATTGTTCGGCCTTCATTCTCGAAAAGGACCAAGGCATCAGGAAGGTGATACCATGACATACAAGTGAATCAGATTTAAGTGAAGGAGGGCTGTGCAAAGTCACCAGCCTCGCTTTCTCCTCCAGAACCTTCTGGGTCCAGTGGCAAGATATAGTTCAGGACTGGAGATATCCCCTCCACTTCCCCACCCCCTGTGTTGATTTAGGAAGGAAGCTTTGGTCTAGATAGTAATAGCAATTGTTGGTGGAGCAATAGGGTGGTAGATTGTCCCACCTTCATAGTAAAAATGCTAATAATGATTTGGTTTATTGACCCTTGAGATCAAGGTAAAAAGTTGGGAGAAGGAAGGTCAACGTGTCTATACTGGCTAGGCCCTGGTGTCCTGGTGGATGCCTGGATGAGATAAAGTACAGTCTGGCAATACTATACAATACCAGGAGCTCTCCAGAAGGAAGACTGAGGTGAGGCTAGACTCATTTGTCATGATGCATGAAGCTCTACATCAATCTGTTGATTGATATGACAATATATATTAAGAGTATTTAACCAATGGCATGAATCTTACTAAGTAGCATCTGAGGCAAGTGTTAGAAGAATTTTACCATTATATATTCCACTTACTTGTAACCTTTTCTCTTCTTTCTCCACCTCCTTGTCTCTCATATGTTGCATTTTTTTATTGAAGCCTTTCCTTTCTCTCCCTTTTTTCCTGCTCCACTGCCTTTGATTTAGGTCAGCCAGTGGCCCTGTAGGCATTGTTTATTGCCTCCAGTGGGGCTCTACCCTTCCTTAGTTATTAACCTCAGGTCTGTACTTTTCTTTCTTGCATGAATAAATAAGTTACTTATAATGTTTAGTAAAAAAACAGATATAACCTCGTTGATGTCTCATCCAAAATATTCAGTCTCCCCATTAACTCAGGCAGTTTTCAGAAGAATAAATCAAAGCTATCTATAGTCATATGAAAAAACTGTTCTAAATCATTATTAATTGGAGAAATGAATATTAAAATAACTCTGAGGTACCACCTTATACCTATCAAATTGCCTAACGATAGAAAAGGAAAATGACAAATGTTGGAGGGGCTATAGAAAAATTGGGACACTAATGCATTGTTTGTGGAGTGGTGAACTGATCAGACCATTCTAGAGAGCAATGTGGAACTATGCCCAAAAAGCTAAAAAACTGGGCATATTCTTTGACCCAGCAATACCACTATTAGGTCTGTATACCAAACAGATCAAAGAAAAACGAAAAGGACCTATATGTACAAAATATTTATCACAGCTCTTTTTGTGGTGGCAAAGAATTGAAAACTATCAATTGGGGAGTGGCTGAAAAAGTTGCGGTATGTGGTTTGTGATTGTGATAGAATACTATTGGCCTTTAAGAAATGATGAGCAAGATGCTTTAAAAAAAAAAAAGATCTTGGAAAACTGATGCAAGGTGAAGTGAGCAAAGCCAGTAGATCATTGTACACTGTAACAGCAAAGATGATCAACTCTGCATGACTTAGCTATTTCTCAAATTCAAGATGATTCCCAAGGACTTGTGATAAAAAGTACGATCCACCTCCAGAGAAAGAACTGATGGAGTCTGAACACAGATGGAAGCATTCTTTTTTTTTTACTTGATTTTTCTTGTTTTTTTTTTCTTCTATGTTTTCTTTTGCAACATGACTAATATGAAAATATGTTTTATATGACTTCAGGGAAAAAAAGGTTTGGCTAGGGGATTGACCATTGATTAAAATGATATTTTCCTTGTTTTCTATGGATTTCCATGATCCACATTACTATTGAAAATGAGTCTGTAATACTATTTGGAATGTGAAGACCCAAAAATTAATGAACTTCCTCACTCTGACTCTGTAAGCATACTGTAATGTTACAGTTATATTACACTTCAAAATCACAGAGTCTCAGAGGTAGAGAGTTTACAGATCCATAAAGTTCAGACTGTAGTGATAAGGGAATCCCCTCTATAACATGTCTGAGATGTGGTCATCCATCCAGCCTTTGCTTGAAATCTTCTAGTAAGGTGGATCCCATGAACTATTCAGGAAATCCTTCCACTTTAGGGTATCTCAAATAGTCAGTAAGTTTATCCTTACACTCATGCTAAATCTTCCTCTCTGTAACTTTAACTGATTATTCCTAGGTCAATAGGGCCAAGTATTAGAATACTACATGACAGCCCTTCATATACTTGGAGAGCTATCATATTGTGTTTCCCTCCTTCCCCTCTAAAGTCTCTCTAGGTTAAATATCTCCAGTACCTGATCCTTGCATGACATCGTCTCAGCACTTTTTACATCATGGTTTTCTGTATTCATTCTCAGCTTGTCAATATCCTTCCTAAAATGTAGCCATCAGAACGGTATCTAAAACTCCAGATATGGTCCAATTAGGTCACAATGTGACTATATAATAATAACTATTATGTTATTAATATATAAGGGGTGAGACAGTGGATGTTGCTTCATTACATACATATACAGAATCATGTTTTGCTGTGTACGTTACTGGAGTTATAGAACAGATAGAAAAATATGTTGTGGCTCTGACTGCAAAATATTAATAAGTTAATTTAAAGGATTCCTAAATGAGAACATATGGATGTGGCCTCAAGATTAAAATTATATTCAATGTTTGTTGAATGTGCACTTTAATTTCCTACCATGTACAAGTCATTGTGCCAAGTACCACACATGCTAAAAATAAAAACAAAACGGTCCCTGCCCTCGAGAAGATTAGGTTTTCCTGATAGAGTAAATACCATATAATTTGAGGAAGAATAGAGAATTAACAGCTATTGGAAGATCAGGAAGTCTTTGGTGACATCCAAGTGAGCTTTGAAGGAATCCAGGGGTTCTGTGAGACAAAGGTAGAAAGCCTTTGGGTTGGGGAGTTCTGATCGAAGGTAGAAAAACCAGTTAGAAGGCTTGACTGCAGAATAGAAATAACCAGAAATAAGTCTGGTAAGGTACATAGGAACCAGATTACGGAGGACTTTGAATCCCACCCTTCAGGAGTTTGTATTTTTTTCCTAGTGGCACCAGAGAGTCACAGAAGATTTCCTTTTTTTGAACAGAGGAACAATATTGTCCAACTCATGTTTTAAGAATATTAATTTGGCAACTGTGGGGATCAAAACTGAGGATTACTTAAAGGGGGAATGGAGAGGCACATGATTGACATGGGCAAACTGCAACACATTGCAAACTGAATTATGTCATAGAAGCAGTGAAAAGGATATCATCAAAGGAATGTAGGTGCCACAAAGGCTGAAAGGGCCATGTAAGAAGAGTAAGAGATAACTGATGAGCAATACACATGCTCCACTGGTATCTGTGCAATGTCAAAGGAAAGTGATGAAGGCCTCCAGTATTTTGGGGGAATTTATGGGAGGACAGTGACAAGAGTAGAGAAGACAGGGTTTGATAGTTTGAAATCCCACATGAGTAAGAGCACAATCTGCCTGAGAGAAAGGGTTTCACTGGAGAGGACAGACTGGAAATTATTATTGCAGTCAAGGTAGCCAATGATGAGGTCAGGGCCATAGGGATGGAGAGGAAAGGGGATAGATACAAAATGTTAGGGAGCTAGAATGGAGAAAATTTGCCAATTTATTGGCTATGAGGGATGAAAGAGGGAAGGGGGAAGGGAAAGGAACAAACATTTATTAAACACCTATTATGTGCTGGGCACTGTGCTAAGCATTTTACAAATTTCCCATTCGATCCTCAATCCTGGGAGGTAGGTACTATCATTAATTTCATTTTTGCCATTAAGGAAACTGAGGCCATGACTTGCCCAGGGTCACACAACTAGTAAGTATCTAAGACTGAATTTGAACTTGGGTCTTCCTGACTCCAGGTCCAGCACTCACTCTCTCTCCATATATAAATACACACCCACTGTTCCACTTAGATGCCTGAAATGAGTTAATGATAACTACAAAACTAAAACTGGGAACTAATCCCTCAACAGAAATAGGGAATTTTGGAGGAGTGATGGACTTTTCTGGAGAAAAAGATAATTCTGTTTTGAGGATTTTGAATTTGATGATGGTGGTGGTTTCAGTGGATGGTCCAGGTAGAGATTACTAATAGGCATTTGGTAACATGGGTCTGGAATTCAGGATAGATTAGAGGTGGGAGAATGTAGTTGGGAATCATATACATGAGACAATTGAACTGATAGGAGCAGATGAAATCATCAAGGGCAGGGATACAGAAAGAAGAGGAGGAATGATCCAGGAAGACATAATAGTGAGTGGTCAAAAAGATAAGACTACCAGAAGTGAGCCATTTCATAGATACCCAAGGGAGAAATAGTATCCAGAAGAAGGTGGTTAATGGTTTTGCAGGCAATAGAGATGTCTAATAGGATGAGGCCTGAAAAAAGGCCATCCATCAGACTTAGCAGTTAAGAGACTTTGTGAGTTTTGAGGGAATGGCTTCAGTAGAGTGGCAAGGTCAGAAGCTGGATTGTAAAGGTTAAAAAACCAGTGAGAGGAAATACCAGAGAAGTTGGGAAGTTGGGTGGGGAACAGACCTCCCCTGAAGTCTTTGCAGAGGTGGGAAAGAAGCAGTATGAAATATTGCATATACTGTCAGATATGGTTGATGTGTTGATTTTTTTTCCTAAGGCACTTCTTTTTCCATGTTTAATCTTTGTTATAAGGGTTGGCTTGATGCATAGGAGAGAAAGCTATCCAGAAATGAAGATGATGTAAAAATTAAACGGTATCAATAAAAATATTTTTTAAAAGAAAAAAAGCAAATGGTGGCAACAAGTACAAGGATTTTGGCAGAAGAAGGTGAAAAAAAAAAGATATAGGTTGATATGGAGTCAAGTGAAGGTATTTTAAGGTTGGCGAAGACCTCAACATGTTTAGAGGCAGCAGAGAAAGAGTTAATGAATATGGATAAATTGAAAATGAGAGAGGAAAAGATTAAAGGGACAAATGTCCGATTGATACACAAAAGTGTGACAAGTAAAGGGGCTAGAATTGGTAAAGAGGTGGGTCGATTTTTCCTGAGACAAATGCTAAGGAAAAGAGAATGGGGGGAGGTCATGTAGTGGAGTTTTGAAGTATGCATTAAGGGAGAAGAAAGGGCATAAAATTCAATTTTTTCTAAGACAGATGAGGTGATAATTTCAGCAGGAAAGGGAAAGAGGTGTCAAACATGCTGCCCGAGTCAGATTAAATTGTAACCGGGAAATATTTAACAAAACAAATAAAAATACAATAAAATATAGATAACATTACATTTTTTAAACTGTCAGCATTGGTTAGACCCAGGTAACAGCAGATGACAAATGCGGTTATCGAATCTCTGGGGGCTAAATTGAAATTTAGCTCCATAGCCTCATGCCAAGATGTCAAGGAATAAGAAAACACACCATAAATGGTACAACTATTTTTCTCTCAATTGCTTAGATAAATGCTGTGTTGATGCACAAATCAAGCATTATGATGTTTATACAAGCAGGTTCAGGCAAACCTATGAAAAGTTATATGAAAAAATGTAGCCTTTTTGTTCATATAGCCCCTATCACATTCTATGATTAAAACAATTAAAATGTGATTTCCCCATTGAGTCAGGTAGTTGGGGTTGGCCACACTCACTTGTAAGTCACTCCTCAATCTTCCACTTGACTTGTTCCTAGAATATTTCATTTTATCATACTGAGTTGTAGAGTGTTCCAAGGATATATTTTCTTTTTCTTGCATAACAATGCAAACTCAATCTCATTAGTTAACTAGGTCAAGACTCCACCAAGTTCATTAAATATAAATTAAGAACTGGAGAAACCTCCTTTCCTAATAGTAATTATATATATAATTTATTAATAAAATCTGTGATGACATAAATGTAGCTTATTAGTTATAATATCTGCACTGTGAAGATCAGAGAGTGACCTCAAACCCTCACATTAACAGTAAATGACTTTTCATTTGTGAAAACAGTCCCCCACTATTCATTTTCTCTGAAGACACTAGTAAAAGATCTTCTCAAAAATCCTGTTTGCGGGGCAGCTAGGTGGCACAGTGGATAGAGCACCAGCCCTGAAGTCAGGAGGACCTGAGTTCAAATCTGGCCTCAGACCAAACACTTGACACTTACTAGCTGTGTGACCCTGGGCAAGTCACTTAACCCCAATTGCCTAAAAAAAAAAATCCTGTTTGCAAAATAAAGGTGACAACAGTTTCATCAGAAAATATCTCTCCTTATCCTTTCTTCCTTCTCTATGTTCTCTCCAGATATGACGAGAAAATAGTTTCTTCTATATCAGTCTTGATAGGTCAAAAACTTTAAAAACAAAAAATGCCGAAAAACCCCACAAACTTTCTCCCTAACTCTATAGTAAGAAACACTTTGTCACCTGATAATTTTTCAACTGTAATTCTCCTACTGCCAACTCAAACTACCTACTCCCCAACATTCTATTTGGCTTGTAAAGACAGAGGAACAGTATCTACTGTCTCTGGGAAAGCTGAGTGAAACATGTTTTACATTTTAAAATAAAGTTTTCTTAATCTTTTTTGTAAGGTGCATCCCTTTGACAGCTGATGCAGGCTATAGACCAGAGTTTAACAAACTATGGCCCAAGGGGCAAATCTTGCAAGACAGCTGTTTTTGTGTAGCTTGTGGGCCAATAATGGCTTTTACATTTTTAAAAACAATAAAACTTTATTTTAAAAGGTAAAAACCATTCTTAGTTAATGGGTCATGCTGTAGCAGGCTGCAGCCTGGGGTGGGATGAAGTTTGCAAAAGGCTTCTATATAGACCAATCTATATACCCCTCTATATACCCCTTCTCAGAATATTTATAAATGAATAAAATATATTATATTGTAGTTATCAAAATGCTAAAAAGAAACAAGTTCCAGACCCGGATATAAAAGAATATAGACTCCCTCACAATTAAGACAAGTGATAAGTATTTACAGCAGAAAAGAAGTATGTGTGTCTTAGATAATTTTATCATTTTAAAGCAAAGATCTAATATAGTTATTGAAGCACTTCACTTTGAAAACTGGGAGAACTTTTTCCCATAGGTTATTCATGCAGTTATTTCTGTGTAGAAACCTCTTTCATGTCCTCTCTTTAATATAGCTATCAATTTAACTGAGAAAAGAAGGGAGCAGATGGAATTTCAGGCTCTCCATATTGGGATAAAAGGTTTAATTCAAGATGCTTCAAATGTAGATTTTTAGATTATCTTTACCATTTGACAGCTGAACCATATATAAACTATATGTGAAAATATGAGAAAAATTTCCCAGGTTTGGAATGTGTATTTTCATCAGGTAGATTTCAGTTATAGCAAAGAACAAGTATCCTGTATGAAAAAAAGTACACAATGGCCATGTAAATATTGCTTAATCACATCATAAAACTTTAAACACTGGCCAGTACCTTGAAATGAGACAAAATACACACACACACACACACACACACACACACACAGAACCTTTCTCTTGGGATTTGATGTTTAATGAACTGTGAGCCAGTTTACTTCCTTGGTGCACAGGAATACTGTACCTGTGCAGATGGCAAATTGGCCGGTTGGAAACCTGTTGCTAGATCACGTGTTTTTTTTTTGGGGGGGGGTGTCTGTGTGTATGTGTGTGTGAAGGTTTCTTGTTTTTGTTTTTCTGCGTTTGGAGTATTATTTTGTTGTTGTGTTTGAGAAACACGGAAGGATTTGTGCACCTTGTGGTTTAAATTTTCCAAACTCTGGATTCCTAGCTTTCTCTTGCTTACATATCCTTTGGATCTACTTCAGGGCGATACGGCTTCCACTGGAGCCCCTGCTCAGAGCTCTGGACAACAAGGATCTTTGGAGGAAACTGTGGCGAGTTCCAGGCCAGAGTCTGTGGAGATCCTCCATGTCTGCCAGAAACAGGTGGCTAAGCTGGAGCTGTGGCTTGACAAAGCTAACCTCTCATTCAGTGCTGAAACACTAAACCCAGAAATGCAGCAGATGGTGGAACAGGAACTAGCTGGTTGTCAGGTAAGACTGAATGGTCAGAGTTCACCTGTATGCCAATCACCTTTCTGTGCCCGATGAGTTTTTCTCTTAAAGCAACAGTATAGATTTATGGCTATTCTTTCCTCTCTTCACCTTGTATAGAGTTCAATTAATAATGTTTTAGTTTTGAGAATGACTTATTTCTTCCAAAAATTTCCTATTAGTTATTTAAATACTTAGTCATCTAAAATTCAACTTTGTCCAGGATTGGAAAGGGAAAACGTAGAATGTGCACATTCAATGTTGGTGTTTATTCATGTAGGATGTGTTATAATTTGTGCTATATAGTATAATCTGTCATGCAATTAGCACTTTCTGATTGAGTCATCCTAGAGGAATCACCAATTTTGAGACACAGAAATTGTATAAAATACAATGCCATGATATGTAGTAGAAAGACCAACTTTATTAGGGATAAAGAGCCCTGAATTCTTCAGTAAATAGCTTCAACTCTGTTTTCTCAACTGTCAAATGTGGAAATCAGCTGAGGCTCCTTCAAAGTCTGTAATTCAAATAGGCGCAATATTGCCAAAGGAATTCATTAAAATGTGATTGATTGTGAATGGCAATAAATTACTGGAGATTTTGGAGGGCAAAAAAAATCACTTTTGTTGTTCAGTCCCATCAGACTCTTCATGACCTTATTTGGGGTTTTCTTGGCAAAGATATTAGAGTGGTTTGCCATTTCCTTCTCCAGTTCATTTTACAGTTGGAGAAACTGGGGCAAACAGAGTTTAAGGGACTTGTCCAGGGTCACACAGCTAATAAGTGGCTGAGGTTAGATTTGAAATCAAGTCTTCTGGAATCCAGGGCCAGTGCTCTATCCACTGCATCACCTTGCTGCCTAGTATATTAATCATATGGCATAGTACAAAACTTGGAGTCAAGAAAATACAAGTTGAAATCCTGTTTCACACACTTATTAACTGTGTGACCCTGGGCAACTTAGTTAACCTCTTGGAGCCTCACTTTCCTCATTTGTAAATGGAGGTCTTAACAGCCTTATCAATAAAATGGTGATAGTAATAGCACCTACCTCAAATGCCTGTTTTGAGAATCACTGGAGATAATAACATATGTAAAGTTTTGCAAACTTTAAAGCACTAATAAAGCTATTATTAAATGACATTGGTGAGGGCAACCAAGTTCTATATACATATAAAGGATTATTGTTAATTTTTGTGGTTGAATCATTTCAGTCATATCTGACTCTTTGTGACTCCATTTGAGGTTTTCTTGGCAAAGATACTGGAGTGGTTTTCCATTTCCTTCTCTGGCTCCTTTTACAGATGAGGAACTGAGGCAAACAGGGTTAAGTGACTTGTCCAGGGTCACACATCTAGTCAGTGTCTGAGGCCAGACGTTGACTCTTCCTGACTCCAGGACTGGCACTCTATCCACTGTACCACCTAGCTGCCTGCCCCTTATTCTTAATTCCTATCTGCAAAACCAGTGCTTTTCACAGGCAAATTTTAATGGAAACCCAACTGTTATCTTCCATTTAGAATATTCTGAATCTCATTCCTTGTTGGAGGGCCTAACAAAGTGTGTGTGTGTGTGTGTGTGTGTGTGAAATGGGAGAGTGCACTAGTGTATATGTGTGTGTAATAGTGGAGATAAGAGAAATATTAGCAGTATATAATTAAAAAAAGATTTTGATATTCATTTTATACAATAGAAAATTAAAGGGTTGATGAACATTATCTTAACCCTCAAACCAACTTTTCAAATGCTAGCCTTTCAACAACCTTGATTCCTTTGTACTGACATTCAAAATTACTGGTCTTGGAGCAAGAACAGAGCTAACACCTGCCTCAGACATTTCCTAGCTCTGGGACCCGAGATGAGTCATTTTAATCCCTCTCAGGTTCTGTTTCCTAAACTGTGTTCCAGCATTTGGCACAGCGACTGACATATAGTAGGTGCTTAATAAATTCTGGTTGACTGACTAGTTAATAAATGGCAAAATGAGGATGGTAACAGCACCTACTTTACAGGTTGTTCTGAGGATGAAATGTGATAATGTGTAGTCAAGTCAATAAGCATTTATCAAGCACATATTAATTACATATCTATGTGCCAGGCATCAGGCTATGCGCTACATGGTATGCAATGGAGCTTAGGACTGCAAAAACAACAAAAATGTCAAAAACAGCCTCTGCCCTCAAGAAGTTCACAATCTAAAACAAACAACTGTGTATAAACAAGCTATATACAGGATAAACTGGAGATCTGAGAGGGAAAGCATTAATATTAAATGGGATTGGGAAAGCCTTGCAGAAGGGAGGATTATAGCTTGGTCTTGAAAAAAGCCAGGAGACAGAGATGAGGAGTGAGAATTCTGGACATTGGAAACCGCCAGTGAAAACACGTAATCAGGGGATTAAATGTCTGATGTGAAGAATAACAGGGAGGCAAGAGGAGACAGGGGGTTGTATGTGAAAGATGTTGCAAAAGATACGACTTGATAATAGACTGGATGTGGGGTGGGGGAGGGGAGTGGTTAAGAAGGAGCAGTAAAGAATGACATCGAGATTGTGAACGTGGGTGAATAGGAATTAGGAATTATTATTAGGAATTACAAATTATTAGGAAGAGGGAAGGGCTTGGGGGAAAGAGAATGAGCTCAGTTTTGGACACTGTTTTAACTTTCAAACTTTAAAACATAAAGTTATCTATTGTTGTTGTTGTAGAATATTAGTCATTATTTATATGTCTGGCTCTTGAGTATGCATTCAGTACCAGAGAGGCCCGTTTCAGTACAAGGTAAAAGGAACAGAGAACACTGTCACTGTCCTATTTACATCCTAATAGAAATAAAATGGACAAACAAAAATTGCGTTTTCCACTTTTCCTCTTTTCTGATTGGCTTGGGGATAGATATGAAAACAGTGATGTACATTTAGGGATATCATGGTACTTCATGCTATACTTCCATTATGAGAAATGGAAAGTAACTTGGCAGATAACGAATTTGTGGAATAAAGTTGGTTCATAAGGAAAATGATAGCTAAGCACAATAAACACTATTGAGTAGAATGGGCAGAGTGAACCAAGATATAATAAAGGTCACAAAATTTAGAGATAGAAGCGACCTTAGAGATCAACTCTTCCAACCTTCTTATTTTTACAGATGAGGAAACTGAGCACAAAGTGCTTAAATGACTTGCCTAAGGTCAAACAACAACAGAAACCAGAATTTAGGGCTGATAAATTTTTACTGCAGTGAAACGAGTATGGGTCATCAGGTCCATGTGCAAAGAAAAAAATGATTGCTTTATTGGTATATGGAGGGACTTCCTCTTACATTTCTATAGTTGTTGTAAATTACAAGCAACATACAAGCAAAACAAAGACCTGCCTTCATGCCAAAACAAATGTTTTGTGAATTAAAGAGTATTTTATTTTAGTCTAAAATAGTAGGGGTTATCTTACTGAACATTTAGAACTGGCTCCTTCATAAGATTTTAGTGCAAAGTTAGACATAGACAGGTAGCTAAGGGGTGCAGTGGATAGAATGCCAAGCCTGGAGTCAGGAACACCCGAGTTCAAATCCAGCCTCAGACACTTACTAGCTATGTGACCCTGGGCAAGTCACTTAAGCCTGTGTTTCAGTTTCCTCATCTATAAAATGAACTGGAGAAGGAAATGGCAAACCACTCCAATATTTTTGCCAAGAAAACCCCAAATGGGGTCACAAAGACTCAGACATGAGTAGAACAATTCGACAACAACAAGATGTAGACAGGCAGTCAAGGCATCCTTCTCTTGATTCTTCAGCATAACATGGGACCCAGAGAAACCTCTTAGGTATAAAATAGATTTCCTGGAGGTAGATCTGGAGCAACCTGTGGGACCACTTTAGTGGATGGTCTAGCTGTCCCCATGGACAAAAAGAATGTGTGCTGGCCTGGAATATAATGGAGAACTTCCTCTCCATTGGATAAAGACATTTAAATTTTTAGATGACTTGAAGTTGGGAGGGATAGCAAATGTGTTACCTTACAGTAAAGATCTCAAAAGGCTTGACTGATGGACCAAATCTAAAAAGATTAAATAGGCTAAATTCTCACATATAGATTAAAAAATAAATCAAGTACATAATACAGGATAGGAAGGTGTGGGTAAATTTTCTAAGAAAGAAATGTAGAATAGACTCCATAGGAGTCAACAGGGTGATATCAAAGGCAAAAAACTAACTTGTTCTCATGCTACATTGAGAGACTGAGTCCAGAAGAGGGAGATGATAGGTCCATTATGTGCTACCCAAATAGACCAACAAACATATCTTGAGCATTGTGTTCCATTCTGTACATCATGTTCTAGAAGAGTTGCAGTGTGTGTTCAAACAAATATGGCCGAGATGATGAGGAGCTTCAAAACCATGTTAGGTAAGGGTAAGTCTAAGGAACTGGGAAAGTTTATCTCAGAGATGTGAAGATGTGGGAATAATGATAATGATGATAACAATAATAGCTGTCATTTATATAGTGCTTTAAGGTTTGCACAAAGCACTTTTCAAATGCTGTCTCATTTGATCCTCACTACAACCTAGTGAGGTTGGTGTTATTATTATTCCCATTTTATAGATAAGCAAAATGGGGCTGTGATACCATAAGTAACTTGCCCAAGGTCGTACAGATGAGGCAGAATTTGGAGGGCTTTTCCCGACTCCACATCCAGCACTCTCTCCACTATACTACTTGGCTATAAAGATTATCTATTGCTCACTGCCCACTGGGTTTAAGTCTAATAGGCCTGCCAAGTTACAACACCCCTTCTAATACTTGAAGAGAGCAATCAGATGCACCCTGTCCCCAAGACCTCTCCTCTCAAGGCTAAAAATCCTTACTTTCCTCAGACAATCTTCAAATGGTATGGTCCTCAGAGATCTCACCATCTCCATGCCTTCCTTTGGATACACTCTATAATTATCTTTGCCAATGTCACTCAAAATTAAGCAAGTCAAGTCACCAAATAATTATTAAGTGTCTACTATGTGCCAGGCACTGTGCTAACCATAAGTAGTTTTCTATATCATCTAAACAGGGCAGACCACAGTGATACTCTGCTCTGTGTGGGATCCATTTTAACTATGAGCACATAGCTACTTGGATAAGATTTAAGGTTGGAAGGGACCTCTGAGGTCAACTAATCCAACCCCTTCATTTAGCAGATTAAAAAACAAACTAAGGCACAAAGAGATTAAATGACTTGTACAAAGTCACACAGGTAGAAAGTAGCAGGAACATTTGAACCTTGGACTCCAAATCAAGAGCTTTAAAAACTAGTTTATCAAAAGAGAGAACAAAACTCATTGATGTGAGCCATTGGCAAATCCTTGGTACTGTCATGTGGTTCAAGATCAGAAGCCAATAGGATTTTATCAGTACCATCTGCTTTGCCGCTGTACTCTAAGGACGATGGGCCCTTTCCATCTGACTTGAAGTTGAAACCTCCCGTACGTGTTGTCTCCACCATAACAATGTGAGCTCCTTGAGACAGAAACTGTCTTACTTTTTTTATTTGGTCCTCAGTGCTTCAAACATAGTAAACACTTATTAATTTTCATTCATTCATTTGGGAACCACAAATATTGAGGTGATGTCTTTGGTGCCACTGTGGCAAACACATGTTTGGCCATTAATAGTCCTACAAAGAGTTATATCATACATTGCAACTACTTTTACATGATGCACTCAAAAAGAAGTCTATTTAAAAAAAAACCTAATTAATTAAACACGATAAACACTTAGTAAGCATCTGTTATGCTATGTTGGTCTACCAGGAGTGGGCCACCAGTGGCCTTGAGGCCCGCAGGTTCCCTACCCCTGGCTACGCTATAACCTGCTAGGCGCTATAACTGAACTTCTGAAAGCTGTGTATTGTGTTTTTGGGCACAAATGAGAACTAGTGGAATTTGTATAACAGCCTCAGAGCTATGTTCTGATCTCAAGTCACTGCTACTGGTATATACCCTGGAGCACAGCTAGTTGGCATGGCTACTTGGTTTCCTAGGCCTCAGGAGGTTACAAACCTGATCTGTTGAGTAGAAATACAATGACGATATCTCACTAGGAGACTAACCAAGCTGGGTTATTTTTAGGCCTGTGTATTCAGTCCCTTATGTCATCAGAAAAGTACTTCAGTTTTCAAATCTTTCTTTTTTCCTAGAGTCTGTTATTTTGAGTACTTGTTTTGTTTGAAAAAGAAAAGGCTGATGATAATGAGAAAGACCTTCCTAACAGCTTTGAAGGGTGTTGTATGGGAAACAGCTGATCCTTAGCCTTGTTTCTAAGTGCATTAATTGCAGCAGGAGGGATTTAGATTAGATGTTAGGAAGGGCAGGTTTGGAAAAAAGCCCCATACTAGTAATAATAATCATGACGTTAACATTTATATTTTAACTTACTATGTGCCAGACACTGTGCTAAATGCTTTACAATTATTATCTCATTTAATCCTCACAACAACCAAGTGAGATTGTTAGTATTATTATTATTATCCCCACTTTAAAGTGGGAATTATGTGTGTGTATGTGTGTACATTTATTGTTGTTTAGTTGTTTCAGTCATATCCAATTCTTTGTGACCCCATTTGGGGATTTCTTGGCAAAGATACTGGAGTGGTTTGCCATTTCCTTCTCCAACTCATTTTATAGATGAGGAAACTGAGGCAAACAGGGTTAAGTGACTTGCCAAGAATCAAACAGCTAGTAAGTGTCTGAAGCCGAATTTTAACTCGGGTCTTCCTGACTCCAGGCTCCACCCATAAATATATGTGTATGCATATATAGATATATATGTGTATGTGTGTGCATGTATACATGTGTGTATGTGTATACACACACATATTCAGATAGCAACAGAGACAAACAGAGGTTAAGTGACTTATCCAGGGTCACACAGCTAGGGAGTATCTGAGGTCAGATTTGAACTCAGATCTTCCTGACTCCAGGTCCAGTGCTCTATCCACTGTGCCACCTAGTTAGCCTACTGCACTATTACCTAGCTACACTAATTATCTATATTAGTCTGGAAGAATTACTTTAGTCTCTCACAGCCTCAGTTTCCTCATCTGCAAAATTAGGGGGTTGGTTGAGATTATCTCTGAAGTCCCTTCTGGTTCTAATCTGTATAAAACTATGATTTTGAGAGCTGCTAGAATGGGTTATCAATGGTATTTGAGGAATCTTGCTTTGAAGTTTAAGGAAAAGAAAGTTGCCTTTTGGGGCTGATTTTAGTGAAATCTTGTTCAGGAGCAGAGGAACAGAAGAAAGGATTGCTCGAGGCCCTTTATATTTATTCACTTTAAAATATAATCAAATAGTCAGTGAATCTGAGAAGAGTGGAGATGGAACTTCATGAAGAACCAAAAGATAAATAATCAACATGTTTTGTTTTGTTTTTTTTTTTTTCCTTCCTAGGCCATGTTAACAGAGATTGAGCACAAGGTGTCTTCCTTATTGGAGAATTGCAAAGATCAGGGTCTAGGAAATATTGGAAGCACCCAACAAGAGGCGGAAATACTTTCCTTGAAACTAAAAGCTGTGAAGTGTAATTTGGAAAAAGTCCAGGTGATGCTTCAGGACAAATACAGTGAAGTGCAGGTAAAATAGACATGAATGTATTGATATCCATAATTGATAAGCCCATCAGAAAAAAAACAAAAACCTTTGACTTCCACTGTTGTGTCAACTCAGTGTGAAAATACTGTTAATGAAGGAGTAAATCTCTTAGTATTCCAAGTGGTAAGTAAATCAGAATAAGGACCTATTGGTTTAATTTTACAATGTCTTCAGACTTCGTAGCAAAGTTTGTCTTAAACAAAGACTGTTCTGCAAGTGAACCCAGTTATAACAGCATTGGCAATAAAGTGATATTGAATTTGTTGAACTTTCAACAGATTTGCCCCTCTCGTTTCCTCTAGTATTTTTATAAGTTGCAACGCAAAGTATACTTGTGATAAAACAACTGGCTCTACTTTTAAATATGCACATGCACCAAATACCATTGGGGTATTCACATTAAAAAATAAGACTAGGCTTACACAGTCCAGAACTATACTTCTGTGCCTTTTAAATTCATTTCAACAAAATTCAATTCATAGAATGTCTTTTTTGTACTTATTATAGGGCACTGTGCCACATGTGGGGCATAAGATTAGAGACTAGAACTCGGATTTCAATGGTATGGAGAGCTCCTTCAGTGAGGGGATTCCCTTTACCCAGTGCAGGTCATCACCTCTGCAACTAATAATCTCAGAAGGGTCACTGAGAGATGAGAGGACTTACCAGGATCAGAGAGCTAGTATATGTTAAACCCATATTTCAATCAATCAGTAAACATTGATTAAGCACCTACTATGTGCCAGGTACTGTGCTAAGCACTAGGGAAAGAAAAACAGGCAAAGAGTCCTCAAAGCTCTCTGTGTTTTTGTTCTTTAGTCAATTAGTCATGTTTGACTCTTCAAAACCCCACTTGGGGTTTTCTTGGCAAAGATAATGGAGTGGTTTGCCATTTCTTTCTCCAGCTCATTTTACAGATGGGGAAACTGAGGCAAACATGAGTTAAGTGACTCACCCAAGGTCACACAGCTAGTAAGTGTCTAAGGCTGGATTTGAACTCATATCTTTCTGACTCCAGGCCCAGTGCTCTATCCACTGAGCCACCTAGATGCCTCCTAGTATTTGGTCGGCTGTGTAGAGGAGGGGCACTAGAGCCCCAAACTGTTCCCTCCTGCATGCACTCACATGACTGGAAGCTCCATGTCCTTCACATCTCAGCTCACGCAGTCTCTCTTACACAAATTCATTCTTTTTAACTCATTCTTTCCATAGTGTGGCCCTGAGCAAGTCCCTTAACCTAAAGTGAAGATACTAACAGCACTTACCTTACAGGGTTGTGGTGAAGTTCTCATGAGATAATGTGTTTAAAGTGTGATATAAATATTAGCTCTTCTTATTAGTATCCCTCACAACCCCTTACACACTTACAATCTAATTGGGCCCATTTCTACCACCAAACTTTTACTACTAGACATGAAGGTTTCTGCCAGTGTTTCCTAAATAGGCCTAAAACATACCTGACCACGGAGGACCACTTTGTGTCCCTGTAATTATAGATACACAGCTGTAAGTTCCCTGCCATCAACCCTAGACTCTTAACACCTGCCTTCAAAGAGCTCAAAGTCTATTTAAAGGAGCCTAGAACCTAACTGGATTTATGGTCTGTCTTCTAAGCCTCTTGGTTTTCTTGAACTTCATTGTTTTCTGGTTTGTCTTCATGGTAAATTTAAATTCATAGACTCAATGTTCTATCAGTGATTTTTTTCTTTTTCTTTTTCTTTTTCCCCCTTTTTGCTTATCTTTTTTTTATTTAAAAGAAAAAAAAGACAAGAAACTTCTTGTTCCCAGTAAATTCATTCAGATGTGTTGGGTAGAAGAGAGACAAAAATGACCATTTTACTTAATGGGATAATTTTTTTTAATGCTATGAAATAAGCACATTAAATTAAATTAGGGTAATAAAAATACAGTAGTTTACCTCAGATAAGGTTTTTTTTAAATTTTCCTACATTAAATGGTTTTATTATTATATAGTTAAATTGAAGTGGTTCATTCTGTGTAAGTGAATAATTTGTCATTACATATATTATATATATATATATATTTTTTTTTTTTTAACAGCGAAGTAACACTCTAAAGAAACCTTCAGAGGATCAAAAAGTCCTCCAGTCAGACAGATTGCCTGTATTTGAATCTATTTCATTTGAAAGCCCACTCTTCAGCCCACGAAAAGGTTTCCAACAACAGGTAATTTTAGCCCTTGCACAAAATAATGAAGCACGAAAATAATCTTTTTCATGTGGAATGATCTTTCATCCTTAAAATGTGAAGCTGGTATTGGTGGGTTTGCTTCTGTGACTTGGCGTGGAAAGTAGATCTATCTGTGTGTGCCCAGGGTTGTGCAGCGAGTTAGATGGCAGAACAGAACCAGTCCTGGTCCTGGTCCTGGAGTCAGAAAGACATGAGTTCAATTTCCAACCACAGACATGTACTAGCTATGTGATCCTAAACGTCATCTAATCTCTTCCTACCTCAGTTTCCTCATCTGTAAAATGGGAATAGATGACATTTAGGATCACATAGCTAGTAACCCCCCCGGGTTATTGTGAGAATTGAATAAGATAATATTTGTAAAGATCTTCAGGAACCTTAAAGCACTAAATATAAATGCTATTTTTGATTTTTATTCCATCTCATTACCAATAACTTCTGTTGCATCTTTAATGGAATCTGTTACTCTTAGTGATACTAAGTGATACTTTGTTCCTTGGTTACTGTGCTGCTGAATGAAATCTGAGCCAAAATCTCCAGTGGGAACTTTGTAATGTGGCTATTTTATTGCCTTTTCCCCCCATCAGTATTGTATTGGTTAACATGAGTTAAAATTTGTTAATATTCATTAAAATGAATAAATGAATATTCATATATATGCTATTTCAAAAATATGGTTGACATTATAATGCACATGTGTGTTTCAGATGGATCTTGGAGGGGCTTATGGTGTGGGACCCATCATAGCTAGTTACTTATGAGTAACTCATAACTTATGGGCTATGACACTGAAAACTCAGAATTGGTTCAGAATTTTACTATCCTAGCAGCACCAACAGAATACATAAAGGGAAAGGGCACCCTGTAGATATTTGACCTTTATGACTGATGTAAATGTTTCCTTCCTTGTTCATTCATAGGCCTCGGAGTTAAAACTAGGTGAACAGAAGGATCTCTTCAGGTTCATCGAAACCCACGCTGAGAAAATGTGGCATCAGCAGGACCAACGAGACGACGGTAAAACCCAGGAATCACTTTTAAGGTATAAACTTTTAAATAGTTGGACATAAATAAACTAACAAAAATGATTAAATATGGTAAAGCCCATGCTTGGTGGGGCTTTGGGCACACAAGTACAATAGCTCATTGTTGGTTACCATTTAAATTGACACAGTCTTCCTAGAAAAGAAACTGGTGATGTAACAAGAGCCATGAAATTAGCCATACTTTTGGCTTCATTTTTTTTTCCTGTTGTTGTTCTGGATCTGTAATTTCATCATTGTGGGGGGATTCCCTGTGTGGAGACTCCTTTTCTGCACTGATGCACGTCAACAATTTCTACATCCATCATTGCCTTAAAGTGTTGCCTCGGGCAATGAGAAGTTAAGTGACTGGCCCAGGATCTCACAGTTAGTAGGTATGAGAAACAATACTTGAATTCAGATCTTCCTGACTTCAAGGCTAGTAAGACATTGTGGTAAACTTAACCCTTCTCAGCAATACAAGGATCTAAGACATCTCCAAAGGCCTCGTGATGGAAAATGCTATCCATAAAGAAGAAAGAACTATGGAGTTTGAAAGCAGATCGAAGCATACTATTTGCTATTTTTTTCTTCTGTTGAGTTTTGTTTCCTTTTTCTGGTGGTTCCTCCTATTGGTTCTAATTCTTACTCACAATATTACTAATGTGAAAATATGTTTAATAGGAGTGTATATGTATAGTCTATATCAGATTGCGTGCCGTCTTGGGGAGGGAGGGGGAAAAATTAAAACTCAAAAGCTTATGGAAGTGATTGTTGATAATTCAAAATAAATTAAAGAAAAAAGTAAAAAAAAAAAAGACATAGGGGTGTAGTGGATAAGATGCTACATTTCTAATCAGGAAGACCTGAGTTCACATTCTGCCTCAGAGACATGATATTTTTATGACAGTAACAAACAGCTTAACTTCTCTGTGCCTCAGTTTCCTCATCTGTAAAATGAAGGGTTAGATTTGATGCTTTTAAAAATATTTTTATTTAAAGTTTGGAGTTCCAAATTCTATTCCTCCCCCCTCCCTGAGTTGGTAAGCAATCAGATATAGGTTATACATGTGCAATTATGTATAATGTTTCCATATGAGTCATTTTGTGCAAGAAGACTTGAATAAAAGAAAAAAAAAGAAAGAAAGGGAAAAATAGCATGTTTCAGTTTGTATTCAAACAACACCTGTTTTGTCTGGAGGTGGGTAGTATGCTTCATCTTTAATCCTTTAGGATTATCTTGGATCATTGTATTGCTGAGAATAGCCAAGTCATTCACAGTTCTTCATCAAACAATATTGCTGTTATAGTGTACACAACATTCTCCTGGTTCTGTTCACTTCACTTGGCAATCATTTCATGTAAGTCTTTCCAGGTTTTTCTGAAATCATCTTGCATGTCATTTCTTATAGTACAATAATATTCCATTACAATCATATACCACAGCTTGTTTAGCCATTCCCCAATTGATGGGCATCCCTTTGATTTCCAGTTCTTAGCTACCACAAAAAGAGCTGCTACAAATATTTTTGTACAAATAGGTCCTTTGCCCCTTTTTTGATGTCTTTGGGACATAGACTTACCAGTAGTACTGCTGGATCAGAGGGTATACATAATTTGATAGCCCTTTTGGCATAGTTCCAAATTGCTTTCCAGAATGGTTGAATCTGTTCATAACTCCACCAACAGTGCATTAGTGTCCCAGTTTTCCCACATCCACTCCAACATTTATCATTTTACTTTTTTTGTCATATTAACCAATCTTATAGGTGTGATGAGGTACCTCAGAGTTGTGTTTATTTGTATTTCTCTAATCAATAGTGATTTAAAGCATTTTTCATATGACTATAGATAGCTTTGATTTCTTTGTCTGAAAACTGCCTGTTCATATCCTTTGACAATTGGGGGATGACTTGCATTCTTATAAATTTTACTCAGTTCTCTATCTATTTGAGAAATGAGGCCTTTATCAGATATAGTTGTGGCAAAATTTTTCCCCAGTTTTCTACTTTCCTTATAATTTTGGTTGTATTGGTTTTGTTTGTGCAAAAACTTTAAAATTTTATATAATCAAAATGATCTATTTAACATTTTGTAATGCTCTCTATATCTTCTTTGGTCCTAAATTCTTCCCTTACTCATAAATCTGACATGCTCTCTTAATTTTCTCATGGTGTTACCCTTTATGTGTCAATCATGTACCCATTTTGACCATATCTTGGTATATAGTATGAGATGTTGGTCTATACCTAGTTTCTGCCATACTGTTTTCCAGTTTTCCCAGCAGTTTTTGTCAAATAATGAGTTTTTGTTCCAAAAGCTTGGATCTTTTTATCATATACTAGATTACTATGGTCATTTACTATAATGTAATTTGTATCTAATCTATTCCATTGACCCACAGCTCTATTTCTTAACCAATACCAGATTGTTTTGATAATTACCACTTCATAATACAGTTTGAGATGTAGCATGGCTAGACCAGGGCTACTTAAACTTTTTTCATTCTCTACCCCTTCAGCCCTTCTTAAACTGTGGGTCATGATTTTTGGGGTCATTTAAGAAGTTTGAGTTTGAGGCACTTGGTTAGGGGCAGTTAGGTGGCAGAATTGTTAGAGTACCAGCCCTGGAGTCAGGAGGACCCGAGTTCAAATCTGGCCTCAGACACATAATACTCACTAACTGTTTGTCTCTGGGCAAGTCACTTAACCCCAATTGCCTCACCAAAAAAAAAAAAAAAAAAGAAGCGCTAGATAAGACCAACTTCTTTTGCACTTTTTTTCATTGATATCCTTGATATCCTTGAGCTTTTTGTTCTTTCAGATGAATTTTATTTTTTTTCTAGCTCTATAAAATAATTTTTGATAGTTTGCTATGGCACTGAATAAAGAGATTAACTTAGGTAGAATTGTCATTTTTTGTTATGTTGGCTTGGCCAATAGTAGTATGACCATTCCAAATAGTAGTAGCCCCTTAATAAATGTTTATTGACCTACTGACTCTTTGGATTCTATCTACAAAATAAAATCTTATTTATAAAATGAAATGGTTTAAGGAAGTGATCTCTATCAATACCAACATAATGGAGAACTCCATCCTAATAAAGAATGAATAATAAGAATTCAGTTCAATCAACAAATATTTATTAAGTATATGCTATGTGCACAGCATATAAAATGTGGAAGAATGTATAGACTTGTGAAAAATAGATAGTGGATAAAGGACCAGCCTAAAGACTCTGGAACACCTGGACTCTAGTCCTACAGATGATACATGCTGTGCCTGTGACAATGGGCAAGTCACTTACCCTCTCAGTGGCCCCAGGCAAGTCCCTGCAATAAAGTTACAGAGGAGTTGCTGATGTACATTTGTGGAGAAAGGTAGTTCCCTTCATCAATGGGAATAAAATAAAACCCCAAAAAATGAAAAAATGAAAAATCTATATAAAACTATGAAAAAAGGCAAAAAAGAGCAGATAAAGACTATAACTACATAAAAAAAAATGAGAAGCTGTAGTGTGTACCTGGATGACTTACCCATTCCATGTGAGGTTAATTTGAAGTAAAAGGGAACATTTAATCTTTATAGTAAAAGATACTTAGGGAGTTGATATTAGCGGCCTCAGAATATTTGAAGGATTATCATGTGGAATAGAGATTAAGCTTGCTCTGCTTTTCCCATAGGGCAGAACTTCAAGCAGTAGGTAAAAGCATAGGATCAGAGCTAGGGAGCTCAGGACTTTAGTCTGACCCTTTCATTTTACAGATGAGCATTCTAAGATCCAGAGAGATTAGATGATTTGCCCAAGGTCCTACTTTTACAAGGCCCAGGCTGTTACATTGCCCAGCTAGATTTGAAGTTCAGACCCTCTAAGAAAAATGACAAATGTTAGAGGGGATGTGGGAAAATTGAGACACTAATGCATTGTTGGTGGAGTTGGGAACTGATCCAGTCATTCTGGAGAGCAATTTGGAACTATGCCCAAGGGTTATAAAACCATGCATATCATTTGATCCAGCAATACCACTACTAGGTCTCTACCCCAGAGATTTTAAAAGGGGAGTTGGGGGGAGGGACCTTTATGTACAAAAATATTTATAGCAGCTCTTTTTGTGGTGACAGAGAATTGGATTGAGGTGATGCCCATCAGATGGGGAATGGTTGCACAAGTTGTAGTATATGAATGTAATGGAATACTATTGAGCTGTAAGAAATGATGAGCAGACCTGGAAAGACTTCTATAAACTGATGCTGAGTGAAGTAAGCAAAACCAGGAGAACATTGTACACAGTAACAGCAACATTGTGCAATGATCAACTTTGATAGACTTGGCTCTTCTCAGTAATACAAGCATCCAAGACAATTCTGAAGGACTTATGATGAAAAATGTTATCCATCTCTAGAGAAAGAGCTGATATAGTCTGAATGCAGATTGAAATATACTTTTCTTTTTGGACTGTGTTTTCTTTTACAATATGACTAATATGGAAATATGTTTTGTTTGACTGCACGTGTACGATCTACATCTAATTGTTTGCCTCATCAGTGGGGGAAGGAGAAAGAGGGAGAGAGTTTGGAACTCAAAATTAAAAAAAAAGAATGTTAACAATTATTTTTATTTTATATTTCCTAATGTAATTGGAAAAAATAAAATATTAAATAAACATATAGAAAAATAGAAACTCAGACCCTCTGACTCAAAGTCTAGCCCTCTTTCCACAATAACAGGCCAAGGTAACAAATTTCCACCAAAAGAAGGGTAAAAGAAAATTTTAAATCTGCTAATAATTAGGGCTATTCAAAAATAGGATGAATTATCTTAGGGAGTAGTGAACTCCCTGCTACCAGAAATGTTTAAGAAGAGGCTGAGCAGGCTTTAGATAGGATTCATTATTTAAATAGCAAATGAGGTAAACTGGAAGACAAAGACTCATTTTCATCTTTGTACCATACAATCCAACAATTTCATATTTGAAGGTATTATAAGAATCTGAAGATATTATAGCAGTGATTATCGATCCTTCCATCAGCAATGCACTGATTAAAATATGTCTACATATCCTTGATTTGTGGGGTACATGATATTTTAAAAAGATGAACAGAACAATAATGCATTGTGTAAATGTATCGTTAACATGGAAATAATACTTGTATTTCTTATCTCACAGAGTTGATGTGAGGAAAGTGTTTTGCAAATCTGAAGTGCTGTATCAGTTATTATTGCAGCATTTAGCATGATGCTGGCAGGTAGTAGGTAGCTAGTGAATATTTTTAAATTAAAAATGTGCATAAGTTTATTCTAAGGTAATATAAATGAAGCACAAAACAGATGAAATAAAATTGTTGAACAGTGAGTTGTGTTGTGATTGGAATAGTTTGTGTTAACAAAGTACCTTGGGTTTTCTTTGAATATTCCTGTGAGCAAAATGACTTCTAAAAGAATGTGCCCTGCAGCATAAAACTTTACATGCCAATTGTTTTCCTACCTTCTGCCTTTTTCCAAAGCCCTGGAGTGTCTCATTCTAGAAGTGGGTCCCCAGAATCATTTCTACCATCTCAGGAGCAAAGTGAAGATAAGTGGCAATATTTGCTTCAGGAGCTATCAAAGGAGAAGCTGCCTCCATCTCAGCCTGTGGATGATCAGGTCAGTGTGAACCCAAGCACAATGCAGCCCTTGTCAAGATCTGGGAGCCCCCTTTCCAAAGCCAGTTATTTCTTGAAAGAAAAGTTAGTGCATTGTGTATAATTGAATGGGAGCCCTTCATAACCATCCAACATAAATGAAAATCTTTGCAGGAAATTTATTCCTGACCTAGAAGAACTGACTCCCATCTGTATCTAGTTTTGACTTAAGTAACTGGAGGTGTTATTCACTGCTGTTTCAATTAATGCCATGGACGTGTGAGGTCCTGATGAAGTTTTAAATGTCCAAACAGTATGGTTCTTGTGCCCTGTGATTTCTTTATAAAATGTAGCTTCTTTAGGTAAAGAAAGGAATAGCTGATTGACCAAACTGGAAGGCCACAGTCTGCTTCACTAACTTCTGCAGGCCTCTAGCTCTTCAAAGCCCCCAGAGGTGTGTGACCAATCCACTGGTCAGACAAAGCAATCATTCCTTTCTTGAACCAAAGAAGTTCACACCTTATAAAGAAATCACAGGGTGTGAACCATCGTGGTTACACATTTAAAACTTCTCCCAACCTTACACAGGTTGCATTAACTGGGAATGAAACACTTCCTTACACATAGAAACTCTATTGAGCCAGAAGTGTTAAAAAGAAGGCTGTCTTTGCTCCCACCCACTGTTTCTTAGGGAAGCTGGGTGGAGCAGTAGATAGAATGCTGGGCCTAGAGTCAGGAACTGAGACTCATCTTCCAGCCTCTGGTACTTACTAACTGTGTGACCCTGAGCAAGTCACTTAACCCCTTTGCCTCAGTTTCCTCATCTGTAAAATGAGCTGGAGAAGACAATGGCAAATCACTGAAGTATCTTTGCCAGGAAAACCCCAAATGGGGTCATAAAAGTCCAACATACCTGAAAAATGACTAAACAAGAACAACACAGTTTCCTACGGCCATTGCAAGTTCCATTCATCCTGGCTTTCCATGACGGCCTCTGTTGGGTTCCTATCCAAACTGATATTCCTTCTCACCAAGGTCTATGACTTGAGCCAGTTCAGAATCGAGGTTTAGTCATTCCATGTTACAAGTCCCGTTATGTGTTTTTCACTTTTCCAGAGCCAAATATCTCAGTGTTTAGATTCGGATTCTGTTTATGAGGACGTGTGTGTTCGCCTGTTTGAGGAACAGTTAACACTGAAATAATTCTTCCTGTACAACTTATGGTTCCATCTGAACTTTTTATTTTTGCACTGTATAGTAAAACATGGAGACTATAGGAGAATAAAGAGACATCATTGCAGATTGAAAGCTGTCCTCAGTCAGGGAGATCTACCTCTGATACAAACCATGTAACTCTCTGAGCAGGTACCTGTCTGCATTGTGTAGGAAGTTCCTTTCCCTGTATGCTCCTTAGACTGATAAAATCACAGAAAAAGACCAACAGCCTTCCCCCCAACCCCATCCCCCGACAAAAAAGGGTAGATTCTGAGGACAGAAGCTATTTCATTTTTGTTATTTTTTAGTCCCAGTGTCTAGACAGGGGTGGGGAACCTGCAGCCTCAACGCTGCAGGTTTCCCACCACTGAATGCCTTGTACATCCCAAGTGCTTATTAAATGTTTGTATATTTGAATTGAGTCAGGCATCTGTCTACAGAAGTGATTTATTTACTTTCCCATCAGTGAAACTTATCACTACCTTAATATAAGAGACCTAGAAACACTGAATAAAGTCTATTCATAACTACTTAAGCATGTTCTAAAATGTGTATGGGAAATGTCCTTAAATCTACAGTGTTCTTATCTAGATACAGGATTGGATAGAAACAACCCTTTGTTAAAAATTAAGATTTTACACTTAATTTTTAAAGGGTTATTATGCAAGCAATAACAATGAACAAGAAAGAGTATAGTCATCATGCTATATTGCCTTTATCTATGTATATATACATATGTGTATATGTGTATATTATACATGACATGTTTCTTTACAGATTGCTGCAAATGTGAATTTTCTACCAATGGTGCCTGTGCATAATGTTAGTTCACCAGCAGTTGAAGAATTGAAAACTTATACTTCTCAACTTGAGGACTTAAGCCAAGAAGCAAATGTTCTTCTCACTCAGGTAAAAAGCTGCATGATATACATTCATAATGTATGGGGAAGGGGGTAGGTAGCACAGAGCACAGTGAAGAGAACACCGGGCCTGGCATCAGGAAGAGACCTGCATGCATATCTGGCCTTAGACATGTAGCTAACTGTATGACCCTGGGCAAATCACTTAACTTTGTTTGCCTCAGTTTCCTCATCTCTAAAATGAGCTGGAGAAGGAAATGGCAAACCATTCCTATATCTTTGCAAAAAGAAAACCCCAAAAAGGGATCATGAAAAGTCAGACACAACTGAAAAATGACTAAACAACAACAAAATATATTCACAAAATTAGACACGAGACAGAATGTTATGACTATTGAGTGAATATTATTTCTTTCACACGGGTTAGAAAGCAAGCTTTTGGTCGCTGGGCAGGATGGCAAGGGTTTGGGGTGGGAGAGGGGGGAAAAGTGACTGGAAACTCCAACAGCTGATGATAAAACATAATCTGAGGCATTTATATACCTATATGCAATCAGTAGATAAAAGACTGCTCCTTTTCAATATCAACAGGACAATGTGGATTGTCTGCTCATCACAGACGTACATACATACAGACCCCCTACAAGTTATTCTGTTATGAATTCCTTTGCTGATCAAGGTTTTAACTTGATCTCACCTATATAAAAATGTGTTTATGTGGTTAGGGAAATACATGGTTAATTTATATCAGGCCTTACACCAATTTTTAAGGAGGTTCATTAACTTTCCGATTTAACTTGAGGCAGCTAGGTGGCACAATAGATTAGAGCACCAGGCCTGGAGTCAGGAAGACTTGAGTTCAAATCTGGTCTCATACGATAGTTACTGTGACCCTGGGCAAATCACTTAAGCTCTGTGTGCCTCAGTTTCTCCATATGTAAAATGGGGATAGTATTAGCACCTACCCCACCCCCAGGGTTGTCAGATGAGATAACATTCATAAGATGCTTAGCCACATAGTAGATACAAGGTAAATGCTAGCTATTATTGTTGTTATTATTAATATTATTTCCATTATATTATAGCATCACTAACAGCCCAGAAGACTCTGGGTTCAAGTTCTAGCTCTGACACATACTGGCTTTGTTGACTGAGGTCAGGTCACCTAACCTTTCAATGCCCTAGCAACTCTGAGACTATAAATTACAAAAAGGATGCCAACTTTTATTGGCAGAGGGAGTTTATTCATCCCCATATCATTGAAATCACAGGTTCAGAACCAATTTCCTAGTCGTGATCTTATTGTTGTTTAGTGATTTTCAATCATGTCTGAGTCTTCATGACTCCATTTGGGATTTTCTTGGCAAAGATATTGGAGTAGTTTGTCATTTTTTTGTCCAGCTCATTTTACACTTAAGGAAACTGAGGCAAATGGGGTTAAGTGACTTGCCCAGGGTCACATAGCTAATGTCTGAGGTTGAATTTGAACTTAGGTCTTCCTGATTCTAGGCCCAGCACTCTATCTGCTGCGCCACCTAGCTATCCCACCTAACCACTATCTAATGTTTATTTTTTTCCTTAAATGTTCCTCAGATTTAAAACATACAAAATTTTTTTCTTTCTTTTTTTCTTCTTTCATTAAGGAAAACCTGACAGGTGAACCCTCCCTAAATCTAGATAAAAAAATATTTTATCTCCTTCTGAGAATCAGTCAGTGTTTGAGCATTGTGGGAGAGATGCTCCAGACCTCCAGCCTCTCCAGGGAGGACACTGCTGCACAGCAGGTCCACTACGAGGTTAGTCCTTTCTCCATCCCACGTGTGGTCATCATCTTACGGCTCTGCCTGGCATGGTGCGTTTGGGAGGCAGGTGCCCTTCAGTGTCCTTCTTTTCTCTTCACCTTGTAGACCCTGGCTCTAGAACTGCAAAAACTTCACTCGGCTGTAACTAACAGAAAGGATGGTCTTTTGAAACTGATAAGTCACCCTGGAAAGAACTCCAATGTATTCTTTGAGTGCTTTGAAAACCTGCAAACACGACTTGAGCAAACTCAGGCTGCAGCTGCTTCCAGAAGTCAATCCATGAAATCTGGGATAGACCATCATAGTGATTATCAGGTACTATTCATTCATTCATTCATTCATTCATTCATTCATTCTATTCATTCAACGAACATTTTATTAAGGGTTTACTATAAAAGCACTGGACTAGATGCCCAGGGGAGATACAAGATTTGGACAAGACACAATCCCTGATCTCATGTAGTTTATAGTCTTGTAGGAGGATAAGGCAAAAACACAACTATAATCTAATATTCCACGTTAAGTGCAAGCGAGACACAAAATAATGTTGTGTGAGGTTCAAGGAGGAAGGTCATTACCAACAGAGAGATCAAGAAAGGAAGATGACTTTTGAGTGGCATTTGGGCTTTAAAGGACAAATAGGCATTTAGCAAGCAAAAAATCAGATTGAAGGACATTGTAGATATTAGGAACAGTGTAAGCAAAGGCACAAAGGTGGGAAAATAAAGAACGCAGTTGGGAACTTGAAGTGTGCAGAGGGGAGCAATAGGAAACACAGAAGATGAGATGATTTCCAGTTTGGCAATGGGCGTTTTAAATCATATCATATCCCACTTGGATCTGAGCTAACAAACCTTTTCCAAGTTATAATTGTTTAATGGGATGTGGAGTTACCAAGGAAGACTATAACAATTTCCTTCTATGAAGGTCTTGAAAATAGATTTAAGTGAAATAGTGTTTGACAGGGACAGAGATTTGGCGAAGTGAACTCACTCAGTTTTGTTCTATCTCAACTATTCTGTAATTTAATATATATTGTACTAATGTCACTATTACCCATAAAATTCACTTATTATTTCCCACAAATGCCTTCTTTTTCTGCAGAGTCAAGTAAGGCAGTTGTATGACCAACTAATTGAAAAAAAATCCTCAATACACCACTCCTTGAATGAAATTAGTAGTCAAAGTGTTGTTGAACAACTGCAGGTAACTAAATCAGAATACAATCAAGCTACCCTAACCTTGGACTTATGTCTTAGACCCTGGGCCCAAATTCATTTAAATTCAACTCTCAGGAAAAAAAATGCTTCAATATTATGTGTTATCATAGAAATGAGTTTTGCATGACTACAAGGGTATAACCTATGTCAAATTGCTTACCTTTGCAATGGGGAAGGGAGAGGGGAAGGAAGGAGTTTGGAACTTAAAATTTGGGGGGGGAAAGTGTTAAAATTGTTTTTACATATAATTGGGGAAAATAAAACATTCAATTTAAACTAAAAAAATTATATGTTATCTTTCCATTAGAAAGTAGATTTGTATGCTGTAAAACTTCAAGACTATGAGGTCCAGGTAGCAAAATTGAGAGATGAAGGTGAAAGACTTTACTTACCTTATATTTTAATCCAAGAAGTATACAAATTGGAGGTAAGTATTCTAAGAGAAAAACACACATACACATACACTGCTACTAATTCCTGCTGTATAAATCTCAACTGGACCCCTAGCTCCAAATGGCAAACTTGCTTTATCTCTAATGCCCTATCCCACTTTCCTCATCATCCATTCCAAACTTTCTCCTCTCTCAAGTCTGCAGTTTCTCCCTCTTCCCTCTCTCTTATTCCCTTCTGCCCACTCCCCTCTCATTTTCAATACAGCAGCAAATAATTCAATCCCACATTTGTCAACCCTATTTACTCTGCCCCTCCCACTCTTCTCTATAACATGCCTTTCTCCCCCTTGTTCCCACCAAGCCCTCAATCTCTATCAGCCTTTGTCTTTTCTCCTTTCCTTCATTATTCGAGTTCTAGAAATAGTTGAGCTGTGTCTACTTCTTCAGCTCCAGTCCTCTACCTCCTAGAATTTGGCTTCCATCCCTGCCACTTTACTGGAATTGGTCTCCGAGGTCACCAATGCCCTCTCTTTAAAGTTTTCATGCCCCCACCCCAAAAAAAGAAAGAGTAGTCTTTCCTCGTTCCTTATTCTCTTTGATCTTTCTGCACTATTTAATACTACTAACCTACCTTCCCCCTTGGAGGCAATCTCTCTTCCTTTGACTTTTGGGACACCTACCATTTTCTGGTTCCCCTCCAACCTATCTGATCTCTTCTTTGCTAAGTCATGCTCCTCCTAGGTGTAGATGTTCATGAAGATTCTGTCCTTACATTTCTTTTATTCTCTCTTATATCTCTTATAGTTCATCTTCCTTGAAAATCTTATACATCCCCATGGATTCAATAATCATTTCTATGAAGAGAATTACTATATCTACATATTTAATTGCAACCTTCTCCCTTCCCTCCTCCCCAAGTGTCAGTCTTATATTTTCAACTGCCATTTGGCCACATCTCCATGTGGATGTTTCCCTAGCATCTCAAACCCATTATGTCCAGAATAGAAATCATCACATTTCTTCTAAATCCCCCCCTTCTTTCCAACTTATCTATTTCTATTCATGGTGCCTCCACCTTCCCATTCAGCCAGACTTAAAATTTTGGAGATATCTCTGACTCTTCTCTCTTCCTCACCACCATTCCCATTCAATCTATTGCCAGGTGCTATCAATGCATAATATCTCATATCCATCCCCTCCTCTTCATTTGCACTGCCTCCACCTTGTTCAGATTTTTATTACTACTTGTTCCTGTGCTATTGTAATAGTTTCCTAATTGGTCTTCCTTCCTCCCAAATAGCCCCTGATCTCACCAATTCATTTACCAAATTAATTTTCTTAATATACTTAAAGTCAAAGTTTATCATTCTGCTCAAAAGTCTTTAGTGACAAAAAAAGCAAATGCTAAAAATCATTTTATATGTAATTTCAAGAAAATATTATTTTAACATTTTACTTATTTTATTTTTAATTTATGGAATAAAACAAGCATTTCCATAACATAGTATAATAAAAAAAATAAGTGCACATGAAACTGTAACTCTATTAGGTATAATTTACTATTCCTTTTAAATATATAATAAAGTTATCATGCAAATTTCATTATTCCTTTTTTCTTCCCTCTTCCTGCCCCTATAGATGGCTACCATTAGACAAATATATATGTGTGTGCATATATATGTACATATATAGATAGATATACTTTATATGTGTATGTAAAATCATTCTATACATACTTCTATTTATCAGTTCTTTCTCTGCATGCAGGTAGCATCTTCTTTCATATGTCCTTTTTAGTTAATTTGGGTATTAATAATAGTCAAAATGACTTATTTGCTCAAAGTTGTTCTTAAACTGTTGGGAAAAAATATTCTTAAAAGCAAATCTTTAGTGACTCTCCATTGCTTCTAGAATGAAATACAAACTCTTTAGCCTGGCATTTACAGTCTTTCTTGGCCTTGTACCAGCCTACCTTTGCACCATCATTTTATTTTATTTCTTCAGTCTCATGGTAGCAGACAGAGCTTAAGTGTGGCTAGCATGCCACTGAAATTAAAAAGATATTATTTCAGGCAGATCCTTTGCTTGAGACACCTTGTGGTACACCTATACTGTTCTCTTGCTGCTTGCCAACTTTGGGCAGGTCATTTAACCTCTCTCTGGGCCTCAGTTTCCTCATCTGTAAAATGAGGGGATTAGACTAGTTAGACACTAAACTTCCTCTCAGCTCTAAATCTGAGATTCTATAAATCTTTATCCCACTTTAAACCATGTCCTTGGGTTCCACATCCAGCCTTCACAAAGGAGATTCTTAACCTGTAGTCGGTGAACTTGTATGTTAAAAATATTTTGATAACAGCATTTCAGTATGATTGGTTTCCTTTTTAATCCTATGTCTTTTGTTTCATGCATTTAAAAATATTATTCTGAGAAAGGGCCCATCATTTTTACCTGTCTTCCCAAGGGTTCCATGATACACACAAAAAGATTAATGAGAGCTCCTCATTTAGCTTGACCCCAGAAAAGCACTTTCTGTTTACTCTTTTGGATCATAGTTTGGACCATGATTTCTTCCCATATTCTGTCTTTCTGGGCTTGTTAATTGCTGTTAATAATCTATACTAGTGGATCCCCCATTATTCTCCTAACCACATTCTACATTCCTGCCTCTGTTAGCTCTGTGGCTATTTTCCATGCCTAGCACATTCTCCCTCCACTTCTCTGCCAGTGCCTAGCATACAGAAAGTGCTTGATAAATGTTGTTTGACTGAGTATTAAAATCCTTCTCTTACTTTAAGGTCTAGTTCAAGTACTGCCTCCTCCATTAAGCATTACCTAATCCTCCCAGCTAAAAGTGATCTCTCCCCCCTCAAATTTTTAATGACATTTTGTCTGGATCTCTCCTTTGCTCCTATCACATTTTACCCTGTATGTTACTTACTCATGCTTAGATCTTATCCACACAAACCCTAGCTCCATTAGATTTTAATTTTTTTTGAGGGCAGACACTATCAGTTTTCACCCTTATATCTCTAGCAGCAGTGTACTATGCACACAACAGGTTTTTAATAAATATTTATTGAATTGAATAAGAATTTGCAGTTAAAGGCTCTGGACACAGTTCTTCGTGGTTTTATTGTGCTGTGCTTTTAAAATAATTTAATTGAAAAGGTTGAAAACATTTGATTTCTCTTTTTAGGATGTCCTTGATGACATGTGGGGACTTCTAAGAGCCAAGCATGCTGAACTCAGCAGCCCTTTCATCAGTGAAAGCCAGCAGGAAGCCTTGCTTCGAGGACTGGCAGAACTAGTGAATATTGGGAAAGAAAAGCTTGGTCAGGGCCAGCAACGACAAGCCAGAAGTAAAGCTTCACTACAGGCTCAGCTGCAGAACCACAAGGTGAGACTGTGAAAGTAATTCTGACCCGATTCCTTTATCATGCGTCAACTGAATACAGGTTAAAAAAAAATTGAAAGCTCATTTTTTTGGGTCTGAATCTGTACACAGAGCATCAGTTTTCCTGTTTATAAAGAAGACAGTTGAAATGTAGATTTTTGCCATAGTATATATCACACACACACACAGCAATTTTGTTGGTGCAGGAACTCATATTGGACTTACTGAACCAAAATTAAGGAAATTCTCTTCTATGGTCTTCACATGAATTTGGGCCAATTTAACCCTTCCTTTATCTTGAAAATAACCAGGGCCATTATCACCTCCACTATCACGAATATCTTTCTAACTGAGATCAGTACTGTGGACATTCAGAAGAGAGCTCTTTAGAACAGTCATGCTAACCTGCAGAAATATGGTGTTCTATTGGAATGTGCTGAGACAGCAAGTACAATTGAAGTTCAGAGATTTAGTGTCCTGCAGTCAGATTTCACTTTTGTTTTTATATTGTTGACAATGCTCAAGAATTCAGTTCAACAGAATATTAAGTAAATATTATGTGGAAGGCACTGTGCTACTAACTCTTGGAAATACAAAGATAGCCATGACATAGATGCTGTTCACAAGGACCTTATAATCCAATTGGGAGGAAAGACATCCACACAGGTGATGGTGATATAAGAGAGACTGAGGTAAGTGCAAAGGAGAAGTTCAGACAAAGTGCGGTTAAAAATTTGAAGAGACTGAGATTACTTTCAGATGGGAGATGGGGTTAGAAACTCTAGGCCCTTTTCATGAACATGGAAACCGTAGCTATATATATGGTAGAAGTGCAAACTTTAAATACTAAAAAACAAAACACTTTGCTTTTCACAGATTTTTTTCCACAAGCTTGTTGCTGATGTCTTTCTGATCCAAGAATACTCTAAAAAAGCACTGCCTTCTTTACTACAAAACAAAGAGAAGTTTTGGGCAGAGAAGGTAAAAGAAGTAAAATTGCTGGAGCAACAAGCTTATCAATATGGCACGAAACTGGAGAATTTGTTGCAGGTATGATGTTAAATAAGGATGAATCAATAAGTAAGACTGATTTGAGCTTATCTACAAAATACTTTCAAAACTATTAATATTATTGCCAATATTCTATTGCAGTGACTGAGTAGTATATATCAAAACATGGTAATAACAGCATTCCATAACAGATTACAGGTAAATTTTATGGGAATGTGAGGCAGTGGGCCTTGGAGCCATGAAGACCTTGGTCCAAATGCTGTTCTGACACATTCTGGCTGTGTCACCTGGGCAATTCACTTAATAATATTTAGAGTCAGGACTCTAAGTAGCTCTTCCAGGTTATATGTTGCAAAGCAAGTACTGGTCTGCATTGGTAGCAGGAGTTTACTCATCAGAGTTCCATCTACTAATGAAATCATAGGCCCATACCCTACACGTATGGAAAAATGAAAAATGACTCTGTTTATTAATTTCCCAATACTGAGCCTGGAATGACCAATTTTATATCACTGATTCCTAGTCATGAGGAAAAACAAACTAATTTATCAATAGGCAACAATTAAAAATTAGAAAAGAATAAGGACTCATAATCTGGAATCTTGTTCCTACTACGAGTGCTACCTATCCTATGGAGATATCTTGTTCGCATTTTCACTGTTCCTCAGTTGCTGGGTTATTTTTTTTTTTCATCTAGAAATTGGGAATGAGATATGCCATCTTACTATCTTCAGAGTTTGTGCTCGAATAAACAAAATGAAGTCTTTCAATTATATTGGGTCATTCTTCAAGAAAACAGTCATTATGCCTATGCCAAATCATATTTCAGTTTTCTGAATCTTAAGGAAAGAAGGTTTAAATGCAAAGTAGTTATTAGTATGTACTACTATATACTAAGATAGTACATATTCATATAGTGCTATGTATAGAGTTACTGTCAAGGGTCTGTGATTTTTGTTTGTGTCTGAACTTAACACAGATCATTGCCTATCTGCAACTTGATAGGTAAGTCTTAGAAATTTGCTTAAGTGGGCAGCTAGGTGGCACAGTGGATAGAGCACTGGCCCTGGAGTCAGGAGGACCTGAGTTCAAATCTGGCCTTAGACATTTGATGCTTACTAGCTGTGTGACCCTGGGCAAGTCACTTAACCCCATTGCCTAACCAAAAAAAAAAAAAAAACCAAAGAAAGTTTCTTAAGGCTCAGAGACATGAAATGACTCATCAACATTCACTCAAATAGTGCCAGGGGCAGGATTTGAATCCAGGTTTTCCTAATTCTGTAGGCAGTGGTGCAGCGGATAGAGTACCTGCCCTGGAGTCAGGAAGACCTGATACTTACTCTCTGTATGACCCTGGGCAAGTCATTTAACCCCTTTTGCCTCAGTTTCCTCATCTGTAAAATGAGCTGCAGAAGGAAATAGCAAACCACTCTAGTATTTTTACCAAGAAAACCCCAGATGGCATCACAGAGTCAGACATGATTGAAATGACTGAACAATAACAACTTCCCAGTTCTAAATCTAGCAATCACAATGCTTCTTTTATTTGGACTATCCTTTGTAATTCTGGCAAATTCCTTGGCTGAGCATAATCTCCCTGTTTTATGTCACAGTTAATTTAATTTGTGTCTCCTTTTAAATTTATTCTTACATTATTTTTCTCATTTCTAAATGATTATAACCACAAATTGAACTTGAATCATCTCAGTATACAATGTGCATGTCAGTGACGTGACTATTGAAGTGTAATCAATTTCATTTTTCGAGAAGTCGCTCACCATGTTCAGAGCCTCCTTCTGACTCTTTCCTAGAAGTAAGCATTAATGATATACAGGCATAAAGTTTCTGAGTAAGATTTCTTTTACATGTCTCAATAGTGAATCATATTTTTTCAATATATTTTCCCCAATCCTCTCATATACCACCTTCATGATGGCATTTATTGACTTACCTTGCAGAATCTTGTCAAATGCCTCATTGAATTTTACTACTTTATCCTCCATAAGTAATGTTAGCACAGAAGCTACAGTGATCTTTCCAGTAGTCTTCTTGCTCTTTTTTTTTTTTTTGGCTTATGCTCATTATGATTATTGCAAGGCAAGATGACCAGATGTACCTTAAAATGTTTCTTATTGTTTGGGGCAGATGATGAAGCAACTTCATCAACTTCTTTATTTCAGCAAACATGACAAACCTGTAAGACATTTAGCTGCAACTTCCATAGGCTTTCTGGTTTCGTTTATAACTTTGTCAGCTTGTTGGTCACAGGACGAAGATTTAACACTTAAAATACCAACAGTTAAATTTATGTTTACAGATAATCTAAAATTTATATAATTCTTAGTACCTTTTTCCCTCTCCTTTTACTATTCTATCATCATCTGTATGGAGTTTGAAGGATACCACATAAGACCAAAGATCCTTTTGTAATTTTCTGTTTCATGGGTTGCTACGGCCAGAGAATTCATCAATTAGTAACTAACTTGCTATTTACAAACCTCTGCACTTATCTAGGCTGGTCTTTTGCGTACTAGAAGGTCTTCCCATTTTATTGAACCAGCCAAAGCTTGCCTTCTTCTTCAGTTGTCTTTAAAATAGTCCTTATGGCACCTCCATGCCGTAAGGAGACATCTTTGGTGAAATCAATAAGCATGATACCTCCTGTGTTCCAGGAATTGGGGTAGGCATCAGGTATCCCAAGACAAAATAAAAATAGCACGTGCCTTCAAGGAGCACAAATTCTCTTGGAGAACTAGCATAAACAAAAAATTTATGTTACATAAGTCACATAAGTATGAAGTCACCACTGGAGCTTTTTGAGTAGGGAAATAACATGGTTTGACTTGTGTTTAAAACTATTACTTTAGCAGTTGCATAGAAGATAGGTTGGAGAAGGGACAAACTTGAGTTGGGGAACTAAACTGGAGGTGATTGCAATAATACATGAAAGAGATGATAACAGCCTGGTCTAGGATGGTGGTTACATGAGTAGAAAAAGGGGATAGATATAAGAAGTTAAAGAAAATATTTATATTAGGGTTTAAAAAATAAATACACACAAACTTTCTTCCAGGGTATGTTACAGTCCTTGCAAAATTTATTTCAAACTCCTATTCCATCTGTGTCTCCTGTATTCTGCAATGAGAATTTATATTAAGAATTGTCTCCTGTAGCGTTATAAGATCCTTGGTAACCAAAGAAATATTAAATTATATTCCGTAAACTGGATATACTAATCAGAAAAGTGAAATAATGTATTTTAGAAGAATTTTCTTTAACAAGACTTGAGTAGAAATAGAAAACTAAGGTGATAGCACTTAGAACATTGTGCTAATCAGAATGTCTCATTCTCTAAGCACTTCAATTACCCCATTAATTTGGATCCCTTGCCACTCAATGAAGTGAGAGAAAGAGCTATCAAATAAGAGAATTAATGATCTTGCACTCCAAGAATTGGCCTTATCTTATATTGAGTTTGTGGCATGTTGGTTGGAATGCAGCCTTCTGTAATTTACACCTATAGAGACCCTATTCACTGGACTACTCTAGCTGTGCTTATGAAATAACTTGTCATTCCACCCCTTAACCCTATTTTGAGGAAAGGATCCAGAATAGTGAAACAATAGTGTGAATGTTAACTGGCCGGCCACAATTGAAGTTTAATTGGGAAGCAATAAAAAAAAAAAACGTAACAGCATACCTCACTGAGTAGTTGAAGACAGCAGCAGTTAAAAGCTGTCCTTCTCTTCTCCTAAATATGATGAGCTTAAATGTGTATATTTCTACAGTGAGTTCCAAAGTTTCTTCATATCTTAATGCAAGGGTGGATTCTAATGACACGACTTAACTTTGGAAATATTACTCTCTGCACAATAAAGCAAGTATAACCAACCTGGCATTTAGACTTCCTACTTTTTTTTAAAAAAACGTCTCTGCCTCAGGAGCAATTAAATTATCTTCCATTAAAAATAAAGCATTTGCAAGGATTCAATGTATTCTTTACACCGACAAAAGCTGATGTTGACTTGTTTGGTCTTTTTAAATTTTTATTCTAAAATTGATTTTCTTGTTAGTCTGATAACATTCTGAGAAAAGGACTGTTATTGATTTTTAACTTTCTTTGATTCTCTAGGAATGGAAGGAATTTGATGAAAACTATGAATCCCTTGAAAAAGACCTGGAAATTCTTGTATCTTCTCTGCCTTCCATGAGTTTAGTGGAAGAGACAGAGGAAAGATTAATAGAAAGGATTTCATTTTATCAGGTACTTTTTTTCTGCTTACATTTTCTTTTTTTTAAGTTTATTTTTTATTTTTTTAATTAATTTCTTTTGATTTATCAAAAATCACTTCAATATGCTTTTGAGTTTAAGATTTTTCTCCACCTTCCTCCCCACCACCCTCCCCAAGACAGCACACAATCTGATATAGGCTGTACACATACATTCCTATTAAACATATTTTCACATTAATGATATTGTAAGTAAGAATTAGAACCAATAGGAGGAACTGCCAGAAAGAGGAAACAAAACTCAACAGAAGAAAAAAAATATCTGCTTACATTTTCAAAAAGCAAGGTTATCCTCTCAATTTTTGCAGAGTGGCTTCATTTTAAAGATTGTTTTGAATTTAGTAGGACACTTTTAATTACATGGATCATTAGTACTGAGATTTAGATCTACCAAATTGTAGGTCACCTCATGCACTCAGAACATATAACTATCCATTGTCACAACCTCACTGTCCTGATAAATAAAATGAGGAGGTTGGTGTAGATTATCTCTTAAAAACTCTTCCAGTTCTAAATCTCATCTTATAGTAAAATCCTTTTAAAAAGTTGCCTAGGAATAGGTAGCTGCTTGTGCCTTGTCACCTACTATCATCACAAAAAGGTATCATACACTAACTATTTTTAATTTTTAGTCAGCTGACATTGAGTCATTCTCTATATTTAAATTACATTGTCTGGGGAAAGAATGAAAGACTAAAAATTTATATAAATATATCTTCGGGCATTTTGCTACTAGCAGTATGACAAAAATTTTAATCAGGTGAATTTACTCAAACAACAATTTACTTGAAAGCACACAAGCTTTGGAAATTTTGTTTTCTGTTTACCTTAGAATGTTCATTTGTTCCTAAGTAGTGATACTTGAGGGTGATTATCAAATACCTCTTTTTTAACCTAAAAGTAGATTTGCTGCCTTCACAGATTAGAAAATGAAAGTCAGACATATTTAGCTAGTCTCTGCTTACCATGCTGAAGATGCACAGTTCTAGAAGGAACATTTGTGAAAGGACAGCACCACATTTTATGAGGCTTAGATGGCCTAGAAATCTGGCAGTTGGATCTCTGTTACACTTCTGGTTTTATTACATTGTCAATGATTTTCAAATAACTCGATCTTTTGAGCTATATCAATTAACCCAAGGGTCTAGGGAGTTACCATTCTGTGGACTACAAGAATTACAATTTTTTTTATTTTTAATTCATGGAATAAAGCAAGCATTTCCATAACATAGTGCAGTAAAAAAAAAAAGATGATTGTACATGAACCTGTAAATCTACTGTACACAACTTGCTATTTCTTTCAGACACACAACAAAATTGTCATATAAATAAGAACTACAGTTTGGTAACAAATAGCATTTTAAGGTACATTGAAACAAAAAAGAAAAATTTTCAATAGACTTATCATGATTATTTCCCTATAGGTGATCTATCTCTTGAAACACTATCTGTAATCTCATTTAGTTTGTATTTGTCCAAGAAAATTAGGAAATAATTGACTCTCTGCTTAAGTAGTTGTTTGACATTGAACAAATCCCTAAAACTTCTATCCACTCCAGTTTCTTCATCTGTATAATGGGGATAATGATAGCACCTACCAGGGGCATTTAGGTGGTGCATGGAAAGAGCACTGGCACTGGATTCAGGAGGACCTGAGTCCAAATCCAGTCTCAAACCAAACACTTGACACATATTAGCTGTGTGACCCTGGGCAAGTCACTTAACCCCATTGCCTAACCAAAAAAGTTAAAAAAAAAATGATAGCACCTACCTCCCAAGGTTGTGAGTATATAATGAGATAATATTTGGGAAGCACTTTGCAAATTTAAAAGTCCTGTATAAATGCTGGCTATTGTTGTTGTTATCATTGTCATCAGAGAAGCAGTGCAGTATATTGCACTGTGTAGTGGACTGAGAGTGGACCATGGAGCCAGGAAAACCTTAGCTCAAATCCAGTTACCGAAATACAGAATTTGAGAGTTACAAGAAATCTTGATGGCTATTTAGCCCAACCCATGCATGAGAGGAATCCCCACCTTAACATACTTGACAAGTGATCATTCCACTTCTGACACATGTTGGTGTGTAACCTTGGGCAAATCATTAAATTTCTCCCAGTGCTTCAGACAACTCTCTAAGGTCATAGATTGCAAAGATGCTGACCTGCATTGGTAGAAGGAATTTCCTCATCTGAGAATTCTCTATGCCAATGAAAGAAGCAATCTAGTCCTCTTACCCCATCCGACTGATGTCAGGACTTTGAATTATACATTGAAGATTTCTCAAGCAGAAGTTTATTTAACAAATGTTTGTGATGTCAAGTTAAATACTCAAAGGGAAGCTAGGAGTCACAGTGGATAGAGCTTGGGCTTGGAGTCAGGAAGATCTGAGTTCAAATGCAGCCTCAGACACATACTAGTTGTACGACCCTGGGTAAGTCACTTAACCCTGTTTCCCTCAGTTCCCTCACCTATAAAAGGAGCTGGAGCAGGAAATGGCAAATTACTCCAGTATCTTTGCCAAGTAAACCCCAAAAGCGGCCATAAAGAGTTGGACATGACTGAAATGATTAAAGAAAAAGTATTTAATACAACAGACATTTGTTAAATGCCTGATGTGTATAGGCAATGGACTTTAGTAGAGATCCAAAGATTAAAAAAGGAATTGTCTCTAGCTTTAAGGAACTTAGTCTAAAAGAAGATATGACATGTACACAAATAGATATGATCCAAGATAGAAGATGAAGTCAGAAAGTTGAAACAAAGTGCCTCATAGGCTCTCATCATATCAGTAGGTGACCTGTTCCATTTGTAGACAACTCTGGCACTGGTTCTGTTTTCCCAGTCAAAGTTATTTCTGAAGGATGTTGCAGAGAGGATTCAGGCTTCAAGTGAAAATTACAGCAGATGACTTCTGCAGTCCCTTCTAATTCTAGGCTGCTGTAATTCGATGAAACAGAGAACTAGATTTACATTCAAAAGATAGAGGCTCATATCTTTGTTGTACCATTTCCTAGCTGTGTGACTTTGAACAAGTCATTTAATCTATGGAGCTTCATTTTCCCCACATTCAAAATAGAAATAACAATAATATTTGCACTCCCCATCTTAGAGGATTGTTGTGATATCTAGATAAGTTGAAGCAATGAGGGGCAGCTAGGTGGCGAAGTGCATAGAGCACTGGCCCTGCATTCAGGAGGAACTGAGTTCAAATCTGGCCTCAGACACATAACACTTACTAGCTGTGTGACCCTGGGCAAGTCAGTTAACCCCATTGCCTAGCCAAAAAAAAAAAAAAAAAAAGATGAAACAACGAATGTAACGTCCTTTGTAGACTATAAAACCACTCAGTGAGTTAACTAGGATTTATTAAGCATAGATTATGTGCCAAACATTGTGCTAAATGCTGGGGGTACAAAAAATAAGAAAGAAAAAAAACAGATCTTGCCCTCAGGGAGCTCACATTCTAATGGTTAAAACAATATGTAAATATCTAGTTACATACAAGATATATACAGATGTTAGACTGTAAACTCCTTGAGGACAGAGACAGTCTTTTGCCTTTCTTTGTATCCCGAATGCTTAGCACAGTGCCTGGCACATTGGTTGTTTTTTTTTTTTTTCCAGTCTTGTCTGGCTCTTTGTGACTCCATTTGGGATTTTCTTGACAGAGATACTGGAATGGTTTGCCATTTCCTTCTCCAGTTTATTTTACAAATGAGGAAACCGAGACAAACGGGATTAAGTGACTTGCAGAGTCACATAGCTAGGAAGTGTCTAAGATCAGATTTGAACTAGGGAAGATGAGTCTTCTTGACTCCAGGCCTAGCACTCTATTCACTGGGCCACCTAGCTGCCTAGCACGTAGGGGCTTAATAAATGTTGATTGATTGATACAGAGTAGCTGAAGATAATCTCGGGGAAAGGCATTAGAAACTGAGAGCACAAGAAGAAGTCTCTCACAGAAGATAAGATTTGAACTTAGTCTTGAAGGAAATCAGAGAAACTTAAGAGGCAGAACTGAGGGACTTTATATAGGAGGAAGACAAGAGAAGGTTTAGCAGATTAGCTCCAGAGACAGACGAACATTCTCTCTCTCTCTCTCACTCACATATGCAAAGTAAGCAAAAGTTAAAAGTGTCCAACAGCTTGTTGTCAAACCTGCTCTAATATGTAACACATTCACCACCATTTTCTTTTCTCATGACAGTGTGCTTATTATTTTTGTTTCTACTTTTATCCATTCTACATTTGTAGACTAAACTCCCTCTTCTCCCTTTCTCTGGATCTCAAACCTCCTTCGTGTTATCCTTGGCTCCCTCCTCCTTTTCTCTAGTCTCTGATGAAAAGGTGACCTTTCTACTTCCTAAGACCTCTCCAGACATTCTTTATTCCAACCACTTGCATCTTCTCCTACATATTTTCCCCATATCATCCCCTCTCTCTCTAACCTGTCTACTGCTTTCTTCCTTGCTACCTGTAGACATATCCAAATCTCCTTTATCTTTAAAAAGAAACAAACCAAAACCAACCCTCACTTGACCCTACTGTCTCCTCAAGCTATTTCCCTATACCTCTCCTCCTTTTCAAAGCCATACTCTTAGGAAACAGAGACTATACCCATTGCCTCTACTTACTCTCCTCTCAATCACTTCTTAGCCCTACGTAGTCTGACTTCAGCACAGTACTGTAAATGTTATTATTTGTAATAGGTGTGGAAGCTGAACTGCTGATTTCATTGGTATAGATGCAGGGAACTCCCAGATAAGGAAGCTCCCTTAATCAATGAATGTTGGTACCCTCTTAGCAACTTAGTTAGAGAATTGCCTAGAGGAGTGAAAGATTAAATGACCTGACCACAGTCAAACAGCCCTTACGTGTCAAACAGGACTTGAACCAAGGTCTTCTTGATTTCATGGCCGGCTCTCTATGTCACTTTGTGTCTCCTTTTTACTTATGTCAAAGAAAGAAAATCATATTGTAGTTGTGAATTTTCAAAGTATGTGTTCTCAATCATATTTTCCCATCAAGCAAAAGTGGTTTTCCTTTTTTTCTTTCCTCACATATCCAAATCCTTTCTCTCTTTCCAAGGTCTAGCACAATCGTTGTCTCTTCCATGAAGCTTTCCCAATTCCTACAGACTTTCCTGATCACAGTCTTTTCACTGAATTATTGCATCGCTCAAAGGGAGCATTGCACAAAACAACCATGAATAGTACAACATCTTGCTTTGTCTGCTATTTCCTCTGTGCTACTATAATCTCTTGCTCTTAGCTCTTTGAAGAGAAGGAAGATATTTTACTCTTCTTCTGTATCCCACACAGTGCTGAGAACTTAGGAGCTGCTCACTAAATGGTCACTAATTGGTTTATTGATCCTGTAACCTTACTTTTCTTAGCAAATCAAAAGGAATATAGATGAAAAGCATACCAAACTTTACCAGACTATGAATGAAGGCAAACACCTAGCGACTGCTGTGAGTTGTCCTGAGCTGGAAAGCCAGATTGCAAAGCTGGAAGAACAGTGGTTGGCTTTAAACAAAAAAGCGGACCACGACCTACACAGACTTCAAACCCTTCTCAAGCATCTGGTCAGGTATGCTTTCTTAAAACTTCATTGTTTCCTAAACTATCTGGGATAAGGGTATCCCAGAAATTCTGCCATCCCAAAATTTCTCTCTCTTGTCCTAATTTTTTATATATTTTATTTGGCATCATAAAGCTATCATATAAAAAAAGACTGTATTCTCAAAAGTTCATTATCATTTTTTTTGCTACTCGTATGGTGGTATTAGTAACTTTAATTGTAAGAAAGTTCTCTAATTTCATGGGAATATGAGGAATCTAATCAACAAAGAAGCATTATGAGAGGGGGAAAAATTAAACTATCATGTACCTCTCATAGCTGTGAGTCATGGGGTTAAACCAAGATCTAGGAGACTGTTATTTTCTAGACATCAAGAGTACTTTTGAGCTCGTGTTATACTGTATGTATATGTTATGAAATATTACCTTTGAAGACTATCCTTTTACGCTTAATCTCTGTTGAGATAAAGTTGGTGAGGGTGGGTCCCAAATGTAATGTCCCTAGCCCCCTTTGCCTTTGGTTCAGAATGAGAATAGAGTCTTGGGATAAGGCCTCATGAGCTTTCTGTATAGATTGGTCAGGTTAATTATTTTCTATGAAGTCCTGTTGGTCAGTAGACATGGTTTCCATGGGGCTTGGGAATAACCCTAGGTGATCCTCTGAGAGAAACATAGTTTCCTCTAATTCAAGGGATACCTGATCCTTAACTAAATTGTTCCTGTCTGTAGTACTTAACCATTCTTTGTAAACTAGATCCCATCCTTGATAACTCAGACTCTGTTCAATTTCTTTATTTTTTATTTGATTTTGCTTTTTTCAATTGACAGAAATCAGTTTTCTCCCCCTCACATTCCCACTTCCCCCAATGAAAAGTAAAATAAAAGCAAAACCTTTGTAACATAGATGCAGTAAACAAACAAAAAACAAATTTCCAAATTAGCTACATCCAAAAAAAAAAAAAAATCTCCATCTGCACTCTGAGTCTGTCACCTCTCCGGGATAGAATTCCTCTGGAATTGTGATTGGTCATTGAATTGTTTAGAGTTTTTAATTCTTTCGAAATCATCTGTCTTTACATTGTTGTTATTATACAAATTGTTCTCCTGGTTCTGCTCATTTCACTCTGTATCGGTTGATATGAGTCTTCCCAAATTTCTTTGAAATCATCTCTGTTATTTTTTATAGCACAATAATGTTCCATTAAATTTATTTATGTTCAGTTAGCTTAATGCCAACACCGTATTAGTTCAGGTTTGATGTTGAGATGAAATGAGGCACTCAAAAGGCATTGAACATTTAACAAAAAAAAAAAAAAAGGTTAACTTTGCCTTAACATGGTGAGGATATGCAGGAAGGACACAGTAGTACTTAATTTCTCTAGATGCAGCCCCTCTCATTTCATATGGAAACAAGTCTGCTCAGCTGGGCAGGGTATGGTGATTCATGTGGTTCCCCCAAGACAGAGGGGCCCCAACTCCATGTTGGTGGGATTTTTTATGTCCTTTGGTGACCAGGAAGACGCATCAATTCCTGGGAAGAACTTTGCCATCTTCTAGGGAAAACATCCCAATTGAAGGGAAACTGGGGAACCCTGGTCCTATCACAATATACCATAATTTGTTCATCAGTTCCCCAGTTGATAACCATCCCTTTAATTTCCAGCTCTCTGCTACCACAAAAAATATAAATAATTTTGTACATATAGGTACATTTCCTTTCTTCGGTAGGTCTAGTAGTAATATCACTGAGGCAAAAGGTATTTAGACAGGTGAGTAACTTTTAGGACATAGTTTCAAATAGCTTTTCAGAAGGATTGAACCAATTCAGACTTCTACCATCAGTGCATTAATGGACCTGTTTCCCCACATTTGTCATTAATCTTTTATCAGTTTTGCCATTTGAATGAGTATGCTATGGAACCTCAAAGCTGCTTTAATCTGTATTTCTCTATTACTGATTTGGGGCTTTTTTATATAGCTGTTGATAACCTAGATTTCTTCCTTAGATAACTACCTGTTCATATCCTTTGACCATTGGGGAATAGTTTTTATTTTTACAAATTTGAATTGAGTTTCTTTTATATACTGTAAAAGAGACCCTCCCTTATCACAGAAATGTGTAGCACAGGTTTTTTTCTCAGTTATCTTTTTCCCTTATAATTTTAGCTACATTGGTTTTGTTTTTATTAAATCTTTTTTTAAACTTTATGTAATCAAAACTGCTCATTTTACCTTCTGTGACCCTCTCTATCACTTGTTTGGTCATGAGCTCATCCATTACCTCATTTCCTTTAAAGCAGCAGACTAAATCCTGAGGCTTGTAGGGCTTGAATGGAGATGTATTTTAGTAGCCTTTATCTTCAATTACAGAAATCTTCTTCTTCCCCAAATTTTTTTCCATCCATCCCTATAAATACACAGGCGCGCACACACACACACAAACACACTGACGGATTTGATCCTGTGCATGGTGGCATAGAACATTTTCTGTACGAAATCAGGTCACTTTACTTCTCTCAGGCATACATTCCCGAGTAAAAAAAAAAAAAGTGAAGGGGCTGTAAAGCACTTGTGTACATTCATTCAGCAAGTATTCATTGCACATAAGCCTTTAAAAAAAACCCACCTGTAACACAGAATCATTACATAAGAGAAACAAATATGTGCTTTCTCATGGTGGGATTATGTTAAGTGCTCTCTCTCTTCTCTTTCCCACCTGCCTCATCTTGTAAACATTTACATATTTCAGCTACAAGGGCTCTTACTCAAAATTCTCTTAACACATACCTTAGATTGGAACTATTTCTATATCCCTCTCATTATAACTGCCTTGCAAAATGGCTATTGGTTCATTTGGCTGACTGATAATGTAAGTTTGCATAGATGAAGAAGGGAAATAATCTAGGGCATTGGTCCATTTTAACCCCCTCTGTCTGCTCCCTGCCTATACTTACCCAAGCATGTTTAGCCAGCCTTTTAGCCAGCTGTTCACAAGATAACAATGGAGTATACACATAATCATTCAATTACCAAGATTTTTATTGCAGAGGTATTGAGACTGTCCTGCCAGAATCTGGCCTGTAAAACCAGCCTTGTATGGAGTGTTACTGGGACTTATCCCATCTAGTACTTTCTAAATTCTGTGTAGAATTTGACCTGATACTCCAATCAATAAGACTACAACCTCCCCCATCCAAAAAACTAAACTAAATTAACCATAAATTATTTTAAATAGTATTAAATAACATATTCATTATACCCCTCTAAATAATCAATCAACAAGCCTTTAGTAAGTATTTATTATTATTCAAAGAACTGCTAGTGCTGGGGATACAAAGAAAGGTAAAATTATCCCTGCCTCATGGAACTTATATTCTAATGAGGGAGAGAACATGTAAATAAATAAACATATTCAAAGTACATATGGAGCAAATAGAAGGTAACCTCAGAGAAGAAGGCTTTCACAGATAGAAGACCTGGGGAATATCTCCTTCTTATCCAGTCATTTCAGTCCTGTCCAGCTCTTTTTGACCCCATTCAGGGTTTTCTTGACAAAGATACTGGAGAGGTTTGCCATTTCCTTCTTCATCTCATTTTACAGGTGGGGAAACTAAGCAAACCAGATTAAGTGACTGACCCAGAGTCACACAGCTAGTAAGTGTCTAAGGACACATTTGAACTTGGGAAGACGAGTCTTTCTGACTTTGGGCCTGGCACTCTATCCACGGCACACCTACGTGCCCCGGTCATATTTTTAGCTGAATCTTGAAAGAAGCAAGGGATCCTAAGAGGCTAAGGTGAAGGAGAGCACTCTAGGCTAGGGGAACAGCTAGTGCAAAGACATGGAGATAAGAGATGGTAAGCCGTTATGGTTAGATTGCAGAGTGAAGACAGGAGTAGATTGCAGTAAGACTGGAAAAGTAGGAAGGGATCAGGCTGTGAAGAGTTTTAAATGCCAGCTAGGTGGTGCAGTGGATAGAGCACTGGGCCTGGAGTCAAGAAGACCTGAGTTCAAATCCAACATCAGACACTTATTTGCTGTATATTCTTGGGCCTGGTTTGCCTCAGTTTCCTCATCTGTAAAATGAGCTGGATAAGGAAATGACAAACAACTCTATATCTTTGTCAACAAAGCCCCAAATAAGGCCTCAAAGAGTCAGGCATGACTGAAAGGACTGAACAGCAACAAACATACTTGACCCTGGAACCACTAGAATGATTCTTTGACTTGGTCCTTCCCAATATAAGCTAATTCCCACACACACATCCCCTTACTCAGCTTGGTGAACCTGCCTTCCCGCTCAAGCCATCCACCAGCCTCCACCTCTCCAAGAGAAGGGATTTCAGGTATGCTCTACCATGCCCAACTCAGATGTATTTTTATAACAAAACAGGCAAATCCTTTAACTTCTCAGCTAAATTACATATGAATTTTCAGTTACAGATGAGTTACCAATCCATCTTTTCCCTAGCTCTGAAATCATAGATCTAGACCCCCTCTAAAAACTTTACCTTTTGGTTCTAATTGTAATATCTACACATTTATTGTTAGGAAAATGGATGTCTGGTGATATAGGATCACGAATCACTATGCATTTCAGTGCGTGCTCTTTCTAAAAAGAATGTTTCTCGTTTCATCCCCTTTTTTCTTTTTTAGTCCTTGTAACCAAGGTAAGCTATAGTAAGTAGTTATATAATACACCTCAGTCCCATCCAGATTTGGACCATGGGCCATATACTTTATATAATTCACCAGACTAAGGGAAAAATTGTCTATAAAGGGGCAAAGATAGGAAATAAATTTATACTCTATGAAGATCATTTCATTTTCTAATGGAGATGAATAGTATGGCATGTAGTAGAATAAGAGGAAACCATACTTGTGATTTATTATGATAATGGACCATGTTCTGGCTTTTTTCCCCCCTTTTGGTATTTTTATAGTTATAACAAGGACTCGGATGAATTAAGCAAATGGTTAGAATCCGCGCAGCAAACTCTGAATTACTGGAAGGAGCAATCTCTTAATGTATCTCAAGACTTGGACACAATTCGGGACAACATAAATGATTTCTTTGTAAGTGATACAAGAATATGCTTTGATACTTATTTGAGAGGCAGTTTAGAGAGCGGAAGTCCGGGTCAAGAAGGCTGAAGTTCCACCTTTGACTTGTTCTGGCTGGTTTGGGCGAATCACCTAAACCCTCAGTCTCTCTAAATTATGTTACATTTGCTGATCTGCATATTTTCCCTTGGGGCATCTAAGTGGCACAGTGGATAGAGTGCCAGGCCTGGAGTCAGGAAGACTTGAGTTCAAATCCAGCCTCAGACACTTAGCTGTGTGACCCTGGGCAAGTCACTTAACCCTGTTTAACCAGTTTCCTCATCTGTAAAATGAGCAGTTTAAATGAAAACCCCAAATGGGATCACAAAGAATCAGACACAACTCAAACAACTATACAACAACTTGCTGATCTACATACGTTTCCTCACTGGAAGTTCCCTGAATGCATGAAATCATTAATGAAGGCAAAAAACTAATCTATTTGTTAAAGAAAAGTCACATTGACATTTTAGTATAAATTTGCACATGAATCTACAGAAAATGAGAATTTGTTGTTCAGTCACGTCCAATTCTTTGTGACCCTGTGGACTATGGCACACCAGGCCCTTCTTTCTTCCACTATCTCCCAAAGTCAACCTAAGCTCGTGTTCATTGCTTCCATGAAAACTCCCTAAAAATTGTTGTTGCTTAGTCATGTCTAACTCTTTAGGACCCCATGGACTATACTGTCCATGGGGTTTTCTTGGCAAAGATACAAGAGTGGTTTGCCACATCTTTCTCCAGTGGATTAAGGTAAACAGAGGTCAAGTGATTTACCCAGGGTCACACAGGTATTAAGTGTCTGAGGCTGAATTTGAACTCAGATCTTCCTGACTCCAGGTCTAGCACTCTATCACTTAGCCGCCTAGTTGCCTCAATGCAAATTGGTTAATAGTAACTATTTCTCCAATTTAGAATTTTTTTCTGTATTTATTTTAAATAGAGCAGACACAGTCTAAGCAGACACAGTAATGTGGATATGGCTAAGTAAATGATATAAAAACCAGCCAGATTGTCGGCATATATTCAAATAAAAGGGATAAAGCAATGTTAATGAATTAAAGATTAGTTTATGAATTTGACATCATTGCATCAATCTAATTGAGGAGCATTTCAATATTCCTATTGAAAACTGTCAGATTCATGCCGGAATTATTTATAAAGGAGTGAAATTCTACTTTTATAAGCAATTTCCAGTAATTATATTTGCATCGGAGAACTGTGCTTTGTTGATCCTGATTTTCTGATGTATTCCATAGTATTTCCATTGTAGAAAGAGAGCACTCTCTCAGAATTTAGAGTTGTCACTACTAACATGGACATTAAAAATATAATTTAAAAAAACTTTTAAAATTTAAAGATTTAAAATACTTTATTGATGTATCTTTAATTTTTTTGCCACAATCATTTTCCAATAGTGTCTTTATTGTACCTTCCCTTACCTAAGAAAAGTAAAACAAAATTGTCCACTGTATTCACCTCAATTGAATATATAGCATTTCTTATCCATGAGCCAGTTTGTCTCTTCTGACAGGAAACAGATCTATTCCGGTATTAGTCATCGTATCTAATCCAACTGTTATTGTCTTTCAATGCAAAATAAATGTTAGTGAATGGAAAATAGTTGTGGTATCTGTATCCCCACTATTTAGCACAGTGGCTGGTACATAGTAGGAACTTAATAAATACAAGTTGACTGCCTGTACTTTATTGGTTTTAATCAACTCTCAAAAATTTTCTTTTGCTTGTGCAGAACCTTGTGTTGTATGAAGAGTTTCTTTGAAATTGTTTTTACATGAAATTGGGGGGGGATAAAATATTATTTTTAAAAAAGAATTTCTTTGTAAAGCTTGAAAAGTGATTTGAATGGTTTGAGACAATGAATTTCACTTCAGAAATATATTTTGAGATGATCAACAAGTATTTTTTCAATCTTAGTTTGCATATCAGACAATTTAGTGAAAGTTTGGTCTCCAAGGCATTACTCAGTTGTAAAGTTTGTATCCATTAGGAATTTTCAAAGGAAGTTGATGAAAAATCTTCCTTGAAGACTTCTGTGATTAGCACAGGAAACCAGCTTCTTCACTTGAAAGAAGCTGACACCGCCACTTTGAGATCTTCTTTAGCACAATTCGACCAAAAATGGGCAACTCTGATCACTCAGCTTCCAGATATCCAAGAAAAACTCCATCAGGTAAATAAATATCAAAGAACCCAGTATAAATCCCCAAACTTTCAATTCTTAGCTTGTAACGTCTTCAAAGTCAATTCTCTGATTCAGTGATTGGCATTATTGTTGTCTGCTTTTCTCTAATAGCACTGCTGAATACATGTCTTAATTACCAGACACTCCTCCATGGGGATCATTCTTAGGAGAGAATTGGGGCTTTAATTACTCTATTTCCCAGTTTACTTATGCCTCTCTCATACTTTATACAGAAGGTCATCTCCATTGTTTTTTGCATTGCTTATGTTTGAGCTTGAGTACTGAGTTTGTTTTTGTGAGTAACATGCATAATTATGGAGTGAGACCTTTTTACAAATCAGATATCATCTTTAGCGTTACCCTGATTCATGCTGTTAACTGGAAGTAATTAAATGGAAATCATTTTGTCCCTGCAGCTTCAAATGGAGAAATTGCCATCCCGTAAGGCAATCACTGAAATGATTAACTGGATGGACAGCATAGAGCAGCAGATAGCAGATGAGACCACTGTAGATTCACCAGGTTCTGTAACTCAAGTGAAAAGTCTTCTTCAGAAGTACAAGGTAAAACTATTAAGAAGGGACCAAAAATCTCAGAACAAAAGCAAAAAAAAAAATCCTCAAATTAAATCAGGCCTTAGGGAAATACTAAAACTGTGTGATAGAGAAAATAAATTGAGCTGAAGATAGACCAAGAAAAAGTGAACCCTCAGTAAAAATGAAAGAAATTCTCTTTCTCATCCTATTAAGAAAACATAAATATTCTGAGAGCTAAATGTGAAAATGGTCTTCTTATTGGTCTTTGTATATATTGGTATTTATTTATTCTCTGATTCCCTCTCCCCTTCCCCCAGTTGCTTGTGACTTCTCCCTGGAAATTAATTTCTATATTTTTGTATCTAATTTTCTTTATACATGCCATTTCCTGTTTTTTATTTCTGCCTCTGTATTCTTTCCACTTAACACTTTGTGCCTAGTACATCATAGATGCTTAATGAATATTGATTTATTAGTTGATTTTTAGGTCTACAGTTAAAAAAATAATGATGGCATAGAGTTTAAATGCAGTTTCCTTATTTTGTCCCGTAGTGTCCATTTGCTGGTAGGATTTTTAAAAAGATTCCCAGATGTGTATCCTCAGGGCAGTGGTTCTTGTACTTTTTCTTTTCTTTTCTTTTCTTTTTTGTGATGGTGATGGGGAGCACATAGTACAGTATTGGCAGCAAAGGAAGACTCCTAGAAAAGTGGGCCTCCAGACCCATTACTCAGGCCTTGGGATTCATGTATCTCTCCTTCCCCTTATTGGAAGTTCCCATAGAATTTCCAATCAAGGAGGTGGCATTGTAGCACTGGAGAGAGAGAGAGGTGCTATTGTGACCTCTTAGACACCAAACCCAGAGGAACAGTAGCAAACTGCATCTGGGGTTGGGGGCTGGAAGTATGGGGGAAGAAAGGTCTCTTAGCACATTCAGTAAAACTCAGGTCATACTTTTTGAACATACTCTTGGTTAGTCTGAATGGGAGGTGAGAAAAGGGAAAGGAAAAAGCATTTATTAAGTTCCTACTATGTGCCAGGTACGCTGATAAGTACTTGACAACTGTTATCTCATTTGATCCTCATGACAACACTGTGAGATAGTTGCTATTCTTATACCCATATTATGGTTGAGAAAACTGAGGCAGATGTCAGTTAAGTGACTTGCCCAGGGCCACACAACGAGTAAGGGTCTGGGGCTAAATTTGAACTCAAGTCTTCTTGATTCCAAGACGAGTACTCTATCCACTGGATTACCAGCTGCCTAAGACTAACTTCATCATTTTTTATCTGGCAACTAATAACTTTAAGTGTCGAAACAGCTCAATGCAGAGTTAGACACAGCAAAACAAGTTAAAAGTAGCCCCATGACCATCAAGTGCTGACCTCTCAATTCAGCTGAACCAAAAGCATTAATACATACCTCCTATTTAATTGTCTCTGTATCCCCTCCACCTGACATTCTGTGCCATAGGAGAAGGGTTTCTTAGCACAGTTAGCAGGACATACTCTTTGAGAACTACTGTGCTAGGGGCTTGGGCAGCCTGAGGGGAGGGGGAAGGCACAGGGCTAGGCACTGACGATACAAGGACAAATACAAAAGATTTCTTGCCCTCACCAAACTTACATTCTATGGGAAGGATACAACACGTATGTAGAAAATTATATATACATATATATATACATATATATACACATACATATACACACATACATATATATGCAAAGCAGTTTCCATCTCCAAGGCACTAGCTATCTCCAGGAAAGATCAAGATGGGCTTCCTGTTGGGGGTGGCATTTGACCTGAGTCTTGAAGGATGCTAGGGATTCTAAAAAGCAAAGATGACTTCTAGGAGGCATAGTTTGCTGAAGTTTCTGTTGTTCTCTGAGCCATATGCCCTGAGATCTGTGCTCTAGGCCTTTGCTGGCCTGGTGGGTAGAGGGAAGATTTATCTGCCAATGGCAAGGTAACTCTCTTTAAATATTCAATCATTTAGTGAGAGGGTGTTGGTTTAATCTAAGGTGGCTTCCAAAACCAAAACATCCTTCCCAAACTACAATTCCCCTATATTTATTTTTTTCTCCCTTAGACTATAAACTCCTTGATAAAAAGAATATTTTTGTTTTGCATTTCTATCCCAAGTACATTGCACATAGTCAGAACTTAATAAATGATTTTCCAGTCATAAGTCTGCATAAAAGCAAAGGTCTATGCTCCCCACCGCCTCCCCAGGCCCCAGTGAATCACCATTCCAAAGGCTCTAATGGAAACTAGCCAGCCCTGAAGAGAATTTTCCCAGGCAGTTCTAGAAAGAAACAGGTTTTCTGAATCTGCCTCAACTATATATAGCACTGCAATCATCTCACTAAGAGCTTATGAGGCTTCAGAATTGGCCAGAAGTCCCAGGACAGAATGCCAAGTTGGCTTTTAGTTAGAAAGCACATTAATAAAGACTTCTTGGTGCCCCCTGGAGGACACCGAAGTGAAAATCCATCTTAATGACCATTCAAATTTATTTGTGTCCCTCTCCGGTTCCCCCCACTTCCACCCCATACACGCTTTAGAAAGTTACTTGCTGTTCATGGTTTTGGTTTTTTTTTTTTTCAGGAATCTAGGATGGAAATGAATTACAAACAGTGGATCATTGATTTTGTCAATCAGTCACTGCTACAACTAAGCACCAGCGATGTAGAAAGTAAGCGTTATGAAAGAACCGAATTTGCAGAACGCCTTGGAGAAATGAATCGTCAGTGGCATAAGTTACATGGGACACTAAACAGAAAGGTTTGCTCCTAATTTTTTTTCCAGTTTTCTATTTTTAGCTTGGGCTAAATCATGTGTATGTATGTATACACACATGTGTGAATACATGTATGTGTGTATGTATACATTATATGTACATGTATACAGAGAGAGAGAAATCTTAGTGTACTACTAAGTTTTAATAGTTTAAAACTGTGCTAAGATTATTTTTGGGACACCCTACATATATACATATATGTACATGTGTACACACATTTGTACATATATATGGGAGGTCTCCAGCACATTGAGTGAACCCCCTGTGATAAACTTTTGAGAGAAAATGGATAAGAACCACACAAGAAGAGCAGGCATTGATATGTTGAGATATATAGGTTAAATATATATGTACATTGTCTCAAAATATACAAATGGATCTGAGGTCTTGTTCATTTTGAAGTTCTCTCCAGTAATACAGATAACATCTCTGTCCATGATATCATGTAACCCATCCATGCCAGCCCATCCTGTGTGACATTTGTTTGTATCCTCCAGGATACAATGATGAATCTGTGTTTCTCCCATTAGTTTACCACAAGAGGTTCATCCGTTGAAGAAGGTCGGTGGCCTTCCTCACACTTTCTTCACATTGAGGGGATGTCAGTAGAGCATGTGGGCTTTCTATCAATCATTTCTCATTCTCAATATACCAGATCTATAACATAAATATATGTGCTGATATTTATAACATGGGTATTAAATATAATACATATAGCAATATGTTACATATAGTGTATATATACTATACATAGCATATGTATGTAGTATTAAACTGTAATATGTCTCACTTTGTATAATATACATACACATATATGGTGTCCTCAAAGTTTTACTGAAGTTTTAAGTTTTAACTGCAGTAAGACTTTGAGGACACCTGTATATATTAGAGAAAATGAGGCATATTAGAGTGTATTAATTTTAACCTATTAAGCAATTTTAAGTTATTAAAACTTAAAACTGTACCAAGTCTTTCGGGACATCATACATATAGTGGAAATTGACTGAAAACATTCAGAAACCTGGATCTGTGACATGAGTTTGGAAGACTTTACTAGATAGTCAGGTAAAAAGGATATAGAATTTATAGAATATTTTATTCAAATTTATAGATATATGTTTTTAATTTCAGTCATTCTTTGAAGTTTGTACTCTATTAAAAGTAATATAAGTATATATTATATAATTACATATATAATTAAATATAGTATTATAAGTAAATAAAGTATATTTATAGTTATCCAGTTCTTAAAAAAGAAGACATTCAAATAGCTAAATTATCATATGTTTATTCTCTGAAGTAAAAACCCTTCAATTTTCCTGGAAAAGTATGCATAGTATCTTGGACTTATGACTCGAAGAGATCTCCCAGGCCTCATCCTTTCATTTTACAGATGCAGAAACTGAGGCCTAGCACAGTTAAGTGACTTTCCAAGGTCACACCTAATAGCCTATGCAAATTATGGTTTTCATTTTTTGAGTCTCATTAGTAAGCAATGAGAGAGTGAGTGAAGACAGTATGGAGTACTGGTTAGAGAGCTGGCCTAAGAGCCAGTCTGACCCAGGTTCAATTCCAGCCTCTGATATATCCTGGTTATGTGACTCTGAGCAAGTTACTTTTCCTCTCAGGGCTCTTATCTAAGACTTAAACCACAGAGGAGGTGCCAAAATGGGTATTTTTTGCATTGTGGAGTTCCCTGTATCAATGAAATCACAAGTGCAGTACCTTTCCCTATCCATAGTAAGGAACAAGAAAAAAACTTCCAACTAAGTAAAAGAACAGGAAAAATCCATTCAAGATGGTGAAATGTACTGTATGGACAACTGTATGGTTATTAGCATTCTCTGTGGAACTAGATATAATTCTATGTAAACTTTCACGATGTGAGTATAACTGCCTTCTCCTCTGCCCTGCCCAAAGGTATATACATTGTTAATGAAATATCACTCTGGTCATCTGGAGGGGATTGATAGAAGCATACTCACAGTTGTAAAATTCTGGAGAAAGAAATTTGTAAAATTTTGTACACTTTAGAAAGAGAGTAAAAAAAAATAGCTTCTTACAGGACAAGTGATTTCATCAGTCTGAGTGCTCTGTTGTTACCTATCCACATAGTAACTTCTTCATGTTTTTTCATTCTGTACAGTTACTAAAAAAGAGTAAAAACATTGAGTGTATTTCTCACAGTTATCATATAGCTTCAATAATAATTGCCAACCTACCTAGTCAACAGTTTAGTTTTTATTTTAAATGTTGGTCTTTAATGAGACTTGATAGATTTTCCTTTTTTTTTAATTAATATATTTTATAGGAAGTGCTAGGAAAGCATAGGTTTAAGTATTAGAAATGTAAGAGAAATGACCAATATGAAAATATTTTACATAATTGTACATATATAACCTACATGAGATTGCTTACTCTCAAGGAGGAAAGGATAAAATTTGGAACTCAAAACTTAAAAGAAAAATGCTAAAAATTGTTTTTACATGTAATTGGGGGAAATAAAATATTATTTTTAAAAAAGAAATGTAAGAGAAAAAAGTCATCTAAAAACTCTTCTAGCAATGTAATTCGTTCACATATGTAGTGCATTTGATTGAAGGCATACATTTTGCAGATTCAACATTTAGAGCAACTTCTGGAGTCTATCACTGAGAGTGAAAACAAAATACAGACTTTGAGGAGTTGGATGGAAGCCCAAGGAGAGAGACTAAAAACATTACAAAAACCTGGAAGTGTAATATCGGTGAGGAAGACGCTGCTGGACTGTCAGGTAAAAACAATCTAGCATTTATAACAGACTTGATTTAAGTATGTCACAAATATGGTAGTTTTTTATTTTTAATTTCATAGGCTTTTTTCATTCTTAGAGATAGGGAAAGTTCAAATGAAGCTACACCTTGTGTCTATACATTCCTACATTTTGTTGTTCAGTCGTTTCAATCCTGTTCAACTCTTCATGACCCCATTTGGGGTTTTCTTGGCAAAGATACTAGAGTGGTTTGCCATTTCCTTCTCCAGCTTATTTTACAGATGAGGAAACTGATACAAACAGGTCTTGCCCAAGCTCACATAGCTAGTAAGTGTCTAAGGCCACATTTGAAATCAGGAAGATGAGTCTTCCTGACTTTTGGCCCAGTGCTGTGCCACCTAGTTGCTCTTACATTTTTGTGTATATAATAATAATAGCTAGTATTTCTATGGTGCCTTTGGGTTTCCAAAGAGTTTTATATAAAGTGTCTCATTTGAGCCTTACAACAATCCTAGAGATGGGCTTCACAGGTTTTATTCTCTGTATTTCACAGATGGGGATGCTGAGTCTCAGAGAGGTTAAGTTACTTGTCCATGGTTTTCTATATTTGCTCCCCTGTTGGAGGCAGGAGTCAAACTAAAGTTTCTTAACTCCAAATCTAGTGTTCTTTCCACTGCATTCTGTTGCCTTTATAATTAGATAATCATTCATGTTTATGAGGTAGAGTTTATTTTATATGCATGTTAACCTTCATTTGAGAAAATTTGGGGAGAACAGTTCATAGGGTTCTTTGTTTTTTTTGTCACTGGAAGCTTTTGAGGGTATTAGAGGTTTTTTTTTTTCAGCCAAAAAATTTGCAGAGATTAAGTGTAGTCAGCTACCAGTTATTTTGACTTATTTCTCTTTTGGCCAATCGTCTAATTACAAAATTGCTGTAAAGTTATTTTTTAGTTCTTTCATTCTGACCCTCTTCAGAGAGAGAATTTTCTTCTAGCTGATATGTATTGTGATGAAAAAGAAATGTTTTCCACTGAGTTCCTGTCACATTTAGAACAGAAATCCAACTTAGCATTAGTCCTGAGGGATTTTGATATATTCCTTTTCTTATGCATTGCATCTACTATTGGCAATCTGCAAATTATGATAATGCTGTGAATAATGATGGGCAATACCTTTGAGCTCTTCATGGTAATTATGTGTTAGTAAAATGGAAATTCCATTAACACTAACTTCCATTGTTAGTGAATAATTTTTGCATCCATTAACTAGATATGTGACAAGTCTCTTGTTGTGTTGTCTTTCTTTTCTACAAAGGCTATTTTGCCTTCTTCCTATGTAGCAGTAGACAAGGAAGTTAGCATGGAGATTCACCAGTCTCGCTAATTATTCAAGCCAGATATTTTCTTCAGTATTTTTTTGGGTCTCCTTTAGCAAGCTGTTGACTTTTTTTTCATGATTTTCTTATGTGTGATATACCTTTCTGATCAACCATCCAGGTTGTCTTGGGCTGGAAATTTGTTTCACTTTGTGTTTTTGTGGGTTCTGCTGCTTTAGAATTTGTTTAGAGTCATTTTTTACAGGTATTTGGAGGGGTTTAGGGGAGAGCTCAAGCAAGTCACTGCTTTCACTCAACCATCTTGGCTCCACCCCAGATATTTTCATATCAGCTAAACTTATTGCATTCTTTCTTCCCCTGGAGAATTCAGAGGGAAGTTATGCAAACTCAAGACCACTAATTATACTTTCAAGTTTAGTAAAAGTCCTAAATGACTAGAAGATGGCCAAACCTGAAATAATTTTACTGAGGAAAATTGGTTAAGATGGCATGGAGGTTCTGCCTTCTGTATCTCCCTGTAGCATTATGTGTAGTTTTAGGCCATAAGTTATTATTTCCTGTTATACAGTGTCCCTAAAATCTTAATTTCCAGTTATACAGTATCCTTAAAATCTGTATTTTTAGACCACAAACTACACTAAGATTTTTGAGACACCCTGTAGATAATTCATCATGGTAGCTGCAGAGAAATTTAATATTTTTAAAATATCACAGAACATGACTTTGCCCTTTTTCTTGATTAATACCTTTTTATTTATGTCCTTTTTAAAACATCAAGACCATTTTCTAACATATCCTCTTACCCATTAAATTCTAACAAAGAAAATTTTTATCAAAATCTAACTGACAAAGCAGCTGTGTTTGATAGTATGTTCAGCATCCCACACTCATCGTTTGTGACATCTCTAGCAAAAGGAAAGAAATTTGTTTCGCCCTCTTTTCTTTGAGATCAAGATTGGTCATTTCAATTCATTTGAATGTTGTTTTCATATATGTTATCATAGACATTGTGTGTAGTGTTTTCTTATTTCACGTGAAGGAAAATTTCTTTACGTTGATTCAGTATGACTTTTCTCAACAACAAAAATGACAAATTGGAGTGGTAAAGCACACCTGATAAACTCTGTATACCTTAGAACTTTTTCACTTTACAAATTAAAACCATATAATATATAGAAAATCAGACTTAAAGAGGATGAAGATATGAAGAAGAAAGGGATGGATTTTCAAAGGAAAGAGAAGGGGGAGATAGGGAAATATGAAAACTACAATGATATTTACCACAACTATAGCAAATTCTCAGACTACAATGCTAACACCATGTTCTTGTGGAAACTGTTTTCCATGATTCCTTAAGATTAATTTTACCTTTATTTTTCCTCTTTAAAATGTTCATGTAATTTTATTACCATAGTGACAGAAGAGAAGCCTTATGTCACTTCTTTAGCTCTCTTGTGTTGTTTATTCCCTGCTGTTTTCTGCTAATAACAGTTCATCTTCATTGAGGAGCTCTCCTCTTAACAGTTTGCCTGAAGTATAGGGAAAACATGCCAACTTGTTAGTAAATAAGTATTTCAAAGATTTCTAAACAGCTGGGTCTTTGGGGGAAGGGAGGAACTAGTTTTTATCATTTCAAAACAGGAGGAAAGTCAAGAATTATTTTGATTGAAGTACTCCAAGCTATTACCCTGTAAAATATAGAAAGAATCAAGTTGTTTGAAATTCCAGGTTGATGATAGGAAATACGGTTAAGCTTAAAATCATAAAAACATATTTTGAAATGAATGATAGTGTTTTTAGAGGATGACATTAAGAAAGAGTGTCTGAAGAGCTTGTGTTCCAAGAGTATAAGGTAGTAGCAATTGGCTTCTTTCATCAAGTTTTCAGCAGAGTAATTTAGATGCTTAAGGTGCCGATAAACTAAGCTATAGAAAGAAGACCTTAGTTTAGTTGTTGCTGCTAAGCAAATGAGCAACTTATATATATATATAAAGTTTTGCAGCACGCCATCTGGGTATTGTCATTCTTACTTTCAAAGACTGCTTTTTCCAGGATTGAAAACTTCTGTCTTTCTTTCACTTGGATAAATTAAGAAGAATCAATTATGTTATAAACAAATGACTCTAAAAAGGTGCAAAGGATTCTAATTTTGTTGCCAAGGGATTGTGAAGCAGCTAGGTAGCTCATTGGATAGAGTATTGGACATAAGCTCTACAAGTCCTGAATTCAAATCCTCCCCTGGTCACTGTCCCTGGGCAAATCCCTCTACCTTTGTATGCCTCAGTTTCCTCATTTGTAAAATGAGGATAATGATAGCATCTACCAATAGAGTTGTTCTGAGGATGAAATAAGATTATATTTGTAAAGCTCCTTGCAAATCTTAAAGCACTATACAAATCATTATTCCATTAAATTGGCTTTTGATAATAGACGGTTTTTTTGTTGTTCAGTCATTTCAGTCATGTCTGACTCTATGTAACCCTATGTAACCCTATTTTGGATTTTCTTGGCAAAGATAATGGAGTGTTTTGCCATTTCCTTCTCCAGCTCATTTTACAGATGAAGAAATGAGGCAAATAGGATTAAATGACTTGCCCAGGGTCACATAGCTAGTAAGTGTCTGAGGTCAGATTTGAACTCATGAAGATGAGTCTTCCTGACACCAGGACAGACTGTACCACCTAACTGGCCTGATAATAGCTATTAGATTTTATAAGCAATCTAACATAATTGGTTTGAATTCTTCTGAAATCTAGAGGCAGAGAGGTTCAGTTAGACCATCTTGTGCAATGTAGTTTATGCTGTATTATAAATTATATCCTTGTATAAAATGAATGATTTTTTTTTTACTAATGGAATATTTACCAGAGGTTCACTGTGGTTCTCTTGAACAGACTTGCAAAGAGTAATCCTCTGTCCTTAGTACCATTCATGAACACTTTGGAATTCTATGCAGCTAAGAACTATATTTCTTTCTTTTCTAGGACTTAGAAAATCACTTAGTAACTAAATCCAGAACACTGGATGAGCTAAAAGAGAATTACATGGCTTTGGAAAATGGCCCAATGCCAGTGTTACAGGACACCATTTCTGGAATTGATGATTTATATCAAATGAGGAACAACATTGTCAATCAGGTAGTGGAATATATTTGAAATATATCTTTTTCCATTTATCCTTTCTTTACAGTCTTCCATTCACTAATGGAGAAATGTTCCATGCCATACACTTTTCAGGAGCAGAAGGATGTGTTGCTAAAGACTTCTCAGTTGTGTTGTAGAGGCAAAAGCCCTGGATATTACATCAAGTCCAATGTTTGTATTGGGCAAGGCTAACATACATGTTGCCCCAAATAATACTCTTGTTTGAGTTTGACTTATAGCAGCATTTTCTGGCTAATCATAAATCATTATCTCCATCATTGAAGAGATATGCGAGAGAGGCAATGGTTTCTATGGAAGAAAATTTGGAGCTCCATCATCAGGGTAGATGCTTCAGGGGTGTGGGAACATTGTTCTACCTGATTATATCTTATAGAAGTATTCTTCAGCTATACCATGAGCAGAAGTGTGGTGATGAAACTAGTCTCAAAGAATATTTTTGGTGTCATATTAATCTTTACTTTCTTATCTACTGGAAATTCCCACTCCTTTCTTTCCATCTTAGTTATGACTAAATACGTTTCTGAGATATCTAGCCCTGTTTCTTTCCTATAAGGCAACAGAATTTGGATGTGGCCATAGAGTCATAGATCCATAGCTGGAAACGACCTTACAGGCCATCTAGTTCAACCCCCTTATTTTACGGATAAGGAATCTGAGGCTAAGGGATGTTTGATGCATATTAATGTAAATGTAGAATTCACACTAGAATTTGCCATATTGTTTTCACTCAACTTTGGGAGGAAACTGAGTAAGCCATTATTGTGGAAATATTTAGAACCTCATTTTAAATTCTGTTTTCAGGATTCTGACTACTAGGCTATATAATTGAATCTAAAAATTGTAACTTAAGTAATCACATTCCAAAAACGGATTTTCATTTTGATACAGAATCATAACTATGCTAAGACTTTTGGAATGTCCTGTATAATGTACACCTTTCCAAAATTTTTATTATTATATAGTTTGATAATGATTGGTTACATTTGCCATAGCAGACCCTATATGATAACCACTTATGTGTAAGTTCTTCAAATAATTTTAAAAAGTGAATGAATGAAAAACCTTCATTAAATGCTTACTATGTGTCAGGCACTGCTCTAAGTGCTAGGGATATAAATGCAAAAAATTCCCTGCCTTCCAGTAGCTTATAGTCTAATAAACTGAGACACTTACATGTAGGGAACTGGTGACCAGGGAAGGGAGTTTTCATCTGGGAAGTCAGGGAAGATAGTAAATTGATCCACAGAGTAATGGCAATACTTATGAACAAGAAATAGGAAGCAAGATAGTAGGACAGATGACCAAGAAGTCCTGGATTGATGACTAGGATGGGATGTTGGAATGTAAAGCATGGTTTGGTAGACTGGAAACAGTTAGATATAATGGATGAATAGGGTGTGGTGTAGGAAGGTGATAAAGCCATATTATGCTGTATACAATGATGAAATAGGTGATTTGAAAGAGTCATGGACTTTGATGCAAACTGATGAACTGATACAAAGTGAAATAAGCAGAACCAGAAGAACAATTTACACGAAAGCAACCACACTGTAAATACAAACAATTTTGAAAGATGTAAAAATGATGTTCGATATGATGGCCATCCATGATTCCAAAGGACTGATTATGAAACATACTACCTATTTCCTAACACAGAAATGACAGATTTAGGGTATAGAATGAGACATATGTGTATATGCATATATACACATATATGCATACACATTCATCCACATGTGTGTTCTTTTCCTTTTTTTTTCCAGTTGGGTAGGGAGTGGCAGGGAGAGAAAACATACTTCTGTTCATTTAAAAAAAACAATTAAAAATAGAGAGGTTGGTGCTACAGATGTGGTATGTTACAGATACTTTCAGATGAAGTCACTGTATTGTTAGTTTTGCTTAGTTGTTGTATGTGTATACCAGAAACTTCTTATGAAGTAAAGGCAATTTGTAAATGTTCGTAATGTAAAAACATTTTGCTTACATCAATAAACTTTTTAAAAAGCAAGTATACTTACTGGGCTGGGTAAATTTGCCAATCTAGACATTTCTCAGCCCCAGGGTAGGAGTTCAAAGGCTGAGTAGATTAGCTCACAAAGATCTGTAATTCATTGGTGTGATTACCCTCAAACAGTGCCTATCAAACCCGCCTCCTGCTTTAGTAGATTGTTCTGGGTCTTTCTGGTGGCCACCTTTTAGATTGGTCCTACAATAATAGTCTATCTCCCAGCCCATACTCTAAAGCTCTTCTAGTTTGCTGTGATGTATCAGAAGTTGCACCGTGTTGGCACAACTTTCAATAAGTCAGGATCATCATGGTGAGGCATTGTAGTAGGATGATATTTTAAATAAAATTTTTACTTAAAATTTTGTACTTGTCACACTTTGTAACCCTAAAGTACTATATAAATATGAACTATTTAATTGCTACTATAATTAGCTATCCCAATTTCATCTCCTAATGGTCAACCTATCTACAACACCCTAGATACTGTCTCAACTATTCTGACTTGGTTACTCTTTACTTGGTATGTACCAGTACCACCAAGATTTCACTTCTTAACAGTACTTATCCTGTCCTATTATCTAAAAATAAGTGATTTGTCCAAAGAGACGTCCCAAAGTTGATGTTAATAGTAAAAGTACAAACCTGGAAGAAAACAAACAAAGTAATGAAAGAATGCGAACCTCTTTTTAGATCAACCTGTTCATTCTTTTTCCATAGGTCAACCAACTCGAAACCTCCATGCAGTCAGTGTTACAGCAGGGAAGGAGTTATGACAAACTTTTTGAGGAAGTGAACATGATGACAATCCGACTCTGGTACTGTGTGGAGCACAGCAAGCCTGACGTGTTATCTCTTGAAGCTTTGAGATGTCAAGTAAAGAACCTTCAGGTAAATATTCACAGCAGGTCAGAAAAAGAAAACTTAGGAGGTAACAAAAAAGTATTGGACACAAAGTATTGGACAGAAGTCTCTTTTGTGTTGTTACCAGTACATAGAAAATACAGCTCTAAACAGCTTCGTAGAAATGCCCAGTTAACATTCTATGTGAGTAATTGATCAAATTGTTGACATCAAAATTTAAATATTTGTACACATAATTATTTAAATTTATTTAAATTATTAATCATTTGAGTTAATTAACTTATCAATTATTTAAATTTAAAAAGGCAACATGGAATAGGTAGTATTGATTTGATTATTCTGCCCAGAACACGAGTGGGAAAGAGAGATAGTGGAGAAGATGGCAAGATGGCCTGGATGGATGGGATGCTAGTTTGTGACACATGGTCTGGTGACCTGGGACTGGTTAGAAATAGTGCATAGGATAGAAATTAAAAATTGGAGTCAGAAAGACCTGGGTTTTGTACTAACTATGTACTAACTATGTGACCAAGGGTAAGTTATTTAATCAACCTTTGCCACAGGTGGCAGCTATAGATGAATTGCAGATCAGTATAAGTGGAGAGAGTTTCTTTACTAGTTCTTTACCACAATGAATCACAAAATAATTCAATTGTAAGGGGAAATTTCTTTACAATGAGTGCAGTCCAAAAGTAGAACGGGGTGTTTCAAGAAGTAACAATTTCCTATTAATGGATGGAATTGTCAGGAATTCCTGTTCAGGCACAGGTTAGACTGATTGACCTCTGACATCCCTTCAAAATCTTAAATTATGTGATTCTTTAAGTTTTGTAAAACTGTAAACTGGGTTTTTCTAATTGTTTACTACTTTCAGTCTTTGAATGTGTTTAACTGCTATTGGAATCTGGTTATATTGGCAAACTTCCCTTTAGGATAGTAGATCAAATGGTGCTTAATTCCTATTCATACATATTCTTAGCTTCTTCAAGATGAAGCAGAGAGCAGTGAAGGAAATTGGAGCAAACTCCAGGACGCTATTCGTCAACTCAAAGAGTACTGTCCTTCGGTCACTGAGATAATTGAACAGAAGTGTCAAGAAGCACATACCAGGTACATTTAAGATAAATACAGTGGGTGTCTCTCCAATTTACCAGCTCCTACATGAAGTTATATGGACAATAGAACAATGCCTCACAGCCATCACGTTTTATCATTTTCTGAGCTGACTGATTTTCAGTCTTCTTATGTCTTCTGCTGTCAGGAAGCTTTTCCTCTAAAAAAGATATAATATCATAGAGGATGTAATCTGTTTCCTGGGAGTAAGGTAAAATAGAAATTTCTCTAATCACAAACAGAATGAGGAAAGAAAACAGATACTATAGAAATTTTAATTTTAATTAAAAAAAAATCTAAACCCTAATACAATGAGCTTTTCCATATACAAAATAGAACAGAGAGCTGTGTATGAAACCACACATCTCTATTACACATTTTGTTTTTTTCCTTTTATCTTTAATAAATTCAACATGTAACTTTCAAAGCTGTCATGCAAGACTGTGTTTCCTCCTGGCCTTCCTTCTATTCTCTTCTGTGAATTTTTCTAAATACTTCAATGACCTTCTTTTCTTTCTCTTTTTTCCCCTAATCCAGCCTTATGGCTAGCTCTACTCTCCCTACCATCTCCCACCCCTCAATTAAAAAAAAATCTTTGTGACAAATATGCACAGTTAAGCAAAACAAATTCTCTCATTGCCCATGTCTAAATATCTATTTCTCATTCTTCATCTTGAGTCCATCATCTCTGTCAGGAGGTGGGTAGCATACTTAATCATTGGTTCTCTGGAATTGAGGTTGGTCATTGAATTGAATACAATTCTTTAAGTCTTTCAAAGTTTTTCTTTACCATGTTGTTGTTATATAAATTTTTCTCTGATTTATGTTCACACTGTATCAGCTCACACAAGTCTTCCCAGGTTTCTCAGAAATGGTCCTTTTCATCATTTCTTACAGCACAATAATTTTCCATTATATTTATATGTCAAAAGTTGCTCAGCCATTCCCCACTTGATGAGTACCTCACCACCTCCCTTGTTTTCCAATTCTTCGCTTTAACTAAAATTATTGTTATAAATATTCTTATACATACTGATCTTTGATCTCTCTCAGAAATATAGGCCTACTAATGGTATTGTTGGGCCAAAAGGTTTGCACATTTAGTGACTTTGTAGACATCATTCCAATAACTTTCCAGAATAATTGGACCAATTCACTTCTCTACCAATAGTAAATTAGTGTGTCTGTCTTCCCACAGCCTCTCCAACATTTTTCTTTTTCCTTTTTCCTCATTCTTGCAAATCTAATACGTGTGAGGTAGAACCTCAGAGTTAATTTTAATTTCTATGTATAGAGATAAATAATTTTCTAATTATTTTAATTAGTGATTTGGAGCATTTTTTTTAACATGATGATTGACAGGCCTAGATTTCTTTCTTTGAGAACTGCCAATTCATATTTATTCTTTTGAGGAATGGCTCTTGTTTGTATATATTTGAATCAGTTCTTTTAAATATCAGATCCTTATTGGAGAAGCTTACCTACAGACACTTTCAAGAGGTACTGGTTGGCCTTCTCCATGTGTCTTTCAGTGACACATTTGTGTTTTAAATTAAAGAATCCTCGGTTATGTTTGATTTTCAGTTAAGCCGTTATTGGAAATAACAATTATCATTCTACTTTCTACTTTCAGTTGGAGAGCCCAGATTATGGAAAATGGAATAAATAGGATATTTCATTTATTTGTTTGTTGACAGGTGGACTCGAGTGAATCATGAAATTGCAGATCAGTTACAATCAGCCCAAGGTATGTTACAGCTTTGGGAGTCTTACACTGTTGCTCATGCTGAAGCGACAGCAAGGCTGGAACAGCTTGAAGAGAAGTTCAAACACATTTTGAACATTAACATGTCTGGAGACAACCTGAGTGAGATCCTAACCCGGGCACTGAAGGATGCAAAGGTAGGTACAAAGACCCTTCCCTTCCTCTTGCTTAACCATGAGTAGAAGAACACTGTACTCTGGTCAGGAGACCTGGGATCTAGTTCATATTTTTCTATTGACTAACCTGTAGTGACGTCTGTGTGGATCACTATTTCTTTATTGGAAGAGGCTAGACTGGGTAATCTTAAAGTACGCTTGGGTGAAAGGACTGTGTTTTGTTTATTAATGTGCCTCGTGTTGCACACCCATCGGTAAGAGTTCATTAAATGAAGTGAGGTATTTTTAAACAGAGGGCTGACTTTGTACCTGTACATATTAAACCACAAAAACTCAGGAAAGGGATTAGATCCAGGATAGAGCTTTGATTCAGTCACTATTAAGCCTTATTGTACAGAGGATTTAAAAGTATAAGGGACTATCCTCCTCTAGTCTTCTTGACAAAGTGATATTAGATAGATAGATCGATGCACACATACAAGAAGCTGCCAAATACTAATACAAGGCAATTTTACTAGTTTGTGCCTAAGATATTGCTATATACAATGAATGCAGGTGTGATTAGCAACAGATTAACGTGGGGTAGAGAAAGAACTTCAAGGAGAAAAGAAGCTGCCAGATAGGAGAGATGACAGTAATAGATCAGGTACGCTGCTTCCACTATCAAGCAACAGGACGAAAGAATAGCAGATGATACCAGACCTGATATTTTGAAAGCAACAAATGTGTTTCAATGAAGATTCATGGCCATACAGACATAGGCAGGTAAAACCACAAAGGCTAATTTCAAGCAGACCAATTGTATGTTGGAGAGTGGGAGAAAAAATACCAACAACACATAATTGAGTACTTCTTTCACAGGAAGCATACCATTTGCTCTTGTACTAACAGTTATCTCAGGCTGTTTGTGTAAATTGGGTAGAGCAGTGGACTTGGAATCGAGAAGGCCTGAGCTCATTACTCCCACCTCCAATACTTACTAGCTGTGTGACTTAGGGCAAGTTACTCAACCTCTGTCCACTGTAAAATGAGGATAATAAACCTATCTCATGGGGTTGTTGTGAGAATCAAAAGAGATAGTATATGTAAAGCACTTTGCAAACCTATCTCTGTCATCATTACTACCACCACCACCACCACCATCACCATCGCCATCACCGTCATCGTCATCATCATCATCATCATCTGTCTAGGCCTAGGCATCATCATTTTCTCTGGTATTCAATGTGCTGGCTAGATTTGTTTGGACAGGATAGCGATAGCAAATATAGTGTGAAAAAGATTTTTTTTTCATATTTCTTTTATCCACACCTGCAAAGCTCAGTCTCTTTTTGTTCATCATGCTAGTATTCAGTAACTAGACTCAGCTTTTTAAATGCCTCTGTTTGGAAACCAAAGTTGAACCAAAGCTCATTGACACCTACACGTGGAGTAGGTATCAGTTCTGCTGATTTTTAATTTAAAAAATTTAATTTCAAAAATCATTTATACTGATTTCTAATTTCAAAAATCATTTCTATTGATTTTTAGTTTCAAAAGTCTTAAGTTGACCCATGCCCATACAGATACTTCAAGCACCTTAGAGCCTAATAACAGTTCCATATTCCCTGTGGGTACTCCACATCTTTTAATGAAAATTTTGTTTCATTAATGCTCTATCAAGGAACTGTTTTAGAAATGGAAACTAGGAATAATTGGAATGAATCTGTGTATGATTTGAGAGTATCTAACTAGGAACTGTGCTGCATCATCATGCTTAATGTTAAAAGAATTTTGTCCAGAGATTTTAGAAAGCTTCACCACTCTTTTTGGAAAACAAACAGACTTGAGAGTAAACAAGAGAATCAATCAGAAAAAACCGAAAACCCAAAACTGTTTGAACATTTGCAATCTGAGTGCCTATGAGGCTTCAAGAAAATCATGGGGTACAATTCTTCCCACCATCAAGTTACAGAGAGTCCAGTTGAAGGTGGAAGACTAACACTTGAGATACTGAGAACAATTCGATATGCATTTATTAAGTGCTTAGTATATACTAAATGCAAAAAGTACCTCAAGGAATTTACGTTCTAATGGGGGAAGATCTCACACAAAAGAGAGTAGAAAAGACACTGGGGATTGGAAGGAAGAGAAAATGCCAAAGATCAAGAATGATTTAAGACAGCTTATAATGTTTATGATAAACTGCTTATATTTTTTTTCATAAGGCAGCTAGGTGGTGCAGTGGATAGAGTGCTGAGCCTGGAGTCAGGAAGACTCATCTTCCCAAGTTTAAATCTGGACTCACACCCTTACTAGCTGTGTGACCCTGGGCAGGTCATTTAGCCCCATTTTCCTCATCTGTAAAATGAGTTGGAGAAGAAACTGGCAAACCACTCCAGGATCTTTGTCAAGAACACCCTAATTGGGGTCACAAAGAGTCAGACATGCCTGAAAAATGACTGAACAACAACATACATAATAAGAAGTATAATAGAAGCTCAATAAAACATGAATATCACAGAGTCTCATAGATCTAGAGCTTGGGAAGGGAACTTGGGAGACCCTCTATTTTGGAGGTCATCATTGTAGGCCTCCTGCTTTTGTAGTGTCTTGCTTGTATAGTCCTTGAGCTAAGGATGGCTTTTAATGTAAAATTAAATTTTGTATGGTCTAGAGGCAGCTTGGTGACACAGTGGAGAAGAGTGCTGGGACTAGAGTCAGGAAGTCCTGAGTTCAAATCCAGCCTAAGATACTATCTCTGTGACCCTGGGCAAACCACTTAACCTTGTATGCCTCAGTTTCCTCAAATGTAAAATAAGGATAAAAATAGCATCTACTTCCAAGGGTGGGGCAACTAGGTGGTACAGTGAACAGAGTGCCAGACCTGAAGTCAGGAAGACTGATCTTCCTAAGTTCAAATCTGGCCTCAGACACTTACTATCTGACCGACCCTGGGCAAGTCACTTAACCCTCTTTGCCTCAGTTTCCTTCATCTGTAAAATGAAGTGGAGAAGGAAATTGCAAACAACTCCAGTATCTTTGCCAAGAAAACCCCCAATGGGATCAGGAAAAGTCAGACACAACTGAAACAACTGAACAACAATACCTCAAAGGGTTGTTGTGAAGATTGAAGGAGAGGTTTTTTTTATACGCTTAGCACAACCCCTGGCATAAAGTAGGTGTTATATAAATACTAGTTATTGTTTTCCTCATTGCCATTATTATTATTATTATTTTTATTTTTATCCCCAGCACTTAGCACAGTACTTAGCACATAGTAAAGCTTGATAAATACCTGTTGACTTGTCCTCAGTTTCACACACTTAACTCTTCAATGAGGCTATCTGTGTATAACTTGAAGGTGGGAAGAACCACAAAGTCCTTTGATTCTCTTGAAGCCTCACAGCACTATTCTAAATGTTCACAAGTTTTATACTATAAATATTACACTATATTGTAAATGTTCATAAGCCCTGAGGAAACTGAGGCCAGAGAAGTTAAGTAATGTGCTCAGGGTCACACAGATTTTAAGTGAAAGACCCTGGTTTGGGAAAATGTAAGATTGGAACTAAATGATGAGGTAGCAGTCAAATGTGAAAGAGTAGCGGAAACTGATGAAGACACAAGAAGTTGTGTGTGTGTGTATGTGTGTGTGTGTGTGTGTGTGTGTGTGTGTGAATGTGTGCTAGAAAGAGCAAGAGAGCACATTGAAAAAGCTGACAGATGGAAAGAGTGGCCTGGCTGGGGCAGTTGATGTGTTTTGGGGTTTAGTAGAAGTCAAAAGAACCAGATTTTGTTTTCCCAACATCAGGTCAATAAACATTTTTTCCCATTTTTGTTTCCATTTTTAAAAATTTCCACTTTATTGATGCATTTTGTTTTTACATCATAGTCATTTCCAGAACCTCCTCTACTTTGGTATTGAACTCTCCCTTATAAGAAGGAAAAATAGTTCAGTAAAAATAACCAATGCAGTGACCTTATCTGACAGTATATGCAACATTCTTCCCCTGTGATCATTTGCCTCTCTGCCAGAAAGAGAGAAATGTAACAAAGATTTTTTTTAAAGTCCTACTATGTGAAAGGTCCTTCACTACAATCTTAATCCCATGCCCTGTCATATGGATGTGAGCCTAGAGTCTCTGCTTTTGCCAGCAGAGCACAGATTCTCACCAAGTACTACTGACACTATCAGGGTTTAGAGTCTGGGCCAGTGATGGACAATTTGTTCTTTGTCCAAGGACCAAGCTGATGGTAGGCTCATCAATTGGTTGGCCTCAAAGTGATTTTTTTTCTGGCCATAGCAATACTAAACCAGTTACATTGTAGAGTCGGTGAAGGAAATGCCCACATCGTTAGAATGACAAATCCTTAAAAGTTCATTATGAACTAACTTCAAAGCACTCTGCAAAGCACTGTGATAACACTTAATACTGAATGTAAAATTCCAGAAGTTAGAAGTGGTCATGAACTGTTGACATCACTGTGAGAAAGGACCAATTCCTTTTCAACGTCTCTGTCTTAAAATACTGTGTCTGGATCATAGAGACTAGCTAGAGGAATCAGTGAAGTGTTAAATCCTTGTTTTTGAACGTTAATGTGGGTTTGCGCCTATGTTAATATAACCTTTAGTTCTGAGAACATTGTGACTTTGCACACTGCTCAGAGCATTATATTTTGTGTAGCTTGCTCTATAATTTTGTAATTATTAGTAAAGAATGCATGGGTAGTAAATGTATTTCAAATTCACTTGAATTGTTATGAAGCCTCACAAATTTCATTATGTCCAAACTCATAGGTGCTGTTCAAATGGAAAACAAACTATTATCCTATTATCTAGTTGAGTTTTGGCCCAAATTTTTGTCTAATTAAAGGGAATGGACTTGAGATCCTTTTCCCCCTTCTGATTAAGTCCTGCCTTCTGTATTGTAAGGCACTTACCAGAAATTCTGAACATAGAGTACTTACCCAAGAGCTCCTAGCTTGTCATCCTAACTAGTGGGACTATGAAGGCTCTCCGTATGCTTCAGTTTATATCAGAATGACTCAGTGGGGTAGAGGGTTACACTGACCATTGAAGTCATGTTAAAAGCAGTGTTAAAAATGCTAAGAATACAAAATATAGAAGAATTCATTGATGCAGCAGTTTAATGTTTAGTTATTGTTTGACTTGGAATAGCTGATTTCACAACAATCTCTCAAGCGAGCAACCTGCCAAACCACATAGTGAGTGAAGCTTAGCTGCGTGGGTTACCATGGCTTGCATTTTTTAAAAAGACAAACTTCAGTGTAAAACGTTACTTGCTAGTAGGGAAAAAATGTTGTTTTTCAACATTCTTCTTTTCAGAACTTGCAGCATGACCTGGAGAACATAAAAGAAACCTTTCTTCAGAATTCAGCAATCATTGAACCAAACCTAGAGCAAGCAGGTCCTGTCAAGCAAGATGTTCTTTCTAATCAATCTTCTTCACTTCAGAGGATTTCTTACCTGCAAAAAATGCTGCTTATGAAGTCAAATGAGTTTGAGGTATAGCTCAAATTAATATTCAGCTTGGTTTTGATCTTGTGATCTCATACACAGTCAGGGGATCCTTCTGTCTCTGGACTTGGCTTCAACTGAATTCAGTTTTATAAGCTGAACCAAATTAATTTCCTATATGACAGTAGCATGTTTTATGGAGAGTTTGTACATTTCATTGTATGTAACTGTTTATAAGACAACACATTATTCTGAATAATTTATTCCAGATTTACTGTTATTTTAAAAGTATATAAATTGAATTGTGCATAAATTACTTGATTTTTTTTTATTCACTTGTTGCTGGGCCCTTAGTGACAATTGTACAAAAAACATGTATACTAGCTCCCAATACCCACAACTGAGGGAGCAGATTAATTAATACTTCCCTTGGTCCTTTCTGTTGGCCATAAGCCAGGGATAGTTGCCAAAGACAAAAGATACAAACTAGGATGTATTTTACAGCGTCAAGTATCCAAAGTCACCACCAGCTTTTAAAACATGTTTAATTTATATTGATACATATCGCCATATTACATGTAGATATAGATAAAATTTTTGGAAGCATGTATAGTAGATATGGCTATCAAATACATAAACAACCAAAGATTATATTTAATACTTTATTTTTCTCTTCTCATTAGATATGTATCTAATGTTTCTAATGAAAATGTATCTTGTTTTAGCATATTCTTTCCCAGCTGAAGGATTTCAGGGACCAACTAGAGTCTTTGGAAGACAGTATCAAGCATCCAGTAGACAGTTTGGACCTCAAGGGAAGAGAAGAAGATCCAGAATTCCTCCTGGTATGGTCAAATCTGTCATCTTTCTAAGGGCTTGGACCATCAGAAGAATAAGGAGAGGGCCAGTTTGTGTTGCTTTGTAGGGCTGGTATACAATCAGAATAATAACTTTTGAGCATAGTCACTTATATGTTGTTCTTAGTTTTCTCTAAAGCCTAAATTGGGGTTAGAACTCAAGTCTTCTTGAATCATAAGCCATTGATCTGCCCTAGAATCATAAAACTGAAAATATGATTTAACCTGGTCCCAATTAGTGCAAATAATGAAGCCCTGAGGTGGTCACATGTATTCAAATTTACACTATTTGAAGTTATAATATGTAAAATATGCTCATTCATTCCAAACTGGAACCAATTTTACCAAATTAGGAAAATAAACTGACATATTTTAGAATGATTTTCAATAAAGCTTAAGAAAATAGTGGTTTATAATCATCAATCATTCAACAAATCCAGTTAACTGAAACACTCCACTATCAGATAATTCCAGCTAACTGAATGGGAACTGTAGTGAAAAGTACTAGGGAATATTATTGCTAAGTTATTTCTTATGATATGTTAAGGTCCCCTAATGTGGTCACATTATTTGAATTCAAACTGCATATTTCTATTGGGCTAGAACCAGTACAATAATTAAGTGTGGCAAAAGGCACATGCACTTCGCTCACAGTCCCCTTCCACAAAGAATATGAGGATGGTACACTTTCTCAGCTCTTCCAGCCTTGGTCATTAGAATTATACAATGTTCAGATTTATTTTGCTTTTGTTCTTTTTGTACCCTTGTAATCATTGTGTATGTTATTTTGCTGACCTGGTTTACTTCACTCTATATTACTTTCACCATGAACTTCCAGAGACTGATAAGTTCTTGAATTTTCATCAACTCCCAAGATTCTGCCTCCTCAAATTATTTTTTTGGAAGTAAACTTTGTTGAAAATCATTCTAAAATGTGTCGATCAGTTCCCTTACTTTGATCATTTATGTTACCAAACATAATGGAAATTTTGTGCGAGGCTTCAGCCTCCTGAATTTAGCTTTTGAATCATGATTTTAAACCTGGATTCTCATTGCAGGGGACTGTAGAATGGAGGGAGTAAATGGCATAGTGGAAAAAAGTCTTACATTAGGAGTTAGAGGATTTGAGTCCTGGTTCTGCTGGGTAATCTTAAGCATCCTTTCCACATCTAAATCTCTGAACCTATGTTGAAAGTAAAGCAATTGGAATTGAGATCATAGATTTAGAGCTGGAAGAGAACTTAACAGTCATTGAATCCACTTGGGGAAATCAACACCCAGAGAGGTTAAGTGTTTTGTCCAGGATATGAACCCAGGACCTATGACTCCAAATTCACTGTTCTTTTCCATTGTACCGGAACACAGATAGAAATATAGATATAGATATGTGTATATACATACATACACACATATATTTGTGTGTATACATATGTATGTATTCTGGATTCAGATCTATATGTGTATATATACATGCATATATAAAGACTATATGGGCAGCTAGGTGGCACAGTGGTTAGAGCACCAGCCCTGGAGTCAGGAGGACCTGAGTTCAAATCCAGCTTCAGACACATAACACACACTAGCTGTGTGACTCTGAGCAAGTCACTTAACCTCATTGCATTGCCAAAAAAAACAAAATAAAATAAAAAAGAATATAATATGTACATATGTGTGTGTATATATAAACATTCTTTAAGCTTTTGTTTCCTGGTGAAATGCTTCTTTCAATCCAAGTTGGGGTACATTAAGAAATTAATTATCAAGCTATTTCAAAAATGGATACTTCAAAAATATTCATTTTTTAAAATATTTCAAAATTAATTTTAAAATTGAATATTAAATTAATTTTACAATTAACTGAGATTATTATTTAGATTGTGCTTTACCCAAATTTTACTATATTAATCCTCATAATTTTCTATAGGTTTTTAAAAGGTCATTTTATATGGTTCATGGCTAACCTAAAAGATATGCTTGCTAATTCCGTGTTAAAGGTCAAATGTTGAAGGTAAACTGTTGACAAGACTGAGAACAGCACTGAAGAGCGTTTCATTTTGTACTCTCAATATGTGTACACTAAGTTTTACTAGAAAGATCATAGGAATATAAAGGGTTATAAGAGACCTTAAAGGTCATTTTTTTCAGATGACAAGTCTGTTATGGTATGCATTGATAGCCATGCTCATGAGATAAAGTAAAATAATGCCATTCCTGTCAAGGTCAAGGAGATAATAATTTTATATCTTTGGAGCTTAAGGTCATTTATAAAATACTTCACTCAACCAGTGATATAGTTATTCTCTTTTCTTTTTCCTCTTCTTTCTCCTTCCCTTTTCCCCTCCTCCTTCCCTCACACCCGCTCCCGACTGGGCCTCCTAGTTCAGAAATGCAGCAGCTGCTCGTGGGCCCAGTTCTGCTGCTCATCAGTGTGGTAGTTTTGACCTGCTCTGGTTCTGACCTGGACCCTTTCACCCCTTCTTAAGCAGCCTGGTGGACTTCCAATCCCAGAATTTCACCATATTGGTGAAAGACTTATCGTAGACACTGTATCAACTTTATCCCCATTGCAGCTCAGGACTCCCAAGCTCATGCCATCCCCCAGCCTCAATCTCCCCAATAATGGGATGGGCATATGCCATCACATAGTTATAATCTTTTCAACATTTGCTTCATCCTGTGTATTCTGAGCAAGCTGTCCAGGCCACTTGAGGATGGTTATAGCATCGAATGTGCGAGGCCTTAACGTGTGACTTTCTGTAGCTCACAGCCATAGTATGTTGTTGGTAACAATGCTTGTTTCACTCTTAGAACATGTGAATGTGTTGCTAAATATTGTTTCACAATCAATGGCTTAAGAATCAAGAGACTTGGGTTTCTAATTCTGATTCTGCCACCAAGTAATTTTGAGACTGGAAAGTGACTGAAACTCTCTGGGTCTCTGTTTTCTCGCTTATAAAATGCCAGGAGTTTGTCTAGATCAGAGGTGTCAAATACATGGTCTGGCACACAGGGCCCAAAATGTAATTGGGAAATATTTAACAAAATAAAATAGAATAGAAGAGAATTCATGTAAATATGTGGTTTTCTAAGTCAATATGCAGTCCTCAAGAATCTATATGTATGGTTTAGTGTTTCTATTTGATTTCAACATCACTAGATAATGGCTAAAGTTCCTTTTGGCTTTAAAACTGTAAAACATTTAAATGTCTGAAGAAGAAAAAAAATTTCTGGAATTTAATTGTGGTTTGATTTTGTTTCCTCTCTCCTCCTTTGAACAGAATCACATGTTAGAATTAACAGCACTGTCCCCTGATATGGAACATTTGAATGAAGTGAGTTTCAAGCTGCCACTTAGTGACATAGATATAAAGACATTACAAAATCTGAATCGAAAGTGGAGTCAGGCAACTGCCACCACTCTGGAGAAGTGCAGGTTAGAAAAACCACATCAATACCATATTATGTCCATTAAAGAAAAATTAAAGGGCCACACTTTGTAACATCCTTTTTGCATGACCCTGTTTAACTCATAGTGAACTTCAGGGAACTGGATTCAGTGAAAAATTCCTTCATAAATGTGAAAAGTGGATACAGTTTTTGGAGAAGATAGAAGAATGTCTGAGAATGAACTTGGCTGGCAGACTTGGGGATCTTCTAGAGCAACAGAAAACATTTGAGGTAATGTCAGCAAACCTCTTTACCTCCCATGTTTTACAAAAAAAAACAAAAAGATAATCTATAGAAGCAAAATATCTCAAAATTAAGTAAGATGTTTCATTCTTTCGCCATTGTGTGTTTCTCTTGAGATCAAATCCACATTGTTGTTGTTGTTCATTCGTTTCAATCATGTCTGATTCTTAGTGACTCCATTTGGGGTTTTCTTGGCAGAGTCACAGGACTGGTTGGCCACACCCTTCTCCAGCTCATTTTACAGATGAAGAAACTGAGGCAGACAGAGTTAAGGGACTTGCTTGGGGTCAGACAGCTAGTCAATGTCTGAGGCTGGATTAAAGTCTCGGGTCTTCCTGACTCCAGGCCTGGCACTCTATGCATTGAGCCATCTAGCTGCTCCAAATCCATGTTAGACATGTGGAAAATGACCTTACCTTGAAGACGCTCTGAAAGCCATATTCTTCTACTTAGTTGTTTAAATGTTGAAACTCTTTCTAGGTCTTCTGCAAATGTGACCACAACAGCTTTGCAAACACAGTAAATGTGCCATTTTTGCAAAGTTTGAATAGTACTTAAGGGAATTCAGCCTTCAGCACTTTGGACTTAACTATGGCAGAGGCGAAATCATTTGCATTTGTCCAGTTACAAACATCTATTGAAATATTGAGGAATCTGACCTGTATTTCCTTGCTAGGAGTTTCAGAACATCATCCCTCAAACTCTTGACCTGAAATTAAACCACTTTCAGAAATATAGGATTCAAGGATCCTGTATTTGTCAGCTCAAAAAGTGTGATTCATGCTTGGTAGCATTTTTTTTAAGTTAAAAATTAGTTTAAACATTCTGAACTCTTGCATTAAGAAGAGCTCCAGATCAGAATTTAAAATCCCAATTGTATGCTGATGTTTGGGTGACTTTGTATTGGAACATGTTTATTTACTAAAGTTATACTGTTTTTGTGTGATGGTTAGATTTTTTTCCAGTTAAATTTACTAAGCATCTTTAAAGCAGAATTTTTTTACAATTCTCTTCTGCTCTGTAAGCCAGATTTTAATGCAAAATACAGATGCATCAAAAAATAAAAGAAATCATTGACATAAAAGTTTATGTTTTTGTTTTTATTCTTTTAAATGAGTTCTTGAACAGACATTCCCAAACAAAGTAGCTAGATGACACAGACTTGGAGGTAGGAAGACCTTGAATTCAAATACTGCCTCGGATACTTACTAACTGTGTGACTCTGGACAAGTCACTTAACCCCGTTTGCCTCAGTTTACTCATCTGTAAAATGAGCTGGAGAAGGAAATTACAAACCACTCCAGTATCTTTGCAAAGGAAACCCCAAATTGGGTCATGAAGAGTTGGATACAACTAGTTGATTAAAAAAATATATCATTATTATTAGCTGTTATTATTCAATGAAAAGAAAAAGCCAGAGATTTCCTGACACAGCTTCCTTCCCCCCATGTAACTTGATTGGCCCCAGCCTCCCTGATGTAGCTTCCTGATCTAGGAACATAAAAGGTCCCAACCCCTTGTAGTTGCTGCCTCTCAGATTTGGTGGGTGCCCAAGATTACACAGGTCTTGCTATATACCCTGATAACTGATTGACCAGACACATTTCCAAATAGAGAGAAGCAGGGGCATGTCCAGAGAATCTCAGTGCCACTGCATGCTTGTTGCAAATCCTTGCTGTGTTAGGGCAAAGTAAACCTCTTCCTTTGTTAAATGTTTAGTGACTTGTGAGTACTTCATTTCATCCCAACATCAAACCTTAACTAAGAAGATGCAGACTTTAAGCTGAGCCTACAACATGGGGGGGGGGGAATCTTTGTGGTAAATGGAACTGATAAAAAAAAATGCCAAACAGAACCTATAAGGATACAGATGAGTAAGAGTAATTAAAACACCACTTCAATGGAGAAGTTTAAGGAAATGAACAGGCATTGTTTTAAAGAAGAAAAATATTATTTATAGTATTACCTTATACTCATCAGATTGGCAAAAATGGCTGAAGACAATAATTCCATGTTGATAGGAATGCAGGAAAATAAGCATTCATCACAAGTTGCTAAGAGGAATCACTATGGGCTGTGGATGGAGACTAACGAAAGACTTGGGTTCTAATCCCATCTCTAATTTACTAGCTGGCTGACCATGGGCAAGTCACTCAACCACTCCAAATCTGTTTCTTTATCTGTAAAATGGAGATGCTAATGCCTATAATACCTACCCCACAGGGTTGTTACAAAGATCAAATTCAATAACAATTCAACAAATGTTATATAAGTACCTATTGTGTCCAAAGTACTGGGGATACAAAAATAGTTCCTGCTCTCAATAACCTTATATACTACTGGGGAACATGACAAAAGCATAGATAGATCAGTGTATATTATATGTACAAAGTATCTCAAATGAGATCATGTATGTAAAATATTTTGCAAATCTCAAAACTCTAGAAATTATAAATAATTTATAAGCATAAACTATCATTACTATTATTGGTGAGAGTATAAATTTGTGCAAAATTTTTAGAAGAGCAATCTGGAAATATATAATAAGAATTATATAACCAACCATACACTGTCTATTGCCCAGTGATCCTACTGCTGGGAACTGTATTCTAAGGACATTATTAAAAGGAAAGAAAGGACTTACCTGGATAAAAATATTTACAGATGCTTTATTTTATGTAACTCTCTCCAGAGGATAAGCCAGGGGACAATTGAAAACATACTGGTAACAAGCATAATGGGTAACAGCTAAAAACTAGCCAAATAAATTATGGTATGTCAATGGGACAGAACACTTGTGCAGTTAAAAAAAAAAGACAAAAATGAAGATTATAAAGAAACATGGAAAGATGTGAGGTAATATAAGGATAGCTAAATTAGACTAGCATACACATTGACTAACTATATCATTAAAAACATTAGCAACAAAACAAATACATAAGCAGAAAGGAAATTAGGAGACACTGAACAAAACAATTATTCGTTTCCTTATAGTGATTTTTTCTTCTATTCTATATTCCTTATAGTTATTTTATATATAATATATGTGTATATATGTATATATGTATAGATTCCTATTCTATATTCCTTAAAGATCTTTTTTCCTCTATTCTAAATAAAAATATAAATTGTTCAGAATTCATGACTTTATTTGGGTTTGTTTGATATTATCTTTGTGTTTATTTAGAATGTCAAATTGATAATTGATATTTTCAAATTATTAAATAAAATATAGGTCCAAATTAATAAAACAAATTAATGTAGACTCATTTCATTTTTGGAAATATTTGCAGATGTTGCAAGCAGAGATTTCTGTAAATCAGCCAATTGCTGATTATTTTGTCAGCCAGTCACTCCAACTTCTGGATACGCCAGAAATAGAGAAGAGGTAAGGTGCTTCTTGCTATGTAATGAGAAGTAGCGATGGTAATTCAGCAGGTAAAGGACTTCCATCTAAGTGAATCTTAATGAAGTCAGGGTCTAAACATGTTAGGAAGGACTCTGTGGGAGTGGATACCATAATTCTATATACAAGACTAGGTTCTCCTTATTCACTTGTAGTTGTTAAAGTTTCTATACACTTCTCACAGGAGTATGTGGGGTATGTCTTTATAAGAAATAATTCTATGGAAGTTGAGTTTTACCTATCAAAAATCTCCTTGTATTCTGAGGTTTTCCCTCCAGAATAGCTAATAAAAACCAGAATGAGGGGCAGCTAGGTGGCGCAGTGGATAGAGCACCGGCCCTGAAGTCAGGAGGACCTGAGTTCAAATCTTGCCTCAGACCAAACACTTGACACTTACTAGTTGTGTGACCCTGGGCAAGTCACTTAACCCCAATTGCCTAAAAAAAAAAAACCAAAACAAACAAACAAACAAACAAAAAAAACCAGAATGAGTCTTTCAGGGCCATCTATAATGGGAATCCCCCTAATTTATCCTGATTAGAGCATGCCCCTTAGAACATGTATGAAAAAAGAGCTCTCTCGGCATTTATAGATACGTATGTTTCTATTGCTAAAGGACTTTGGGATGACACAGGTTGGGGAAGTTACATTAGAAAATTAGTCACTGAGTCGAAGAAGATCTGCTTATTTAGTAGATTTTAAAGCGATAACCTACAGTTTCTTTTTCTTCTCTCTTCACATCTTCTGAGCATATGGAGAATGTTTGAGACTCTCCTTTGGATTTTAGTGGGGGTTGATGGTCCTACTGGACCTTCAATAACTCAGAATGTCTCAAGTCCATGAGGTAGTTGCCGAGGCTGAAAGCATCCATCTCAGAATTATTATTTAGTCACCTGTGCTCTGGGAAAGAAAGACAAAGCACAAGAGTCAGTTAAATTCCTAAGATCCAGCTGTGTAGTCATCACCAGGGGTGGTCAGTTGCCATTGCTACCAGGGTGCAAGAGGAGAAGAAATCCCACCCCACCACCCCATCAGAAGTCAGAGAGACTTTCTAAGTTCTGACATGCTTAGCAGACGGGAAGAGAGAAAGCCCCAGAGGGCCAAGTCATACCTGTCTCCTGAGTGGGCAGTTCTTTCTGGCTCTATGAACAGTCTTCTTTGATGCAGTCCTCACCCCCTACTACTACTACTACTGCTACTACTACTACTAGTACTAGTACTACTACTACTACTACTACCACCACTACTACCACTACCACTACCACTACTACTACTACTACTACTACTACTACTACTACCACTACTACTACCACTACCACTACTACTACTGCTACTACTACTACTACTACTACCACTACTGCCATCAGAGGGACCAAGGGATTACTGCATTGACCTAAAGTCCCTCAGTATTGAATATAGATATATAGATACACACACACACACACACACACACACACACACACACACACGTATGTGTGTCTTCCTAGAAGTGGCCAGGGCAGCTCAGCTTCATGTATACTTAATGGGGTGTATTCTAGACAACAAATCATGAGGGCTTCCCTGCTTCCCCCCTCCCCCAATATACGTATATTTAGAATCATAGAACTGAACACTCCTTTACAGGTCAAATAGCGATACCCTTGTCTTGATTAAGCTTTATATTTAAATCACCTTGGCAGTTAACAATCTCTGTTATTTTAAAAGACCCTTTAATGATGGTTCCATTGATCTCCTTGGGAATGCATTGTAGTGTTGAAGACTGACTATCAAGTTCTTTGTGTCAATTCCTCATGTTGAAGCTAAAGCCCATTTCTTCTTGTGCTATCTTCTGTGGGGAAAGAAGGACACAATTATTTATTATTGTCACCTGTGAGCATTTTCTTCTGTTGACTAAATCTCATTCCTTTTCATTTCTGATTTGCTTGTTTTTCCCTCCTGTGAATATATCCAAGAGAAATTGTTAAATTTTTATAGTAAATCACATTCATTTCTACTTCAGCAAATAAATTCAACTTTATACCAGTATTAACTTTTTTTATCTGATCAGGAGGATAAACCAAGATATATTCTTTTCTATGATAAAGAAAAGTCATCTTTCATCACGGAATATGTTATTTCAAAGAAGTTGAAATAGTAGAACTTCAGGAAGCACACTCTTGATGTTTTTGTACAATGCCTGACCCTCTCAAGTAATCAACCACATTACAGGATGCCTACCTGTTCATCAGTATTCCATTCAGCTCATTTATAATTATGATAATCATTTATGGTTTGGCATACTGGGTTTTGAAGCAGCTTCTGTTTCAGGGAATGTTTGTCACTATGTTGGCACATTACCAAGATAAACCCAAACATCTCCTCCTGTTCATTTTTTAGAATTATGTTGATACTAAGCTTTTTTTAGATTTATGTAAATAAATGAGAGGCAGTGTGCTCCAGTGGATAGAGTGTTTGGCTTAGAGTAAGGAAGACCTGGTTTCTAATCTCACTTTTGACCTTGTAGCAAATCATAATATGTGTTAGCTTGTGGCTCTAGCAACTTCTTAGGGCTTATATAGACTGTCAGACTTGTTGATATTTTTGCCTATACAAATAACAAACCCAAGCTTCAGTTATCACACTGTTATTAGTTGCCCTTCAAGTGTGGAAATCAGCTCAAGTCAAAATATTTTGTGATAATACTCAGTGAATATTCTGTCTTTCCTAAGAACGGAATTTGTTGTGAAACTCACAATGTTGAAAGAGCGGTGGCAAGATGCTGCCCGAAGGGCTCAGCAGAGGAGGATCACCATCAATGAGCTAGTGAAAGAATGGCGACGCTTCAGTGCTTCTCTACAGAATCTGACCAACTTCCTCACTGATACTGACCATTTCCTGTCTGCAGTTAAGAGCCAAGATTCTTATGGTCTTTGCCAAATCAGAAGTCTTATTCATGATCTAAAGGTATTGCTGATAGAATGTGTTTTAGGGGCATTGACAGGTTTGGGTTTTCAATTTGGGTTTTTTTTAAATTGTTTCTTTCCATTTTCAAGTGTCCCCAAGGAACAAAGTAAACTATGCTTAAACCATAAAAAAAGGATTTATTTTCTAAAAATTGAACCAAATATCTGTTAAAAATACTAGAATCTTTTAAAAGTCAACCCAGTATTTGGACTACAAAAAGCTAAATAAGGTCTTTTATTAATTAAACAAAAAGATTCTTGACTAATTTGGCAGTTTCATAGAGACTAATCAACAAGTCAATAAGCATTTATCAAGTGCTGGGAATACAAAGAAAAGCAGAAAACCATCTTAGCCCAAAACAATTCCAGTACTTATATATATGAACACATTTTTAGACTTGTAATGCTATATCTAACCTATACCCTTCTACTTTCCAACATAGCCTTTTGGGTATTTTTTTTCTTCTTCTCTATTTCAGGTAAATTACCCTAAGTTGTTGAACAAAAGTTATCTACCCTAACTTTCTGGGTTAGGATCTGGCTACCATTTAGACTAGAATAATCAGAGATCATTGACACCTCTGATCTATACCTATAGCACTAATTCCATGAATTTCTAATAACGCTTGAATTGAGTGCCCTTCTAATTCCTTTTTCTCTGAGGGCTATTTTTAATTTCACTGGATTTTTTCAAACTGCAATTGCGATTTTCTTTTTGTAATCAAGGACTGTCTTTTTGCCTTCTTTTACAACTCCAGGGCTTACCATAATGCCTGGCACATAGCATTTAATAATATTTGTTGCTTGCCTACCTAATCTGCCTGGTCAGATCTTATATGGAAATGAAAAGAATTTCTTTAAGGAGTATACACTTGGGAGTTTGCTCCCTATTTAGGCACATATATTAAATGATTAATATGAAGAGGATGTGTAATATTCACACACACTTGAGTCTTTTGCTCTTCCCATCTCCTATATGTTTGTACTGTTAAAAATAAGAACAGTTCAACAAACACATGAATTCTGGGCATGGCATAGATCTAAATGAGAGGTTCTCAAGCTTTTTGTTTTCAGGACCAAACTTAGAACTCTTAAAAGCTATTGAGGAATTCCTCTGCATTTTTAGAAATTATCAAACACACAAACAGCTTTTGTTTATGTGGGTTGTATCAACTGACATTTGTCATATTAGAAATAAAGCCTGATGAGTTCTTAAAATATTTATTCATTTAAAATAGTAATAATAGATCAATTACATGTTAAAATTACCTTTTTTATAAAAAATAATTATTTTCCAAAACAAAAATTTAGTGAGAAGAGTAGCATTGTTTTACATATTTTTTCAATTCTATTTAATGTCTGGCTTAATAGAAGAAGTATTCTATCTGATTCTGCACTTACTCTGTTATTATAGATTGTTTTGGTTGAAGCACATGAAGAAATTGTTTTCTCACAGATATTTAGTTGAAAAAATGAAGAAATATTTTAATAGGAAAATACCATCTTAGTATTATCATGAAAATAGTTTTGATCTCATAGACCTCTTAAACTCAAGAACCCCGAGAGATCAAAGAACCACACTTGGAAAACCACTGATCTTAGCAAATCATTTTTCTTGCTTTTTAGAACAAAGAAGTACTTCTTCAAAGGCAGCAAACTACCTGTGCACTCACCTTAGAAGCAGGAAGAAAGTTACTGACAATAGCTGACCCAGAGACCAAGTATTCCATTGACAGAGAAATCAGAAAATTGCAGGATACCTGGAGGAATTGTCGACTTCAAGTAGTTGAGATGACTAAAGAATTCCAAAGCACTACAGAGGTAAACAATCCAATTATTATTATTTTTTTAATCTACAATATTCAAGTGTATTTCATTTCCTTTTTGCTCTGTGATATCTTAGGAGATTTGCATTTTAGATCAATGACTTCTGAGGTGTGTTTTTTCACTCTACAAGTTCAGATTCTAACTCCTCTCTCCTTCTGTGTGATATTTTTCCATAGGGCTTATACAAAGGATTTATTTACCGAAATGCACTTGAGGTGTTCCTCTTGTTTCTTTTGTTTCTTGAGATGTCTTTTCATTTATCTGTCTATTGTCGCTGATTATTGCTATATGACTGGTCCATCCTTTTATTTTCCCAGTCATATAGCTCTCAGAAATGTCTTTTATAACAACTTCATAAATCATTTTTGGCACCGTGCTGCAGCTTGTTTATGCCCATTTTACATAGCTCTTTGGTATATTTGTCATTTTAATTTTTCCAAGATCATGGTGTTCCATGATATAGCTATGGGCCATTTGGGGAACTTATCAGTGCTTTCAATCCATTCTAATCTCAATTTTGGTCACACCATGTTCATTTAAGATAAACATACCATCTATTTATCCAAGATTAATTTAAAGAAAGGGCTGCCTATTCGGATTTTGATAGTCGTATGTCATTATATGTTCAAATAAGTATTTTTAATCCAACTTGTTTTTCCAATGTGAATGATTAGAAAAGTCTTAATAATGACAATAATAGGTAGCATTTATATAATGTTTTAAAATTTGCAAAGTGCTTTGTAAATATTATCTCATTTGCTATTATTGTGGATTTTACTGAGGAGGTTTTGTAGTGTTCTAAAGTTTGATGCCATCAGGCCATTGTAATTTGTGAATAGGAACATCAGTGTTAATAGGACAGTTTGCTTTTTATTTGTTCCTTATATGGGACATCTCCTAAAGTTGGGAGGGACACTTTCTAACAAAAATATCCTTTGTGAATAATTATCACTCTGTGTAGCACCTTGCTTGATGTCAGAACTCAGCAGATTGAGATTCATTTAACAAAGTTATTTCTTTAGTTGTGTCCATGATGGAATTTCATATGATCTTGATGCATGTGTGAGAGACATCTTGTCTGATGAGACGGAAGCTGTATTTTATACTCTACCAAAAGAAATTCTTTTTTGAAATTAATAAGCAAAATGGGATCTTATAACCTCTCTACTTTAGTCAGTCGTGTAACTATAAAGAAGTGGTATGTTACAGAAAAATGCCATCAAAATCCTCTGTGGTTTTGTCTCATTTTCAACACATATACTCTAACTATACCATTCTTGTAAAAATTTTTAGTGATTAAGAGGGCTGGATAAATAGATTTGAGAATCATCTGCATAGAGATGATAATTGAGTCTGTGGGAGCTAATGAGATGGCCAAGGGAAAATGTATGAGGGAGAGAAGAGTACCTAGAACAGAGCCTTGAGAAATGACCTATATTTAATTTTCCTTTATGTACTCATAAATACTTATACTTACGGCATTAGGTATGTGTATATTAAGTATCTATGTTGCCTAAGAATAGCTAGTTTCCCTAGTTATGCTAGTTTGCCCTTTTAAACTAGTCATAACTAGTTTATCTCTTTTACCTATGTCTATTTTTACTATTGAGGCAGCTAGGTGGCCCATTGGATAGAATACCCAGCCTAGAGTCAGGAAGACCTGAGTTCAAATCTGGCATCAAACACTTACTATCCGTGTGACACTGGGCAAGTCACTTATCCTGTTTGCCTCAGTTTCCTCTTCTATAAAATAAGCTGGAGAAGGAAATGGCAAATCACTTCTGTATCTCTGCCAAGAAAACACCAAATGGGGTCAAAGAGAGTCAGAAATGACTGAAATAACTAAACAACAATTTTTACTATTACTTTGCCAAAGATCCCGATTGCTACTCCTACTTTTTTCTTTCTAATAAGATAAAGCAAACATCTGTTCCCCTTACCCTACTCCCCATGATTGTAGACTTCTTGAGCAGCCATTTTTGCAAAATAGTGAATTTCCTTTCCTTCTTTCTCGATTTTTTTTGTAGTATATTTATTTTGCTCTCTCTTTTATTTCTCCTGTCAAAACCAATAAAACAAAATGAAATTCTCTGTCTCTATGATCACTGAAGTCATTAAGATTCTGAAAGGACAATTGTGGCTTCTCCTCCTGTTAGATTGTAAAGAAATTCTTCATCATTGTTTAGTACCTTCAAATTGGTCAAATTATTTACCTTTCTATTTTCTTCTTGACTCCTGTGTTTACAGTACAAAATTTCTAATAAGCTTTGACTTTTTCATTAGGAATGAAGTCTCCTATTAAAATTTAAATTTAAAATAGAATTTAAAAGTCAGATCAATTAAAGGTCTGCTTTTTACCCTATAGGTTATACTTTGTTCTGTGGGATAAATTCCTCCTCTGTCTTGGTGGCCCAATGAGGGTTTTGGCCTTTCTTCTTCAATTACCAACCAGGAATTGGCTCTTGCCCCTGCCATGGCCTCCACCTAGGTCATTGGTGCTAAGACCCCCAGACTCTCTGTCTATTGCATGTGGCTCCAACAGAAGTGATGGTCTTTTGGAGGGCCTTCCTATGGTGGGACTTGAGAGAAGTAGGGAGATGCTGGCCCTGTGTCCTACTATGGTCCCTCTTCCTACCTTCTGTTATTGCTCTATCAGTACTTGTACAGATGCTATGTTAGCTTTCTTTTATGCTATGGCTCTTACAGTGAAGCCAGACACTCTTAGAAGGCTCCAGCTGAGATCTATCACTTTATTTTGTCACCTGGGGAGTGGTGTAGGGGGTCTGTCCCCTGCTGCTTTGACAAGCCAGGCCCTAGAGTAGAGGCTGCCTTTAGGCCGCAGAACCAGGCACGCAACTTTTCTCAGCTCAGAACACCCATACGCTTCTTTCTTTCTTTCAAGACAATTCAGTCTTCTTAGGCAGTACTGAACTGAATAGAAGAATTTAATACTGTTTCTCTTTAGTTTTCTTTATCATTTTTCTCTTCCTGGCATATTTTTAGAACTTTGGGAATTTTGGGGAGAACTGGGCTCCTATAGGACCTTTTGTGTCACCACCATCTTAACCAGAATTACTTAAGTAAAGATGGGAAATCAGGCCCTCTGACTGGTATGGGAATAGGAAAACAACGTTCAGCAAAAAAAAAAAATTGGATCTAGAGTTAAAGGACATAAGTTCAAATCTGGGCTCTGCTACTTACTTTCTGTTTGACCTAAGGCAAACTACTTTTCCTCTGTGCACCCATTTCTTCATCTGTAAAATGAAAGTGTTGGATCTGATGACCTCTAAGGTAGTCTTCATCTCAAAATCTATGGTCCTAAATCCACAACTCTTTCCCTTCTACCAAGAGTTCTTTATTGAGGATCTATGAATTTGTATTTAAAAAAATACTTCAGTAACTATATTTCCAAATCATTAGTTTAATTTGCAACAACATATAACACACACACACACACACACACACACTATATTTTTATATTTTTGCCAAGAAAACCCGAAATGGGGTCACAAAGAGTCAGACATGATTGGAAAAATGACTCAACAACAACAATACATATATTATGCATTTAAAAACATTATTCTGAGTAAGGGGTACATGAGCTTCACTAATCTGCCAATGGGTTCACGACATAAAAAATCATTAGGAACACCTGCCCTATACCATAGTTCCTTCTTTATTGCTGTCCTCTGAGGACTGCCATGTTTTTTGAGTTTTTATGTCTATTATGGTTTCTACATCTTTTCCCTTAGATTCAATAGCTTCAAAGGTCGCTTACAGCTCTAAATCTGATTCCTGGGTGTCAAGTTGCCAGCTATCATCTTTCAGAGCTCTCAGTGTACCTGACTATAGCACAGTCTTATTCCCTTTTCCAATTTGCTATGTATTTGGAAACTAGATGACTGACTTTCATAGAATTGTATAAAAATAATTAAAGAGGCTGTGAGTAAAGGTCATGAGTGGGGTCCCCTATGATCACAGTACAAGTGGTAAGGGGGAAAGAACCTTGATTCTCGAGTCAGAAGTTTTATTGTTGTTCAGTTTTTTCAGTCGTGTCTGACAAACCCATTTGGGGTTTTCTTGGCAAAATACTGGAGTAGTTTGCCATTTCCTTCTCCAGTTTATTATAAGGAAACTGAGGCAAACAGGGTTAAGTGATTTACCCAGATCACACAGCTAATAAGTATCTGAGAGCAAATTTGAACTTAAGAAGAGGATTTCTTTCTTTCTTTCTTTCTTTCTTTCTGGCAATGGGGGTTAAGTGACTTGACCCTAGGTCACACAGCTAGTGAGTATCATGTGTCTGAGGCCCGATTTGAACTCAGGTCCTCCTAACTCCAGGGCCAGTGCGCTATCTACTGCGCCACCTACCTGCCCCAAGAAGAGGACTCCTGACCCTAGGATGGGTGCTCTCTCCATTGTACCACCTAGCTGCACTGCTAGAGTCAGAAACCTAAATTCAAATCTCACCTCTGTTATTCTGTTACTGTTAACTTAGACATAGTCACTTAACTTCCCTGGGCCTCAGTTTCCTCAGCTGTAAAATGAGGAAGTTAGAATCTAAGATACCACAGAGCTCTAGCTCTATGAATCTATGACATTGGTTTCTTTGTTTTGTTTTGTTGTAATTCTGTTTAGAGTCTTTTTTTTTTGTTGTTGTTGTTGACCTTTTGGTTTTCTTATGTTTCTGATATTTAAATTTCCAGCTTTCTAAATTCTAGATAAATGTTTTTATTTGACTGAATAGTCAACCCAAAATGTATCAGCATTATACATTGTTACACTGAGCATGTTATATTTTTATATGTCAGTAGACTCAGGAAGAGAAAAATATTATTTTTCTCAGCTATCTGTTGAAATTCTACCATCAACAAATATTTGGTGCCTTGTTCACTAAATCTTCCCTAAGACCATCCGTCTCCCCCAGCTAAAGTAATGTATCCCTCCTCAAATTTCTCATAACACATCCTGGACCTCCCTTCCCCTTATAATTATTACATTCTCCCTTGTTATCATACATATCTCCCCTGAATCTGTAGTATATTTTATAAATATATTTTATATCATAAACTCTATGTCATAACTTCCTTTGGATCTAGGTGCCACAGTGGATAGAGTTCTGGAATTGTAGTCAGAAAGATCTAATTTCAAAACTTGCCTTAGACACTGGCTAGCTGTGTGACCCTGGACAAGTAACTTAACCTCTGTTAGCCTCAGCCTCCTCATCTGAAAAATGGGGATAATAATACACCTACCTCACGAAGTTATTGTGAGAGTCAAATGAGATAACCTATTGAAAGTGCTTAATCTGGCCTCGGACACTTGACACTTACTAGCTATGTGACCCTGGGCAAGTCACTTAACCCCAATTGCCTCACCAAAAGAAAAAAAAAGTGCTTTGCAAACCTTAAAGCAATATATAAATGCTAGCTATCATCATCATTATTATTTATTTTATTCTTTCCCTTATAAATGCTAGCTATTATTATTAATTACATCCTCTTCCTAACACCTTGCCTAACACCTTCTTATGCAAAGAAAAGGCTTAAATGCATGTTGAATATACTAATATTGGAGATCATCTTTGATGAGATAATTGGTAAATCACTCAACAAGCATTTATTAAGCACCAGTTACTATGTACTGGGTACTGTTGAACCCAATGTATATAATTCACAAATGGTCTTAGTTCCTGTCTTTAGATTGTAATCTATTTAATATCAACTATTGGGTTTCTGCATGTTTTGTAAAACACATTTAATACAAAAAAAGCACAGAATGAATTCCCTCATTAACTAGGCTATTCATGATCACTCTTTACAATGTTTTTCAAACAGACCTGGGACCGATGTGAAAAGCAAATCAAGGAGCTGGAAAATCGACTGCAGACTTTAAAGGCAAAAATTAAAGATCCTCTCCCAGAACCATATGAAGAGCTCTATAAAGAAAAGGAACTGATTAAGGTATTGAAATAAGAGGCATTTTACAGAATAATTTCTGAGATGTTCTCTAAGTCTTGGAGATTCTTGATTCTGCCCCTCTGTTTTTTCCAGTCCAGCTGACTTTCCTTATTCTATTGAGAAATACTCACCTTCCTGTCTGACACAACAGTCTGATCTCTGTACAAATTGAAATCTTAATGCTTTGGGAGATTAATGTAGCAAATAACTTTTTTTTTTAAGAACAGAAATCAACTTTTACTAACCCTGAGGATCTGGGCATTTTGTCTAACTAATCCCCAAAGCAAAAGGAGCCCCTAGCTTACTCTGAAAGTTGTTCATTTATCACAGCCATTTTTTAAAATGATTTTTTTTTCTCCCAGAGGCCAGATTTTTTTTTTCTATTGTGCGAAGCACTTTCACAAAACCGACCACACTGGATTCACCAGACTCTGTATCTCAGTGACAAAAATTCTAGGACAGACAGTTTTTTGATATGGAGACCGAGAAGGCAAATCATGTGGATAGGAAAATGGACCAATTAGAATGGGGTTATGTATAAGTCATTTGATATGCAGTAGACACTGAGAATAATTAAAAACATTCCTTCTATCCAATTTCTCAACTGTGTTGTGAGACCAGATTGAAAGGGTTAGGAAACTATGTGAATGGCCCCAGACCAAACAATGACAAGAAAATAGGAACATCTGTCATATTTTGGATCTTTCTGGTTGAATTTAGACCTCAATAAGAGAAAATTGGAAGGCAGTTAGAGCAATGTAACTTGGAATATGAAATTTTTACTTCTAATTTCACAGTCCCACAATTCCACAGTTTCCTGTGCTACTGAGATACTTGAGGCAGCAGACCTGGAAATGGAAAGAATTGAATAGAGGGCTTTGAATTTTACTCAGAACTTTATATTGTTAGGGGCCTGGGTAATTTGAAACTTACAGCCTTTCTCCCTGCCATGACATTAAATTCAGTAAATCCACATATATGATCCAAAACAATTTTTGCTAAATACCAATCCTTTTTCCCCCAATGGTGTTCACCAAATATGTGGAATGTTCACAGAATATAGTTTAGCTGATTATAAATGTTGCCCAAAAAGCATTCAATTCGTTACAAAAAAAAATGATCTGGTACTTTGGATTATTCTAGCCATCAATCCATCCTTTTCACTATCATGGATAATGAAGTAAAACTCTTAAATTTTTTCTGATTTTTTTTAACTATTCACCAAAACCAACCAATCAATAAACATTTATTAAGCACCTCCTATGTGCCAGGCATTGTGCTAAGCTGTGGGGGTACTAGGCAAAAGACAATCCCTGCCTTCAAGGGGCTTACAATCTAATGGGAGAGTTTGTTGTTGTAGCTGAGCAGTGTCCCACTTTTCATGACCCCATTTGGGGTTTTCTAGGCAGATACTGGAGGGGTTGGCCATTTCCTTTTCCAGAAGCTTCTCCAGATGAGGAAACTGAGGCAAACAGGGTTTAAGCGACTTGCTCAGGGTCACACAGCTAGTAAATGTCTGAGGCCAGATTTGATCTCACAAAGGTTAGTCTTCCTGACTCTGGGCCCCCAGCACTCTGTGCACTATGGTGCCACCTAGCTGCCCCAATGGGGGAGACTACGTGCAAACAAATATATACAAAACCACAACCTAGTGAACTGACATAGATGGATATCTTAAGATGTCTCTCTAAGCAGGATGTGAACACCCCTATCTCCTGCATAGAATTTGAACTGTCTTTTTAGTTAGTCTTTTGCTCTCCCTAGGAAATGATGTTGCTGCTTTAGGACTCAGCCCAGGGCTTGTCCCCATCTTCCTCTCTAGGGCTGAAAAAATGAGATCATACATTAAAGTATTCAGGAAATAAGAGCTGTTAGATAAAAAGAGTTTTCACGGTTCCACTCCTAATGAAAGATGTAATTAAATTATCTCCATGCTATCTAAAAGCTTCCTAAACTGCCAATCTTTTTTGTTGTCATTGTTTTTCAAACTTGTGATTTTTTTTTTCATCTAATAGGAAACTCCCATAAGGAAACTCTCTAAACCATTCTTTAATTTGTAATCTTAGGTAGTTGCCTGAGCCACTGAAAAATTAAGTGACTGGCCCAGTCAGGCAGCTGGTGAGTGTCTGAGGCAGGACTTGAGCCCAGGTCTTCCTACTGAAGACTACTTCTATTAATTAAGCCAAGCTACTTTCCCTTAATTGTAAGCAAACTCTTCTTGGTTAGATATAAATGAATATTGGTTGAAACAGCTCTTTTGCTTACCAACAGCTTTCTCTTCAAGGATATAAATAAAGCTTTGTTTTCTTTAAGATTTCAGTCGGTGGATATCAATACAGCTCTATAAAATGTGAAAAACAGTTTGCTTAGTTTCAATTTCTTTGTTGTGGAAGAATTTGTCTTGATTATTTCATAGAAAAAGAAAAAAGTTTCCTCAACAAACATTGCATTGTTAACTATAGCGCAGTGGATAGAACACTAGATTTGGAGTCATTTAAAGGCTGAGTTCAAATACTATCTTATTAGCTGTGTGACCCTGGGCAAGTCATTGAATCTTTCTCAACCTGTTTCTTCATCTATAAAAATGGGGATAATAATAGCACCTACCTCCCAGGGTGGTTTTGAGTACCAAAGAGATACTATTTGTAAAGGGCTTTGCACCTTAATACCTATATAAATGCCTTATTCGATCCCTATTTTTCTCCTGACCAATTATGAGCAAATGTTGAATAACTGGTTTTCTTTTCCATTATGAACTTTGATACCATTTGTTTCCAAAATTAATGAAAACCAACAGATCCCTCCCTTAAAATAAGGGGACCTAGTAACCTCTTTCTTCTGCTATAGTAACCAGTGGCAACAGTACATCTCTGGAATTTTAAAGAGTAGGAAGCTACACTTTCTAATGAAATTCCTGCAATGTGACAAAGGTCAAAAAAACCAGTGTTTTAATCATACAGAACTTTAAAGATGTTATTTCCTGTAATAAAACTAAACCAATGCTTGGCTTTTATGTTGCGTTAGAGGCAGTATAAAAGCCCCAACTGCCCTTCATCTATTCCAGAAGGATTAAAAACTCAGAGAAAGGAGAAATTTCAATAGAGAAGGTATAAAAAAGGCTGGGCAACCGGAAATCAAGGCTCCAGCCACGACCAAATTCCTTAGCCTTAAGCTCCCTCCCCCTTTCCTGGTTTCCCCTCCCCCAAATCCAATCAAAGGATTAGCCTACAGGTTTGGAAACAACAGTACTTTGGGCTGAAGGCTTTTTCCCCTCCCTTCTCCTCCCTTCTCCTCCCCTTCTTCCTCTCTTGTGTTTAAATGCAGGAACTGGAGAACTCCTTGGCAAACTGGGCTCAGAACTTGAAGGAACTTAATATCATGAAGGCCGACATAACCCGGTACATTCTTGTGGAAGATGTGATGGTTTTGAAGGAGCAAATAGATCATTTGCACAGACAATGGGAGGAGCTCTGTTTAAGAGTAAGTCACTTCACTCTGGGGCATGCCTGTTCAGGGAGTTATTGAAATGTCTCCTAAAGCCAGACCCAGTCGAAAGAAGCTTGATGTCTTTGAATCTGGAGGCTGTTTCAGGAAAAGAATAGGCAGGCTGTTCTTTCTTAAGAGGGGAGCTATACAGTTTGGTAAAGTTGACCCTTTGTTTAGAAGGCTTCGGGCTGTAGCTTTGCTCCCTCTTAATGATCTAAAGAAAATCGCTTGGAGAAAATCCACCAGTGGGAAGCCATGGGTAGTTGATTGCTCTATCTTGAGGAGATAAAAAGGAAAAATGTGGAAAATTTATAATGGGTGTAATAAGAGAAGAAGGGGCCTTTTTCCCCAGTTCAGTTTTGCTGGAGAGTCCAGGCTGATTCCCTAGAACAGAGAAAATGAGTTTAACTCAGGGCTATGAAGCCACTTGGGAAGTTTTGAATTCATTTGTGAACCTATGATGTAAATTTAAATAAATTTCTTTTAAGAAGAAATGTCAAAAGCTGTCTTCAATACATCTGAGTGCCTAACCTCTATTTACTAATGAGATTCCCGAGGTTATTAGCATATCGCATGTTTGTCATTAAGTCAGATTTGGAAGGAATTAAAGCAACCAAATATACTTAGAGGTTTTAATAGAAGAATTATGGACAGTTGTAAGTATATTAATGTAATAAAAACCTCTTCTCTTGCATGTTCTGTGGATTAGGCAAATAGTATTTAAATATAAAAATTCTTTTGTCTGAATTTCTGTAATGGAATAAAAAAATTTATTTTAACCTGGGAAGACCTTCAGAGACTAAAATCATAAAATAATTTCAGTTCCTTGTTTTGCTTTGAAAACTAATCTCAATGGAGACTGATTTAGGATCTAGACATTTCATTGGAACTCAGTTTTGATTGTATTTAAAGAGAAAATATTTTAAAAATCTGTAAAGATCATTTTTAAAATGGTTGCCCTTTGTAGGGAAGAGGAAATCTGGAAACTAGGTGAGCTAATGCAGCTAATGGTAAAGTCAATGGAATCAATACACTATAATTGAACAGATGTGTTCAATGAATGTTTTCCTGATTCATCCTGTGCAAAATACAAAGATTTATAGCCAAAAAGTCATTGGTAAATTCATGCACTCAATATTCTGGAATAAAAGCCATGTCTTTTAGGAATGAAATTTCTAGCAGGCCTTTTATAATTTTGTTTTATATCTAAGCTTACCTCTACTAATAAGGCAGCAGAGAAGGACTTTTGTGGAGTCTTGTGCATCATTATTTTAAATCACCATTGCTTTCCAGTACTTAAACTTAAAGCCTTTAAAGCCCTTAATAATCTTACTCCAACTTATTCAGACTGATTTCCTATTACTCTCCTTCACCAACCCCAAGGTTCCAGTCAAACCGATTTATTTGCTTTATCCAGAACAAAACATTCCATCATCTCCTATCTCCATCCTATTTTCTGTGTACATTTTCTCCCCTTTCTCCTCCCAGCCTCCAAGGAAAGATTGCATTTTAGAATATTTTTGTCTTCAGAGTTGTAGTTATTTAGTAAATGCTTGTTGAATTGAATGCCTATGCATCAGATAATGTGTATGCTAGGTTGCCCAGCTCAAAAGCTGTGTCACACAAAGGTCATTTTGCATTCTTTGATCATCAATACATTACATTAGTTCATTTGATCTCTTTAAATTTGGACTTGCCTCTGGAAATCTTAGAAAGCATAAGTATTTCAGTTTTATAGAAATGGAATTTCCATTCTGGTGGCATAGTATTACCCTGATTAGAAGGTGACTTTTCATGCCCTTAATTTTTCTGTTCAGACTAACATTCCCAAGAAGTTGTAACTGCCTTTATTCGTTTTGAATGACTCGCACTCAACATGTCCTAAACAGAACTTACTGTCTTTCCCCCTGTTCTCTTCTGTCTTCTCAACTTCCCCTTTAGTATCAAAGGCAATATCCACCATTCACAATCGTGGGGCCATCCTTAATTCTTCACTCTCTGTAAATCTGTTGCCAAATCTTGTCCTTTCTACTTCCATGGAAGTATAAATCCCCTACTCTTCACTCACACCCGCACCACTCCAGTTTAGGTCCATATCACCTTTACTGTTGCAATAGACTCCTAATTGGTCTCTCCTGCCTCAGATATCTCTCCACTCCAATCCATCTTCCTCTCAACTGTCAAAGGGATGTTCCTCTAAAGTCCAACTCTGATTATGTCACCACACACACACACATACACACACACACACACACACACTGCTGAATAAACTCTTATTACTCCCTATTATGTATAGGATTAAATAAAAAGTTCTCTGGCATTTTCGTTCTTTATAACCAGGCCTCTTCCTACTTTTCCAGTCTCCCTACACTTGGCTCCCCTTGGTGCATCTATAATTCAGCAACACTGACCTACTTTCTGTTCTTCATGTAGGACACTCCATCTCCTATATATTCTTTCTGTACCTTTGAACTGACTGTCATCCTTTACCTCCTCATCTCTTAGTTTCCCCAAATTCCTGCAAGTCTCAGCTCAAATACTATCCTTTCTTGGTCCCTGGCTACTAGTTCCTTCCCCTCTGACACTACCTTCCATCTATTCTGTAAGCTTACAGAATTACAAATATATATTAAGTGAGCTCCTGAAGTCTGGGACTGTTTTTTTTTCCCCTTTCTTTGTGTCTCCACCATAGCTCATAATGAAGAGTTTAGTAAATGTTTTTGATTGATTAATGGAGGAGTAAATAGTTATTTATAGCTTCCTTAGGTCTTTGAAATATTTACTGAATTGAATACTAAGTTTCTGCACATGACAAACTTATTTGAAAATTTAGCCTCTTGACAATGCTGTTTCTTTTCTGAGTTTACAAGCATTATCTTGTTTTTCGTGTACCCCATAGTACCTAAGGGGCAGCTAGGTGGAACAGTGGATAAAGTGCTAGGCCTGAAGTCAGAGTCTTCCTGAGTTCAAATCTGGCCTCGGACACTTACTAGCTGTGTGAACGGGCAAGTCACTTAACTCTAGTTGCCTCAGTTTCCTCATCTGTAAAATAAGCTGGAGAAGGAAATGGTGGCGCACTCCAGGATCTTTGCCAAGAGAACCCCAAATGGGGTCATGAAGAGTTGGACACTGTACAACAACAGAAATTTGTTAGGAAGTTTTTCCACATATCAAGCCTCGATTTGCCTCTTTGAAACTCCTTGGTTCTGATTTCTGGTGCCAAACAAAAGAAGTCTAATCCCTCCTGTAAATGACAGCCTTTCAAGATAAAAGTCTGAAGAAAGACAAAAAAAAAAATTCTGGAAAAAAAATCTTTATGGAACAATTCAAATGGAAAGAGACAAACGAGGAGTATATAATTTGACCATACAAGAAGCAAATGCTTTGTGTTGAAATGAAATGCAAATAGTTACTGAGTTGAATTAATTGTATTGATGTTCTGTATTAAGTTTTTAATGAAACATCTGATTTTTTTTTTTAAGGAGGGAACACCTTAGAGTAAACATTAGCATAATTGCTTTAGGAATAAGACCTCAAGGAGCTTAAAATCTCTAGACTCCAAGACCACTGGAAGGAGAAAGGTGGAAAGGATATAAAAGATGTGGGAGGTGAAGGAGAGAGAGGGGTCAAAAGGTTTCAATAACAAATAGGGAAGTAAAGGGGAGAGGGTAGGTTTAGGTGGGGAGGGGATGGAGTTCAGTTTTAGTCTCATTGAATTTGAGATGTGGAGGACACATATAGTACATAATATTTTTATGAAATAAACAATAGAACTTGTCACTTGATCTACTCTTTTTCTGATATCTTTGCATAGCAAATAACCAAATAGCTCTGGCCATTGCCAGGGTAGGTGCATGGGCTTTATAACCTAAAGAGGAGGGTCCCTATTTAGGTTGCAGGAGTGAAAGATAACAAAAGGAAGGGAATTCGGCTAATACTTAATATACAGTATTAACTTTTCAGTATCTGCTGGGACTGTATTTATTCATTTATTTGTTTGCTTGTTTTGGAGGCAACCAGGGATAAGTGACTAGCCCAAGTTCACATAGCTATTAAGTGTCTGAGGCCGGATTTGAACTCAGATCCTCCTGACTCCAGGCCAGGTGCTCAGTTCACTACCCAATGTAGCTGCCCCATTTCCCCATTGTATTTATGATAAGAAAATGCAAATTGTTTACTGAGCTGAATGCTTTGTCAATTATGTTTCATTTGCAAATAGTTTTTAAGGTATTGCCTTTCACCAAATTTTTCAAAAAGAGCATTAACCTAATTTTCTGATGTTTTGAAAGGGAAAATGCGCAGAGCCTTGCGTCTACAGTGATAATTTTTTTTTGGTGGTAGTTGTTGCTCATATGTTTATGGTTATCTCATCCTCTGGAAGTCTTATAAAGCATTGAGTGAATATTAGCCTAATTATCTTTTAAAGAAATAGATACCTTTCTTTTCTTGGTCATAACTTATATTTGAGTGTTGTTGGTTATCTGGTTTTCTTTTGAGGAACTTACTGCTCAACAACATATCTTCATCTTCAGGTTTCATTGCGTAAACAAGAGATCGAGGAGAGACTCAATTCCTGGATTGTGTTCAATGAAAAGAATAAAGACTTATGTGCATGGCTGGTTCAGATGGAAAACAAAGTTCTACAGACAGCAGACATTAGTATTGAAGAAATGATTGAAAGACTACAGAAGGTAAACTAGGAAGCAAATTTGGATGATGGGATTTTAACTTTTTGGAGAATATCTCCGAAGGCCAGGCAAAATCAAGTATTTATTAAGTGCCTACAATATACCAGGCATTATGCTAAGGCCAGTATGTCTAATGGGGGAAAGAACATGTAAATAACTTTTTATGAACAAGACATAGGATAAATGTAGAACAATTTCATAGGGAAGGCACTAGCATCATGGGGTAGGGTTGGGCGGATTACAGGGAATCTGGAAAGACGTCTTACAGGAGGTGAGACATGAAAGAAATCAGAAAACATTTAATCTTTCGAATTGGGAGGTTAAACACAAATATTTTCTAGAGATAAAGCCACAATCTACAGATACATTTTCAATCAGATGGCAGTAGATTAAACAAAAACTGGGAAATAAATTTTCCTTAATTTTAGAGAGACAGCTAAGTTGAGTGAAGATAATTTCACCAGGAAAGACTAGCATCATCTATTTATTTATTTATTTAGGCTAGAGGGGCCATATTTACAGGGGCAGGTCAGCTTTGTCTGAATGGGTAGCAGATGGTCTGAAGCCAAGGAATCCATGAGATAAAACTGTCCCTTAGGATTTTAGGATCATAGATCTAAAGTTGGAAAGTACTTTTCTAGAGGCCATCTGGTCCACCCCTCTCTTTTGCAGATGAGGAAACTGAGGCCCAGAAAAGTTAGGTGACATATACACAGTTACAAAAATATATGATACGCAGAGGCAGTGTTCGAGCTGGAATCTCCAAGTTCAATGCTCTTTCATTGCATTGCATTATTCAAGTTAATAAAATAGTTTTAAGCCATTTGTGCAGTTCTGGAAGGTCAGAATTAGAAGTAAAAGACCACCTGAACTTGGAAATGATAAAGTTACATCCCTGCTCAATGCCACTCAGTCAAACCTTCAATCATATCTGATGTTGGCTTTGAGTTGATTTAGCCAAAATGTACGTTTTGATTTGGTTGTATTTGATAGTCAATTCAGTAAGCATTTAATAAGTGCCTCCTATGAGCAAGACACTTTTCTAGCTACTAGGGATTTAAAGACAAAAGGAAAGAAAGAACTAATGGATGAAAAAGAATTTATTAAGCACTTACTCTATACAAAGCACCTTGCTAACATCTAAGGATATAATGAGAAAAGTAAGGTAAATACCCTTATCAAGGAGCTCACATTCTAGTAGGTTCTTAAGTATTTTGTGTCATGGGCCCCTTTGTCAATTTATGGACCCTTTTTAAGAATATCTTTAATATTATGTAATCACTTAATATAATTATTAATAATTAATATTCAATATTGGTTGCTAATATTTTATATTAAGAGTTAATGTTAATATTAATTTTAATTCATAAAATACATATAATTACAATGGAAACCAATTATATTAGAATATAGCTAACACTATTAAAAAAACAAGTAATGTTTGTGCTTTGTTAACACATCAAATAACAAGATATATTTAAAATAAAGGGTCTTATATTGACAATAATGAGCATAAATATTATGAGATACACAACAATTTAATGTGATATGAATATATCTTATTTCTATTGGTGACAGAATCATAGGCACTGCTAAAAAATAAAATATTTTGTTGCCTGCATTCCTAATAGAAATAAATGCTAAATTTCAGTTAAGGATTGGTGAAAAATAAATATCAAGAAAAGAAAAAGATTACTTTTCCCATTCAAGTTCATAGACTCCCCTGAAATCTATCCATGGATCCCAGGTTAAGAATGCCTGTAGTAGGGAGAAACAGACTATATGGGAATTTTTAGCAGCAAGTCTGACAGAAAGGCTGACATGGTCTTTAGGGTATAGTGATAAAGCAGATGGAAATGAATCCTGTCCAGTGGTATTTCCACTGATCATTTCTGATGCAGGAAATTCCTTCAAGGAGTTAATATCTTATCCAAAATTTTGGCTTATATTTTCTAATCCCAAATTTGATTATAGCAATAGCAAAATTTCATAGCTACTTTAATTTCAAACTCTCTGAAGCCTAATGAATTAAAACAATGTACCACTGTACATTGCCATTTTGTCTAAATATTAGGTTTGTGTATAACTTTTCTTTTTAAGGCAATTGGGGTTAAGTGACTTGCCCAGGGTCACACAGCTCGTTAGTGACAAGCGTTTGGTCTGAGGTCAGATTTGAACTTAGGTCCTCCTATCTTCAGGGCTGGTGTTCTAGCCACTGCACCACCTAGCTGCCCCTGTGTATAACTTTTCAATGAAACCTTTTGAATGCAAGATTTTTTGGTAGAAAAAAATGAAATTATTGAGATCAGTGATTGTGATCTCATATCAGGTGAAGGGGGAAACTTTTATTTTCACTTTTATTATCATCTTCAGGAGAAAGGAAGTAACTACAATATTAATACAAGGTGCTATTTTGGTGTCTTTGTCAGGACTGTATGGAAGAAATCAACCTGTTTAGTGAAAATAAACTTCATTTGAAGCAAATGGGTGATCAGTTGATCAAAGCCAGCAATAAGACCAGAGTTGCTGAAATAGATGATAAGCTCAGCAAAATTAACGATCGCTGGCAACATCTTTTTGATGTCATTGGATCAAGGTAAGAAAACAGCAAAAACCGCTTCTGGTTTTGAAAACTGATTTTCTTCTAGAAATTTTCATTTAAAAAACAGTACTCCTCCTGTTTTTCAACTCTTCTATTCTTTTAACTAAACTTTAAAGAGCTATATCAGTGTAAGGTGTTGCATGTTTGTCAGTAACAATAAAAGAATGTGACAGATGCCAGAAAATTTCCACTAGTTGTCATGCCTAGAAGCCCCTCAGTTCAGTGGTATTGGGAGGATTTTAGCAGGTTTTGAAATGGCAGTTAAGTGGCACAGTGCTTAGGATGCTGGACTTGGAGTCAGGAAGACCTGTTCTTCTTCAGACACAACTAACTGGGTGACTTTGGACAAATCACATAACCTTTCTGTGCCTCGGTTTCCTCATCTGTAAAATATGGATCAAATGAGATAGCATGCAAAAATCTGTAAACCTTTAAAGGACTATATAATGTGGTGGTGGTGATGATGACAACAATGAGGAGGAGGAGGAGGAAGAGGAGGAAGTAATGATGGACTAGAATTAGCAGAACAAAAATGGCTAATAGTGAATTGTTTACTAATAGGAGAAAGGCAATAGTAAGAGGTCCCTTAGCTTCCCTTGGAGAGTTCAAGTCACTAGGCACAGATAAACACTATTTTCAATTAGGGAAAGAACTGCCAACTGTGATTACTAAACCACTGTCAGTGATCTCTGAAAGATGTTGGAAAACAGGAAAGATAAAGCAGGAATGTTGTTGTATGGTCATTTTCAGTTGTGTCCAACTCTTCATGACCCCATTTGAAGTTTTCTTGGCAAAGATACTGGAGTGGTTTGCCATTTCCTTCTCCAGCTCATTTTATAGATGAGAAAACTGAGGCCAACCGGGTTAAGTGACTTGCCCAGGGTCACACAGCTAATAAATATCTAAAATTGGATTTATATTCGGATCTTCCTGACCACAGGCCTGGCACTCTATCCACTGGGCCACCTTGCTGCCCAAAGTAGGAATAGAGATAAGAAAATGACCAGATTTTCCAAAAAAAGGCAGAACAAAGTTTACAAATTATTAGCCAGTGAGCCTGATTTAAATTCCTGGCAAAATTCTAGAATGTAGTATTAAAGGAATAGTTAATAAATTTTTCAAAAAGGAAGTAGTCATCACAAAGAATTAGAATAGCTTCTTTTGGGTCACACCAGGCTAAAATGATTGTTTGTTTTTTTGATAGAGCTTGTGGGCTGGTAAATCAAAGGCAATATTGATAATGATAATAACTGACATTCAATACTTTAAAGTCATGTATTATCTCATTTGATCTTTAAAATAACCTAGTGATATGAGTACTACAAATAGTTTGCTGGAACTATAACATTCATCTGAATCTAATATGATTAGTTAGTCAATAATCATTTATTGGTCACCTTCTGTGTACTAGGCACTGTGGTAAGCTCTGAGGATACAAAGAAAGGCAAAAGACAGTCCCTGCCCTCAAGTAGCTCACAATCTAATGGGGACAGTCAACAAGTAAACATGTACAAGGGAGCTATTTACAGGAAAAATAGAAAATAATCAACAGTGGGAATGCACTAGAATTCTGAAGGATTGTGAAAATCTTGTAGATAGAAGGATTTTAATTGGGACTTGAAGGAAGTTAGGAGGCCGAGAGGCAGAAGGCATTCCAGGCATCGGGGAACATCCCGAGAAAGTGCCTGGAGCTAAGAGATGGAGTATCTTGTTTGTGGAACAGGAAGGAGGCCAATGTCACTGGATCAAAGAGTACATGATGGGGTTACGTTATGAAAGCTTTGAATGTCAAACAGGATTTTGTATTTGATCCTGTATATGAGAAGGAAGCAGTGAAGTTTGAATATGGGAGTGACATGGCCAGGCCTATATTTCTTTAGGAAGATCACTTGGGCAGCTGAGTGGAGAATGGACTGGAGTGGGGAAAGACTTGAGGAAAGTAGATCCACTATCAGGCCAGTGAAAAAGAACAGTCATGAGATGATGAGGGCCTGTACCAGGTTTGTGGCAGTGTTAGAGGAGAGGAGATTAAATTTACTAAGGATCCATTAACAGACATTTATGAAGCGTCTTTGTTCCAAGCACTGTGCCAAGTGCTGGCAATACAAAGACAAAAATAAAGCAAAGATTAGTGAAATGGGGATAAATGTAAAGCTTTATACTTGGGTTAAAAAAAAATAAATTTCACAAGTACAAGATAAAGGAAATATGGCTAAACAGCAGTTCTGAAGAAAAAACAAAATATAATGCAGACCAGAAGCTCAAGAATATGTTAGAAAGTAAATGCAATTTAAGGCAACATTAGAGAGAACTAGGGTTCAAGACTACAGAAGGGAATATTTCTCCTGCATTTTGCCCTCATCACAGCACATCTGCAATGTTTTCTTCATTTTCTACATTTTTGAAAGTACATTGACATATTGGGAGAATGCCTAGAAGATGGCAACTGAGCATGAAAGGCCTTAAGATCATCCCATTGATATGAGGATTGGTTAGAGGAACTAGAGATGTTAAGCCTAGACAAAAGAAGCTATTGGACAAAACTTGACAGGGGACTTCAAGTATTTGAAGACCCTCAAATGATAAAGAGATTGGACTTTGGACCTCAGTTGGCAGAACTAGGGAACAGTAGTTTCAAGAGAGGAATATTTAGTCTTGATTTAAGCAAAAAATGGCTAATAATTTTATCTCCAAAAGTAGAAGAGGCTGCCTCAGGAGGTAATGGGTTCCCCTCTTTCTGGGGTCTTTGAACATTAGATACATTAGAGGATACATTAGAGTAGGGATTCTTGTTGAGGAATGGGTTAGAACAGATGATCTCTAAAGCCTCTCTGACCCAAGAGTGTGATTCTGTGAAATGATCCACACATTTAATTTGCATTTCCCCTCAAATTGTGTTGATTGGGAACTTTTCTTTGGATCTAAGAATAACTTGCAGTGTTGAACAAATGACATCTGACCTATAGGTTGTCACACTGTATAAGCAGTGTGCCTCATGGGTATTTGACACCAAGAGTATGTAAGTTGTGGAAACAGATGAACTTATCCATATGTTTGTTGAAGTTTATACAAAGGTTAAAAAAAACCCCAAGTCTTTTAGGAAGTAAGTTTTAGATCTGTCAGTTACAAATTCAAACCCTATATATTATGGTCAATTCTTATTTATTTGAGGCTCGTTCAGCATATTGACTAACCAAGTTCTTTGCATGGAGGAGGCTGTATGATACCATAAAAAGAGCCCTGGCCCTAGAGTCACAGGTCCTGTGTTCAAATGCTGCCTCTTGTATTTTCTATCTATGTGATCTATGGCAAATCATATTTTCCCTATTTCCTCATCTGAAAAATGAAGGAGTTGGACAAGATGACCCTTATAACTGTAAATCTATAATACTAGGATCTTTCTTTTCTCTGTCTCTGCCTTCATTACTCATGGGTGGATGAGAGACATAAAAGGAGGAGGAGAAAGTGTGTGATTGTTTGACTTTCATTCTGTCAAAAAGTTTTTTGTTCTTAAGGAAGGATAATTTTTAAAACGATTGGCTCAAAATAAGGGATTAAGTTTATTTATGGATTTCAGCATATCAGTATTATACCAGTTCATTATTATCAAGCATGAGAGACAGAAGAGTGTATTAGAAAGAGAACTTGAGGTTTTGAAGGACAGAGTCTCAAGGAAGAAGAAGGAAGTTAAAGAACAACCGCAGATTTTAGACTCTCCCTTGTTTGTAAACTCCCAACCTCCATTTTGGAGCTTTATTTTTAAAAATATCCTGGTTTAATTAAACTCTACGATGGAATGTATCTTAGGAATTAATAATTTTTAAAGAATATATTAGTACATTACTAATTATTAATTAATATAATTTATGCAATAGGCAGCTAGGTGGCCCAGTGGATAGAGTGCCCTGCCTAGAGTCAGGAAGACTCATCTTCCTGAGTTCAAATCTGGCCTCACAGACACTTACTAGCCATGTGACTCTTGGGAAGTCACTTAAACCCCATTTGCCTCAGTTTCCTCATCTATAAAATGAGTTGGAGAAGGAAATGGTAAATTACTCCAATATCTCCGCCAAGAAAAGCCCAAATGAGGTCATGAAGAGTTGGACACAACTGAACAACAAAGATTAATGAGACTGGTATTGAGGTTAATAATATGAAATTATTGAAGTCTGGGGTTTGGGCTAGAATTCACATTTCTAAAGCTTTTCAGCAGCTCTCTCAGGTCTACATGTGCTTGCCTACCAACTACATTTTTACAAAAACGTACATGTGAGAGGGACCTTTCCATATGCATATTGTCTAAGATTCCTAAAGGACTTGTAGGGTGAGTTTCAGTTATTCTTTAAAACACACAATATTTTTCAAAATCAGTGGTCAATCATAAATATCATAATTACTACTGAGCTTATTTGATTATAAATATTAAATGAAAATTAAATAAGGGAAGTTTTGTTCTTTCCTGTTCCCATCATTTCAGAGGTAATACCTTTGGAAAATTAATTCAACACAAATGTAGGAGAAAGACACAACTAAATTATCAGGGAGAGTTGTTTGGTTGGGTTTTTTTTTTCCCCAGCTCTGTCAGTCTGACAGTTCATCAAGTTTTATGAAAAACTTGCTAGTCTTTTTTTCCCTCTTTCTGTTTGGTTTCGGTTTTTGTTTGGTTGGTTTCGATGGTCATATGATTTCATTGATCTGTATAACTCCCAGTAAGGAAAAATGCCTTATCACAGATCATAGATTTAGAACTGGAAGTGACCCCCGCACCAGGCCATTTAGTCCAACCCCCCCTCATTTTATAGATGAGAAATCAGAGACCCAGAGAAGATGAAACGACTTACCCAAGGTCACACCGCCTTTGTTCGAATGTAGATCAGCAACTGTTCTGCTATTTGTAAACATTAGAGAAGGAAAACCTATTGGAAAAGATACTCACTATAGAGGCAGACAACGTGAGTTCAAATTCCTCTTCTGTCCCTTACTTAAGAGTGACC